GCTTTAGAATCAGTTACCATACTTTTCTATTCGAAAATAATCTAAACGAAAATTTGCAGAAAGATATTATTTCACTTCTCCAACTCTATAATTCCAGAAACTTTCACAATTAAGTTATCTAATTAGGTTAATTTAATTTTTGCAGCCTTAAATTCTGATAGATACAATGATCTGGATTATAAATATCATTTTTATGGTAAAAAACAATATTAACTTGGAATTGTTAGCAAATGGGCTTAATACTAAAAATTCCAAATTAAACAATAGTGTGATAACTAAAGAAACAACAATCATGTTGAAGATGGAATAAAGTCATTATTATTTTGAACATTAAGAAATTTATAATTGGAGTAATGATCTGGAGTTTTAAAAAAAGAATGATTTAAACATTGATTTCATCAATAGGATAAAAGGAGAAATGATTCAATAGAAATTATATTATGAATCGAGTATTAATGAATAAGAAATAATCTTATATATAGTATTTTATGTAAACTCTAAGGTTGCGAAAGTCTAAAATCTTGCTAATCTTCTTTAATCCATTCTTTTACATTAATAGTAAAATTAAAAGCTAAAGACAATTTAATTAAATTTCTTCAATAAAATTTAAAAGTAATAGGTCGGCTTTGAAATTATTGATGACGAAACTTTTTATTGCCTTTTATTAGACTTCACATTTATCTCCTAAGTTTGCAAATCTGAAATACATTCTTAGCTCCAATTATAATATTAATTTTCAATGCAGAAACTGTAGATAAAATAGGTATAGATTGTGTTATGCGTACATCTGATCCTAAATTGAGGATATCAAATATGTGAATCAGGTTTTGCAAGACTAATTCAGATATTAGTAGTACTTATTTCTATGATATTGACACTTACAAATCTAATTCATAATGCCTTCATTGCTCACACTCAAGATTCAAATTCGTTTGATTGTACTTCTTGAACAAGAGAGCAGTCAATTTTTAATTAATTGCAATGTTGAATATTATGATGAAATTATCAAATTAATTTTACAATTTTGATGCATTTCTTTTTTATAAGGTTCAATTGTTTATCTGGCTATTTATGCTGATTATCAAACGAGTTGACTTAAAATGATATTTTGAATAGAGTAGGACTCACTACTCATGTTTTATTGATAATAAATAAATATCACTTTTTATAAACCTAATTGAAGCCTTAAATACAACTAGTATTTCGTTGTAAATTAAAGGGATATTTAGATAAAGAATATAATGATAGGATCATCATTAGCTTAGATTCTGAATAGTGCAAAAGTAACAAAATAATCTAGAAGAAGGTGCAGTTGGAGCAAGGTTGGCTAGTACGTAGAAGGATATAACTATCAGATTAAGATGTTCCAAATCAATTGGAAAAGAACTTCAATTATATGAAAATCTATGTATTTTGACCTGAATGATGTAGAGAATTAGATGATAGAGTTACTACTGAAAAAGTAAGCCCTATTTGAAAAAAAATTAGATGACAAGGTGTGTAATGAATAAGAGAAATAACTGGTTACAGAATGAGATTTTCCCTATTAGACTAAAAATTAATAAAAAAAAATGGAGGTGAAATAAACTATGAGGGATGCTTTAAATACATCAAATTTATAGTAGAACAGGTGAATGGTGATGAATCTTCCAGATCTAAATAGATGGAGTTTTTCTGCTATTTGATTTTATTACCTTTTAAGGAAATAGATGTACTAAAACAGTTATTCTACCTATGTCCTTCCTTACATATTCTGTCAAATCTACTCCCTCCATAAAAATTAGAGATAATTGAGAGAAGTATATAGGGAAAGAAAATAATCATCTCATCATCATATTATTAATATTACCATTAATTATTTTCTTTTTGAATTCATTTTTAACTGCACCTTAATAACATTAATTCTTACTCCATAATTTATGCAACATTTCCACCAAATTCCTGAAATTAAATATTTAATACAAAAGGACAATCTGTTTTCATCAAATTCCACATCCGATTACAAAAACCATTCTATTTTTGTTTCTGCTCAACTTAAGAATAAAAGAATTAGAACTGCAATAAAATCAAAATTCACTCCATATGTAAATTAAATATATATGGGGTAGTTTGGTGGTTGGTTAAGGAAGATAAATTTATTTAGACCTACAACCTTCCCTTCTAAGTAAATATCTCCTTATTCATTTTTAATTCCACCCCATAAAAGTTGAACTCCTTTAAATTGAATTTCAATGACAATACCATAGTTCTTCCATTATTTGAAAGCCCAATCCATTTTATAACATTATGTAATTTTCATGGCTTCTTCCAAGAGTCCATATCTAAAGTTTAAGGATCAAAGTTTTTTCAGTCTCATTTAGGAAGAAGGCATATCTCTATTTTTGTAGATCAACATAATTTTAGATTGGTTTTGTGAAATTTCCATCATCTATGATATTTATATACCTCCAGAACTACACATCATATAAGTAAATCACCACCTTGATGATACAGTGATTATTTAAATTAATGAGAATTCAAGAATCTAAGTACCTTTTTTATTTTTATTATTGAGTCTCACTTTCCATTCTGTTTAGTATTGATGAAAAGTACATATTCTTAGAATTCTTTCTTCTATTTAAGAACCTTAAAAGAAGGAGTCGGATTCACTTAATCTATTAGTATGTTCTCAAGAGTATTTCTAATTTCACTCCTTTATTCATTATCTCACTAAATACTTTGTCTAATGTTACTCTCCAATTCACTTAGTTCACGAGTTAGGAATCTAGTTCTATCTCATAGGCCTCCTTAAGTTAGTCTATAAATTTTCTCTTCATATTAACCAGAATAAGATTGCCATTCCATCTCAAAAATGCAATAGAGAATTACTATGGGGATGGACAATGTCGGGGATTAACTTGAAAAAATATCATTCTTATAATATAAATACCATTCTCCAGCTCTTTATAATTCCTAGATAAGTTGCTCAACAACTTTATTGAAAGAAAATATTAAATATTAAAGTCTGTTTTATTTAAAATATTTCTGATTGACTCTGATCTTAAATTAATCTAAGACGGGTTATTATTATTTTCTATCATAAATTACAAATTAAACAATTTTAAATGAAGATTTAATTTTTTAACTATTTTTCCTTTCAACACTCTCTTCCCTAAAGATTCTTGTCTTTCTGGCTAAGTAGTGGATCTGTAAAAAATGTTATTCTCTTCCTTAAAATCAATGTTATGGGGGATTTAAAAGGGGCACTATCAATTGTTTAAAATTGGACTAACTAATTTCTATTCAAAAGGATGAAGGCATAGCCTAAACCATGCCTAAGCATTAATCCTTTGTATTCATATTGTAAATAGTAGTTTCCACAATTTATTCCCAAGACTCCTTATTGTCACCATCAAATCCATATTTATTCTGGCCATTTTAATTTCAATCAGGTTATGCCTCTTTATGTCAACCATTAAAAAGAAAAATCAAATCCTAATTACGGTGAGTCATAATTAGCTGGATCTGATTAATTTTTTTTCTTAAAAAAATTTTTAACAAAAAAAAACTACAAACAAATATTATTTTAATAGGTAGAAACATTATATTATCAAAAAAAATTACACCCCTTTCAGGGTATTTATTAGAATAATTAAAGATACTTCCTATCTGGGTCTAAAATTAATAATCAAAAAAAACAGCTTTATCCATAAAACATTACAAAAATACAACTTATTTCTACAACAATAAGAGATAATGAAACTTATTCAAAATGTGCATATGAAAATTGTGTCAGATTCAACCACCTAAACTTTGTAAGTCGAAAATCCAAAGATATATGAATTAGTTAAATAAGGGAAAAGATCACAGCATAATGCTGTTTTAGATTTTCGAAACAAAATCCAACTTCATTTTCTTAATTGAATAACCAGAAATACTAATAAAGAATTTTGGGGATTATCATTTAACTTATAAATGAAATCAAATTTTCTTTTGTTTATGAATAATAATAAATACTCGATTTAATACTTACAAAAATGGAATTAATTGATTCTTGGGAGTTTATTTTTTATAAATAAGCTTTTTTATGTATGTGCTGTATTTAAACTACCAATTTAATGATTAAATAAAAATAATAACAATTGACTTCAATTATAATTAGATGAAACACATTTAGACTTTAAATTTTTGTGCATAAGTGATTAATTCTCAGATTATTTAATATATTTCCTATGACCTTAAAAATTCAGGTAAGATAAGATCCAAAACTTTAACCTTCAAAAAATTCTGATTAAAATTCAAATACTCTAAAAAATTCTAATTCTGCCTAAAACTGCAGAGTTAAACTATTTTATTGAGATAAGAACAATTAATTTCTTATAAATGATTGAGCCAAAAAATACCAAAGGATAACTAAATATCTTTTGAGAATGCAAGCAATCTCAGGTTTTAGAAAAATACCCAAGTATTAATTGTTAAGACACTAAATTAGTTAATGTAAAAGAAATAATTCCTTAAATATGGATTAGAATCTTTAAACTTCAGTCTAATGTAGTTCTTATTGGTATGAAATTAGCAAGAGTACTTAATATTGTTTTATATAATAACTAAAACATAATAAAATTCTAAATTTAAGTATGATTTAGATTTTATTTTTGAAACAATCTTATTTAAAGATTAAATTAATTTTTTCATTAATAAATTTTTCCCTATATATAATATGAAAATCAAAATCATGCCATTAATCCCAAAAGACCGAGTGAAATAACTGACAAGATGTAAGCACTGTCGGTGGTAGTTGTTCCATTATCTGTGTTGTTGTTAGTTCCATTTGAATTGTTTGGATTGACAGATCCTGAAATACAACTTTCACATTTATTAGTAGCGGCATTCCAACTATAAGTGTAAGCTGATTTAGTGTAGCAAATCTTGGAGTCAGTCATGGTTCCTGGATCAGCAGCAGCGCATTTTCCGCTTTAGAGAACACAAACAGTGGATGAGGCTCCATCGAAGCTTGGAATTGGTTGACAATCAGTTCCTGTCGCAAAGGTATCACAAGCGTGATTAGCACAAGTTGTTCCTGTTGAGTTTTTCAGTCCATCTGCATGTTTTGTTGGTTGTGCAAGCCAATTTGTCTTTGGTAGCATCGGCACATGCGGTGAAGGTCTTGCATGTTCCATTAACTTTGTCAGTTCCAGTAGGAGTGAAAGCACAAACAGTTGATTTATTGTTTTCTAAACCACCTCCGTTACATGATGTGATGGTCTTATAAGTTGAGCAAGCAGCCTTGGCAATGCAACTAGTTCCATTGGAAACACAATTCTTTCCTGCAATAACACCCATACAATTAGCATTTGATGTTCCTCCAGTGATATCTTCACATTGCTTTTATCTGCATGTCTTTGTTCCTGTAGTAGCTCCAACTGGTAATGCGAAAGTACATTCTCCGTCAGTTCCTGTGAAACATCCAGCTTCAACATAACTTGAGCAAGCAGCCAATGGAATACATTTTGTTCCATCAGTTGTGCATGATCCTCCAGTTACTGAGATAAGTTTGCATTAGTCGTTTGTACCCTTTTATTCATCTCCACATTCCTTCAATTTGCAAGTATTAGCAGTGGCGTTCCAATAGCAGATACCATCAGTTCCAAGATTATTGCAAGCTGTTTATGTCTTGTAGGTACCACAAGCTGCTTTAGCAATACAAGCAGTTCCATCAGTAATACAGGTTGGTCCATATGAGAGACATTCATCATTGGTGGCAGCAACGGCATCAGTACATTATCCGAACTTCTAGCATTTTCCAGTTGGTAACCATCCGCAAGCTCCATCAGTTCCGACGACGCATGAGGCCTTCAATGTTGTGCTGGCACAGTTGGTAATTGGAATACATGTGTCTCCATTGGTTGTGCATAATGGTGAGAAACCTTAGCATTCAGTGTGTGTCTTCTTGATAGCATCTTCACATCTGTCATAATCATAGCATTATCCATTAACCCAAAGGCATGGTCCAAAGTTGGATTTAATACAGAACAATTTATTAGAGAATTCAGTACATGAGGTTCCAGCAACACAACTTGATCCATTGGTCTTGCAACCAGAGAGGAAAGTGTTACATTCATCATCTGTTAAACCGTTCTTGTCGCCGCAAACTCTAGATCTGCATTTATTTGTTGCAGTATCCCAACCACATCTTCCTACTCCGTCCTTGGTTGTTGAGGCAGCAATACAGATTGATTAAGTCTTGTATGATGGACATGTTGTAATGGTCAAGCAACCAGCTCCAGATGTAGTACAATTATCAGCAAAGCTTTAACATTAGGCATGAGAAGCGATTGTTGCTGGTTAATCTTCACAAACTTAGGCTCTGCATGTTGAGTTAGATTCAGTCCAAGCACAGAATTTACCATTGACTTTAGAATTGGTACATTATGAGTAACTGGTGTTATTATAAGTGGCACAAGTGGTAATAGAAGCTGTACATTAATTGGGCCCCATGTGCATTCTGGTCTCTTAATTTACAAGCAGCTTATGATGTCAAATTACTGCAGTTCTTAGTAGCTGTACATCCATAACCTGTTGTTACACAATCCTTATGATATTTCTAGCAATCAGCGTCAGTTGCAAGTGTATTTGGTGCTTCTGTGCATACTCTCTTAGCGCATGCTCCCTTGATTGTTCCTACTGTGGTAGCTTTGCATGGTCCATCTTTAGCCAAATAATTTGGACATGTTTCTTCAGTTCCATTGAAGGTACTGCAATTCTTTCCATAATCAATGCAACCAGTTCCATCGAAGACGCAGAAAGGATCATCTGTAGTCTTGAATGGTAACATTCCGTCATTACAATCCTTATTGTTTTTACCAGCAATATCACTGCATTTCTTCTTTGCACAAGTAGCTGTAGCTAATGCGGTTGAAGTATTCCAACAATAATCTTTTCCTGAGCTTCCCAAGAATTTTGCACAAGTAGCTTAATCTCCTTTAAATCCACCACATTACGATGTTGCATCTATACATCCTGTACCCTTTGTAATACATCCTTTCAGATAAGCAGCACAATCGGTATCTGATGAGGCTGTAGTGTTATCAGCACAAGTTCTTGGTTTACATTTTGCAGTAGCTGTATTGGTAGCATCACCAGAACAATATTCATAAATTGGATTTTTATTTGCATCTAATCCAATGTATTTTTTGAATTATTCACATTACTATTTAGTTCCTCTGTATGATGTGCATGGTTCTGAATTTGGAATACATCCTGTTCCACGTGTGACACATCCGCTCAAATAAGAATCACATTCAGAATCAGATGTTGCTGTAACATTATCATAGCATTTTTTATTTGTACATGCTGCAGGTGTAGTAGAAACAGTAGCTGTTAGTTTACATTTATCTTTTCCTGAACCATCTAATAAGAGATTGCAAAATTCTGTGGAACCATTAATTGTATTACATGCAGTAGTTGCAGCAACGCATGCTTAACCGTTTGTCTTGCAAGATTTGAGGTAACTTGAACAATCAAAGTCAGTATAGAATGTTTTATCACCGCATGTTCTGTCTTTACATTTTCCGGCTCCAGCGTCCCAAGCACATAAATCTCCTGATGAATTCAAAACTCCTTCACACCATGCTTATTTGGCTGTATCATCAGCACCTTATACTGCGTAAGCTCCACAAGTAGTTTTAGCGATGCATTTACTTGAATAATAGAGACAATTAGCTGCATTATTAACACAATCTGTAGCACTGGCATCATTATCAGTACATACTTAGGCCTAACATTTTTAAGCAGCAGAGGAATCTACAATACATGGATAATCATCATTAGATTTAACAGATTTACATTAAGTTGCTTCAGAACCAGCTGCTGGTGTATATGAAGAACAAGCACCAACAACAGCACACTTAGTACCGTTAACAAATGTGCATTATTTATCAGATGCGTCAGCTAATGCTTTGCATGCAGCTAATTTATCTGTTGCATCTGTCACATCATATGTACTGCATGCATCTTCCTTCACACAGTAAGCACCAACTGCATAAGTACATGCTTCTGAAACTGTTATGTTTGAACAGTATGATCTTTTATCATCTGCTGTAGTTCCAACAGCTGGAACTTTTGCACAAGCAAGCTCCTTATTTACACAGGTTCCTTTGAAATAAATACATTTTAATTTATTTGATGAAATGTCACAATCAACTTAAGATGTTGGACTTGAAATATCTTTACAATCAAAATCTCTACATTTTGAGTCTCCGGCTGTAAAAGTACATTTCTTACCAGTGGCATTTATTTTACTATTACAATAAGTTGATCTAGCTGCATCGCCATCTGGCACAGTATATGAATCACAGTTTCCTGCAGCTACGCAAGCTGTTTAAGTTGTTGCATGGAATTCATCATATGTGCAGAATACACTTGCTCCATCTTATGAAAAAACTTAGCAATAAGCTGTTTTTGCACTACCTGCCAAACTTGCAACGTCACTAAAAGGAACTTTAGCTAAGCTAGCACAGTCTCCTGCACCAGTAACAACACCTTTTGGTGTTCTGCATTTATTAGCTGAGAATACACATCCAATTAAATGTATATCACAATCTCCTTAACTAGCTGCACCTGTAATGTCTTCACAAGTACCATCTTTACATTTTGCATTATCATCTTTGATACAATATTTCGTTTTATTTTTAATTGATTGTGTAATACAAAATGTATCGGTTGTTTTAGCTGCTCCATCAAAATTAGATCCAGACCAAGAAGTAGCTATTGCAACAGAAGCACAAGCAGTAACTGTTCCAGCTTGGCAACCTGAGCCATCAGGTTTTATTTCGCAATATGCATCTCCAGTTTTGAAAATTGACTTACAATAAATAGCCTTTTTTGTATCTGTGTCTAAATCAGCTGGGAAACTTGTTGGACAAGCGGCAACTGATGCATAACATTTTCCGGAATAATAATAACATCCTGCTGTTTTGCTGTCGCAATCTTTCTAACTTGTAGCTGAGGTGATAGCAGAGCAAGCCAATGCTGCACATGTATTACCAGTTGACCATGTACATCCAGTATATGTAGCAGTTCCTGCACCAAAATTACTTATATTATTAACAACTTTCAACGATTCGCAAGCAGTCTTTTTATTAGCATCACTTAGTGATGAATCTAAGGTGTAACTTGTACAAGCAGCAACAGTTGATAAGCAACCTGTATTACTCGCTTTTTAGCATATTCCACTACCATAAGCTAAAACATCATTACAGGCTTAAGCAGTTGTTTAAGAAACTACTTTTTCACAAGTACTCTATTAAGTACAAGTTGCTTCTCCAGTTTTGAATGAACAAAATACTCCATCTGTATTCACATATTTCTAACATTGTGTTAATTTTTTAGCATCTGTATCAATTCCAGTGGGGAATGCATAGGTGCAATCTGATTTATTTGGTAAATAACAAAATGTTCCTGCTAATTTGCATGTATCAGTTGATGCAGCACTTGAAACACCCTTTTATAAATAAGCAACGCATGTTAATGATGTAGTAAATGTGCTCAAGAATTAATCACAAGTTCTAACCGCACACTTTGTTCCTGAGGCCCAACCACAAACATACCCAGTGCTATCTTTGATAGTTGTACAATAATCAAACTTTTATTAATCAGATGTGGCAGTATCAGGGGTAGAGTAACTAGTACAAACACCTGCATCAATGCATGGAGATCCAGCCTTTAAGAATCTACAAGTTGATTATATAATCTGTGCAATCAGAAGCTTACTAAGGACTTGCTTTGTCTGAACATACTCTATCTGCACAGGTATCGTATCTTGTGCACCCAACTTTTGTCCAAGATGGAGATAATCCACCGCTAAAATTGGGACAAGTAGCAACAGTTCCTTATTACGCAGAACACACTCTTGCAGATTTAGCAGCACAACCTCCTTCAGATTTTGCTATACATCCTGTCAAGAAAGCCTCACAATCTTCGTCTTTTGTGGCTGTTGTATTATCTGTGCAAGCTCTAGTTGTGCAAGCACCTGATGTTGATGTTCCAAAGCAATATTTTGAACTATTGCTTCCTACAATTGCTGACTCACAGAATGCAGCAACACCTGTGTAACTTCCACAAGTTGTGTCTCCAGCTTTAGGATCGACACAACCTCCATTGCCATTATAGACACAACCATCTAAAAATGATCCACATGAACCATCAGTCTAGTTTTCTGCCAATTTGCATGTTTTAACTTTGCAAAAATCACTATCAGTTGCACTTGCACTATTGTAGCATTAATTTGTTGTAAAGTTAGTACTTGATCCGTTCTTATAAGCAAATAGTTTATTGCAATTTTCCTAAGTTCCTTTCATTGATGAGCATGGAGTATTGTAATCAACACAACCTTTTCCACTACTAATACATCCAGGTAAGAAAGTAGCACATGTAGCATTATCTGTTGCATCTGTATTATCTGCGCATTTTCTTGACACACAAGGAGTTGTATCTGTTGCTGAGGCGACATTGGTACAGTATCCTGGATAACTCAAACATGTAGATTATGTTCCAACAAGTTTGCCACAGTCATATTTGGTTATGCAAGCATCAACTCTATTACTAATACATGTTGATAGTTCTGCTGCACAATTTGCATCAGTGTTGTAATAGGCTCCGGTTAAATCTGAACAAGCCAAATCTTTGCAAGCATTATTCAACCAACCACATTTTCCTGTTACATAAATGTATAATGGATTTCCGTTTTCATCATTTTTATCGAATGTTTTAATTCTTGCTTAATTTGCTAAACAAATTGATTTTTTCTTAAAATCAGAGCATTATGTATTACTAGTACATATTGGTTACCATGAGCAATTATTTGTACCTTCACAACTTTATTATTTGACAGTTGCATCACATGTAGTTTATGAAACACATCCAGATCCAGTTGTAACACAATTAGTGAAATAATTAGCACAAAGTGGGTTGGTATTTACATTACTTGCTGCAGAAGCACAATCTCTAGCGACACATTTGGTTCCACTCTTCCATGTACATTTTCCTTCAGTTCCTACTCTAGATTAGCAACTTGTGGTATCTCCATCATAAGTAGTACAAGATTTCAAGTTAGTCTTTGTAACACATCCTTTTCCTGTAGTAACACATCCAACTTAATATTTGGCACATGCATCGTCTGTTGTAGTTGTATCTGGAGCTTCGTCACAAACCTTTGGTGCACAAGCAGCTTCAGTAGTTGTACTTGTTCCTTTGCAATATCCATCAGTACCAATATAGACGGCACAAGTGGTGGGCAGTTCCTTTATATGTATTACAAGCTGATAAAGCTGACACACATGCTTTTCCGTTTGTTTTACAACTGCTTTAATATTATTTGCAAAGATCATCAGTATTGAATGCACCATTTTCACATTTTCTTGCTCTACATTTAGAACCTCCAGCATCACCTTCACAAACTCCATCTGATCCAATATATCCAACACATGTAGTGTTATCACCTGAATAGGTTGAACATAATGGTTTTGTTGTTGCCAAAAACACATCCTTTTTCCTGTAGTGATACATCCTCTTTAATAGGCCTTACAGTCATCATCAGAAGCTAATGATGTTGGTGCATTTGCACATTCCTTTGCTTTACAGTTAGTTGTTCCGGTTGCTAATTCACAATTTCCATCTGATCCAATGAATGATTAACAAGCAGCATCATCTCCAGTGTATGTAGCACATGCAGGTCTTGGAGCATTAACACAACCTTAACCTTTAGTCACACAACCAGCTAACCAGCTTGAACATTTAGCATCAGTATTTAAGGTAACATCAGCCTCTGAGCAAGCATAATCTCTGCAAGCTCCAGCAGTTGTATCCCATTTACATTTCAAAATTCCTGAGATACTTGGAGTAGACTCACATTATTATTATGTGTAAGCTTTACACTCTTTAGCCTCAATACATGAATTTCCGTCACTAACACAAAAATAAGATATAGCTTAGCAATCTGTTGTCGTAGTTTTAACATATGCTGGGCATCCAGTAAAATGAGTACATTTGGATTCAACGTAAGCACATCCCAAAGTTTTAGCACAGTTGGTTTCAGGCTTATCAACAAGTTCGCAATAAGGTTTGAATGAAGCAACTGGATCAACTGTTGTTTTCTTTTAGCATTTTGCTGCTGTTGTTCCTGAAGCAGCTACCCATTCACAAGCTCCTGTTACTGAAACTTCTTATTCACAATCATTCTGTGATTTTAGTTATCCACAATCATTACATCTGTTTGTGTATTAAACTTGCTATGCTAAGACCATAGCTAATAAGCAAATGAGGAATAAATTCTTCATTAAAAGTATTGATATAACTTTTATAATTAAGGCTGATTAAATAGTTTTTTAGATATTAATTTTATTTAAATTTAGAAAGATGTAATTTTTTTATTTTTATAATTCTATAGAATTCAATTTTCAAATTAATTCTGATAATTAATATTAATATTTAAATTCTCAAAACAGGTTCTGAACATTAGATGTGATTGATGTTCATGAAAATAACTTAGATACCCAATCAACCAATTATTATATCAAAATATAAATGCTATGAACGAAATTAGATGAGATTCTGTAGACTAATTATTGATAGAACTAACATAATTTAGGGAGAAAGAAAAAATAAGTTAGTAGCATGTGTCTTCCTTGGTTTTCTTTCTTATCACACCAGGATTAGAACAAAAAATACTAAATTCAAGAGAATTGAGGAAATCAACAATTTTTAATAAATGCCAATTATGAATAAATAGTAAAAGAGCAGAGAAGATTTTATACTAAAATGAAAGACCTTAGGCTTAAGATAGAAACCTGAAAATTTTATAAGAAGTATTTACAACACTTAAAACAATTTTTTTAATTCTATCTGTTATTTAATTACGTGATGATATTACAAAAGCTGCATCTTAATATAGTTTTTGATGTTGGAGTCTATTATATGAATAAACAGTCATTTAAGCATCTAATCTAATATTATTAAGTTAAATTATAAATATCCATGCATAATCAAAATTAGAAATAAAATGTTTTTAATATTATTTATAAATATTGTAATTATTGTTAGCCGAAAGATACGAGTACACAATTATGCCTGATATCACTTCAACAAGGAAGGATAGCCCAAAAAAATATCAAAAATTAATCATCAAGTTCGAAACATCAATCAAAAATTTTATAGTCCTATAAATCATTAGAATTGAGTTTTTAATGAAGAAACTTGATTTCAATTTCCATAATTATTGGTTTAGAGTTAAAAGAATTATAATATGTATAAATTCGTTTTATTTTTTTCCTTACATAAATAATAATTATTATATTTTTCCTTCTTTAATAGCAATCATACTAATAATTCTTTTGTATTTTCTTCTAACCGTATTATTTTCAGCTTATACTTATAATAGGAATTTCAGAAAATTCATTTTGTTTCTAATTTGAATTATTTTATTAAGTGTAATTAAATTATATTTAAATTAATTAAATTTGCATGACCCATTTACTTTATATAGTGAAATTAAAGAGTCTGAATTAAAGACGATAAGATAGTCTCTAAAAAGGCAGGAAGAGTTAGAATCAATTATTCATTCAATTATTGGGAATAAAATCAAATAAAAGACGATTATCCAAAGGTCAGAAAGAAAATTAAAAATGGATTATTTCAATTAGATTTTTGGTTAATATTGCAAGGAGAGTTTATAAAACTGAATATCTATAATAATATTCGCACATTATCTCTGATACCTCAATTCAGAGTTTAGTTTACAAGATTATAATAATCTGTTTGTTAATATATAATCAACAAATCCCCAATAGTTAGCCAACCATCCAAATATGCATATTCTAAACCTTCTTTGATTAGATGAAAATTATCTTCATTTATCATACTAAGTTAATTACGTTATTGAGTATATCGATTTCTGTGGTTTCATCAACTTTTATTTGACATTTTTATATTGATTACAACTCAGAATTGAACGAGATCATTTATGATCTATTATTTGAAATCAATAGAGTTATTTTAAATAATTTCTAATTTTTAACAACCAGATTTTTAGTTTGATCTTTTGTTTTTAGAATTAATTATTTTATGTTATCATTGAAAATTATTTCAACAATATAGTAAAGCATTCCACCACCCCGAATATAATAATTATAAAAAAATCAATTCAAAGAGATGTATTTTTAGACTATTTTTCTTATTTCTAATATAAACTATAGACCCCATTTTAATTTAAATGAGTACCAATTATACAATATTGAATGGCCAATAACATTATCAATATATATGAATGATATTAATTCAACTAAATACCGGCTTAATCTAGATGGGACCATATTTTACAATTCTAAAGCAAGTTTAATATTTGCTTAAATTGGTGCTTTATTGGGTTTCATATTGCTTTAGACATATTAATTCACTTATAGAAACCAACAGAAAAAGACCTTAAGAATCTTAGAAGCTAAATTGTTTTAGCATCAAGATGAATTCTTGCTTTAAATGTTGATTGTTATTATCTACATAAGTGTACAACATAATCTGAAAAAATGCTTTAATATGATCTTTTTCTGGATTCAGTCTTAATGGAGGCCCAGTTGTTACTCTACCTTTGTTGTTCTTGATTTAACACATCTACTAGAACTCAATATCCAGGAGGAGCTATATCATCATACTCTATGTATCTGCATATGGATGCAATGTTAATTTTGTTTGTATTGTAACTTAAAATAATTGAAGATTGTAAGAAGCCTGACCCAATGAAATGGAAACTCTACCTTTAGACAGTGCAACAAATTTATAAGTGCTGCTAGTAAATGCTAGGATTAAAAGAACCCTTACTATGAAAAATGGAGATCTCAATTTATGATGTGCAGGAAAAGGTAAATGTTACAGAACAATGCTAAGAAATTATAATTAGAAATTGTATATATGTTGGCTGCAAACTTTGCTGCTCAACCTCTCCCTTTGTTTTAAGTATCATAACAATCATTACCAACATTAAAAGTGTCTTGGAGGCCACAATATTAACAATAGTGATTTGTCAATTGAATAGTAATACAGCATTTTTTCAAAAACAGTTGTAGCTGGCAACCGCAAACATTACTATTCAAATGGATAACCAGAATACTGTGCAACAGAGTTATGTGAATTTGTAGAGTATTCTTAACCTTATGTAAATGTTAATAGGATCACGCGAAGTATCTTAAAAGTAGGACAGAATACAAAAATTTCAACCAATAACATGTATTCTTAAATCCATCAGTAAATGTTTACGTTAAAGTACTTCAATTTGCTAACCGAACTTAATTTCCTTATCAAAATTTGAACTACTAATATATTTTAATACGTGCAGTTAAATTTGTTCCCTCTTAGCATTTTATGTATTATACCTGAGCTTCTACATCATAACTTGATTACATTATTGCATAAAGGTAGCGATGCATCATTTACAATTTTTACCATAAGAAACTTCTGCTAACTATTAAAAGAACAAAATGCATACGAACTGGAATAACTAATTGTAGAGGATGTACAAATTAATTTAGGATGTTGGTGTTCTGAGATGATTTATTGTATTCAAGATAAATAACTTGTCCTGTCAGAACATGTTATGTAATTACAGCAGATGATTTTGGTTTCGAATAAAATATAGGAAGAAAATTTATCATATTCAGTATCAGTACTTGGATCAAAAGTTCTCCTCTCTACCTACAAGTTACTCTAAGTACCAAAAATATGAGCTTTTTTTCAACAACTTAAAGTATAGAATTGTAAGGGCTGAGTTAAGTTTGATAAACCTGTACGAGCCCTATAAGAAAGTAATTAATAAGGATATTTTGTCCGAGCTACTCTATATATAATAGGAAAGGGTAACTCTAATACATAATTCCACTGTTAAGTCCAAAGAATGTTTAACTTATTGGAGTTCAAAAAGTAATAGACAACGAGCTAAAACGCCTTAATTCTTTATAAAATCTGACACAGATGTAATATATCCAGAGCAACTTCGAATACTACCAGTAGCATTTGGAGATATGAATGAGAGATGGGAGGCAAATGTTTAAACTATTTTAATATCAGCTCTACACAAAAAATAGTGATTTGAGATATTAGAGCTTTTGTTATATGTAGTCATTAGGCAGATCTCAAGACAATTCAGCACATTAAGTGCATATGAGGGGAAATCGTTTGAAGAATGTTCCCAGGATTTACAGAGTCAGCCATGAAAAATAAACAAAAGTATTTTACGAGTTCTGATCACAATTTCAAGATATATTTTATAATAATTATTCAATCAACCTGCCCAAATATTGAAAAGTAAGCATGGAGAAATGTTGGGTCGCATATTTTTAAATCTGAATAATATTTTAAGGGCTTCCTATTTTAACTATGAATTTGTATCCATTTGCCCATCTAAAACGATAAGCACCCAATCTATCTTTACAAACCTCGCGTTTTTCACACCTTGTTAACCCATTATTCTGTCTTATAAAAGGAGATTATCATTAATTTATTCTGTTACTTTCAATATCAGTTAGATTGAGGTAATTTTAGTTATACACTCTCGAATAGATGCCTTTGTCATCTGTTACTTGATTTTCGTTTGAAAATATAGCCAAAAACTAATTTGTCATAAAAATTTAGAGAATTGCAAATGGATGTAATACAAATTGAGATGAAAGAAATTAAGCTATGATCAATTTGAAGAAGGCATTTGAAGTTCTCCCAATATATGTATTATGTATTTATAACAGATAAGGTTCTTCATCAACTAGAAATCCATCCTGGATATCACACATGTTGTATGTCTTTTCTACTTATCTATCAGCATAATCAATTCAGTTAACAATGTATTAAAGTTTGAGTTGTCACTTTTATAATTTATATGAACACCTAATTTTAACAAAGTTTGATTTACAGAAAGTTTCAAGAAAATTATAGAGTAGGATTGCATTTTTTGAAATTAAGCAGGGTTGCAAAATGCAGTTATATTTTCTATGCTTGCCACTTATTTATGTATCATTTTAATGGTTTTGATTTTAAATATTGAGTATTTTTTGATACCACCAACATTTTGAATTTTTAAAGCTATTAAATCTGAGAGTCTCCCGAGTATAACATTTATCATACTCTCAGTATTTCAAGTTATTTAATTTTAAACTTCTTAGTCATTAAAATTCATTGTCTACTTAAACTTCAGTTCAAATAGTAACTATTACATTTTTCTTCTCGTTACCCAAATGACATTATCTGATTGAATAATATCATACTTGAAATACTACAAAAAAATATGAATCCCTTAAAATAATTCCAAAAAACAATAAAATAATTACAATTTTTAAGATTTTAGAGTCTACTGTATTTAAAATTTCATCCTTCTTTTTTTCATAAAACAAGAATGCAAAAGAATTGTATCTGCGGTTGATTTTTTAATCATATGAAATATTGATGATATTTACCATCTAATTATTTAAAACTGAATAATGTTAATATAGATAATATATTTAATACATTTTTAATAAATCAAAAGGAATTGAAAGTGAAACTATTATTATAAGACATATAAATCATTTTGGTTTGGTTATTGCTGACCAAAAAAGTTTGATGATTTAAATTCGCTTTATAATTATTATCTTTAGCTTAATGAAATAATTATTCAAATAATTACATAAAATTAAATACTTTAGAAGATTTGTGTATAAGTATTGTGATTCAACAATATATTCCTGAATAATTCATTTAATTCTTTTTCTAATCGTTTTTGCTATTAATTAATATAAAGTTAACTCCAAAGTTTTTCTGTAAAGCTACTTGGATAAAAATAGAAGTATTTACTTCCTTCCTTTTTCTTTGATAAATAACTCTTCGAATTATATTTTACTTCATAAACTAAAACAAAAGTGTGAGACTTAATAAATCAAAATTATGTAAACTTTATAATCATATATCGTTCGAAAAACATCACATATACGGAGGGGGATTGAAATAACTAGCCATCTACTAGAAATATGGATAATTTTCGCCACTTAAAATAAAAGAATAATAATATAAACAAACTCAAAAATTTTAGTGAACAATTTTCTTCCAAAAGGAATAAAATCATGTAAACCTGTTACCCAATAAAGCTTCTAAGAATATTTATCTAATATTTTCAGAAGTTTGCGTTTAGAAATTAAATTGATCATACAACTCCTAATATCGAAAATCCCCTATTCAAATTAGAATCTTCAAATCAGTATAACTTAAAAGAAAAATGAGACTTTCTTTTGATGTTTAAGACATTTTCACCGTTATTCTTTTATTCATTATTCACCTAAGCTTGTCTCCGAGAAGCGATTAAAACTTCCTTAACCGATTCCTCACCTAAAGTTTTCTTTTTATCTTATCCCTTTATACTAAATAATGAGATGAATATCAATTGATAGTTTATTAGCTTTTTTAAATTATTAAATATATAAATCATATATAAGATCTCATTAAAGTATGTTGTAATTATAATCAGTCCAATTCTTTCAAATTAAGAGTAGTTCCCGAATGGATTTTTGTATATTCTAGTAATTTATATCAACTTCTTTATTAATCAAGGGTGATTTTTGAATGATCATTATGTATTTTATAAAGTAATTATTTATTTAACATATTAGAGATTGTTTCTACAAGCACTTTTAAATTAATATTCTATTTCATTTTCAATGGATTTATTGAAAAAGTTTAAACAAATAAAAGAGTTATAACTGAAAATGTATGAGTTTTATAAATTCCTCTCAATATGATTGATATAAAGATATTGATTTCCCTTTTAATGGGAAAGTTTATTTGTTAAATGTCTAACTTTTAAGTGCTAGAGCTTAATAATTTCTTATCTTAAATGTATGACATAAGGATAATAGGATATTTTCCATAATATCAAACAATGAATTAATTTCAATTGTTGAATGGAAAAAATGATTGTCTATGGTTAGTATTATATATGAAATGATATTCTAATTCTATAACAATGAACCTAATAATAATTTTATAATGATTGCAAAATAATCATTTGTTAATAACAATGTATAAACCATAGATGATAGAAAATGAGAAGGATGTTGATTGTTCCATGAAACATTAAACTCCAATTAGTATGGTAGTTCTAGATCCTAAAGTTGAAAAAAATAAAAGATTCTTATGCCAAAAATGTCTTGATTATTTTGAATCTGATGTGAAGATGATTGGATTTAAGAAACTTATCTAAATAATCGAGGAGAATAAGAAAAAATAATTAGAACATTTGGAAAATGCAATTAAACCAATGATATAAAAAGTGTAGTTATTTTAAGGTCATATCCATAATTTGAAGTCATATATTGTTTCATAATTAGATCAATTGATTGATAGCACACAAGATTGGATAACAAATTTATAATCTATAGGGTTAAAGTATTCAGATTATAGTCTCTATCAAGAATTAGATTTCATGATTATGAATTAAGATTCAACTGAAAATGAATAGATTAATTAAGTAAATTAAATTAGATTATTAAATGATTCTTGGTCCGTGAAAATTAATAATAAATTATATTCATTCACATAATTTTAAGAATATCAAAAATGCCAACAAATTTTAGAAGAATTATCATCTCAATTATTATAGAAATTCAATTTAAATTAAATTAAATAAGAAAATCAAGAAAATACATCATTAGTAAGTAATAAGATATAATAATAATTAAATCCATATCGATCGTAATTAATGAACAATTCAGTTGAAGAAGATGAACTCTGTAAAACAATAGTATTCGACCCAACAGGGAAGATTATGATTTCTGCTAGTTCAAAGAACATTAAAATATGGAGTTTTGAAAATGCAAACATCAAATTAATACAAACACTTCAAGGACATTAAAAGAACATTAACTGTCTCGTCTTTAGTTAAATTGAACAGTATTTTATTTCTGGATCAGAAGATCATTCCATTATATTTTGGAAATGTTCAAATAATAATGGATGGTAAAGTTCTCAACCATATTGTGAACATAAGGGTATCGTATATTGTCTTATCTTAACATAAATTGAGAATTAATTAATCTCAGGTAGTGAAGATAAAACAATTAAAGTATGGATGATAGATTATAAAAACCATAAATTATAATTCCTTTATGCTTTATAGAAACATAATAAACCGATTTTGTCATTAAGTTTAAATGAATCGGAAAGAGTTTTAGCTTCAGGAGTGTAAGATTCAATTATAATTTGGTAGAAAGGAGCAAATAATTAATGGGTATTTTCGTATGATATTAATTTGTCGAAACAATAATTTGGGAAGCATATTAAATTTATAGGTGAAGAGTAATTCTTATGGCTAAATGACAGCAGTAATAGTCTCTGTGTATTTGAAATTCAAGATGGCTTTTATTAAGAAATTATACAAAAGAGAGTATTATTAAAGAAAATTTATGAAGGCTATGGAAACATTCCACTTTTCCCAATAATTTATAATAAACTTAAGAATTTAATATGCTTAAGACATTAATTAGACATATACATAATTAACATATAATATAATGATTAATTGTCAATTATTGAGGAATTAAATTGCAATGACTTTATGATATATGGAACAATAACAAATGATGGATAACATTTAATATTTTGGAGTAATACTAAAAAGAAATACCAAATACATGAGATATAATATAAATGATTTTAGTTTGTTAGAATTTGTATAATATATAGAAAAATTGTGTATACTCTCTAATTATTGCCAAGATTTCTTTATTTGTTTCAATATTATGAGAAATAATATTAATGATTCTCTTAAAATTGCTACCTTTTGAGAGAGTTTTGTAACAAAAAATTACTAGTATTTTTGTTATTCAATTTATAAGTCAACGCTTAATATCATTCCTCTATTATAATTAATTAAAGTCTCAATAATCATAATTAATTTGAAAATATTTTTTATTGAAATTAATATTCTCATTATTAAATAAATACTCACAATATAATGTTATTCTAAGAAAAATCTAAAATAAAACGAACATCCCATTGTACTATCGTTATTTATTGTTATTCAAACCTTTTTCATTCTAGTGAGATTAGAGAAAGGTCAAAATAATATGCTTTATGAATTTATATTCCATCAATTTATATGCAATAGGAAAAATACTGAGTTTACGAAACTAATAATTAATTTAATTAGAATTATTATAATTTTGTTCTAAATCATTTACTCTCGAGTTAATTAATTTGTGCTAGAATTTTAACATCTTTTAATTTTGCAAAATCAAAATCTTTTGAATATTTTAAGTTTTTCTAATAATTAAATCAAAATTAATGATATATGTATTTGCATATTAAATTGTAAAATGGCAATTAACTGACCTTATTAATGGCACTAAAAGATTCTAGAATGTTAGAAATTTTTTCAAATTAGATTGAAAAGATTCATACCCTTTTAAGAACTAAATTATCATAATTATAATATTCTTTAAACCATTTTTCATAAGGGAATGCATTTGCAAATCACAAAACTGTAAAATTATATTAAATTTTATAAAAATATCACTACACTTTATATTTTAGGTTTTATACTCCAGGATAACACATTTTGCTCACTCTTTAATTAATAAAATTCCTTTAATATAACAAATGAAAATAATTGTAATTGTGGAATGCAATTAAATTTGTTTAATTATAAGATAGTTAATTTTTGAGAAAATATTAAACTAGATAATTTTCTGATTTCCAATAATAAAATTAGAAACTTGATAGTTTTCATTGTATTTGTAATAATGATGTTGCGTAAATTTTAGAATTGTTTGATATCATCAAATTGCAATTAACTATCTAGTCTGTATAGCTTTTGATTCATCATCCCAGGTAATAATATATTCTCCATCTCTGCTGACGGTTCCAAATATCCAATGTTAGTCAAAATTTATTGTTTATACTAATCTACATTCCCAATCTGCCAGAGTTTAATTCGATTAGGTAAATCTTATCAAATTGATGTAATATCCATTTTTGGATAGGATCATTTATTTAGAAGGAATATACAGCTACGGAAAATAAGCCCTGCAGTATTGGCCTTTTCCTTTAATGGGAACATTACCAGTTCTAACATACAAATCAGTAGAGACATCGAATTAATATAGATCGAGGTTGCTTGATCCTCTTTAATCTTTATGTGGTTAAGATGCAAAAGAATCATTGTTAATGAAGCTCAATCTGAATCCGCCATTCTCTACATACACTTTTTATTTTACAATCCACTAATGTTTGTTTGTACGTTCAATTATTAAGATTAGCTTATCTTCTCCACAAGAGATTAATTTATTTTCATCTTCATTAATTGATAATCCCCAAACGGTGCTTGTATGTTCTGTGATTGTCTAAGATTAAAACCAACAGTATGGGGAGACAGTTTATGATGTGGAGTAGGACCAAAATTTGATGGAGTGATCATGAGATCCACTAATTACTAGATCTTCTGAAGAAAGTACTGCAAGACACCTAACAAAATGATATTTTTCTTATAATTTAGTTATATATTTTGGTGTGGATGTTAGATTCATGGGCCATATGATAATAGATGAATCGAATGATCCAGCAATGAAGTTTGAATTATGTTCAAAAAAATTTAATGTGGAGATAGCTTCAGAAGCCTTTTTAATCTGAGTAAGTTTTTTCAAAAATGCTTTTTAGAATTGGAATATTTAAATATCATTATCTGTTGCCCACAGTTAAAAGGGTGTTATTAGGGTTAATTGATATGGCCAAACAACATTAGGATTATTTTTATTTATATGAAGATGTAAGTTCATAATTAAAGGATTTTTCAACCTAGGTTTCTGAAATATTTTGAGATTTTGAAGTAGATTATCCCATTTGTCTTTGAAAGAATTGTATATTATTGGATTATATTTAAATATATAAAAATATATTTTTATGATAACTCAATATTTGGTTAGAATCACAACATTAGATCATATTATCCTAGATAAATATAATGAATAAGTTTTAATTAATAAAATGTTGAATTTTGAATATTTAGTTTTTTACTTAAGATTATATCTAGGTTGTGATTTAAGACTGTATCTATGTTTTTATTTACTAATCTATCATTAGATTAAATTAATTTAAAGGCTTATTAAATAATTCTTCATTATTATTTTAAGCTCCTTGTCTAATTGATCCAATAGAAATATCTAAAATGATTTTGCAAATTTTAATTTTAACCTTAAAAATTCCATTTATAGTTTACTCTTAATAATGCTGCTGTTTTTGTATTTGGACAATAGCACATCTTCTTTTGTAATTTGGTGAAATAGAGAAACAAAAGGAATAAGATATTCAATCTTGAGATAACATGGGAGTAGCAGAAAAAGGAAGTAACTTCAAAAAAAAACAATCCAAACCGTGCTTATATAATTCGATTAAGGATATAAGAAAATTTTCAGAAGTGTCAAAAGTGTTTTGCTGATCATTAATATTCAATAATTAATTGAATAATAAACCTATTCATATTTTTTTAAAGCTATTCTTATGAGCTCTTTGATTTAGGTAAGATTAAGGACCTACTTATGATACATAATTATAAATACCCTTAATCCTTACACTATTATTTGATACTTGAATCTAATAAAAAAAATTCCTTGTGTTAATAGGTTAGTAATTATTTTAATTCCTTATTTTTTAAAATTTCAATTAGATAATCATACAATTTTGGTTAGTCAATTTTAATTGTATTTTCAAATTTCATTTCTCACTTTTGTCTTTTATTTTTCAATTTCTTATAATTTTCAGTATCAGTAGGGATTAGCCAACGAGAAGACTATCCTCAAAAACATTAAGCAGTTTTGCCAAGTTACAACCTTAAGAAAAATATAGATAATACCTAACTCCATGTTTCCTTTAATTGTACTGTTTCCTGGAAAAAGGGTTTACAGATTAATGAATTCGTAAATACACTCTAAACTATATTTTATATTTAATATATACGCCATTCTCAATATTCTGCATAACTCAAAAGCCTAGTAGATTTTACTACTGGACACTTGTGTTCGATTACAGATAGGATCTTACAAATCTTCTCCAGATTGCTTTACTAATCATTATGTTATTGTTGTTTGAAATTTAACAAAACTCTATTACTCTGTTCTACAAATTAACATATTAATAACTTCCTTATTAGTAAAATATGTTAATTAAATTGTAAAGAAAAAATTGTATTAATTGTTGTAAAAACCCTTCAGAAGAAGAGGGAAATTAATTAATGATTTTAAATTTTGTTTATAATATTTAGAATAGTATTTTTTCATCAAATAAAATGAACCAATCGTACCTCAAAACTGTAATAATTATATTATTGAATTATCATAAGGTTAAAGTACTATAATCATTTATCTATAATTGGGATTTTTATATAAGTTTAATACAATATGTCAGAAACTTTCTATCAGCTATTAATTTTCAGGTCAAATCATTTCAATAAATTTTGTTAACCTATTTCAGATTCTATTGATAATAATGTAGGGAATTGATGATTAAATGGGATAATTTAAAGAAATTTCGTTGAATTGGATTTTCTCTTTATTTTTAGGTGAATAAATGTTGTAAAAACTAGATAATAAAAATATACTATTGATATTGATAAATTAGCATTAATAATTTGAAGCTATTTCCAGTGTTTCTTAATTCATTCATAATAGAGAGTAAACTCATGATCTTTCTGGAGAGTAAGAGAACTTTAATTGGCCAAAAATTCTGCATATTTTTTTAGTTTATTAAAATTACAAATTGTTTATGCAAATTAATCAAGTTAGAAAGTATATTTTATGTTTATTAGTATGATGCTCATTTGAATCACGAATGAAAACTGATATCATTAGTAATTATTGTGATAGAAGCAAAAATTTAGTATTCTCAATTTTTCTTAGATTAATTGGAAAAGTAATATAGATCAATTTTTTTCTGATAGCTTAACTACTCGCACTGAAAAACAATTATTGAAATTAAGGCATTTCAAAATAAGGAGATCTATTAGAACTGTCTTGAAGATGATTTATTTTATTATTTCATCTAATTCATATTTATAATATAAAAAATGATCACAATCTCTATATTAATTATGACTTTCTAACTTATAGGGGCAAAATTGATATCAGCAGAAGATTATAACTTAATTAATGATAGTAATAAACAAATTTCTACTTAGATTGGTGTGTTTTAAGAGGAAATAAAGTGACTAATAATAATTATTTAGGAGAAGGTTATCTTGGAGGATTAAATGCGTTCAAATAGGATACATTACTACAAAATTATTATAATCTGCCGCCTCATTCTTAAGTAACTATTTAGATAAAAGCAATATTCTCTTGTATATAATCTTTTCATGCTTACTTGGATGACGCAATATAAACGATTGATAACAGTTCGTTTTCCACATCTTAACCTTCTTATTTAGTAGTAGCTAGCTACTTTCACTCCAGCAAATCTGCATTTTTTTCTCTGAATGTTACTGAGGATACAAGATGTCCTAATAATGATATATGGTGGGGTGTTTTTGCAATAGAAATCCAAGTTTAAGATTGTTAAGAAAATAATGATTATTGTTAACCAGGATCAAATATTTTATGGAAAATCCTAAATTCAAACCTGAATTTCAAACCTATGGATTGGAATTATCAAGGAGGACCTGGGTCAATTAACTCGTACACTTTTACTTTTAGTGGTATAATAAAATATAAACTAATTTAGATTTTTAGATAGAATCTCTTCATTATAGTAATATCAAGCTTTAAAAATATTTCCAAATACCATATCCAACTAAAGTCAAATTCAAATTCAAGCTCCTTTTTTACAATATTCCCTCTTCAATAAAAATACACATAAATGATCTTATAGTAGGGCCAATAATTAAATGTTTTTAATACAATTTTGGTTGCAATAATGGTGGCTCTCAGATGATTTACAACTTAGAAATAGATATTCACCAGCATAAAAGTGATATATTATCTTTCGTTATACTGTTGTAAGAAAATTCTGGGAGTAATTAGGTAAGTATATTTGATTTCGTTGTATATTATTAAGAATAATACATTGTACAGCTTCCAAGTTTGGGATGCCTAAATTGGATAGGATCATAATGTGTTTCTTGCGAATAAGATTGGTAATACGATGGTTTGAATTAATGCAGCCCAATTTGTGGTAACGGAATAATATAAGGATATGAAGAATGTGATGATGGAAATGGAACTTCTAATGATAGTTGTTATAACTGTAAATTTCAATGTTCGCTAGGTTGCTTAAAATGTAAATTTGGGGAATGTTTATAATGGTCCGATTCTTATAATCTAGATTAGTATAATACTATTTCAAAGATATAAGATTGTAGCCATGCTTAGGGTTACTATTTTGATTACTTATTAAATGAGTGTTTATCTATCTGTGGTGATGGTATTATAACATTAAAAGAGGAATGTGATGATGGTAATACCTTATTAAATGACGGATGTTATAATTGTTAATTGATATGTTCTGATAACTGTTTAGATTGTTAATTTGGAAAATGTTATCAATGTAATTAAGGATATAAAATAAAATAATTCAAATGTATTTCAGATTGTGGAGATCAAATAACTAATATTGATGAAACATGTGACGATGGAAATAACATTAGATTTGATGGATGCCATCAATGTTAAAGCAGCTGCTAATTATAATGCATGGACTGTTAAAATTTTTACTGCATTAAATGTTTATAAGGTTGGAATCTAATTAACGGTAAATGCGAAGAACAATGTGGAGATGGGCAAGTGGCTCTAATGTCTAATGAATAATGTGATGATCCCACTAATACCAAGTGCATTGATTGTTTATTTTAATAATGTCAAGATAATTGCCTAGTATGTAATTAACATCAGTGTGTCACTTGCTTTTTTCCATATCAATTGATCAATGGTGTTTGTTAACCCATATGTGGTGATTCGATTGTTACAATTGAATTCGAGCAATGCGACGATGGTAATGATATCCCTTTTGATGGATGTCATTAATGTCAGTATTCTTGCTAATATGGATGTTAATAATGCGAACAGGACAATATTTGTACATAGTGTGAATAAAATTTATTTTATATGGATATCTAAACTGGTAAGTGTAAAGAAATTGTTAAATTAACAGATAATGAAATGTTTTCATTGAATGAGACTAATAATCAAACTATTTAATGCAATCCAAATTATTTATTAATTGAAAATACTTGTGTTAATTAATGTGGAAATGGAATGCTAAGTAGCCCTTATGAAGAATGCGATGATGGTAATAACTATGGAGGTGATGGTTGTTCTTCGTTATGCAATCTTGAAAATTTCTTTTAATGTCAAAATGGCGAAAACTTATTATCAATATGCTCGTTTATACAACCCCCTGATTTCAACTTAAATAGTCTTTCTGATAAAAAAAATCAAATTTAAATTGTTGAATTCACTTTCACTCAATAAGTTAAATTAAATTCTCCATCTAATTTAGAAGACATTGCAATTCTCAGGATAACTCCATAAGTGCAACATGATCTAAGTATCATTCCTAAAGAAAATCTGACAACTTATTTGAATAACCCTGCATATCAGATCATTATTTAATTTTATAACTCTATAGAAAATCCAAAGCTGGAGATTGAGATTTCTAAATTTGTCATAACTAATTAGTTTGATTTAGAATTATTAAACTTTAATAAGATTATAAATCTGGGTACTCCTTTTGTAATGTCAAAATCAACAAAACAATAGGTAACGTCAGTTGTAAAATTCAATGATGCTATGATTTATTCTATGGTAAGCATTGCAGGTTTAGCTATGGTAACAGGAAACGTGTTGATGCTTCTGAATCTTTTAGAACTGTTGTAATCTTTATCATATATTCGATATATGCAATATCAGTTTCCACCAAATTTAAGAGAGTTTCTTGAGACATACACTAAGGTCTCTATGTAACCCATATTAGATTATTTTCAAGTTGATAAACTAATTGCACAACTAAACGGTGGTTTCTTACCATATAAAAGAAAAGATTCATCAAAATAAAGCTCAAACTTTGAATTAAATTAAATTTATATTATGAATGCCAAGAGCTGTTACTTTTCTCTCTTGGCTTCATCCATTACATATGTAATTTACTCTATACTAGCTTCAGAATATGTAAATGTAAAATTGTTCAAAATTTACTCAAAGTAGATGGAAAAAATGAATTATTTGAAATATATAAAGATATTTCAATCAAAGATTTAGTAACAATGTCAAAAAATGAAAAATAACTACTTTTCATAAGGAATATTTTAACTCTATTTTACAATACTGCATCAATTAGCATTTAGTGCATTTTTACAGTTTCCAGATTACACCTTCGAAACTCTATTTGAATCTCTTAATTCTTTGAATGCGATGCTTGGATTGTTATTGATAATATTTGTCTCCTTTAAAGTACTCTCAATTACATCATCCCCAATTAGAAACATGTCTAGATGGAAATATTTCTATTTAGGATCTCGATGTTAATATTGGTCACTTCATTACAAGTCCTTGTAGATACTTAAAGTTAAGTTTTATATTTTTGTTATTGTAATCTGCATGAATTATCCAGAAATTCAATCAATCCTATTGTCAATGCAATCATTATGCTATTTGATTTACTTATTCAAATTTAGACCCATTACTTCAAACTTTGATTTAGTTAAACTGATGATCAGGGAATCCTTTTTAATGGCAATATTCTGCTCATTCTTGCTATATAGTTTGGATTCGACCAATGATTAACAGTTACTTTATGGATGGATGCATATCATCCTATTTTCGATTATATTGTCTACAAGTCTAGTAGCGGATATGATAGAATACTGTTATAAGTTGTATTAAAAATATCTAAAAAAGAAAATGAAAGAATTAGAAAAAGAAAATAATAAATATTATGATAACCCACTCTAAAGATTTATATTGATTGAGTAGCAAAATATTGTGATTTGACATTTTTATTAATTTACATTAAAATTCTATAAAAAAATTCTACATAGATTAATTTAATCGCTTATCTTTCATTAACCAAATAGTTTTATTATTAAATCCATAACTATTAATTTAAAAATCAAAAACTATTTTAGAGATTTCCTGTTTATGTAGATTTCGTATATGTATTAATATCAATTAAATATTTACATAATAAACAATTCATTCTTTTAATGTTGTTCATTCTCCTTAGGTTTGTTAGATATTTAAAAAATTAATAAAATTTGTATTATAATGAGAAATTTTATTTAAATTTTATTATTCTATTTTAATGATAAACAATGTAGACTAGCTCTTAAGAAAATAAATAAATTTTCAAGAAATAAAACACTCAAACATTCTATAAAATGTTATTAATATATTGAACTTACAGATTTGATCATAATAAAACTAGTTTAACTTGATTTTTTAAACAGAATATTTTAAAAATCTTATTATTTTTTTTTGTAAATGAAAAAAGAAAGTGAATGTGTGAAGGTTGTGGTTAGAGTGAGGCCCTTTAATCAGAAAGAGAAAGAAAATAATAGTAAACCTTGTGTGAACGTGGATGAAAAATAAAATGTAGTTGAACTATTGAAGGTATGATAAAAGGATAATAAATAGCTTACTGATAATGAGACGAAGTAGTTTTCTTATGATTATGTTTTTGGAATGAATGCTAAATAATCATACATATACGAAAAGACGGCATTCAATTTAGTAGAATCTGTGATTGATGGGTATAATGGGACAATATTCGCCTATGGTTAAACAGGTACTTTATATAGTAATTTAAGGGTGTGGAAAGACCTTCACTATGACTGGAGTTCCTGAGAATGTAACTATTTGATTTTAAGCTTTTAGGAAGAACTTAAGGGTATCATCCCGAGAACATTCACTCAAATATAGACGATTATCGATACAAACACAGACACAAAGAAGAAATTCTTGGTCAGATGTTCTTTTCTTGAGATATACAACGAGGAAATTCGGGACTTATTGGGAAAAGATCATAAAGCAAGATTAGAATTAAAAGAGTCTCAAGGTTCTGTCTCAGTAAAGGACTTAACCATGGTTACAGTGAAAACTGCTTAGGATATGGATAAATACATGACTCTTGGTTAGAGTAACAGATCTGTTGGAGCCACAGCTATGAATGCACAATCAAGTAGATCTCACTGCATTTTTACTGTGTATGTTGAAAGTTAGATAGTAGATGCTAAGGGGAGTGAGTTTATCAGAGTAGGAAAACTTAATTTAGTAGATTTAGCTGGAAGTGAAAGATAGTCTAAGACTCAAGCCACTGGAGACAGACTTAAGGAAGCAACTAAGATTAATTTGTCCTTATCTGCATTGGGCAATGTGATTTCAGCATTAGTAGATGGGAAAACTCAGCATATTCCTTATAGGGATTCAAAATTAACCAGATTATTGTAAGACTCTTTGGGTGGTAATACTAAAACAGTTATGATCACTGCTTTAAGTCCTGCCGATTACAATTATGATGAAACTCTATCTAGTTTAAGGTATGCATCTAGAGCCAAAATGATCAAAAATCAACCTAAGATCAATGAGGATCCAAAGGATGCTTTGTTGAAATAATAGGCAGATGAAATTTCAAAATTAAAAGAATAATTATCTAAATTACACAAGAATGGGGGTGGAGGAGGCTCAGAGAAAGAGATTTAAAATAATAGTAATGCTAATCAGAGTTTTTATGCAAATTTGAAGAAATAATAAGAGAATCTTGAAATTGAAAAGATTAAAACTGATGAAGTGTAGAAGGAACTTCAAAAACTGAAATAAGATAATGAGAGGTTAATGAAGGAAAGGATGGAAAAAGAGGAATAGATGTCCAGACAAAAATAAAGAGAGCTTGAGTAATTGATAAAAGATAATGAAAAGTTATAAAAGGAAAAAGAAAAGGTATTAGAACAAATAGCAGAAAAGGAGTAAAAAGCTGTAGAGGAATAAAATTTAAGGTAGAAATTGGAAGAGTTAATGCAAGCAAAAGAGAAGATGGTTGTTACAGGAGGAAAAGCAAGTGAAGAAGAAAAAAAGAAGTATCGTTTATAATAGAAGAAGTTGAAATAATAAAGTCAAGAACATGAGCAATTATTGGAAGAAAGAGAGAAACAGAAGGATGAATTGTATGAGATTGAACAAAAATATCAATCAGTCTAAGAAGAAATTGAAGCCTTAAGGAAAAAAAATTTGAGATTGAGGAAAGCCCATAAAGAGGCAATGGTAGAAATAAAGGATATTCAAAAAGAAAATGAGCAGGATAAAGAAGAATTACTTGAAAGTATTAGAGGTTTGGAAAGAGAAAATACATTATATTTACGAATATTGTTAACTTTGTTTAAAGAGGATGAATTATAGAGTCTTAAGGGCGATTGTGTTTATGATGAAGAAAAGAAAGATTATAAGGTCCCTCCTTTTATCTTTAAGTAGAATAAGGTGTCCTATCCTTCCTTGCCTTACAAAGAAGGTATTTTTTTAATTTATTTTTTAACTAGCTCAGGAGTATATTGAAAATCTTAAAGATTAAAGACAATTACAAATTAACCCTAAGCAGGATATGCTTGAGAATCCTATTAGAAACAATAGTAAGGTGCGTTCTGAGGAAGTCTAATTAAGATCAAATAGTCAAGGGTTTGATTAAAAAGCCAGATAAAATCAAATGTTGTTATAACAGAAGTAATAGGTGTAAGAATTAGAGAAAATGTATCCAGCCTCATAAACACCTTAGTTGGAGAAAAAACAAAAAGTATAGCTGAGTCCTATTGAAAATAAATCTGACCGGCCTCCTTCTACTCAACATAGTGATAAAAACATTTTCAAATAATCTCCTTTAACAAAATAGAAAGAACTTCAAGTTCCCTAGAAACCACTTAGCAAAATTCCTTTAGGAAAACTACCGCCAGATATTGATAGAAAGAATTATCATTATTGAGAGGAGATTTAATTTGGTATGTCTAAATATTAACAATAATATAAATTGATCAATTCTTTTAAACAGAAGTTTATGCTTAGCTTTTCTCAACATATTCCACTTCATTCTTATTGGGGTATTTTTTGGTTTTTTCAATTTTTGTTCTTTTTTATAATTACTAATTATTTATTTAGAATCTTTAGTCCAATGAAAAGTTTTAGACCTCTCCATTAGATTCGGGATTTTGCTATTGTTCAAATCCTTAATTTTGAGAGTATTATTGTTATTAATTTTATCTAGCAGGTTTTTCGTAATTTTGCTGCTTGCCATATTGTTGTTTATTGCTGTTTTATTATTGATAATATTGATTCTAATAAAATCCGTTGTTTTGTTACCAATATTGAGGAGTCTATTGAAATTAATAACCTAAAATAATTAAATTTTATATACCAACTTATTATTATTAATAATAATAAGGTTAGTAAGGTTATTAATAATAATATTATTAGCCATAAGGAGGTTAATAGTATCCCCCTTAAGACTTTCGATTGTTTTTTTTCCTCTCGTAGGATGCAACTGAGAAGGAGAATGGGATAGTTTCAAAGACAGAGGAGAGTTCCTTGAATTTCTTCTCAAATCTTTGGTTGTTTGTTCTTTCCTCTCTATTTTCAAACTGTTGAATTATAAAATAACAATACTTCCAATTTATCTAGTTGAGGAAATTCTTCAAATAAGCTTTTATTGGAGACTTCATTTTGAAATATTTTTGTCATTTTGATGCCATTTTCATTTGATAATTCTGTGCAATCTATCAAATCATAAACTGATTTCAAGGTTTCTTCACTACCTTCTAACTTTTGAATTTGCTTGATATTTTCGAATAGCTTAAATGAAAGATCCTTAATATACAACTAAATGATAAATGATGCTCATACCCATTCTATTGAAAATGTGCCAAACCATTTATTTTCAATTAACCAAAACTTAAAGTGGAATTTAGGATTGAATGCAGAAGTTAGCTTTGCCATTCCGCTAAAGCACATACTATTAATTTCTGTAAAGAACAGATAAACTTCTTATTTCTTATTTGTGAATGCTTCGTGTAATCGTTCGTTTTTACGAGATGAGCTATTATCTTATTAATCATTTACCTCGTCCAAATGCCGTACTTCATAGCTCTATGGACATTGTCTTCTCCTTATGTTCTTATAATAAAGAATTTGCATTCTTCTAAATTGTTAAATTCGTGATTAAGGTTGATTTTTGCTAAAGAGGGAAATTTCTTTCGGATCTAGTTGATATCGTCATAACTTTCTAATGATATGAAGGGAGGCTAAGAATATGGAAATGCTATACTTGATCGTTCATCATTTGCTTAAATAAAAATAAAAGATTTAAATAATTTCTGAAATATATTTAATTGATCATCATTATGAAACCAAATCAATCGACAGCAGTGTTTATTTTCTCAAATCTTTTCTCCGTATTACTCCATATCACCCCATTCGAAGGCAATTGTCTAAAGCTAGGCAGCAAAATTTAAAATAAATATTTGAAATCACCAAACACTTATTTTAAATTTTCAATTATTTCCTCTCTCTCATAGGTAGTTTTTCTGTTTCTGTCCATAAATTCAATTGCAGTAAACCCCCTGAGAACTAAGAACCAATTCCACCCTCCAAAACATCCCATCGACCAAGATAATGCAAGTTCAAGGACCCACAAAGTGGAAAACAAAGAACTTCTTTTATTTTTAAAATCTTCAAAATCTGTGGAAAAAACAATATTTAAATTTAATAAAGTAAAAAAGGAAGTACCTAAGAATATGTAAGTGAGAAATAGAACAAAGTATCTATGATTTTAGTGACCAACACAATTATCAATCCAAGGACAATGGTGATCCATTTTCAATACACATTTGTTACATATGCTGCAATGATGAGTTCTTTTAGGTTTAGGCAATAAACACGAATTACAAAATCCTAAAGTAGATTGATCCAAAGTGTTGGCTTGTTAGGCATTATTAGCTTCTAATTTTGGTGTGTAGTTAAATTTTAGATATCTTAAATTAGGATTAGGATTGTTCTCTAGTTAGTTTTCATTATTTTCTATGTCATTTTAAATAGGGATAAAATACTAATTTGTAGTACCTGGAGAAACTTAAATTACAAAGGTGTAGTTTAGGATTACATTGAAGCCTACGATAAAAAATAATTGTACTTAATAGTAGTCCAACAAGGAGAATTGCAATAGTTAGATAGGTATTCGAATAAACCAAATGATATTGCATTGCGGTGTCAAATATGAAGGAATAAATGATGGTTGAAATGAGCAGATAGCAAAATACGATTAGGAGTTTACTAAAGCAGGAGAGTATTTTATTCAAAGAGTATTTTTTTTGTGCTTTATTTAAATTAGATTAGTAATCCTCTTGTAATTGTTACATTAATTTAATTATTTAGTATTAAATACATATAATTCTCTCTTATTTATAAAATTATATAACGACTATATTGTGATAAGATTTTAGCTGACATCAGTTGGAGGAATTTAAATTCAAGTATGCTCGATTTAGAAAAGGCAGAATCGAATTGACTTGGCTTTCTAGGAGCTAAGAATATTTAAGGAGGTTTAAAATTCTTCAAAAAATATCTTTTAGAAGAATAATAAATATGTTTAAACAAATATGTTAAATATGTTAAATCGTAACAAAAATATCATTTAATACAAATAAAAGATTAATTTACTATCTAGAGAGCCCTACAAATGTGACATTTTAAGGTTTATGAATGTTATATCGAGATAATTTGATTTAAATCATCTTAACACAAGACATGTCCACATAATAATTTAACTGTATTTTCTTCATTTAGATGACAAAAACATATGGGACACTCCTCCTCCTTGTATGAAGAATCCGTTTAAGTTGTAAGTATGAATTATGGAGTCTCTTCTTCTTCTTCAATGAATGCATTTTAACGAATCAATGTCGGAGGAGGTAACATCAATTCATCTAGATCCATTTCATCATAATTATAACTATCGGTGCCTTCCATCGATTTCTTTTGCTTTTTAAATAAGCTTTATTTTTTTAATTTTTATTAAACATCTCATTGTGTTCCCATATAAATAGGGAATTCAAGATTTAAAAGTTTATCCTGTCCTATATGGCTTCAGAACATTCCAATAAAAGTTGGTAATTGTTATTCTAACTTAATGGAAACCCAATTCGCATTTAAAAAAGGGAAAAGCTTTTCCTTCTCATACCCTAAGATTAATTCTAAATATTAATCATAAATTCATCAATTAAATTAAAATAGTTTATAATTCTTGAAAAATAAATGTGGAAAATAATGTTATTGTCTTGTTTGATTATGTTTGGGTAATCGGCCCTCTAGCCCTCCGTATTGAATTTTATGCAAGGATATGCCTTCGGAGTGGGAATGGGAGACGAAGTTCCAGAGATTATGGATTGCGTATTGGATGTCATTCTAGTCAAGCCTTAATGGGATATAATACTGAAATAATTCAAATAAGGCGGTGCTATCAATATTTGGAATGGTTTGACTGACATATTATTCTCTTTTGATCAGTTTGCTCAATAATGTGGAAACACAACTATTGGGTTGAACAAAATTCAGAAACAAATAAGAAAGATTTTCACAAGTTTATATTTCGGTTACTTTTTAGCTCCTAAGTTATTCAAGTAGGTGATAGAGAATCTGAGTCAAGAAAGTGAGAAAGTATCAGAATTATCTTGTTAATTTGTAGAATTAATGACGGAAAAAGATACATACTAAAGTGGCTATGTAATTGGATAACTGGTTTCAATAGTATTTGAAATTTGAGATTATAGCTAGCATTACATAATTAAATATTTATTAATATTATCAAAGAACACAGAATTATCCAATGAAGAAATTTCACGCATTTTTAATCTTCTCTACATGCAATATGTTCGTTTCTATGTGTGGATCTCTCATTACTCCCTTCTTTCCCCCTTACGCCGATAAAAAAGGAATATCCTAGACCACTTTGGGATTGATAATAGCTGCTGGTCCCTTCGGTGGATTATTAGCTTCAATTATAATTGCTAAAACTTTGAATCACGTAAAATTTTATACCATATTTCTAGAGAAACAGGAACAAATACATATTAATTGGAGTGTTGGGAGAACCTCTAAGTTTACTGTTTTTTTCCTTGACTGACCTTTTTGAAGATAAAGTTCCGATCATCATAATTGCATCTATAGGGAGATTTATAGGAGGAATTGTATTAAAAATATAATATATAAAGGGAACATCCTTATTTTTGACACCTTTCTTTGGGTATATTCCAATTTTATACCCCAAAGATGTTGAAAAAAAAGTGAGCATTAGTGAAGCATTTAGTAGCGTAGGATTTTTTGCTGGGCCTGCATTGGGATCAGCTCTGTATGCTTTGGGAGGTTACTTGACTCCGTTCCTAGTATTTAGTTCGTTTGGATTCCTCTCGTTGCCATTTTTATATGCAGCATTGTAATCTGTGGGGCCAAAAAAATATTAAGTGGAAGTGTAAAGATAGATTGCAGAAATCGAGGAAACAAAGAAGTTGACAGAAATTTAGCAAACTCTTTTGGCAACTCAATAATTAGATGGGGAACAACGATTAACTTTCCTTTCTTTGGTTCAACATTACCCAGTTGTTGTTATTTTTTGGGTTATAACCCTAGTAAACATTTGCATGACATACTTCCAACCAATCTTATCAATCTACTTTACAAAGCAATACGATTTTGACGAGGGCTAAATCGGCTTCATCATGACGATAGTATCCTTGGCTTACACTTTAGGATGTTATCTTTGCGGATATAATAGAAACTATAAACGAGAAGTAATTTAAAATTGTTATAATATTCTAGATGGCTTGCATTTGTTTGTTTTTCTTTGGTTGTTCCTATTTCTTGGCTGGTCCTGACACTGAACTCATTCAAGTTCCCCATAAATTGTGGATTGCTCTGATGGCACAGTTCTTATTGGGAGTTTTGAGTGGTCCTGCTTATGTTCCTTCTCTGCCTGTGTTGAATGAATTCTTGTTGTTCCATTATCCAATTCAGACCATCAGAGTGGCCACTTATTCTTCTGCTTTGTAAATATAGGGAATTAATTTCATTTTAGATTGACTAGTGGAATGTTTATTGGTCAGTTAACTGGACCCATAATTGCAGGTATTTTGGGGGATGAATATGGATTTGAACGAGCTTGCAGTATTTTGGGAGTCATCATTATTGTCACGTCGTTTATCTATGTTCCAATCATATTTATGAAGTCTAAAAAAGAAAATAAATAAGCATTATTATCATGATCATTTGTATATAAAAATTGACATCAATAATTTAATATTTTTGTTCATTTTTTTCTGTTTTCCTCACTTTAACCTTTCAATTTTTGGCGCTATTAATTTAATGCCAAAATGTGGGGTTTATAGCTTCAGAAGCGCAATTTCGGAACATAATAATTAATAATAACAAGAGAATGAGTAGCAACAAACTAATAAAAACTTAGTCAGAACAATAAACCAATGGTGAAGATGAATCCACAAGACATCTAAACGATATCATAGGTGTGAAACCTACTCAAATCGAATAACTTCCTTCTTACTCCATCAATTTTAGAAGTCTGAGACAAAGGTATGGCTCAATTTAAGATTAATATCCATTACCACTTAAATTTGAATAATTATTATAAACTATGAAAATCATAGAACAGACTTATTGGAAAAAGAAGAAGCCAATCATTTATGAAATTAAAACCAATGCTTTCAAAATCTTATAAATTGGATAATTATTAAAACTCGATTAAGAACTTTACGACATTAAAATTGTTGAAAAATCTGTGCAAATCACTCCCAACGATGTCCCTATTGAGAATTTGCCTGCATTTCAGCCTTTTGCTCAACAATTAGCTCCTATCTTCGAGAACAGGATAGCTGGAGTCAGAAGCAAACTGGATCGATTAGTATAATAAGTTCATGAAAAATATCTAGATGTGATAGGTGAATCGGATTTCAATGAGCAATCAATGAAATTCAAAGTCTATCATCCTACATTTGACCTTAATTTGGTCCCTGACATCATCCCATAACAATTACCCTTCTAAATTTATTCAGAAGAACAGAGAGTTCAACTGTAGTAGATCATCGAGAATACAATTCAATACTTCACTAAGAGAACGGTCTCCTTTATGTTCTATCCCAACCTGGTTAATTATTTGTTGACAAAGATCGAGATGAATAAAGAGCAGATGGAAAAATATATACAGTTTTTGATGAAGGTTCAACCTGATTTTCTGTAGATTACTAATTAAAAGAAGGAGTAACTAAAAGCGAAATGGATAATCTAAATTAATAAGTCAAGTACTGTAGAAAATCAAATTCAATAATTGAGAACTTATTTTTATTGATTGGATATATGTATATTTCTTTAGTTTTGAGCATTGTTACATTTTCTATTGATTAAAATAAGTATGAATTTAGTTTAAAAATAATAACCCAATTTCTCTACAATAACTCAATAAGATTAATTAATCCTGGAGGGTGGAGTGTCCTAAGATATAGTATTGAAGGCATGAGTGTGAAATTCGAGTCGATTAATTTACATAATATAAATAATTATTTTAAAAATTAGTGAAATTAATGATAAAGAAATAACCAACAAAACAAGCCACTAGGATGCAAACCTAAGCTAATGATTAATAAGAAGTTATAGCAGTAAATTAATTTTGTAATGATTAAAGCAAAGTCAACAGGCAGCTAAATACACTTTAAATTAAATTGTCGGTAATGGAACATTTGGAATGGTTTATTTGGTATGTGTCATCACTATAGCATAGGCAACAAACAGTTAGAGCAACGAAAAGGTGGCGATTAAAAAGGTGTTTCAAGACAAAAGATATAAGAATAGGGAACACTTGATAATTTAGGAGTTGAATCATCCCTGTGTTATAAAATTGAAGGAAGCCTTTTTCACCCAAGGAGACAAGGTAAAACAGTATATCCATAGGAAAGGGCGATGACGTGTATTTGAATTTGGTCATGGATTACATTCCTGATACGCTGAGCAAGGTTATTAGATATTACAAAAAGGCAAAACAACCATTTCCTGCTGTTCTATTAAAAATTTATAGTTACTAGATGTTTCGAGCATTAGCCTATTTAGAAGGTAAGCACCATGAGTATCAAATAGGGATTGGCATTTGCCATCGAGATATAAAACCATAGAATATTCTTGTGGATCCGAATTCGCATGTTTTGAAAATATGCGATTTCGGATCAGCCAAAAGACTGCAGAAGGGTGAGCCAAATGTGGCTTACATATGTTCACGTTATTATAGAGCCCCCGAATTGATATTCGGAGCCACAGAATACAGCACAGCGATAGACACTTGGTCGATTGGTTGTGTGATAGCTGAGATGCTGATTGGAGAACCTTTGTTCCCTGGAGAAAGTGCCACTGATTAACTGGTCGAGATCATCAAAATATTGGGCACTCCCACTGTTGAGCAGGTCAAACAGATGAACCCTATGCACAAGGAATTTAAATTCCCTCAGATCAAGAATCACCCATGGAATAAAGTACATGAGTCTCATTCATTCGATGTAGGTGTTCCAGAAGTTCAAGCCTGATCCGTTGTTTGTCGATTTGATATCGAAAATAATGTTGTATCCTCCCAGAGAGAGGTTGAGACCATTGGAGGCGTTGTCTCATCCATTTTTCAATGAAATAAGAGACGAAAAGTTTGGAATCCCTAATGTAAAGTTACCAAACTTTTTTGATTTCACCAAAGGTATGAAATGATATTGAAATTCGTAGAGGAATTGGGAATACAGCCTGAAATAGCATTTAAATTAACTCCGTAGTGGTATTAGTAAAAGAGGATATGAACTTAATTATTTTAATAAATGAATCCCATTCGTGTCTATCCACTCAAATTTAATAACCAAGATTCTCTTGCCATTTCTCCTGGTCTCAAAAAGAAGCAACAACCTTCTGAACGCACTCATACTTTGCAATTAAAGTAAGGGGATGCTTGTATTTTAGTCCTTAACAAACCCCTTAGTAAAGTCGAAGCAATCAAAAAAGACATCCGACCACTGGGTTGACTTCTTAGGAAGATAAAATAAAGCTTGTATGTCTATAAATTGCATAGGTTCTATTAGGTTACTTAAAAGAAATTATAATTGCTATAGCCATCGAGTTATTCGCCCAAAAAGAGAGTAATCAGCAGCAACAATGAGAAACCTGAACTTTCTAAATTCTCCTATCAATCAAGTGAAGTATGAATGAGATTTTAATGCAAGCCTCAGTCTCCAACCAAATTACCAAATTTAAAAAGAAGCGAATCATCTACAACAACACAAGAAATCTTAGCTAAAATTGATTTGAGTTTGGCTCAAAAGAGAAGCAAACGTACTGATACTAGCAATGCCGACAATACACCTCAGGTATGAATGAATCTTACACTCTTTAGAACAAGACCTCATTTCTAAAAATGTATCAAGATACATCTCCTAAAATTCGTTAAATTTAAAGTCGAGTCAGCTCTTAGGTTATAGAACAGGATCTCAAAATCAAACCTAGAATGCCCTCTCAAGTGATAATGCTGCATGGAAGATCAACAAGTCAAGCAGCCTTAGTAAATTCCAATCCTACAGAAAATGAGGAATTGCAAGATTATGTCTAACTGTTTTTATCAAAGTAAAATGTGAATGTCATCATCTCTAGATCTCAAGCAGGACAAAATGGAAACAAGTAAACTAAAACCAATTAGGATTCAGTAATCATCTCGAATAATTTTTGTGGAATGAAAAATAGGTACATTAATATCATTACTGTCTATTAAGATATTTATTTTCGGTCTGTGATGGACATGGCGTGTATGGACATTATGTTTCGTAATTAATAAAAAGAGTATTGCCAACAATAATTGAAACATAATTGAAGACCTTCATTGGAAAACAAGAAATTGACATCGGTGAAGAATACTACACTGAAGTGGTCAAATGTTTTAACAGTAGTTTCTAAAAGATGACCAAAGATCTAGTAATTTATTGTTGTTTATACTTTAAGTAAAATTGCGGAATCGACATCAATTTCAGTGGTAGTACCTGTTCTACAGTGTTCGTTTCTGGTAACAATTTATGGTGCTCGAATATTGGCGATTCAAGATCTGTATTTCTATATACTCATCTTAGATATTTATAGAACAACACAGAGACTCTAATAAGTGGAAGATTGTTGAATTGAGCAATGATCATAAACCTGATCTGCCAACAGAGAAGAAGAGAATCATAGCAAGCAAAGGAAGAGTACAGCCATTTGTGACTGAAAATGGGTAAAATATTGGTCCTGCCAGAGTGTGGCTTTTGCATGAACAAATACCTGGATTGGCTATGAGCAGATCTTTTGGAGATTATGTTGCTTCTACTGTTGGTGTCATCTCTGAACCAGAGGTCATTTATCATAAATTAAGTCAAAAATGCGGGTTTTTGGTTGTGGCTAGTGATGGGGTTTGGGAGTTCTTGAGCAATGAGGAAATTCAATAAATCATTTGCCGTTATTGGAGTCCTCAGATGAATGCCAAGAAGATAGATGAGATGGTTGAAAATATTGTTAGAGAGTCTATTAAGAGATGGTAAGAGGAGGACGAAGTAATTGATGATATTTCAGTCATTATTGCATATCTCTCGTGAATATCATTAAAATAATCAATTAAGAATTAAGAATTAAGAAATTCAATCCATATTTATTATAAAATTAATTAAGAATAAGATAGAGATGCAGATACAATGATCAGAAATCATAATGGGAATACCATTATGGTTACGTTGTCTCTAATGTAATCGTTCTCGATTGATTAATATAACTATTTGGCAACATTTTTTGATGGGTCCACCTTCTACAAAATTTGTTGAATGGCAGTTTCAGAAAGTTCCTAACATTTACAAATTATATGTACATTCCAAAATCCATCACTTGCCATTACTATGTATCTATCGTTGTCTTTAATTTGATATTTTGAGATCTCAGGCTCGCTGATTACAAACTTCTTAAGATGAAAGTCTCCGAAAGATCTAGTCACCGTCAACTAACCAGAAACTCTACATATATTTTGTCTCTTTGTGATTAAACTAATAATAGAAATTATTTCTTACCCTCCTTATTTATGAATTCTTTAATTTTCTTCCTTTGATTGAGGAATATGGATGGAGTTTAACTATTGGTGAGAATCTTCTCTGAATACAACTGCCTTGCAATCCCCTAAATTTGTAATTGTAACAGTTTTATTTTAAATAGATAACAGGATGGCAACTGATCCTGATTGTGTATACTGACTCAAATTGCTGTCAGTCTCCTTAAATACTATAAAATAAATGGTGAACTTCATACATTATTTGTAATCTTGATCTGACATCTCATTTTAGATTTTCTATAATAAATTCTAAGTCAAATAATCGGCCACATGGGAAGAACCATGACCATCAAAAATTGCATAATGGTTGTTCAAAATCTAGTACTAAACATTAGTAAATTATAAATACTCTATCTAGCATTTCCCGACGGAATCCTCTGTTCATGTAAAGATGATATTTTTCAGTTTATTACTCAAACTCATCAAATTGTTCAATCAATTCTTGAACTGCAAAGTCTTTGTACTCATGATCTATCACTATTTCCAAATCCATCATTAAATAAGTTATTTTTTTTTATTATAATTATTTAATCAAAAACATTTCCATAAATAGTTGGAATATTTGATAGATAATATATTCATTATTATTAAAATTGTTGTTGTACTTTTTGATCCTTCAATAAAATCCATTATTGAATATATTGCTAATTCTATGCATTCTTCACAATCCAATTGTGTTATAACAACGTCTACGCATCCAAACGTTTGTTCTGATCTTTATTAAGACTAAATAAATCACAACACTATACCAGATATTCAAAAAGTCTTTCATCTCTATACTGTAGGCATGGTTGTCCAATTTTGGAGAATCCGATTTCAGAATATTCTGAATCATCTGTATGTAAGTCATTTATTTGTTTTAAAATGCATAAGGATGTTTCCCTGTGGCCAATTCATATATTATCAAGCCCAATGACCATATATCTGAAGCATAAGAGTAATTCTTTCCTTCAGTCCTCTCTGGAGACCTAGTAAATTAATACATTTTAAATTAAATGCTAGTTACATGTACATTAGAGTGCCAACAAATGTCCTCGCTATTGCAATCGTATTTTCCAGCTGCTTGCTTATTCCAAAATCTGTCAGTTTGATTTATCCTTAACTATTGATGAGAATGTTTTCGGGTTTAATATCTCTGTGAAGTTGATGTTTTTATTAGTGTAGGTATTATAACCCTAGGAGAATATTGTAAGTAATTGTTGCTATTATTTGTTCGTTTATCAATTCAACTAAGTTATTTTTATATATCTATTGAATTATGCTCCTCAAAGATCCCTAATCCATGTATTCTAGCACTAATCGTATAGTTCCTGAATTTGTTGTTTAATGAGATACCTTCCTCGTAATAGGCGCCATAAAATTTTATCAACTGTTCGCATTCTATACCATTTAACAATGTACTAAGATCATTCAGCATCTAATGTCGTTTATCCTTGTCAAAAACGTTGATTATCTTGATATTAAGAATATACATCAACTTTTAATGCTACTTGGCAATTATATGGTATATAGAGTCCTCTGCAAACATAGCTTGACACTCCTTAACCAATGACATCCCCAATTTTTATTTGCAAATGTGTTATGGCATCCTTAGTTGTTTGTATTTATTCTCCATTGGTGGATGTTAATCCCTCATTATTAATCTTTATTCCTGCCTTTGGAAATCTTACACTATTGTGTCCTCTATGATTTTATATAAATTCAAACATTTCAAATGTCATTGAACTATTTTATTCAAAATTAACTTCGATATCAAATTCATCTTACATGTTATATAATAATAAATTAAATATACACTATTTATATTTTAACACCCACAGACATACCTTCCAATAGCTGATTTCTGCCCTGACACTTCAATTTAACTAACCAAATGCATTATATTTTGACTCACTCTCCTCACCGTTTTCAAAGATAACAATTTGTCAGACTACCACAGTTCCTTCTTATTTCTCAATCATACTCTCAAAATATAGATGTCAAAATAGTCTTTAAAAATGAAATAATTTGCTTGAAAAATTACAATCAATTTCATCAAATGTCAATTTTTATATATTCTAATAGTTTCTAAGATTTTAACTCTACAAAGTGGACAAACAGAGAGATTCTTACAACATTTTAAACAGGTAGCATTATGTTTACAAGGCAAGATCAAACAATCCCTCTCTCTTTCAAAACAAATTATGCAAAGATTTTCCCCTTGTATTTCATTAACCTTCATCTTATTCTATTAACATATATATTGATTTGTCGTTCCAATTCTTATAACAGCCTCCTCAACTGGTTCCAGATAATACAAATTACTCATTTTTCCTTCTCCAGACAATCTCAACCATGATCTTTGATTTAATTAAATAAGATACCCGTTTGTTGATCCGTGATCTTCTAGTTAAATACTAGAATCTACTTATAAATAGAATTTAGCATGTTGATTTGATAGATGATGATCCTCTGGAAATGAAATATCGGCAGTGGATTTTCTACCTAATGTAACTGATTGCTTATCTTTATTTAACTAGATAACAATTGTATCTTCTAGGTTTGGTCCTTCTATTACCTGAAGAGAAAACTTTGATAAAAGTTAAATAAATAACTATACTTCAAGTCCTCCATTATCCTTTTGGTCAATACTTAATACCTGAAATTAATTGCTGCCCAATTCAATTAACATCCCAGTTTTCAAAGTTAGACTTTTAAGTATTTTAATAAATGTTCCTGTAGTGCTTCCAACATCTTTGAGAGCGAACTAAAATTTCTATTTAGAATACCATATGATCTTGAAATATAATTTCAGCATGGAATCTACTGATGTTCTCCTCTAAGATTAGGATCTAATTACTAGAGTGTCTTCCTATTTTTGCTCCTGTTTCTCTAACGCAATAAAAATTCGATTGCTAGCCTTCTATTGGCTAGAGTATCAATTGATGCTCAAATTTGTTATTTGTTGTTATTTCCTATTTGAGTGCTTGATCCTCAATTCTAGCAACTTAACTTACAAACTGATCATTGTGATGATTATTATTGTTATCCTGATTTTCTAGTAACATCTGCTCAAACTGATAATTCGCATTATTTTTTTGAATCGTAAAATCTTCGTCCTATTATCGTTTATTGTTAAGACTGGATGACTTAAGCTGCTTAACATATTCACTATATTCTTTTAACCCATGATTCACCCCTAAAACTTTGTATGGCATAGTACAATTTAACAATTTTCTCCTAAGTATTCGCTAGGTCACTCCCAATTCCTCTTCCAAGTCCTTTTCAGTCAAGTCCTCCAGTACGGAACCATCTATTGAACTTTCGACTATTTTCTTACAATGTAATTAATACCGAATCTGGCTTCCATCTGTCCAAGACCTATAAATTTCAACCAATTTACTACATCTTGAGTCAACCACTTTTTTGGTTCTTTTGGAATCAATTTATATAGGGAATCATAATCCATTTTAATTTTATTATATATAAATCACTACTCATAAAGGGATTTTAGTATACCAATCAAATACTTTGTATTCGTTCCAAATGCTAATCATCAAAATCTATTAAGCACAAAGTAAATAACAACAAATACATATAAATATTTAGATCAAATCATTTCAAAAATGCTATAATGACAGTAATGTCATCAATGACTTCATCCTCCACCTGCCATGCCTCTTTGGCTGCTTGTACCAACTTATTACAAGCTCCTATGCAATCCCCCTTCTTGTAGAATTCATATACAGTCTCAATAACCCATTCGTTAGACAAAAATCTTGATTAATTAACAACCATACTCCCAAATGCCATCCGAAGCCACTATTATGAACTTGTCCGTGGGCAACAATTAATGCTTTATTATTTCTGGTTCGCATATCACTCCAACTAAACTAGCAACGTAATCCCCAAAACTTCGAGACATGGCCAGCCCAGGCACATCTTCATCAGATTTCCACACTCTGGCTGGTCCAATTGGATTACCCTCCTCATCACTGTATGCTTGAACCCTGCCTCCTCTTTGAATTATTCGAGCTTATTCTAAAAAACAATCAGGCTTGTGATCTTTTGATAATTCAACTACAGATAATTTTGTATCGTATCTTCCTATTATCTATATTAGTATTAATTATTGATACAGCTCTGCTGTCTCCAATATTAGCACAATAGAGGATGTTCTCAAATGCTATGACTACAACGGTGGTGGCTCCGGAATAGGTGACATCAATGCCAGAATTCAGTAGATCTTCGTTCGTTTTTAGGAAACTTTCTTTAAAAATATTGGTTATTGTTCTATTTTGAAATAGTGCTATTAAATTACTTATCTCTGTCATAATAATATGGAGATTACAATACTTCTTATTCAATATATGCTGGTAAAATCTCTTGAACAAATTATGCAACTTAATGTCCGTTTGTCCCATGACCGTCGGATACCTAAAGATACCAATCATTTTCCTTGGTTCCAAACTTTTAAATTAGTTTATAGGAGTCCTGGTTAATTTTAGTTTATCCTGTGTAAAGCATGCCTGGAATTGATTTGGCATGGGCTTTTAAAATGGCCAATTAGAGAGTAGTGATATCTGGATTACTAATAGAGCGAGGCCCTTTAAAGAGTTTCTATTTCAATTGCTATTGTTATGATAACTAGTGGTGCTCAGCTTATTTGGATAAGTCAAGCAGTTTTTAATATTATTTTTAAATTAATTGCTAATGATATTGTAATATTTCTTTAGAGGTTTGTATTTATCCTATTTTGCTCTCGGGTCTATCAGCCTTTATTTTTTACAGTAGTTATAATGCTGATTAGGTTAGATTTTACGAATTCTCTTTTGTTTCAATAATTTTACTATTTTAACGTACATGTGTTTTTTTTAATAAAACTGTGCTAATATCTTTCATATCTTTCCCACTTGTTGGCCTTTGTTTTTTCGAATCTATTTTCCCTTAACCAGAACTGCTATTTCTAAAATAAAGAATCCTTTTTACTTTTGTGTATTAATAAAGGGGCTCCCTTAGATATTAGGAGATTTAACAATTTTTTGCTATTACTCAATTTCATTTTTTTTTTTTAATAAACTAGCATACAATTTATTAGGAGATATTTAAAGTGCTTTTTATTTCATTCTAATAGTTAATATTTTTATTATTATTTATTTTAATTATCTCTATATAAAATATATCATTTCCTAAGATTTTTTAACTATTCCTTCATTTAGTTAGTACAATTTAGATACTTGGATTTCGGTATGTGATCTTGAGATATAGTTCTTTCTAATAGAGATTGCTATTGAAATGTTAGTAATTTGACTTAATCTGAATTTGTTCCTCCCTCAATCTTCACATTGCTGAATCTTTGTTGATCTATTTGTCATAAGCATTTAAAATACTTTCATTTTCTACTTTGTTTTGCAAAGTGAATTGATATTTATCGATGAGTTTCTAAGTGTCTGTTTTGGTTATTGACTTGATGTTTTTATTCAGGTCGTCTTCCTCTTTTTCTTGCTTCCCTTTTGGATCTTGTCCTTTGTCCTTCTCAAGTGTGATGGATCTCATTCTGTCTGTTTTCTAGTATGTTTCGATTCGCTAATTCAGCAGAGGAGATTGTAATCGTTCTCCCAATATTTTGGATTGTCTCAATTCCTATTTCAAGAGCACTTCCGATTATCGAAAGTCCTTTGTTTTTATGTTCTGCATTTCTGTTGAGAGCTCTTTAGATGCAGTGGATGCTTTTTTAATGAGATTATGTAATAGTTGGATGTCCTCATTTTTTAACTTATTTATCTTGGAATTGACACTTGTTATTTTATCGTCTTAGGACATTAATTTGGCATCGAAATTTTCTTTTAATTTGTCAAAGAGCGTATGCAGTAAATTAATGCGTTCAGCCAATTCATCTATTCTCTCATATATAATGTTGATGGATCGAATTCGGTCTTCCAAATGATTGATCTTTTTATTCATAAATTGCTCTTGATGTTCTAATCTGTCTTCGATCGCTTTCAATCGGTAATCGTATTGTTCTTTCAATAGCATCCCAAACTAACGACTTATTTATTTTTTTATTATAAATATTTCATATATTACTCCTCATCGTCTTGCATGTCCTCCCATTCTAACTGATTTCCATGCTTAAACATCTTCTAATTAAATAGGATTTGCATAATATTATATTTTATTTTTAAATGGCTTCAGAGGAAGAATAATTGGACACCATTGAGAAGTTTCAGAAAGCAGTAAAGTTGACGGCCATTTTAAGATAGAAACCAACCTCTGACGAAGAAATGCAACGCGCACAAAAGGCTTTGATCAAGCCTGTATCCATAAGAAATGCTGAAGATTTCGAGGCTATTGAGAAAGTCATGATAAGAGTTAAGTTCTTCACCAAAGTCAAGTTGAAATACGGACTACTGGTCTTTAAGGAAGTCTGCAAGCATTTGTATTACAAAAGAGCACAGCCCGGTCACATCATGATCAAGGTGAATAATGAAGGAAAAGCTTTCTATGTAATTTTGAGAGGCAGTGTCGGAATCAACATATTTTTGCCAAAAGTCTCCCAAAAATAAGCAGAATCCAAATCTACTTTCGGTGTCAATGAAATAGAATTTGAGGATGAACCTTTTGAGTACCAAGAAGTCAATGTTCTGTCCATCGGTGATTCTTTTGGAGAAGTAGCCCTCTTGGATCCCAATTCCAAAACGACAGCAACTGTAATCACCAAGGACATTTGCGAATTCGCCTGTTTGGACAAAGAATAGTACATCAATATTTTGGGAGTTTTGAATCAGGCAGAAATGAATGAAAAAATGTCCTTTGTCAGAGGAATCCATTTCTTGCATGGATGGTTCGATAATGACTTGAAGACTTTGAGTTTCCACTTCGAATTGATGTATTATGAGAGGAATGATGTCATTTATCGAGAAAATTCAGCCAATGATGGATACATCTACTTCCTAAAGAAGGGAGAGATCTCCTTATTGAAATTATTTTAGAGATAATAAATTTACGTTTGCAACTTGTGTGTAGGAGAAATATTTGGAGAGGAAATGTACTTAGGTATTAATAATAGATAGCATACTGCTATTTGCAATGTTTAAGATACATAGGTCTACAGATTAGCCAAAAGTGATTTGGATAAGAGAATGTGGCAGATAGAAAATAGGAATCTCTTCAAAGAAAGTGTTGAAATCAGATGGGAATGGAGAAATCAAAGGTTTGACAATTTAAAACTCTTTGAAGCAAAGGTTGAATAGGAGGAAAATCTTCAAAAATATTTAAAACCAAAAACTGAATCCATTCTTGAAAGACCTCAAATTTAATAGTCTCATTCCACCAAGATCTCCTCCTATACTTGTGTAAAACCATTCAATTTCATGGAACCATTGACAGCAGCAGATGAGTTGTTCGAAAACAATGGAATTTAATCCAAAATCTTTCAGAACAAAATTAAAGTCAGACAATACAATTCATCCAAACAATCCCTAAGGAATTACACCTATATGAAATAATAGAGTTAGATTGGACTCATTAAACAGAATCAATAACGAAAAGAAAACCTCAAAAAAACTAAGCGAGTTAATTCATAACAGTTTAAATCATTTTTATAACAAAAATTTCAATCAGAAGAGCACAATATTTAAAATTAACTTCCTTTCAATTTTATAAATCAAGAGACTCAAAATGAACCAACTGAATAACAACAATAATAGGTATAATAAAAATTGACTTCTTTTGGATAATCACAGCAGAATAGCTTATATGAAGATGTAATTTAGTTTGCAGTTTCTTAGAAATAAAAAACACTTATAAAATTACCTTAAGCCAATTCAACAAAATATTCTAGTAAAGAAAACAGCTTTAAAAAGCTTTCTCAAGATCAAATTCATCATCGTAAATCTCCGTCTAATTTATCATATGAATTCTCGGATGCTAAAGGTAGCTTCTAATATAAAAGGCTTTTTAAGTATTGAATTATTTTTTATCTAATAATATATATATAAATTCAATGATTGTAAAGTCTTTCCAACTTTTTTATGTCTCCATCCATTTAATTTAATCTCTTTTCTAATTCTTCCTTTCTACTTATCTATATTTTATTTACTTAAGCTTTGTTTACTGAGTCATATCTTTTTTGTGACTATATTGAGCAAATTCTTTTAGTAGTTCCTCTTTCTTTTGGAGAAGCTGTTACATTATTTTGAACACATCTCCCTTCTTAACCTTCTATTCATCCTTCTCCTTCTTCTTCCTTCTGATCTCCTCTTCTTCTTCTCTTTATTTTTCTAGTTTTTCATTTTTCATCTTTTCTAAGTATTCAGGAACTTTGCCGAAAGTATCCTTTTTGAAATAATCAATTTATTTTGGTTTCTGTCCTGCAGACTTAGGACGTTTAGGTTTAGTCTCTAAAAACTCTTTGAATTTATCCATATCAACCTTCTGTTTAAAATGATTAGGAATATTTGGTTTTTTGAGAGCACAATTGTCAGGTTTAATGAGACCAAGAGGGAACATCAATTCATCAGTAACTTCAAAGTTTTTTGGTTTTCCCCACAATGCATGATGCTTTAAATATCCTTTATGAAGTATTTTATTGCCATTGATATTATTAATGTTAAGTGTAGTATTTTTTGTGTTAAAAGTAGAGTAGGAAGGAGGGAGGTTTCCTGGATGCTAAGATTTATACCTTTTTTGATTTTGACTGGGTTTTTTTGGTTCCTCAACAAATTACTCCTCATTTTACAATCTGTAAATACATTCTGACATCTAAAATATAACTTATTAATTTTTTTGTAATTTTATAACAAATTTGATGTTGTTGATATAAAATAACACGGATATACCCACATTTATTTATTGTAAAGTGGCTATTAAATAAGATATTGACGAAGTTTATTAATTTAAAATATCATGCCATATAATTAATTCATTTCTTCTCTATTTTTTACGGAGTATCATCTTCAATCATCAAGTCATTCAAAAGGGTTTTCAAGAATGATGTAGTGTATTTCGCCTATCCCAATAAACGCTGTTAAACTTAAGGAGGAGCTCTTGTAATTATATCAAATAACTGGATTACAAAATACTTTTTCCTTAGTTGCTTATTATCACAGATCATTTGTAAGATTAAATTTTAAGGAATTTTAATCTTACACACACATAATATGGATACTTGATCGATATCAATATTGCTCTATATTTATTAATATAAACAATCCTTATGATATGAATGTAAACAGGGTAAAGAAATGCAATCCTGATTAATTTATCCGGTGCAGTTTTTACAGATCTAAACTGTAGTTTTCATTATTGTTTAATTGAAGGTTTATTGATAAATACTTTTATTGTTGAATTAAATCTACTCTAGATTATTTACCTATTAGTTTGAGTAATTTGTTTGATTGAGTGATGAAGGTTATGCTTATTAGAATATTTATTCTTATTATTATTAAATAGGTTCTTTTTCATGATTTTGTTATTGACTTACTATTTTTATCTTTGGATTTGAAGTGGATATAAATATCTGGTTTTTTTCTTACTCTTACATGGTAATTTAGGGATTTTTAGCATAATGACAAGTGTTCAAATATACTTCTCCATCAGTCATTGTCCCTTCTTTCATAATTAATAATTATATTATATATTATATTCTATTATTTTATAGGATAGGAAATATTTATCAGAGGGTTATGATATTGGCAGTTTTATACTTAGAGGATAGTTGTTCAACTTGGCATTCTTGAACTTCATAGAGAGGACATGAAAAATGATTAGTAGATATTTTGGTTAAGAAGCAAGTCTCACAAAATAGGAAATGTTAACAGGGGAACTAAATAACATTCCGTTCTGCTTGTTTGCATTGAATGCACAACAATTATTTAATCATTTAAATCTATGTTGAAATAAAAGATTACCCTTTGCTTAGTAGCAGAAGCCTTGGCCAGTTTTTCATTCGTTTAGTTTTGTTGTACCGCGATTTGGTTCTTCAAACTCTCACATTAATCCACTATTTAATCTTTTTTATTATGTAATTATTCTTTAGTTTTCGTTAGTTTTCTTATTTTTTGTAGATAGTCTATGCTTTGTTCTTCCCTCCTCATAGAGGACTTGTAAGTTTCAAGTTATCTCTAATTATTATAGAACCCAGCCAAGTTTGATTCTGCTTGCTCTAATTTTTTGATATTTATAGCATTATATTGTTCTTTGACACTTTCAAAACCTAAGTCCATTTCCCTTAATTTTATTTGCAATTAGACTAGCAAAGTTTCATTTTTGTCTTATGCCTATATCATTGTTTAATTGATATCTTTTGCTTACTCTATCTCTTTAAAACTATTTTGCAATTTCTCTTTCAGTAACACACTTAATTCTTCTTACTTTTAAAGTTACATTTACAATTGTTAAATGATTGGATCTTACTTTTAAGTAGACATTTAGATTGAGTCCTAAGTATTTTGATTAGTCGATTAAGTAACAACAATATTGAAAATACACCAGGGTTCGTCAAAACAAAAGTCTTTAACCAAATTCTATGATTCTGGTATCAAAAGCCAGAATTATTTTTGGCCTTTATTTTAAATGAATTGTAAATAGATTTCTGGATTTTTATCGAGTTTTGATTCACAGAATTCTAAGACTCTGGAATCTTCAAGCAATTTTTTGGTTATTTAGAAATTGTGGGTAATTTAGATTTGTTTGAGTTTATCCTATTTAATTTTGAAGGAGTAATCTCGATTGACTTATTCTAATTTATAATTATTATGTAGTTTAAAATAGGCTGCTTCCATTTTGGCGTGTCCGCCTAGTAAATTAAAGGAGATCCTATCAATTATTGATATGTTTGCGGCTTTTATTTGATTGAATTCAATTTTGGGAATACTCAATCGGGGATCTGCCGTGATCACTACATCTTAATCAAAAATATTATAAGCATCTTCCTTCATCATAATCATTTACTTTTAGGCATTGGGACGGCTTTTGTATTGCTTGATCAATTCTTAAATCTTCGACGATCCCGTTCTTCCCAATGGAATTGAGGACTTTGCTGATAATGATTTAAATTACATTGGAATCTTTAAAAATTGGGGTGCGATTCTCCTTTTTACAGATTGAGATGTGATGATCCCTTTCCGTTTACAATTCGAACACTTGTAGGCAAAAGGCGCAAAAATAATATTCACTATTCTATTTAATGAACATTGATACTTTCTCGTTTCACCATAGGTGGTAATTCGCTCGTTTATGATGTGGCATTTTTGCAGATGGTTGAGGTAATCCCAAACTGATGAAAATTTTATTAAATGTTCCTTTTATGGGCATGTGAATTTCATTTACAGTACAATAATTAAATAAATGATCAGATAAAGGTCAGTTAGTCAGAATTCAAAAACCTTAGAGTATGAATAGGTGAGAGACATCAAAACATCTTAGTTCCATAGAAAGATAGTGGTAATGGGATTTCCTATAATTGTAGCCTTTGCATCAAGAAAATAGCATGCTTAAAGATAGACTGCACAAAATGAAATTCCAAGTGGAGGACAACTTGCAATTGGTGATAGATGAGTTGGACAAGGATCTGCAATTGAAGGCCAAACTCATAGATTTCCAATAGTTGTTCGGATTGATCAAGGCCCAAATAAGCAAGGATCATGAGAAGATCGATTCATTACAAGAACAAATAGAAAGACTGCAATTTAACTTGAATCAGAGTGCTCAACAGAGAGAAGACGAGAGTTAAATGTACCAGCAATCCCAAGCCAACTTAAATGAATAGTTATAAAAGGAAAAGTAACAATTTCGTAGTGAGAGACTCTCGTTGGACGAGCAAATCAAAGTGCTTGCCTATTAGAACTACGAGAAAGAGTAGGAATTGGAGTAGATGAAGAAATAACTGCAATGGGAGTTAGATTAGAACCAGGAACTCATTTAAAAAGTAGAGAGGACAAAGAAGTTTGATTAAGAACTAAAGGACAAATAGGTATAGTATGAGACTACTATCTCTAAACTGAATTCATAGATTGAGACAGACAATCAGGTGTTCAAGAATGAGTTGGAATTACAGTAGTAGAAGTTGGAATCCAAATACAGACAGATGATATAGGAAAACAAGTCATTGACATAGTAGGTGTCAGAGATGAAATAAAATATTCATCAATTGAAATAATAGAAGGAATCCATGGAAAGAACACTCGAATCTAATAATCAGAAAATGAAAGACATGAAAGCTGGAGTTATCTCAGATAAATAACAGATGTCCAAAAACGAGAAAACTATTGAGGAACTATAAACAGAATTGACATTCTTTAAAAATAAGGTATCCTTAGATGAGAAGAGAGAGATCAAATTAAAGTAGTAATTGACCCAATAAGAGGACTAAATTCAAGAATTATTGTAAGTCAAGAACCAGTATAATAATTTAAGAAAAGTATTGTAATAAGAGCATCTAGTTGAAATTGAAAAAATCAACATTCAACATAATTAATAACTGAAAAGTTTGAATGAATAAATGTAAATATAAAGGGTTAAATATGAGAAATTACTTGGTAAACAGGTGGATATCAAAGAAATTGCTCAGTATTAACAAAAGGATTTCTCTTAATAATATGAGGATCCAGTTCATGTTTAGTATGTTGAAAATTTAGAATTAAAGATCGAAAATCAGACTTAACAAATTACACAATTGGAATAAAATATCAAATCTAATAATGAAGAGTACATTAAAGAAAAATAACAGATGTACAATTAATTCGCTCAAGAAAAACAAGTTCTTATAACTTAACAGAAGCAGGATTTATAAAGACAATTGGCAGAATTTGAAGAGTTTAAAAATAAATTATAAAGTGATTACAATTATAGGACCTAACTGTTAAGTCAACAATTCTCCTTTTAATTAGATTAATAGAAATAGGAATAGAAGCAATTGCAATAGATCATAGATTAATCTAAATTAAGTGGAGATGAGAAGACTAAATTGTTAGAGATAGCCTCGGAGGAGATTATGAATTTGAGAAAGAAATACGATCACGATATCTATGAGGAAAGGAATACTTAAAGACAAATGAAACATGAATTCGATAATGCTATCTCATAGAATAATTCAGATCATCAGAAACAAATTGATATTCTAAAAAGAGAAATTGAGAATCTAAAACTCTCATTATCTGACTTCCAAGAGAGAGATCAGGTCAACAAGTAGAAGATATCTGACTTATTGAATGAGCAAAAATAAGATCGTTCGAGTATCAATCAATTAGAGTTCTAATTGAATAAAAGATAGATTGAGATCTAGAAACTAAATGAAACCATCAGAGGACTCAATGCTCGTATATCCACGTTGTTGTTGGAAGTAGAAAATACAAAAAAGACCTATAATATATTTGCTCCTTCTTCTTCAAACTCATCCCACTATAATTTGAAAAAGCTAGAATTAGAAATACCAGGAGATCTGAGTCAATAACAAAGACATTCCTCTTCTGAATTGAAATTTAAACCTGAACTTTTGGTGCAGGACTTTGGAAAAAAGTCTAATAGGAATAGATCCTAATAAGGTTCTAGATAATACCAAATAAGGCAGATGCCCCCAGTATGAAAAAATCATGATTATATAGACATATAAATATTATATCATTGTTATAGTAATTCATAAATAAAATACAGAAGATAAATGCTCAGCAACATCACTCCCAATTTGTATGTCAATCTCAGTTTCTGTTATAACATCAAGAAGAACGAAGTGAGCACCACCGTCATGATGGCCAACATCGATTATGATATAGTTTCATCATAAAATGTGATATTCCTTTGCCAAATCAACATAGTCAAAACCCAAGGAAATCCTAAGCAGATTTATAAATTCATTATTTGACTGCCTATGATACTCGAAGTAGCCAACTCAGTTTTTTTATTCTTGGCAGCTAGTGAAGCATTTAAAATATCTATGATAAAGTATCAAATGTACCTTAGATATTTCCTCCCCAACTTGCTATTGTTAGTCCAACAAAGGCAGGACTCACTGAGAACTGCTCAACAAATTCATCAACAACAGTCATCGTAACATTGACAGTAAGAAAACAATAGAATGAAATTATAATAAACGCTAATTCTGGATGCTTTGGAATTGTAAACTTGAATAACAATGTAAAGGGCAATAATATTTTGGATGGCTATTATTCTTCTTATACTTGTTCCTACTGATTCTCTTGTCCGATTTCCTTGCCATCCACATCCAAATCTTCGGCTTGTTCAGGATGAAAATCGAGGAATTGCAATAGAGTTGGGAAGTGATGCTTTTGGTGTGAGAGTTAGAAATCGTCCTTCTATTCCATTTGAACTAAGGAGTATAGCAAGTAGGATGGGTAGAAGAGTGTTAGAATCAAGGCTTCTGTGAGAGAGATCTATTGATATTCATTACATTGTTACTTCGTAATCCCAAAAGACGAACGTCAAAAATAACAGTGTGAGCAAGTATACATATATGTCTCTCATCAATGCCTTTAGATTCATCCTCAAAGCTCTCTTGTGATAATAGTTTGAGAACAGTGACATCAAACCAAAACAAACAGTAAAGTCTTGTTGATACTAAACTAAATACCGAAAACTCCGCTTCCCACTATTGCTCCAAATCCATATCCTATTCTAGACGACTTGAAACAGGACAATATATTAGTTGTCAATTCTGGTATTGACATCCCCAAAGCCATCAAAATGCCCGTTCCTGTCTCACTTAGATGCCATTTCGTAGATAAAGACTCGAGACAAGCTAGGTTATTAAAGTAGTACGCATCAAGTAATCATTACTCAAGTATGTCTGTCCTGAAAGCACGTAAAAGAATAAAGCACTCAATATTATCATTAAAATTTAATTATGGGTCCTCCACCTAATTATATTATCACTAGGAAGTTGATTCGTCATTTCTTTAGAAAATACCTACCATAATAACCTATCACTAAAGGTAACGAAGGAGAAGACTTGGCCTAAGCAGTGGTATTTGAACTTTCATTTTTAGTCAAAATATGGTATTGATCATCCTTAAACAAAAATCGCCTTGGATCGTTTTGATAGCTCAGAAGCAGAGTCTCTAAAATACAGAAAAAAGTTGGAAGCCATGAAAATTCAATAAAAAGTTATGAGCACTTTAAAGACACCCTTTTATCATTATCATGAAAAGGGAAGATTTAGAAATGATCTATTTCCTAAGGAATGGACCATTTTCCATGGTGTCAAATGAGATTGATATATTACAACAATTAGCATATCACATCAAGTATTTTAGCTCATTATAATATTTTTGACTATTAACTGTAGTTTATAAAGTAAATACATGCCAAAATTCATATAAATGATTCATAAAAATTAGATAACCATTCATGTTTTCCATCTCCGGTATGAACATTCTATTTTATACTATTATTCAGATTCCCTATGAATATTACTTCCTCATATTATTTAATTCACTCTAACTAGATATATTGTAATCATATTATAATTTATGCTAATTTTATTATAATCACAATATTATCATCCTATTTAGATATATCAATAGGTAAGCCTTTTTTTGGATATAATCCCTTACTTTTACTACCATAAAATATTTTAAATTGACATCAAAATAATTATTATAATTTCTTATATTTTTAAATTTATTGAAGAATATTTTGATTACTCTTTCTATGTTCTATCTTCATTCTAAAGTTCTTCGATATTTAATTTTTTTATTTTTTCTTAAATTAAAAAGTTCAATTCATTTTAATGAACTAGGGTTGTTAACATGCGTAGTTGGTGTCAATATCCTTTTGTAAATTCAATAACTCTAACCAAGAAGGGTTGAAATATATTCAAGTTTACATCTAATAAACTATTAATTTCTTTTTTTTATGATATATATAATTCTTTTTTTTGATAGAATTATATTCTTTTGCTAAAAACAGAATCTATTTTAAAACCTTTTGTAGTAAATTTCTCTAATTATAAATCATTATATTATGTTTCAAGTATTTATTTGAAAGCCTTACAATTTTGAATCATTTCACATCAATTTATTTGTATACTTTGATATTTTTGAATATGAAAATAATCTAATTATGTAATAATCATCATCTTTAGCAATGTAGTGGCAATACTACTTAATCATTGGGTAGCTAAGTTAAGAATAACACTTTTCTACAGTTGAAGCAATATTTATATTTTTACCCAAGCCTCATTTCAAAATGATCTATTTCGTAAGTACATGCAGAATTCTTATGATATTATTTTTTACATTTTAAACACCATATTATTTAGCAATTCGAGCAATCAAATATATCCTAACCATAATATAAAAAAGTATTTGAACAACCTAACATTGGGCAACAAGATTTAAGTTATTGTGGTAATTTATCAAAGATTGATTTAAGGTATTCAATTTCTAATTGTTCTTAACAAACTGGGCAGTGATTACCTTAGACAAAAGAGGATATAGTTAAACATAAAAAATGAAATTGATGTTTGCATCTCGAGAGTATTGCTGTTTGATCATTTGATTTTTAATCAATAACAAAGTTACACAATTAACACATTTTTGAGTTTTAAAGATTCTATACTCTTTGTGGAGAAACCAAAATTTAATTGTTGAGTTGTTACGAATTGTCTTGCACCTTCTTTTATGAAGGCGTTGTCTAACATTGTTTTAATTTGGCTGGTTTGCAGAATAATACAAAATTCTTTATAAAGATCAATCATTACATTATCAACTAGAAAATTGTTATACTTATCTTCTTTGTAAAAGGGGGTTACCAAAGACTTGTCAATTTATTCGTTTACTTTTAATATCGATTTTATAGCTGATTTTAAGTCTGCGAAGGTGTGCAATTGTCTAATATATATGAATAATTTATACTTTCGTCCCCAAGCTATGCCAATAATAAAAGCATCCTTTATAAGTTCTTTTCCCTAGGAACCTGTTTCAATAATTTCTTCTATCAAATCAGAGATCATCATTTCGCAATATTATAAAAAGATTATTAATAAATTTTAGCAATTAATTGAATTATTAACAAGAATATTAAGTCATACGTTTGCATTCTAAACGTAAACTTTAATTTTCTGATTCTGAGCATTAAAAAGGATATTCCCTTTGTTCATCTTTTGATAATTCACATTGGATTTTAGGTTTAAGTAAATAAGATCAAAATATATTTAGGAGTTAATTGATATCGAAATAAGTGATATTAATAAATGATCAATCCATTTATAGATTTAAGGTTAATCATTTTTAATATAGTTAATTTAAATTAAACCTTTTAAAATATATTAAATTTTATAAAAATATAATAGAATTCAATAGTTTGCTTATTTTTAATTTATATTACTATATATATCTTATTGTTATTCCTACATATATTTATGAAAATTAGAAATATTTATATCAATACAGGTTTCGTAGCTCAGTTGGTTAGAGCGTCAGTCTAATAAGCTGACGGTCGAGGGTTCGATCCCCTCCGAAACCATTTTTTTGATTAATTTTACTTATAATATAAATCATGAATAAATTTATATTGTTAATCCTATTTGTTGTTTAAGTTATTATAAATCCTAATCGCCTTCTAAACACAATATCTTCCTCCTTACCTGTGGTGTTTAAATTTATTCAGTTAATTCTCATTTAATATATTCTTGAATTAAATACTATATGGACGACCATTTGTGATTTGTATAAGTTTAATACTGACTAAAGGTATTTGAGTTGCCTTTAATAAATTAGCTTTAGTAAATGTATTTATATTTTCTGAATTATTTCAATTAGTAATTTTCTTATTTTGAAAATAAGGACATCTGGAGGAATTATATTCTAATACTCCATTTAATTCTTATAGTATGATATAATATACTAGAGATTAATTAATGAATCTTTTAAGTATCTTAGTACGTAATACAAAATTTTTGAGTAAATACTACATAAAAGTCTTAAATGGCATTCTGTAATAGAATATATAAAATATAAACTAAAGATAATAGAGAGTTAATTGAGGATAGAATATTTCTGGAGATTAGCATTCATTTTACTAAAATATAGATATACAATTGCATTGATCCTGCGAATAAAATGGCTATATTTAATGTATTATTTCATTAATTATTATATATAAGTTTATCACTTGATTTATATTATTTCTTTATTATTAAATTTTCACCCAAATCAATAACGTCTGGTCTACTTTGTTTTTTTGACGGGCTAATAGAAGCCAAGCTCTGGGTTTTTTGGAAAGTCTTTCTAAATCTTGAATCATTGTTTCTCTTTAGTGCTTAAATCAGCATTTCATTATGGAGAGGAAATCCTTTGGTGTTTTTGCTGATAGATTCATCAGTCTTATTAGCTGAAACATTCAAGGCTTATTTTAGCTTTTATTGCATAGGTTTGAGAGTGTTTCTGACATAGTGAGTGATCCTTCTTTTCCTCTCATCATTGGCTAATCTAGGAGAAAAGCTTATTTGAATAATTACTAAGTTTATTGGCTAGCAATATTATAGATGTTGACAAAGAGTTGATAATATGAGGGTTTTCCTTTATATTCACTAGTTGATTAGTGGACCTTCCTTGGAGGCGGTCTCATGAGATAATGAAATTTGTTCTGCTTGCATACTTCCTCAATTGATTATCTTCTATGGATGTGTTGATTGAGTTTTGTGAGTTCAAACTTGATTGAGGTCTTATCCATCTGATGGAAATTGAATTTGGCTTCGATGGTTTATTCTAAGTTTTCTCTGATCAATTGGAAGACGTAGTTTTGAAACAATTAGGCATCGCAAATGAGAACTTCACCTTTTTCTGATTAGCATATCAACGAGAATGGTCTGGAGTCGATATTGTTGAGGATTTCGTATTCTCCAATGATCTCTCCTTCAGAGATGATGCCAATAGTTTGAACTTCCTGTTCATTTGTTCGCTTGACGAGGGAATACTAGCCTCTGAGTATGAAAAACACGCAATGTGCTGGATCTCCTTGATTGCATACTTTATCCTTATAACAATGGGACTGTTAGTAAGAATTGATGTAGAATTTCCTTAGTGTAATTGAATAATACTTTCAATTCCTTGTATTATATTTCCTTAAATAAGCAGAAATCATACAATCTACTAATTTCAGAGTTCATTTTCCGTTATTCTTGTTAGTGAAGGTAGGCATGAAAATATTGATAGTTGAGAGTGGCAACGAATGTTTATTTCTTAGCTTTGATTATCAGACCATACCTAATTAGAGATGGTGATTACTATTCAAAGATATCTTCCTTTGCCATACAGAATAGTTGATGTCCAAAGTGTTGATACATTTTAATCGATTAAACCTCCACAAACTCTACGTCCTTGAAGTTTTCTGGCAGCAAACCAACGGACAAATAGATTCCTAGTTCTCCTTACAAGATGACATAGAACTTCTTTTAATCCTCAGCAATCTAGTCAAACCTCTTGTATATCAATTGATTTGGATGAAGTACTTCATATCTCATTTTCTAGTGTTAAAAGTGCAAAAATTACACTGCAACAATTTCTAATGATTTCATCATTGTATCCCTGAAAACATTGGAACTATCTAAAATATTTAGACATGTAAAACACTTCTACGGGAGTTCTCTCATTTCTGTGTTTCTGCAATGCTATGATGGCTAACTGAGACTCTAGAAATATTGGTCATTACTTCATCATAATAATTATCTGGAATTTATTGCATGATTAAATAAATTAATACAAAAATATAAAATAGTCACAAAAGTTATGGTAGCTTTAAAGGCCGATTAGAGAAAAGAGCACTATCATTTGACGGCAAATCATTGGATGCCAAAGTGGTTTGATGAGGAGTTCGATCAAGTTGGTGGTACTTCAGAGAGGTCGAATCAAAGGATTACTCGTACTTATTGACTCTGATCTGTCTTCTCAGGAACTGTTGAGTAGGCACTGACTTTTGTTATTTCAATTGAAATCGCATTCTCGGCACTTCCTCGTCGACTTACTCCAAACTCAAGAGACTGACTTACGATTTGTTGTGATAATCCTTGCTTCTCTGTGTGATCACCACTTGAGCTTATTGTTTACCATGATTTTGGGCTTTAACTAAGAGTTTCTGCAAATCACTCTCCTTTTATGAGAATTCTTCATCAGAGACATCACTCTCATCTAAGATTTACTTGATGCTATTGTATGATTTGATTTCTATTTAAGTTTACAATCTAACTACTTTAGTTAATTGTCTGATGTTATCCACATCCCTCATTGACATATTCCTGAATAATTGAGGCTACAATCCAGGCACTGTACTCAATGACATGTTATATCTCGGTTGCTATAATTTGATTTCCAATTGTTTAAGGGAGGAATTCGATTTCAATTTGGCATTCATCAATTTATATTGAGCCTTTATGTACAAGTCATAGGCGTCATCAACTACGGTCTTCTTCTCTTTTGTGATTATCAGATTACGAAAAGCCTCGTACTTCTTTTCCGAGTCCATTATGGTTTTATCACATAATATGTTGATGTATTATTCCCTCCTTATCATGTATGACAGGAAAGTCAGCATGGCTCCAACACTCAATGGGACGTACTTATTTTCAATTGCATTCAATTGCAGTGTATTTTACATCTTAGTCATCATATTTCTAAATGCTTTCAAAGCAGACGGATTTTCAGTAAATGCTTTAAACTCCTAGTAATTTAGAGCCCAATCTCTGTCCTAATCAATGTAGGAGTAAATCACTTTGAGATCATTCTTACTGACTTCGAAACCAAAATGCTTAAACATGAGGAACATTTCAGCAATATCCAAAGTCTTCGAATCATTGTAGTCAAATACCTATATAATCATTACACAACTCTTTACATTAAATATTTGTTTCAATTCCATCTGAATTCTTCGCTCCTCTGGGTAAAACAGATATTGTGGTTTCACCTTATCAGAATACCTGCTCTTAAACCATTGATTCTAAGGTAGATTATGAAATTTATTTCTCTTATTCAACTTTCTCATCTCCTCGTCATCAAGCTTAGCAATGTCAGGAACTTAATTCCAATCAACTTTATACATAAAATAATAATCTTAAAATTTACATGCATTATCCAATCAAATAATTAAATCCAGAAATTATATTGAAAGTGTTCAAGTACGTATTTTCATACAAATTTTGAATTACCAAGGTTACCTCTTAAATTCATGATGATATAATGAATTAAGAACATGTATTTTTAATAGTAAATGAAATAGAGTAATTGCAATAAATTCTAGTTAAATTATAATATTGTATGTGCATTTCAAATATCAATTGTGGAAATTCCAAACCATAAAACCGGTGGTTCCCATAAATGCTGCCCATCCCCAGAGTTCATAAAAACCTCTAAATCCATCATGATATTAGCGAATCACTTATCTGAAAATTGAAAAAGTGATTACCTATGTGTGCCATTGCAAAAAGGAGCATTGGCACTCTATTTGCAATTACACAATTTATAATATCCTGATGTATCAACATTAAATTTAATTGGTCTATTTCTCGTGACAGAGGCATTGCACATTCCATCACACCATGGATTTGATTAAGAGATACCGCATGAACACCATTAGTAGATCTGAGATAATGCATCACACAATCAATACCTTTCCCTTTTGGAGATAACAATTGTAGGGATAGAAACCAGCAACATACGGGACTGAAGCGGGTCTATACTTACCTTCTGGATATGGAATGGACTCTGGGAGCAGGACAAATTTCTATTCAGGGAAATCAGTAATATCATCCGGTTTTCTTTCCTTCCTGGCTGTTATTATGAAAATTAGGAGAAATTCTTACGTGGTGGAGGAGTGACTATTTCTGGAGGCAATGTATAGGGGTCTCTAAGATGGGCTTCTCCGTGTTGGAGGATTGTAGAGACAGATCGATATTTAGCTGCCTTCTTCAAGATTTAAGACATCCAAATTAAATTAATTAATGGATTCTGCAATAGGCTCATATATTTGCTAAACTATTGATTGTAGTAAGCCTGCAACATTGTAATGTCCAACTTGTATAAAAATGTCTTTGGCTCCAGCATACTTTTGCGATTAAGAATGCTTCAAACGCTATTGGCCAATCCATAAGACTTATCACAAAAAATAAGAAGAGCAGGATGATCAGAAAAACAAGTTCAAATTCACAGGTCCACTCAGACCAGGTAAAATATCAGCAAGACTATTTGTTCCTGATCACATTAAAAAACCTGAGTGGTATTTAAGTGGATAGCCAACTGAGGAGATGAAAAGTAAACTTCAATAAGTGGTTGATTGCAAGACTCCAGAGGACATTCAGAAGATGAGAGAGTGTGCAGCTATTGGTATGGTTTTATTTTCTAATGTTTTGTTAAGGCAGAGGGGCATTAGATGCTGGTCACGCTGCAGTCAAAGCAGGAGTGACAACCGATGAAATCGACAAGATTGTTCATAAATACATTATTGATCATGATGCCTATCCATCTCCCCTCAATTACAATGGATTTAAAAAGTCCCTATGCACATCTGTCAATGAAGTGATTTGCCACGGCATTCCTGATGATAGACCTTTAGAAAATGGGGACATCGTGAATCTCGATGTTTCTGTTTATTTCAAAGGATTTCACATAGATTTGAATGAAACCTATTTTGTTGGTGAAGTAAGTGAATCATCAAAGTTCCTTGTTGAAAAAGCCTACACTTGTTTGCAAAAAGCGATCGAAATATGTAAGCCAGGCACAATGTACAGAGATGTCGGAAATGTCATTGAGAAATATATCACTGAAAATGGGTTGGCTGTCAATAGAACATATTGTGGTCACGGAGTCGGTTAACTTTTCCATTGTGCTCCAACGTAAATTTAGATTGTTAAACTTAGTATCCCACATTATGGCAAGAACAAGGCTCCTGGATTCATGAAGGTTGGACATACATTTACAATTGAGCCTATGATTAATTAAGGAACTCATTAAGATATCCTCTGGACATTCGATAATTGGACAGCAGTATCTATTCACTTAATAATTAGGTTACTGCTGATGGCTAGCGTTCTGCTTAATTTGAGCATAGTATTCTAATTACAGAGGGAGGATGTGAAGTATTGACAGCAAGATTGCCTACATCACCACCTTTAGACTTTAAAATATGAGTGGTATAATTTTATTAGAGTTTAATATGAATTCATATCATCTACCTATAATAATTATTTATAATTATAATTATGTCTTCTGAAAATAAGGAAATAATTGAGGATAAAATTTACAAATAACAAACCAAAATAGATCAATTAGCAAGGAAATCTTTTATTATGAGAAAGATAGAATAGCCAAAAGATGAACATGAATTGTAATTACTTAAAAGAATTGAAAAGTATTTATTACCTTTTCAGAAAGAGCCCGCTATGAAAGAGAAGAAACTAAAATTATTCAATCTCACTAGATTTCATCTCCTCATTTTTGGTAGATCTTCATGAAGAGACACTACGATTTAGGTGCTTGGCTTTTATTGGATGTAACAACTAATTTTGCATTGTAATTCAATTATCCTAAAATTGGTTAGATATTTCTTTGACACCATTAGAGTCAGAACACAAGCACAGAATAAGTACGTAGATATTTCTCATTTCAATCAAAACAATGTCAAAAACCTTCCCATCTATTCTGGACTTCATTATAAACTATCCTATGTAATCCTGAGTGATATTTTGCGAAATTTCACAAATCAAGTGAGATATCAATTATTTATGGATCCCTCCTCCTAATTCGGTGTAATTCATCAATATGATCATTTAGAACTATAATTAATTAACCAAAATTTTGATACATGGATTGATTGCAGAAACTACCATCACAACACTATTATTGCCAATTGAAATAAGAAAGATGGTAGTGTAATTGGGTTCATTTGATGCTAACATGAATCACTACATCAAATCATATATGAGATGCTATTTCCCAGCTTTAATTAGGGATTCCCTCTTCTTTGTCAGTCACTCAATCACTTATAATCTACTGATGTATGGAGACCATTACATAACTTCACTCTTTAGATCTGGGGAATTCACTCCACCACCTGTAATCCCTATTTATCATATGCTTTTTAGAATATCTTAAGAGGTGAAAGGGAAAGGAAGTTTACATGCATGCTAGGATCCTTAGGATTATCGATTTTGATCACGAATCCATTCGATGTCTTGGTCTCCAAGTTGGCCACTCAAAGAAATGTATTGATTTAATACCAAATTCAGGAATCATACACTAACCCATTCTAAGCATTTAAGTTCATAGTGTCTCAGGAAGGATGGTCCAAGCTAATTGCCAGTGCCATCTCTTAAAGAATTGGTTTCTACTTCCTCAAAGGACTGGTGTTCTTTAGTTATTAGGATCGTGTTTATTAGATGTTCCATGATGCATTTAATTATGAGTGACTGTCTATATCAGCTAAAACATATAAAAAATTGTATCACAGCCTGTTTGCCCGAGCTGGTTAAGGGGGCAGACTTAAGATCTGCTGGAGCCTACTCCGCGTCGGTTCGAATCCGACAGCAGGCAATTTTTTTTATTTTTTTTTTAACGAAAAATATGTAAAATTTGAAATTCATTAATAATGAACTAGAATCCTAGCTCAAGGCTTCTCATCTTGAGACCAGATAGCTCAAATAAGAAATCATAAAAATTAATCAACTCAATGCTCAATTAAAGGAGTAATTGCATCAAATTACTATTAACTCTGAAATCGAGGATCAATACAAGCAATCACTTATTGAAAATAAAATGCTTAAGAAAGAATTAGAATTTTAGTATCCTATTTTTAGTAATTATCGTTTAGCTAGTTACAAGAACAATCAAAAGTGGATTAGATAGCATCAAAACCCTCTTATGAGTAATTAGAAAAAGAGCTCAATGATTTACAAATATTTTTTAAAAAATACTACAACCTTCAAGAAACGTAAGAAATCAACAATATATCGTATCTAGGCTCTTGAATAAGATCCCCATTTAGTTACTGAAGGATTGCTGGTTGGCTATTAATTAAACCTTTAAATCTCATTTCAATATTCATCAAACTATTTAAAATATTCAAGAAGAAGTTTCCCTCCTTGAGTAGGATTATAAACAAATCTTGCATGCGAACAAAGACAACGATTCTGAAATCCAATACTTAGCCAAATGTAAATATAGAAATAAATTAATTAGAAAACATAATTGTTGAAAGAAGAGTTGAAATAGAAAAATGCAGAAAAGAAATTTAAATAAAACAATTTGAAACAAAAAAAATGGAATAAGAATTGGATGAACTCTAAAAAGAATTTGATTATATTTGTAAAATTGAGCAGAGAAGATTCAATCAATAAATTGAAATTGAAAAATAATTAGTACAAGTCAGATAAAAAACAACCTAACCAGTTGTTGAATAAAAAACCTCAGTTTTGCCTGTCTAAAGAAGTCGATAACATTCTGATTACTTCAGACCCAATCAGATATCTATTGACTCTTAATAATCAATCAAACCTTTAATACTTCGAGCCCCTAAGCATAGCGCAGTGTAATAAGAAGCTGAAAAAACTAATCTAGAAAAAACTATAGATTAAACAAGATAAAAATTAAGTAGACAATTAAGTTTAGCCTCCAATCTACGTGAATCAACAAAATGATATTATTATTTATAAATTGAAAACTCTCATTTTTTATTTATTAAAGTTTTAAATATCGAATAAAAAATATCAATGTGTTCTTAATCAAACACTATGTAATTCTAATATTTACATGTATAAAATCAATAAAAATGAATTGATAATGCATTACCTAAATATTATTGTTTAGCATATTTAAAATATTGTAAAACATATATGTAAATAAGTATCAGAATTATATAATTGACTTACAATAATTATTATTTAATGAAATTATTACTTCTTAGGTTTGCTAGAAGTTTATGTATTTCAACTGTTTTAAGCGTACAGGCATAGATTATGAAACTATCTCAGATTTAGCATCAAAGCCTCAAAATTATTTGAAATTAATAGAAGATTTTTGTTTAAGATATAGATTGAGAAACCAGTAACACTCATTAGTCATAAAAAATGAAAAATAAGAGTTGTATGTATATGATAATCTATCAAAATTATTTAAAGATGTGGCTATATTAATATTTATAATAAAAATAAAATTTTATGTACAGCTTATTATAATTTCATACTATAAAGAGGATAGTCAAGAATATAAATATGCTCATGATGTTGTTGTAATCCTACTTAACTACAAGGTGTTAATGTGAGAGTAAATACCTTATAAGTTTATGTAAGGAAATGAAAATTAATTCTTAACTGTATTTATTGATGCTGAATGTAATGATGACCATGAATTATATTTTTTGTTTAAATTGATGAGCAACAATTAAAAAAGATCTTTAATTCCTTTGAACTCAAGATCTTTTTTGCAATTTAGTTCTCTAATGATTAATTTAAATGTGATAATCCTTAATTAGATAAGAATTTAATAAGTACATAAGAAATGTCATTTCAATTTTGATAGTGATTAAATTAATTATTTATCCAATTTAGATAGATGCTTGCTATATAAGGAATAAAGTTCTGAAATGCATTTCAAATAACTCAATAAATCTCTTCGATAATTTTTAAAAGTATTCTTGTGATATATTATAATAGATCAGGAAAGGATAAGTTAATTTGGAGCATTAATTAAATTATATATTCTAAGAATACTAAATGAATGATAAATAAGTGGAAAAACTAAAAATAATTCGATTGTATTCGATAGACAAAAGTGAAATCCTTTAAAAAGTATATAAGAGAAAAATTGACTCAATTTAAAAAGGAGAAAATGGGGAATCAAAAGTCTAGAAGGAAGGAGAAATTGATAATAATTAATCAATCAAGGAAAATGGGCAAGTCAATTATAAAAAAAATGATATTGTTAACATATAGTTTCATTGTTTTTTCTTATTTGAACCAATCAATTTTTATGCTTTCTACACTAATTGTTTATGGTAGTCTATTAGAGCACTAGTAGATAATTTAGATATCGGAGTGTTTTAGGTTTTTTTCTTTTCGCAGTCTCCATTAAACGAATGCAGTAAATAACGACTATTTGTTGACAATGTACGCGTTGGAGATTTTGGAGATGTGTCTACTTTTGGTATGTGGCTTTATCGTCTTGATATATAGGGATTGTGTAAAGGTTTTTAAAACCGTGTAGGCTTATTGCCCATATGTGGTTGGGATAAGACTCTTGTTCTAGTTTGCTAAAAACTATTGGACATAGGGTGTTTTTGATCTAGGAATTAGGTTAAGTAGGTCTTCATTTGATTTGATTCTTACCTCCATATTTTTAGGGTTTTGCATGCTCATTATAATCAGTTATTATAGTCGATTGCGTTCATCTTAGTAGTATGATTTGTTAGTGCTACTTGTGTTTGCTTTGGTTGATTACTTAGTCTCGCGATCTGTCCGCATTTTGGCAGATTTAATCATCACATAGTGCTCTTTGGTTGTAATTAACATATAATATATTGCATATTTAAATTTATTCATAAGTTATTTGAAACAGTACCATTTTCTATTTTGTTCTTTATTTCTGAATTATCAGCCCAGCAGTTATATTTTGCACTAAAGTTGATGCATATGATTTTTATCTAATTTAAATTGATTCTAATTTAACAAAGATGTGATCAAATCAAACTCTTGTTACTGATGTCAGAATTAAAGTGTTTAAATCAAATTAAAACTGTAGAAATAAAATATTCTTTCAAATACTGATTTATTATTACTAAATTCATCAAGACCAAATTAATTGAGCAATGCATGTGTAAGGCCAAGTTTCAATTGTTGGTAAACTCCCTCTCTCCTCTTAATACTTTTGTATTATTGGATTTCCCTTTAAAGTAAGCTAAACATTTTTTGCTCCCTTTTTATTAAGGATATCAATAGTTTCCTCAAAATCCTTCAAATCACACAAACCAAGTTGATTATTAGATAAATTTAGAGTGTATAAGTATTACACATTGATTGATTACAGCAGGTCTTTCAGCATCTAATCAGATAGCTAAGAATTCATAATTGTAATGTCAATTAAAGGTACATCTTTTAAATCATTTTCAGCATTATAATTCTCTATCACACTATTATCAATATGAATGGCTTCAAATTCACCCATTGAAAAGTATATATCGTCGAAGTTGTTAAAAATTCCCTTATTATGAAAATAATCAGATTGTTCTTGTTCAGTCATTTCGAAATAATCATCTTCCATAAGCGCAGCTGAGATCTCACCTATTCTTATACCTATGCCGCTTAATTTTGATATCTCTCCAAATTCAGGATGTTGAGTATTTTCAATTATAATTTTTTTTTCCATTTATTATAATAATTCATTATTGATGTGATTTGTTTTTAGATGAAAATTAATTATCATTCCAAAAACCATATAAACTAAATCAAAAAAGTAAATAAATTGTCATTACTTAAAACAATACAATTTATCAAATGATTTTAATCAAACCAAAAAGATTTAATAACCATAATAACTATAAGAGAAAGTTAGATTAAATAAAATTCTAAATATTTATAATAAAATCCATTAATAAAGAACTTAATTTAAATTATATTATAGACTACAAATTGTTGAATTTCTTTACGAACATATTTTTAATCAAATTCTATTAAATACTTAATTTTTCATATTCATTAATAAAGATTTAATTACTTAATTTTAGAATAATTAACAAGACACATAACTAATATTTATAAAATAGTTATATCATCCTTGTGAAATATACAAAAAACAAAACGTTATGATTTTTAATATATTCGATCTAAAATCTAAAATAAAAGAAGATCATTATGTTAGACCGAATTTAACATTCTTATCTTTAAAACTTAATATATTCAATCATTCTAATCCATTTTTATTTCATTTTCATCTTGATTAATTCTTAGCTTAATATTCTATTCAATTTATTAATCGCACTGTAAAATTTATGCAATCAAAATAAGACTATTAATTAAATCTTTAATTAATGATATTAAAGAATAAATTGATTTATTACTTCAGTTCTATTTATATATTGTCAATTCCAAATCAAATTCCTAGCTCCTCAAGTAATTATCTTGGCATTTGTCAGTAATTGGAATTTATAATTTAGATTTTAGAAATAGATTTGAATTTTGATTGATTCTTCAAATCGTTGTTGAGAAATCTGAGTTAAAACAATATATTATATGAAAAAAAGGAAGGAATCCCCCTCCAATTTATGAATGAAGAAACTAATACAAAAAAAAAATCAAAAATATTATTCTCTTATTTTCTTCAATCCTTCTTTTAAATTTCTCAGTGTTATAATTTGATTATCTTAAATGTTTTATAGATTTTATTAACTCTATTATAATCTTATAATATTATTACACTAACTCTTCTAAAGTTTCCAATTCTATATATCTTTCTAGTTTTGTGCTTATTTAGCAGTTTAACTTTTTCAAAAAATCTTTAAAATTGGTGATCCTTAGATTATTTATTCAAGTAAACATAACAGTCTGCAGTTCTATAATAAACTAAGTGATTAGTAAAGCTATATATACCTTCTATCAACTCTTAATATTTTACACTAGTTTAATTGATAACCCAAAAGTGAAAATGGATTTCCTTAGAACTAGATGTCTCCTGTTTTGAACAATATTCCAGATAATAATTTTTTTTTGATTTTCTTATTGTTCCACAATATTTAAACACTTGGTCAATTTTATCTAAATTGTCTATAACCAAAACATTAACATTGCTTCGATCTTTTACCTCTGTTTCCTCGTCAATCGAAGTTGTCTATCACTATTGGTAATATTAAATTACATTTGTTTCTTTTTCTGAATTATCAAATCCTCTCTATTAACCCGCAATTTCTTAATCTGATCCATAAAAAATCAAATTTTATTGCCAGGACATTTTGGCTAATTCAATATACTCCTCAAGAGAGTCAGCATGTAAGGCTCCTAATCTTTAACGCATATCTGAATTTGCAATTTTTAAATAATAAATTATCCTAAAATATTTGGGTATTCAATTTCAAAAAATTTATATTCTATGCTAAATTTAAGTAACTTAATCTTCAATCTAGAAATCACATATTTCCTCTAAGAATTAAATCCCTAGATATATTCAATGCATATGTCAAAATTAAAGATCCTAATCTTTCGATTTAAAAATTTGTATCAAAAATGATGTGAGACTAAGATAATTGACTTTAAATTTAAATACAAACTGATCCATAAATTAATTTTTGATTAACTATTCCTTTTCACCATTTAATAAAACAGAATCTAAATTATATAACTTAATCTTCTCTTTAATTTATTAATTTAGTTATTTATTATTTGATACCATCCAGATGCTTGTAGTTTAAGCCAAATAAAGATAGAAGAAAAATAATGATGAGAGTTTTTAAATTTCCATAAACTATCTGAAAAACTTATCCGCTTTTAATATGTATTTTTCTTATTTAACTAAAGTGCTTACTTTAGATAGATAATGTATTCAATATGTTAATGTCATTTTTTTAATATCAAATTATAAAGTATTACCCAAATATTACCTAGATATTTTATAGTAAATTAACATAGACCATTTCTAAAATGCTCCAGTTAAAGAAATAAATTCCAATGACTAAAGTACGTATTATTAAATTAAATAATAATTAGGAATTATTTAGAATTCAGACAAGCTGTTGAACCTAATAATTCAAGTGTAATCCTCTACCAATATTATTTTATTATCTATATAAAGTGAAATAAATTAATATGCTTTTATTATTTAGACAAAAAGATTTATTTAAATGCCTTTATAAAATAAATAAAATGATTCATTAAAAGTCTTATGTCTTAGCTTTGTATTTATAGCATAAATTTACGTAATGCCCTAATTGATGTTTTAGAGTGAGACCAAAACATATTCAGAACGTAATTTCTATTTTTAAACCTAAGTAAATATTGGTATTTCATTATTTTGTGAAGCGTTATTACAGCTTGAGTCAGAAGCACTATATTAAAACAATTAACCTTTTATAGATGCTTATTACTTATAAAACCTAAAGATGAATTATATTCTAAAATGCCTATAAATGTCTTTCGTAATAACCAGTTTATTGAGTATTCCAACAACCTAAAATTGAGACTCTTTAAAGTATTATGGTTCAGAAGATCATAGTATTTTGATCAATTTGATATTTTGAAATTTTTGCTCTAGAGAAACGAAATATGACATAATATTGAAATTTTTTTAAAAGAATCTAGAAAAGCCTATATTTTGAAATAAGACAAAATGAAGATATAGATTTAGATTAAAATGTGATTTCTTTATTGACTAGGTTTAGTGCTTAAATTGAATTAAGAAATAAGTCCTGCCTAATTTTAATCTAATTAAAAGTGTTTGTAAATTTGAAGAAAAAAGAGAAAAATAACTGAATGAGGGCATACTTGTTATTTTTAAAGAGTATAGTTAGAAGAAGTCACTTTCGATATAATAAGATTCTATATAGAGTTTATTGAATCAAACTATGGGTTGTAATTGTAAAAATATTGAAAAATACATCATTTCAATTTGTTATCGAATTCAACGAAAATTCAAATACATACAGAAGACAATGTATTATTAATTTTCTAATCATAATACCATGTAATGTAAAATTATATTAAAAACAGTTATAAAAATGATGTTTGTTCCTTCATTGTTTTCAATTATAAGTTGACTTATTGAACAGTTTATTCAGTCACTCCAAAGTTATTGTGTTATTTGGCTACAATAAACTCTTTCAGGAAATTGTAATTGATTCACAATTGTTTTAAAAATGATGTATCTTTCTTATATTATGAATATTATTTAGAAGTTCGGTTGATTCAAAAAAGGAACCTGATATCGTTTTCAAAGTGCAATCAGATTCATCATAAGTTTAAAATTAATGATAATTAAGGTATGGATTAAATTTGAGTTGAATTGAGGTAAAATGTAAAATTACTGAAAGCATTCGGCTCATCAAATTAAGTCTGAATTATTATACTCTGTTTAAAGGAGTATTTGCTATTAATAATAATACATTAAATAGTGTAATTGAGTATATTAGATTGTTTTTTAAATCTTTTTTTACTAAAATATTAAATAATAAACATACATGGGATAAAGTTGTTGTAACAAACAAACAATAGAATAAAGTAATGAGCACATGACAGAATTGTGTTAAAATATGGATGGAGTCAAATTTTGTGAAAACCTTGATGATATTTTTAACTCAAAGGAATGTAACTCTAATCAAGCAAGAGTTCTAAGCTCTTAAATAATATTTACATTTTAATAATAGTTGCCTCTTACATTATCATAGGAATGTAGTTATTATGAAAAAATGAACAGCATTTAAAAATACAACTTTGACGAAGAAAGCCCAACATTTAAGGCTTAAAAAAACGTACTATCAGAAAATGATATATATCGAGATTGATTGAGTTTATACTACTCTCTTCAAAAAATACATTGAATTCATTTAAAGAATTAAATAAATTATAGACATTATCCCTATATTATTATTAATTAAAATTAGTATTCATATCATTAAAAGTGGCTATACATCAATAATATAAAAAATGTTATCTAAAGGAAATCAATTAGTAAATGATGAATCTATCTTGAAAAATAAATAACAATATTATTTTGAAGAAGTAACCAAATATCTAATAATTTTAGAATAATGATGGTTTATTTAGATTAATAATTATCGATATAACTAATTATTTTATCAATTGCTATTTCAGGTTTATTACAGTATAGTATCGATAATAATCTACACAAATCAAAGGTATAAATGAATTTTGTTGAATACGTTAGGATATGTTATGCATAGAAATCTTAATAAAAATCAATTTTAATGAAGTTGGCTATGTAATTACAAGTAATTTATTATTGGATATGAGTTTAAAATGCAAAGAAGCTATAATTCTAATCATAAATTAAAATAAATTGATAAAACTTCTTCATAATCTAAGCCAAATTAAAAAATAAAATTTCATTTATGAAATAGATATTTCTTATAAATCATAACAACATCACTATTGGCCATGTCTTAATTAGTTCCTGATTCGACAAACACTTTAACTTTTCCACTCTTCCCAAATGCACTATCAATCTTCCCTTGAATATTCCCTTATTTGATAACAATCAACTTTCCTATATAATTCGCTATATTTGTTTCTTTCTTGAATAAATCCTTAATAAGTAAGGTGTAATTGTCAATCACCTTTTCTACCTTTCCATTTTTAGTCTTCTTTCTGAAAATTCTTAAAAAATTCTATTGAAATAATTATTAAGTTGTGTAAGAGTACAGAATATTTCCATAAAATGCAATTCTACATATATTTGCTTCTAAATCAGTATCCAATTTTGAAGCAATAACTAAAGAATTCATAGATGCAATTAATGGTTTTTCCAATTGGAGTACACCAAACAAATTGTATTTTTCTTGAAGTTTTACATAATCTAAAAATGATAATAATAAACATCATACCTTCATAATCCTCCAGGTATTCCCCTTCACTATTGATCTCCAATTACAAATTCTTGGGTCTTATGATCAATTTCAATTATCCCATTACAGTCAAATGACCCGAAGTGATATGAAATTTATTTTAAGACTTTAATTATCCTTTATAATAACTAATCTTCTTGAAATCAATAACGATGTTTTCTAACAGTGATACAATCCCCGGTTAACATACAATCCCCCTCTCAATCTCTTTTGCATCTAGATTAGTGAATAAGGCAGCTATTCTATCTCCAGGTTCTCCAATCTAAACAGGTTTCTTGAACATTTATAGACTTTTGATCTTTTTATTCAAATTGAGCATAGGAAAATAGACCTCATCGTTTGGTTTCATTGATCCTTGTATGATCGTACCAGTAGTGACTGTTCCTTATCCCTTTATTTAGAAGCAATGATCAATCATAAACAACAGACCTTTATTCAATTAGGCTTATCGATTGGGGACAGTGATATTTTGAAGTAAAATTCCTAATAGATCTTCTATTCCAAGTGCTTATATGGCTGAGACAGGTACTAATGGGACCTAATTTCCAAACTTTGTCTTGGATAGGACATTAGCAATAATTTTCTTTTGTTTATTAATTACTTCCTCAGTTGCTAGATCTATTTTGTTCAAGACCACAATTAATTTATCAGCCAAAATCTCACCAATGACTAAACATTCAGCAGTTTAAGTTTAAATGCCTTTAGTCACATCAATCACTAAAAACATCATATCAATAATTTAAGCTCCTCCTATGATTGTCTTGATTAATGATGCATGTCCGGGACAATCGACTAAAGTAAATTGAAAATATCTTAAATGATTTATTGTGGATACTTTCCCTATTCATTCGGATTACGAGTGTAAAATGCACTGAACCCCAGATCCAAAGTAATTCCCCTCTCCTAACTCTAAGGGTTCTTGTCTAATGAGGCTGTTGATGTTATCTAATTGGTAGATGGATTAATTACCTTGGATAATGTCTTAACCAGTGATGTCTTGCCAGAATCAATATGTCCTAAGACACCAACATTAATGTTAATGGTATTTAATTTATTGACTATTTCTATTTCTTGTTATGAGATGAATAAACTTTATTCCATTTATTAAGTATATAAATAAATCAATAATGATCTTCATGCATGATTTAATATTCAACCTTCTTCTCTTGAGTGATTCCTTGCAACTACAAAGAATACTCAGCAATTGCTTTTTCTTTTGTTACTGGGTTCTCCCTATCATAGTCAGTATCGAACTCAATCTATGCCTTTTTATATGAGACAGGCTAATGTCATATATATATTATTAATACATCTTCAAAGTTCTTGACTGGAAACATGGCATCTACACAACGATGTATTGGTAAGAATTGAAAACTTAATCCAATGATCACTCCAATAGCAGAATAAATATCAAACTTTTAATTTAGAAACATTGAGACTGCTGTATTACCCAAAGGATTAAATAGGACAACGAATTCTAACATATTTATCATTTGCCATGATAATTATTAGGATATATTTTCCTTCACAGTTCTCCTTCGTAGTAGGTTATACTTATCAATGAGGTAAAATAAACTTAGACCAATTAAGGAACTGAATACACCTAGAGGTATAGCAGTACCAAAGAAGAATGTGAGCCACATAGTTTTGATTATGTCTGCATATCTCATGGCCAATTGATAATCAATTTATTCCATGATTTCATTTGCCTCCCTTTACGTTAGTAAGCTATCATTACCCTTTGAAACTGAGTGGTCTCTCTGCAATTTTCTAAACAAGGACATAGGATCAATCAGCCAAATTAATGGTGCTATTGCAGCATTCATGATAAAAATTAGAGTTTCATTATACATGAATCCACCAAAGCCATATACATTACTAAATATCAAGATATCAATAACATAGCTAACTATAGCAGCATTGACAAATAAAGCAATAATTAACTTATTGGCATAAGAGATTTGAAATTTGGTATTGGTTGATATTTTTTCTACCTTCGTGATCCACTTCATTAGAGGTTCAATCAATAATTTATTGACCAGAACTATCGTTGAGGCTATAGTAAATGATATTATTTAAATCTTCTTTATTTTCTCTTTATCATCTACTCCGATCCTTCTTTTTTCTAGTTCTTCATTTTGGACTAATCGAATGCACCTGATTGATAGATAATAAATAATCAAGTATGTAATTCCTTGAAAAACCAGTGTAATGAAGAACCCTTTGATTCTGGCAATTATCTTATCCTGAGTTAAAGTGGCCAAATTCTCCCACAAAATATCATTAGGTTCGGGTGCTTATTCAAGAAATAGCTTTTAAGATTGCCATTAAAGTTCCATTTCATCTAAGCCAGGAGTTTTGCCTGAATATAAAAAGGTCTTCACTTTATCAAAAAGAGTATGTGTATTTTAGCTAAGTATTAAGTCTTTCATCTTCTCACTCTCAAAAGAAACCAAAGCTATGCCACTGAATTACCTATTAGTCCAAAAGTACTCATCTTATAAATCCTTGATCCTCTTTTGCGAAGTTTCAATTTCGATTTCACAATCTCTCACATCTTGACTATCATAATTCATATTTGATGTTTATAATGAAATCTTTTTCTTCTACAATGTAGTCTAGATTTTTGCTTCTTCTGCTAATATCTCTGTAATATTATAAACCAACACAACTTTCGTTACTGTTATTTAAAAGTTATTATCTGAAACCGCATAATTTTAAAATAAATTAGTCAATTCCCATCGATAATTGACATTCAAGGTTTTTGGAATATTCGTAACCATAATTGTATAATCACTTGGTGTTAATTAGGATTCATCTATTTGATTATCTAATTTTTTTTGATGTCTCCTAAAAAGTTACAGTAGAATGATCATTATAATAAGCATGATGAGATTGGCCTTTTGGATGAATACCACAACTTCTGAATTGCTAAATTTATATTTATTCAATCACTTTAGTTTATTGGCTATTGACAATTACAGGAAGATGGATTCTTGACAATTAGGTTCCATTTACTATGAAATTGGATTCAAGGTTTGTTACCTAATTAACTAATAGATTTACTGGCAAAATTCACCATGATAATTGCTCAACACATTGAAAATGGCTACAAGGCTTTGCAAACATAATAACAGGATGCAAAATTTCAAAAAATTATAAAATAATGGAAATCCTGCTCCCAAGAATTTGAGTGATTTGATATCATCACAATATGGTATTTCCTTCCTCTCTATTTCGAAACCACAACAAGGACATGTTTCAGCTGCATATGAACTCTTTAATACGTTTTCTTGGCTCCTCATCATCATCATCGTCATGATGAACCTTAGTGTCTGGAGCAGTCCTTCTGGCTAATGCATGTTTTCTGGCTACATTCCAATCACATGGCATTTTCAAAGGGTTATAATCCATTATATATATATCTTAATTAATTTTATGTAAAAATGTTCATTTTACTCTTTTTAACTAATTATTAATATAATTTATGGAAACTGACGAAGCTCCTAAACAAAAGAAAGCACCCTACAAATCAAAAAGATACTTCCTAAGTTCATTGAATACTTACTTTGGTTATCAATTAGTACAACTGTGTACTCATTTAGATTTAATAACTTCGCAATGACATTGAGCATCCTGAAGATCCAAATCTTATTGTAGGCACCACAATCTTATAAAGCTAATACCCATTGCATCCAGCAGTTAGAAAAGTTATCGATGTATGATTATCATTCAGTACCTAAATAGCCATCCAAAATGTCATTCTTATAAAAAGTCATCTTAGATAGTGATGTGATAGTCTATGACCTTAACACATGTGATCATAGCGAATGCGAATATGCCATCAAAACCTTGAAATTAGGCACTTATGACTAAGAAAAAATATTGATTCTCGTTTCATCAGTCATGGCTTGGTCAGCAACCGATCCCAAAGAAAAGAAGGCTGGAGAAGAAGAAGACGATGCGGGCTACCCTCCAGAATCAGGAGAAGAAGAAGGCAAGCCATAAGATGATGGTGAAGATGCACCTCCTAAGAAGGAATATACACGTTTTAATGAAAGTGATTATCCTAAGAGGAAAGCTTTACCTGAATTTGAGAGCTTATGTTCTCTCGAAAGTCTTTGCTTGAGTATTAATAGACCAAATCTCAGGACATTTATACTTTGCGCAGGTATTTTGTACGGAATGGGAGAAGATCACTTTTACACCAAATTCAAAGGGGCTTGGTTATAGAATACAATAACATTTTATAATAAAAATAAAGTGCCCTGCATTCACGTTAAAGATTTGGCTTTATTTGTGTAAAAGTTGGTTGAGAAACCAGTCAATTAAAAATATATTTTTGCTATTGATCACAATCAAAATCCCTCTCATAAGGCCATAATAGATTCAATATCTAAAGGAGTGGGAAATCAGAAAATTCAGCAATCTGATGTGGCAATTCCTGAGTTCAAAATTGATCTTAGGATGAAGCCTACCAAAGTTTTCGATGCATTCCTTGAGGAACAAGGAGATCAAGGGGATGAAGAACAGGCAGTTGATAAATTTACATTTAATTGGTGGTGTAAAGAAGGTATAAGAGCTAATATCGCAAAGATAAGATAAGAATTTGTTGATTATCATAACTTAAAACCAATTAGAATTGCCATTACAGGTCCACCTGGAATTGGGAAAAGCACCATTGCTAATCAAATATCCACCTATTTTAGTATTCCACACATCACAATCAAAGAATTGATATAGGAATACTTGAATTAAACAAGTGAGGAAGTGGAACAATTGAAGACAAACTTGGAAGAGAATAGAGCTCAGCTTATTGAAGAAGCCAGAGCTTAATATGATATTTAAAGAGAGAAGAGAAAACAATTGAAATAACCTTACATCCCATTTGATGACAGTAAAATAGAAGCAAGATTGACAGATGAATAATTGATTACTATTTATAAATGGCGATTGATGTAGAATGATTGCTAGAATAGAGGGTTTATATTGGATAATTACCCAAAAACACATGCATAAGCCAAATAATTATTCTATAATAATGAAGGAGAGGGAGAGGAGTAAAAATCTACTCTTAATAAATTAATATTGCCTGAACACTTTATTGTGCTAGCTGGTAGTGATGAATAAATAATCGACAGGATTAAGTTCTCAAAAACTCATAAATACGAGGAAGAGACACTACTCAAAAGATTGAAGAATTACAAGGTACTCAATACTAAAAAGGGATACACCATTTTATTTGACTTCTATAAGGAATTGAAGGTAGACATTTGTGAGATCTCTGTGTTCAATAAGCAGACTAATATTCAAGATACATGCAGAAGTTTTATTGAGAGGGTATGATTTTGATATCAATTTTAGAATGGGAAGTACCAGAATTATAAGCAAATCGAGCAGGATTTGGAAGAGAGTAGGTTGAATGAGAAAAAAGAGTAGTTATTGAAGTAGTCAGAGCAAAACTAAAAGTTGAAGGAGTTGAGGGACAAGAAGGAAGATGAGTTGTGGAAGATTCAAGAGGAGGAGTACAGGATTAAGTAGGAACATAGTGTTAATTATGAGAAGGAATTACTTGATTCAAGGTCTTTGCCATTGAGGTATCAATGATAAATGAGATAATAGATAATATTTGAGTGATAATGTAGTACCATTTATTACAGAAGGGTTGGTGGAGATTGTTAAACAGAATCCAGAAAATGTGATTGACTTTTTATCCGAATTCTTGTTTAAGAGATCATTGTAAGTCAGATTCCCAGATCCCAAATTGTATTTTGAGAATTCTGAGTGATCGACACCTAATAACCAGAAATCATATATTCATTTTTTATACTCTCTTTTTTTCAATTTTAATGAATTCCATTGATTGTCAGTCTAAGATTTTTATTCTTTATATTAGGTAGAATATTCCTTTGAATCCATTCGAATGTACTTACCCTCAACTTGGGACGGGTACTGTAGACTGTAGTTTGAAAATCCTTTATTAAGTATATACAAATCAGGATAATGTAATTTCGGGTAGTCGTTTAGGTTTCTATCTATGTTTCTTATTTATTTGTAACTAAACCACTATATGGGATTCATTACATTTAAATGCTTCGCTTCTCCGAGAACTCACAATAGAGCACGATTACTGGTTTTACAGTGGGAATTTATTTAAAAAATATAGACTCTATCTCGAAGGGGTTGCAAAGATGAGTTGCACCATAGATGTGACCACCCTCAAACTCAAATTTATAACGACAATCAAACAATGTAATATCATTAGCATTTTTATACTAAATTATAAATTACTCAATTTTACTAAAGTTTCAGGAGTGATATAATTAACAGCATCCTTTTCAAAGTGCTCTAATCTATTGGATCCCTCCTGCTCCTCGCAGAAATTAATTGGAACCCTGAATGAACTAAAAAATTCTTGTCTTTCAAATTATCTTTCTGGACTGCTCGTTTCACTTGAGATTGTAACACCTCTTTTCAACCAAGAATCATCTCCTATAACAATTCTTTTGTTTGGGTTTGAGAATTGCTGGCTTCGTGATGGACTGTATAATAACAATTCATCCCCAAGTCTCTTGGTAGAATGATTTGAATCACAGTCAAAGGAACTTAATGAAGCACAAGTCTTGAATAGATGCAAGAAATTAGGCATCTCTGATGATGAACTATTCATCTTATCTTTCCGCTATTTTAGTTTTAAATATAAATATATAAATAAAAAGGAAATTATTTTCATGAGTGTACACAGCAAAATTATAACATTATCACCAACTCAAATCTCATTAACATCCCTTATCTAAGGTGTAAACAAATCTACCTACCCTTATTTTCGTTCTCTAAATCTTTTGTTATTATTGTGTGGATTTACAGATGCAAAATCTTATGAATTATGTTGACAATACACATGTAAACCAGGTTAAAATGTGAACCTCTAGTCATCAGATTTTCATTACTCTATTTTCATCTTGCAGTGTAATTAATTAGAGGTGTTTAATTTATTTAATCCAATCTAAATTAGAAAAAAGAAATTAATCTTAAATTTAGAAGCATAGATATATTTATATTTCTCATCATAATTTAATAGTATAATACTCTGTTTTATTTATTATATTTGACATTTTTTGATGTTATATATTACTTACTTGATCTGCAATTGATATTAGATAATTCTGAATTTGAATCCAACATAAAATATTCTTAAATAAAAAATTAACATATTTCACTTAATATTTCCTAAAGTTTTAAAGGCGAACAAAGTATGTTGTTTCTCCATGATCTTTCTCTCATCAATATTCATATTATGTTCAAATAGTATTTTTTGAGGTTAATCACAAAGTCATTAGTCGCTTATCATAATCACAAAATGTTAGGTAAATTATTTATTTATATGTTAGATATGAGTTAAATGTAAATTAGTGTCTCTACACTTATTTAATTATAGTGACTAATTAATGGAACTAAAATTCGCTTTAGATAAACATTACCTAGCAAATGAATTCTATTTATTTCTAATTTATATCAAAGATGTATATACTATGTCAATTAGTTTTGAATGGAAACAAATTCAAGAGCGATACGCTTGGCAATTATATATTGTGTTTGGATAATGATTAAATGTTTCTAATCCAAGATTATTCAATCGTTTTAATTAAGCTTTATTATAATTAATGAGCACTAGTAGATATGTGGCCAAAAAGCTTCAGCCATTTATCACATCCAGGGCAGAACTGACTTAGTAATTTGAAAAATTGGAGAAGGAGTAGAAGGAGGAGGAAAGACTTAATGATTTATACTTCGATCAATTGGGAAGAATGGAAAAAGTAAAATTGAAAATCATCCTAAAACTTAGGAATATGACACTCTTGCCCGCATTTTAGATGATTATGGGAAGAAAACAGCTTCTAAATAGAATGGAGATAGTGATTAAGATTAAAATTTAGATTCTCGGATTGAAAAAGCAGTTATTGAGACTTTGGGTTTGTACTTGCTAGCGGGAAGTCGAAAAGAATAATTAGAAGCATTATAAGAAAGAGAAATGGCTAAAAAATAATCTGCCTTGAATCTCACTCTTGCGAAGACTGCCTTAAACGATTAAAAATATTTAGACGATAGTAATGAATTAAATGAAGAGGAATATGGTTACTATGTAACGTTGAAATCTGAAGATGCTTGTATGCAAGTAAAAATACCTGCGACAATTAAAACTTTTAAAGAACTGAAGTAGATCATCAAATCTTGTTTCATGCTTGAAGAAAATTAAATATTTTGCACAGATCATATGGGCAATCTGTTCTAAGATAACATGATTTTGTTGGATCAAATTTATCCTCCTCTTTACGATTTAATGAAAAATTATCAACCCATGGTAGGAATCCAAGTAGTTAAGTAAGTTAAACACAAAGAACTTATTCAGAGTGGTGATGAAAGTTTGATGTCTGATGATGGAGCAAGATTTTTCATTACAAGATATAAAACAGCCAAACCTGCTTAAAAAAAAATCAATTGGAGTTAATATCTAGAGTATTTAAACAATTTTAAATATTTTATTGAAACAGTTTTGTTTCTCATAGTTCTGGGATTATTTTTAGTTGTTCAAATTGATTAGGTTAAATTTACTACAAGTTCATCTGTTATCACTTCATTTGGTAAACAAATGTAGATTTCTAAATCCCTTATATCGCCAATCAAAAACATTTCACAGCTTATAAATCAAACGCTTTCATACAACAATGATAATCATTAATATCCTTCCTATCCTTTAATAACTGGGTTGCTAATCTAAACATTAGTTAAACAAGTAATTTATAATTTCATCTAGGAAAAATTTGAAGATTGTTCTATTTTGAATAACAAATAGAAATAAATGTTTATTGATAAAAATTAAAGTTGTTTAGATTTTTCCACTGTTCTGATGGATAATTTGACAGAAGATTACGAATTCAACAAGTTTGATCCATCTGTGTACAACCAACAATTTGGAGGATATGTGTGGGAGTTGAATTTAGCATCCAAAGAGGATTTCAATTAAAATATTGAATCACTCTTTGAAAAGAATTGGATTAAATATAATATTAAGTAATCTTAATTCATTTTAAATTATTTCAACTCTCCCACCAAAAGGCTAATTTAAGTGGTTATTACAACAATTTACTTGTTTAATGATGTAGATACTTATTTTAATTTAGATGCTATTAAATTTTAACACAATTGCCTTAGATTCATTTGATCTTAACAAGCCTTCAGAAACTGAAGAATTTTACGATTCAATCCTATTTTATTTATCCATCCTCCTCTTGTCTTCATCATTTCTAGGTAAGGACTATATAATAAATCCTAGATTTCTTTTCCATATATTTAAACACATCAAAGAACCCTTTTATTCTGTTGTATTAAACTTATACTGAACTAAAAAACAAATAAAAAAAGTTATAATCCAAAAAAAAAGAATTATCAAACTTAGAAGAACAAGATTTGCAGTAGAAAGAACTAATTATTGGAGATTATTTCATCCTTAAAGTATCTGTGGTTTATATTGTGATTAAGATTCCTTTGATATTTGACTTTGTTTGTACAATACATTACTATATTAGATATACTATCAAATATTGCCATATTAATTAGAGGATCGATTTAATAGAGTTATTAGGATGCGCTAGATGATATTTAAATAAATTCAACAGAATTTTAGGATGCGTCTTAATTAATTGTTCCAGCATTTTTGTTGAGAATCTTTACAGGAATTTTAGTAATATTTTTGATGGCTTCAATAATTCGATTCTTAGGTAATTGGAGTCCCTATCTCAAATGTTATGGATTAGTGATGATAAGAGTAAACTATTTGATCATCATATTAGTTCAATAAATAATCTTCATTTTTATTATTAGTTCTCATATTTATTATTAGTATCAGTGCTATGTCATGGTCTATAACAATTCAAGGAAAGTTAATAGGATAGGATAATTTCTTCTATGATTTCCTTGGCTTATTACGTTGCACATTAAAATACGGAATGCATAATGACCTAGAAGATTAAGGACTAGAAAATAATTATTAAAAAGAAATTAGTTATTCTTTTGATACTAGATATGTATTTAAGATCTTTAAAATTAAGCTATAATATTTGATAGTTTTAGTTATAACTTTTATCATGATTCCAATATTCATCTCCCTAATGACATAGCAAGTGCACAATACTAAACTAGAAGCAAAACAAAAAATGATTGAGATGGAGAAGGAGAAGAAAGAAGAAAAGTAAAAAAAAAAATGAAAATTACTCTATATTTTAAATACATTCTATTAAATTTTTGCATAAATCTTAATTAAAGATATTCTATTGTCAATATATTAAAAGATCATCTAATTTCATTACCTTACAATTATGCCTTATTTTACAATGATCTAAGGATTTTAATCGTACACAATATTAGTTTTTTTAATGTATTCTTATATCAAAAGTTTAAGTTGATTCTTAAATAATTTATCCTATATTTATTTATGGTTCTTTAATAAATAAAGAACTAATTGTTAAGGAATTTTCTTGTTACAATTGCAAGTAATCGTTGCATTGCCTGTTTGTATAGTATTAGAAATTACTTCAGTTAAACATTAACTATGATAATTGTGTTGGCAATTCAACGAAATTAATTCATAGTTCTATTGTTACATACAATAATCACATCGTTAATATTTGGTTTATACTAAAGTTTCAACAATTTCATCTTCATTTCGGTTTAAAAATTGTACGTCTGTTTTATTTCTTCTAAGATTTGAATATTTTATTTAGTTTGCATTTGTGTCCTCTAAGCTTAATGTAGGTGCAATGCTGTTGCTAATTATAACTTTGAGATTAATATCTTGTAAAGTAATTTGCTATTTTTTATGGTTAAACAACATTTTAATTCTGGCACTTCTTGATTAAGGTTAATTTTAATCTTGGATTTGAGATTTTTGTTAAATATAATTGGGTCTTCTGATAGACTTAATTGTTTAATTTTAAAAATTCTATATAGGCATGATGTCTGGAGAACTAATAAAGTCTTCATCAGGGATACTTTCTAACTGATATATGTGCTTATCAATTTACGGAATTTTATACAAGTTATCAGACTTCTGACTTTTACTCTGATGATCATATTCCTAATATTTATACTGGAGATCAGATTATAAATCCTCATACTGGATATCAGATTTCAAATATTTACTCTGCAGATCATTTTGCTACTTGTTTTGTTGGTGATCATATTGATGATTTTTATATTGGTTATCAGATGGTTAATTTTTATATAGATTATTAGATTGCTAATTTTTAAATTGGTTATCAGGTTTCTAATTTTTATACTGATCATTAGATTTTATATTTTTATTCAGGTTATCAGAATGCTAAATTTTTTTCTGGTTATCAATTTGGGGATGCTTTTAGTGATTATCATTTTGCTGAATTTTTTGTTGATTTTTTTACAGGATATGTTTTATTCTAGGACTTTAATATAAATCAACCTCTAAATTCTTATTCTCTATTAAAGGCTTTTGATAATCTTAATGAATTTATTTATTGACTATCCTTAAAGAGGCTGTGTTGTAATTTAAATTCTATTGATTTTGCTAAATGCGCTCTGAATTCAAATGGTTCTGTTTAGGAGCGATTCTGTCATACTTATGAAGGACCCTATTGGATTTAGACCCTTTAATGCTTTTGTTATTCTGTGGTTATAATAGGATATATTTTTACATATTACTATTATACAACAGGATTACTGGGAACAGTATTTTATGAATTGGAATCAGGCAGTTGTTATTATTCATTTTCTTGTTTTTATTTTGTTTAGGGAACACAATTTTAGTTCCCTCTCTTCGGGTTAAATGCACGATAGTTTGGATTGTAAATATTAACTTTAATGATAGATCAACATTTACAATTTAGTTGCTCATAGTTATATAACTATTCTAAGTTCATTTCATTAACATTGACTTATTTTTAGAGTGGTCGAATGTATTTTCTAAACATAAATTGAAATAATTATTTTATATTTGATATTAATGAAATGGCAAAAACATCAATGCATCAAGAATGGCATCTTAAATTAAAAACCTATCTAAATAATAATACTGTATGAAATCCATATTAAAAACAATATTGGGAGTTATAATTCAACAATAAATTAACAATAATTTATTAATTACTGCCAAATACATACGTTTCTCCAATACATCTCAATATTTACCTCTCAAAACAACAATAAAAGGTTAAGTTCGAAAAGGTTCTAAGAGCAACTATTAATTGAAATACAGCATTTTTAAATTACAGTATAAAGTATGATTAGGATCACACTAATTTAAGAAATCTAATATCTAATTAGTAGATGAGATTAATACCGATTATAGACAATGGTGATAGCATCGAAACAACTTATTTAACTTAATATTTTCTTTTATAAATTTAAATTACAAAAATGTCAGAAGACCAAGTTAACGAAACCAATAATGTATGTGAGTCTTAAAAACCTGTTGATATTTAAGGTGATCCACCATTAATTGATCAAAAAGTAACTCAATCTACTTATGGAAATGATGATGTACCTATTGGCAAATCTTAAAACAAATAAATGTTTGACGAATTTCCACCTGAAGGTTTCGTCCCTAAAAAGCCAGCACCTAAAAAGGCAGCCAAAAAACCAGTGCAAGCTCCTCCTGTTGAAAATGATGAACCTAAAGTTGTAATTAACCCTGATGATATACCGATTAAATAAGCAGGAGCAAATGTAGTAGACGAATAGCCTGTTGGTGGAGGCAACAAATTTGCAATTAGCGAATATCCTGAAGGAATGGAAGGAGGAGGAGAAGAAATGCAATAGACAGTCCTCCCATTAGCTTAGCGCTTGAAGTCAAAAGCATGGAAATTAAGACAAAGTGCTTTTGAGGAAATGGCAGAACTGTTTCAAAAAGACGAATCTGTTGATGAATACTACGAAGAATGGCCTAAATTAATCAATGACAATAATCCTGGAAGTTAAGAAAAAGCTTTGATAGCCCTTTAAATATTTATTGCTAAGTCTAACAAAAACTAATTTGCAGCTAGATTTGATGCTAAAGACTCTATTAGAATGTTAATTGATAAATGCATAGCACCAGGGAAGAAATAAATAGTCAAACTTAGTTATGAAATTTTATTTGATATTTTTGAAAGAAGAGACAAGTAAGAAATGTTTGATGTAGTTATTGAAATGTTGAAAAACAAAGTGCAAAAAGTATAATGTGCTGCCATTCAAAGCTTAGTTGAACTATTGACTACATTTGGTCCTAAGAGATTAGATTATTTGAAACCCTTTTTTCCAGAAATTGAGAAGTTATCTCAATCTACGGTTTCTTCAATTAAGACTGAATGCATGAACTTTTACAAGGAAGCACACAAATGGTTGGGCGAACCAATTTTAGCCCCCTTCATTAAAGGATTAAAAAAATTGCAGTTGGAGGAATTAGAGAAATTTCAAAAAGAATGGCAACCTGTTCCAATGGTGCCAACAAGAGGAGGAGATGCTGTAACTGTTGGACAAGGAGGTGGAGCTAATAATGGGTTAGATGCATATGATTTGGTTGATGCAGTTGATATCTTCAATAAATATAATGAAAAATGGTGTGATAAGGTCTTGGCCTAGACTAAATGGAATGAAAAACAAGCCTTGTTAGAATAACTGTTAAAAGAGGCAGCTACTCCTAAACTAGCTCCTGGTAACTATGTCCCAATGATTGCTATGATTAAAAAGCTATTGGTGGATTCTAATTAGGTAATAAATGTATGTGCTATTAAATTATGCGGAGCCTTTGTTAAGGGTCTTAGAAAAAACTTTATTGCTTAAGCAAAACTTCTGTTCCCTCTTTTGATGGTTAAATTAAGAGAGAAAAAAAATATTTGCTAAGAAGCAAGAGCTGCTTTGGAATTATTTCATTACTGTTTATAAGTGGAAGATGTTGTTGAAGATTTCAAGGAAGGACTTGCTGACAAAAATCCTTAAATGAGAACTCAATGTCTGCTATTATTTGCTAAACTTGTTTAATTGAAAGGATTTCCACAAGGAGCACCTAAGCCTAAATTTGTAGATTGTGTCAAACAAATATTACCATTAGCAAAGAAACTAATTGAGGATAGTGTTCCAGATGTAAGGGAGGCATCCGTATAGAGTCTAGGCACTCTGAAACCTTATCTGTCAGACTAATTAATTAATTCCTTTTATTCAGATATTGGATAATAAAAATTAAGCAAAATCAATGAAATCTCAGGTCAAATTGAAGAGGAGAAGAAGAAGGAATAAATTAAAAAGTAACCTCCATAAACTAAAGAATAATAATCAGCTTCGTAAATTCAACAATCTACTATACAAAACAATTCAATACAATAGGGAACTGCCAAGAAACCTCCACTTTATTCAAAAAGTAACATTGTCATTACTGAACAACCAGATTAAAGTGTGGATCAATTAGAAAATTAATTAAGAGGTTATGGAGTTGATGATCAATTCTTTGAGAATATAAATGGTATGGCTAAATTAAAGGCTGAAGCAATTAAAATGCTTGAAAATGAAACAGATGTTATGCAAAATCATTTTGAAGACATATTGAACTTCTTAAGATTCAAATTGAAGGATTGGAAAGAAGCAAATCTTTCAATCAACAAGGAACTGTTCTCTATTTTAATCTATGCCAACAATTTGGACCCTAAGCCTTTTACTCAAAAATCATTTTAGCCTTTATGCAAACTACTGGTAGAAAAAATGACTGATTCCAAATTTAGAGAAGATATCTATATCATTTTGAAGGGATGTTGTGAATGCGTCAATCCAAAATATATCATATTGTATTTGATGACTTAAGCTGTGCCAAAGGAAGACAAGGAAAGTGGTAAAGTTGTGATTGTGCCACCTTAAAAGACTGGCGAAGTAATTAACAATATTTCAAAGATCATTGAAATAGTTACTATTCGAAATGTCCCCACTAAAGAAATTATAGATTTCGGCAAAGAATAATTGCAATCAACAAATGCTATTGTCAAGACTTCTTGTGTAGAACTGTTTAAGACTATTTATAAGTATATTGGTTAAGAGTTACTTTAATTTTTATCAGATGTTTAGCCACCAACTATGAAAACACTAAACTCTGAATTCGAAAAAATATCAGTGTTAGCCTCTTATGAACCTACAATCACTTTTACAGGAGAAGCAGCTAAAGAATGTGGAGTAATACAATCTCAACCCTTATCTTAATCAATTATGCAATCTACATAATCATCCATTAATGATAACTTACCAAGAGCTGACATTTCAAACTAGTTATAATCAGTCTTAAAGAAAATGGCTGATGTCTAATGGAATAAGAGAAAGGAGGGAATTGAAGAATTAGATAAAATATTAACACTCAATAATAATAGAATCTAAATAAATGGATTACACGATTTAATCAATATGTTAAAACAAAGATTGAGTGATAACAATAAATAATTAGTTAGACCTATTGTACAAATTGTGGGTAGAGTTGCCGAAGCTTGTGGAAAAGATTTTAAATCCTCAGGCAAGTAATTAATTTAACCACTAATTTCTATTCTTAGTGATAAATAAGTATTAGTTAGGTAGGATGTTGTTGCTAGTTTAGATAAATTTTGTATAGCCATTGGAATTGATTAAGTAGTTTTGTAAATGCCTCCTTATTTATAGATGGAGTCTATTGAGTTGAAATAAGAAGTTTTGTTATTCATTATGAAATACATTGAAGCTTTACTTAAAATAGATTACAAACCATTCATATTACCATTAATTAATTGTCTTTGTGATAGAGTAAAAGAAGTTAGATAGGCAGCCGAATAAGTTTGTGAAAGAATGGTTGAAGATGTGGGCACAGATCCATTTTTAAATTAAATGAAAGATCTAAAGCCTGCAGTTGTTTAGTAAGTGAGGCTATTCTTCGCTAAATTTGGGATGGGCGAGAATTAGAAGACACTTCAAAAAGAACAGGGAAAACACCAAAAGGAAAACAATAATAATTACAATAAAGTTAGTAATAAGACATCAGAAATATGAAGAGAAATTTAACTACAAAAGATTTACAAAATGATTTAAATACTTCTCAAGAACCAAAATAAAGAAATGAAAGAACTCCAAATAAATCATTACATCAAAAATCTCTCAAAACTTTACCATAAGATAATACTCCTTTAAGACAATAAAAAGAAAAGGCAGTCTTCTAAGACAACAACAGTTTAATTGCAAAAAGTTCAAGCATTAAGGAAATGAAATAACTAAGAATGCAATCAGACTCAGTATAATCATGGGCTAATGATTGCTTTCCAATTAGCACATTTAGTGATCTCTATGTTTGTTTAAGAGAGGATCTATACAATAATCTGATGTCATACAATTATAAGGACGTTATGAAAGGCTTATAATAATTGATGACTGTTTGGAATGATCCTGAATAAAAATCAGATATAATTGAATTAAGTGATTTACTTCTCAAGTTTGTGCTTGTTAAAATATATGGTTGTTCTGCCAATCAACTACTGATGAATGCCTTGATTAGCTTCTTAGATGCCTTCTTTTAAACAATCTCAAAAGCAAGGTATATCTTAACTGAAGTAGAATAAATCGTGACAATCTCCATTATAAGAGAATTGATCTACGCTGGAGTTGATGTCCATCTAGAATTAATACAAAATTTACAATATGTATTCTCAGTTGTGATAATGTTGGAAAAACTTCTGCAATTATTAAAAATTAATCCTTAAGTTATGCATCCATTTTTAATTGATTAAAGGGATAGAATTAATACTCAATTATGCAATTTAATCATCTAAGGTTAATTGGTCAGATACTTTCCTTAGGATCTATTCCAAGAATATTCATAATATCTCACTAAAGAATTACAAAATGAACTCGTAGCTTTACATGGATATCATTCTATTAGAAGATACAATTAATAATAGTAGCCAGATTAACAATAATAATAACCATCATAATTATAATAATAATAACAAGTGGTTTAATCAACCTAGTAATAATAATAATAATAATAATATTAAACTGGGAAATAACCAATTATATAAGGTATTGTACAATTATAATCGGCAAAAGATCCAAGATCACAGTACTTCTTGTAAATTTTAGATTCTCTTCTTAGTTAATAAACCTCTCAAAATATAGAATCTTTAATGTAAATTAGCGATTTGCTTACCCAAAACATTTAATAAAATTAATAATTATTTGTTGATAATGCTGAGGCAATTTGCAAATGTTTTCAGACTTTATTATAAAATACTTTTAACTAAAGAGAAACATACCCTGCTTAGTTTATATAGTTCTTCTTATAAGCATTGAATAAATTGTATTAGCTAAAGGCTTATGTAAATTAATTACCATATGAACTATTATGTGGATTTACTGAAGAGATTATGCTTAGGTTGTTATTGGAAGACGAATTGAAGAATCAGTAAGAAAATGGAGATGCTATTAAGCAACTTAATTCTACTATTCTTCGTATCTTAGAAAACACTAGTTAAGATATCATGTTTTCTATATTGTTTGATGTATTGACCAAGCATAGGCGTAGAAGCAATGCATAAAAAATGATAGATTTGCTAGTTAAATGCATAGCTAGATTAACTGTCAAAATCGAATAAAATAGTAATATTAAGATTGAATTACTCCTTCTTAAATTTCATAATTATTTAAATGAGTTCTCGCTGAGTCCGAATTTCGCTCTTGATGAAAAAGGAGTTAAGACCATAAAAGTTGTACTTTAATAGTTGGTTAAGATTAAAGGAGAAAGAATTTGGGAAAATTATCATTTAGTTAGCAGAAGTACCTAATAGGATCAATATTTAAATAAATGGATTCAAGCATATTTAGGTAATCCTACTTTGTAGAATGCATAACAAGAAAATAATCTTCCCGATCAAGAACTATAATAAATAATTGACATGTTAAGAACACCTTCATTATTAGATGGAGGCATTCAAAAAATGGTAGAAAAAATTAAGAGAAGTCCAAGTATCATATTTTAAATAACGTAGATATCTAATGGCAAAAGTATGTCCAAGATTAATAAATCTAATTACTTATATAGTAGTAATTGACAAATGGATAAATATCCAATTAGGGAGGTTACATGAGTACTTAACCTTCATTATAATATTCTTAGTTATAACAATTACCCCTATCATAATCATAATTATAGTAATCTTAACTCTCTGTTAAACCTTAGTTATAATAATAATAACAATAATAATAATAATAACAACAATAATAATAGTAATAATAATAATAATAATAGTAATAATAATAATAATAATAAATTTTACAGCAATTACCTACTTACTCAAGAACAACACGAGCAGCTGATCCTTAATAATAATTTAATGATTCTTTTGGTGTTTAATCATTCAATCAATACATGTCTGTTAATTAATATCAAATGAATTAAAATCAAATCGGATAATAATAATAATAATAATAAAATGTAAAAACTCCAGAGTACTTAATGTAAAAATTAACAGATATGAAAAATAAAGTTCAAACTCTAGTAGGTCCAAATAATGTATAATAAGCATAAAATCCTAGATAATTTCAAAATAATCGTATGCCTTAATGATTATTAATTATATTTCATAATTTATTATTCTAAAATTTGATTTGAATAATTTAATCTTATACTATATAATTTAAAAAAATTAATCTATTCATAGTCCCTGTACAGCTTATTATAGTATTTGATCTTCAGTTCTAACAGTTGGCTAAGTTTAATTATAGAACTCTTTACTAATTAACATAAGTAATTAAATTTATGAATTTTTTGTTAGTCATAGAATAATTACAAAATTAGTCATTAAAATTTAGATTTTTTTAAAATTATAAATAAAAATTTGATAAATCGGAATTTTATCTTTGATATTAACAGCTTTAAACAACCTAACTTTAAATATTAATATTTCTACTGATATATGCATAGGTATTTAAGATATTATAATTTGTTTAACTATTTGAGATTTCTTATAAAATTAATAATTTTAATAAATCAAATTTAAGCCAAAAAAATAATATCCAAGAAAGAATCAACCATGATATAACTAAAAATAAGAACATGAGAAGGAATTAATCTTATTTCAATAGCAAAATTTGGATTCCTCTAAATAGGATAAATTAGGGATAATTCACTTTAAATTCAATAATTCTTTTGAAAAATATACAATTGTTGAAATAATAAATATATAAATATTTTAATATATCTTTAACTTTTTTGTAAATATTAACTAAGTCTACAAATATTTTTTATCTTATTTAATAGTTTAAGATTCTCCACATTCCAAAACTGTAAACTTGATTTCAGATGTTTATTCCTAAAGTAAGGGATTTACACAAAAATAAAAATAGTTATAAATTATCATTATAAATATAAAAATAAAAATAACAGCTTAATTATGACTTAGAATCTCTAGGACTATGCTTAATAATTAGTGAATATCTCAATATCAGATGATGAGGGGATAATTGATTACTCACCAATGAAATAATCTAATTTTTAAAATGTTATTACGTAAGGTTAACCATCTGGAAAAAAATCATTAGCAGCTTCAGTCAAACCGAAGTCTACTGCTTCAAAATCAACAAAAAGTATGATAACCAAGTATGATTTAAGAATCAAGCGGAATTAAGTCAACTAAGGATAGGGCTAAGGAAATGAAAGAGCAATTTGAGGAATAGGCGAAATAACTAAAATGGTATTAGGAGGAGTATTAACGATTGAAGGAGCAAAAAAAATATTTAAAAGAAGAGAAGACTTAATAAGTATTTGTTTGATAATTGAATAATAGCTTCTAATGATTAATACATATAAAACAAAATTAGAGTAGAGTATAGGAAATGAGAAGAAACTTCATTAATAATTGAATGAATAGATGAATGTTACAAGATAAGCATTAAAATAGTCAAGTGATGCTCAAATAACTTTGGAGTAGAACAAATAAAATTACTTACAATAATAATAAATGGAAGACTTGGTCAGATAGAGGTAAAAGGAGGAATTAGAATATTAATATCAAAAGAAGCTTGATCAATCAGTCAAATAAGCAATTGCTGATGCAGAAGGTAAATACGAATTGAGAATTCAATAAATGAACAGGGAACTAGATGTTTTGAGATAAGAAAATATTGAACTTCACAAAAAACTAATGTAAAATGAAACAAACAAAAAACATATTTATGTTTAAAGCGAATTAGATTAGTTGAAAACTAAGTACTTAACTACAAAGGGATGATTCATATTTAAGTTATTATCATTAAGCATTAAATTGTTACTGAACTAAATAATCTAAATAATTTTTATTTGCTAAGTTGCTGATTTTGTTAAAATTATTTTATTAATTATCACAATATCTTAATATAAATGTGAAGATTGATAAGTTATTTAAGATAGCCACTAAGTAGTTAATTGTGGGATTCAAATGCTAGATTAATAATTGTGTATTTTTATATTTCATTTTTTAAGACCACTTTAAGGTCTTCTAGCATTTTTTTTTAATGCTGATTATAATCGAACTTTATTTGGATTGGATGGAGGATTCAATATGGCTTCCTTATTGATTATTGAAGGATCTTCAATGTAAACATTAGCTTGTTTTTCATTTTGTATCATTTATTGTTCTTCCTTAATATTTATTAAAAGAAAGTTACTTCATCTTCATTCAAAGCCACATTTAAGACTTCTTAAATCTTTTATGAAGGTTCAAGAGAGAAATCTTCAGTCATTCTTTGTGGTAGATCTAGATCAGTCTGTAAAATGTTTTCTGGTCGACATCTAGGGTTAGCATCTCCAAAATTGATTGCCATCCTCGAAAAGTTACAAATTGGTCTCCTAAAGATAAATGCAGATGCTGGTTTTTTTAACGGATTTGCTTCAAACTCTTTAATAACCCAATCATCTTATTCTTCTGAAAATTCTAATTTTTCTTTTAATCTCTTTTCTAAATTAATAGTAATAATCAAATACCTTCATCTTCTGGGATGAAATGCTCAATTATAAGATTCATTAGATTTAGCTATCTCAGAGATTCTCTATTATCCTCTATCAACTCTTCTTTCTATCTTTATCTAAATTAAGTCTATTCTTAAGCCTAACTTTTTAATTCTTTAATTTTTTAGATAAGATTGTTTAATTTTTATGTTTTGGCTTCAATTTCTTCTTTGGTTGAATTATATTTCTATTCTTATTCCATTTGCATAGCTTCTTTCTTAGCCAATTCTTCAGCTTGTCTTCTGGCTTATTAGGATCTCTCTTCTAATTCCATTCTTGCTTTTAACAGATCCTTTTCTTTTTATCTTGATTCCTCTTTCATTTTATCTCCATGCAATAGTTACTCTTAAAGTTCCTAAAGTTTCTTTTGCATGTTTTCTTGTTCCTTTTTGAGATTATGCTCCAACTTCTATTTCTCCTTTAATTTCAATTATAATTGTTTTTTTTCTTCTTCTTACAATGTACTTTACCTTCTCTATTGCATAATTTATTATTCTAAATCAGCCTTTTCCTTTTAGGCCTTTTTTTACAATTCAGTTAGTTCTTCATCATCCTCAACTTCAATAACTTATTCTTTGATTTTTTAAATTTATCCATTTGGTCCAATAACTCCTCCAGCTTTTCTGGCTAGTTCATCCTTTAGTTTATTAATTTGTTCTTAAAATTCTCTAATCATAGCATCTTTAGGATCTTCATTAATTTTTGGGTTGTTTTGAATTTTCTTTGCTCTATTGGCATATCTGAGAGTGGACATTGTTTCATCAAAATTATAATCAGCTGGACCAATGTTTGCAACCATGACAGTCTTTGTATTACCTCCCAAAGAATCTTATAAAAGACGAGTCAATTTTGAATCTCTGTACGGAATATGTTGACTTTTTCCGTCAACCAAAGTTGTGATGACATTACCAAGTGTTGTTAAACTTAAGTTAATATTAATAGCCTCTTCAAATCTAACACCAACAGCTTGCGTCTTTGATTGTCTTTCACTACCAGCTAAATCAACAAGGTTCAATTTTCCTGATTTAATGTGTTATTGTTAATCTGCTCCAATTTCACTTGATTCAATTGTAAGTGTGAATATAGAGTGAGATCTAGAGGATTCTTAATTCATTTTAGTTTCACCAACCTTTCTATTGGCTCTACCAGCCTTTAACCATTCATTTAATTCAGCCACAGATTTTACGACTATTTTCGAGAGGTCCTTAACAAAGATACCTTACTCAGGCTTTTCTCTTAATTCTAGTTTTGTGAGATGATTCGGACTCAACAAATCCCTGACTTCCTCATTATAGAGTTCTAAATAGGAACATCTAACTAAGAATTGTATATTAGGAGTGCCTTCAATAACTTTGATTATGTGATCGAAAGTTCTGGGAGTGATACCTCTTTCATGAGGAGGATCATTCTTTCCTTCCATGGTATGTGTTTTGCCTGTACCAGTTTAACCGTAAGCGAAGACTGTCCCATTATAACTATGATATATTTTTGAGTTACCCATCCATGACACTTTCAACAATAGGCAAAGCTGTATTATTGTAAACTTATTCTTGTTATGAATTCAAATCGAAAACTTCATCAAAAACAAAAGTTCTTTATGCCTCATTGTTGTCTCCTTTTATATTTTAAATATTAATTTCTTTTCTTGATGTATCAACATCTACAATTCTCTTTCTGCCTTCTTCTATCTTAAAATAACCGATTTATCATACTTCTTTACTTGACAATGGTCTTGCTCTAACAACCACCTTTACACATTCTTTTCTTTTCATATTATTTATAAAAAATAATGTTTTTAAGTAGATAAATAAGTATGATAATAAGTCTTTTGTCAAATTTATTATTAATTCATATATAGAAGTCTAATGAGTAATATTAACCCTCCCCTACTTTATTTTTTAGCTTAGAAAAATACTTAAAACAAGGTGAAAATTTATAAAAGAAATTAATTTGATAAATTTTTTATCATCTTAAAATAAATTGATTATACGATTTCCAAAATGATAATGCATTTAATCAATTTTAAATAAGTGTATTATGATTGTATGTTCAAAGTTTCTTCAATCAAAATAGAAAGTGTTTAGGATTTAATTTGATATTGCCTTTTTGCGATTCAATGATCATTAATCTGAAGCAATGTCGCAATTTTAACGAATTGTTCAAGAATGACATGTGTAATTCATTGAAAACCAGTTCTATTGAGGAATCCACAATTTGTATTGTATAATGAGATTGGGAGGCCAATGTTCGAAGAACAACTGCTTAAAATTCATGTGTTGCGTTTTCATTGGCTGATTTTAAAAGAATTTGGATTTTTTTTCATTGAAATTTTAATTAAAACAAAAGTATTGAATCTCAATTTAAATAAGAAAATACATTAGCTTAAACAAATGACAGATAAAAAGGTATATATATTAATTAATAATTTGTTTAGGAAGCTCCACCTAAAAGACCCCAATGTGCCTTCTTTATTTACAAATAGGAGGTGTACTAATAAGTCAAGGATGCTCATCCCGGCAAGAAAATGACCGATATCACCAAGATCATCTCTGAATAGTACAAACAACTTCCAAAGGATAAAATTGATTAATACGAATAAAAATACAAAGACAGCAAGGCTATATTTGAAAAAGAAAAGAAGTTCTCATTTATATATATATTTTTATAGAGTCTATGAGGATAAATTCGGAAAAATTAAGAATGAGAGAAAGAAGAAGAAGGAAGATGGCAAGGGACCCAAAAAGGCCCAAAAGAAATAAAAGAAATAAGAGTCAGATGAAGATGAAAGTGGATCAGACGATGATTGACAATTCATATTTAATATAAATAATTATTTTTATTATTTATGGGAGGATCTAAATCTAAATCTATAAAGAAACATGCAAAAGTGGCATTCACAGATTAAGAACTATAAGTCCTTGAAGTATACTTCGAGCTGCTGAAATGCCATGATTCTAAGTGAGTAAACTATCCTAATCACATAGTAACGGATTTCTGACATAGAAATCAATGCTTCCAGAATTCCCTGAGAATCCAGACTTCTCTGTTAAATTGTATAACTGGATGATAGAAAGATGTAAGAATAAATAAATTGATTATACCAATTTTGTCATCACATGTAATATTATAAATGTATTTCTTAAGTGGAACTCTTGCTTAAAGAATAGCAAGAATATTATCTCAGCGATTACAAATTTAGAGTTCTAGAGAAATTTGAGTTGTTTGCCTTGATTAGTTTGGGTTGTCTCGAAAATTCAAAGGAATCAATCAATAGGTATTTGCTATTTTCTATTCTAGATTCACAGTGAGTTATTCTCAAGGAACTATTGTTATTAAGGAGCTATTAAATATGTTCCATTACAATAAAGAAATAAAAAATAGTTAAAGAAATGATTTAGCGGCAAGAAGCGTTGCTAATTCTATTTTTGAATAAAAATCTTCTATTCCATTCAATTAATTTATAGGTTTAGTAAAATAGCAATTAATTTATGCAAATAAGATGTGCAAATAATATTTTACTAAAAAATTTATTGATCCTTATCTACAATTTTAAATTCCTTAATTAACTTCCTCTAGTTTCATATTAAATGATTAAGTACTTGCTTTATTGCAAATGAGTTCTCCTGATTTCAATAGGATTAGCTTATTGGATTTGAAATTTTCATCCTCAGCCACAAATGACTTGGAATACATTACTGAAATCATTATAGACTCATAATAGCCATTATTATTCCTATTTAGGAACAGAGAAGACGAATCATAAAATGATACATTTTAATAATAAGTTTTTGGAGCATACATTAGTATTGATGAAACCATTGAAACTCATTTCATAAGGAAGAGGGAGAAGGATCCTATGGGTATGTATTTTTTCTAATATAATAGGAATCTTGTATAATCCAAAAGATTAAATATCCCTCTATTTTGGAGATGAAAAAAGTTTTCTATTCTCCTTGTTGCCCAAATATCAATTATTTATGAGTACTTTTGATGTCCAATCTAAATAATGTTTTGCTTACATAAATAATAGAGCATTCAATCTTAAAGTAGATCAACCATATGGACTTGGTTTCGGAGGCGATGGCAAAGGTAATTTTAGGATTTGGATTGATGAAAAAGTGAATGGAAATGCAAAAAATAGAATAAACAATAAATGTGATTAAACTTATGAAATGGGATATTTATTAGAGCCCCACATAGAATTTCTTAATGTAAAGCAATTAATAATATCGATAGTTGACATCCATTGAAATTTGGGGAGTTAATTATGAGAAAAAGCATTAGAAAAAATGAATTCTATCACCTATTTTATTAAAAGCATCTTAACATCATATAAACCATAATGAGTGTATTTGTTGAATAAAAAAATTTGAATAGAGTATTTTTTTCTTAATCTCATAAATTTATAATTAGAAATATACTTTTCTTTAATTAAATCAATGAACGATAACCATATACTTGAATTCTAAAATTTCCCTAAATCAATTCAATCAAAGATTCACTAAGACTACTTTTATGGGAGAAAATCGCTTTATTATCATGATAAAACATTTTATCGCTACATGAGTCAAAAATAAAGTTCAGACTAATACGAGAAATTTGATTAAAAAGAATTTAACTTTATATGCTATGCACCGAATAATTATCTCCAAATAGATGCATCCCAGATTAGACTTAAGTTTTCTTTAAGAAACAAAGAGAGTTGTATGATTTTTATTTAGTTATTTTTGAGATAATTTAATTGGTTCTCTTCAAAACCTTAAATATTTGAATGAAGAAAATGAAGAAAAGAAACTTAAGGTGTGCGATTAAACTAACAAATTTCTCTGTCCATTTCATTTTGAAATCAAGCTTCCTTAAGCAATGGATGATTGGCAATTAGAAAATTTCTAAAAATAATTTAGAAATTATTATTGTGGAGTAAAATTAAGTTCTGGTATAACCTAACAAAATAAAGATTACATCTGTGTGAAAGATATATCAGAACCAAACTATCAATCATACGTATTCTCAATAATTTATTTAGTTATTGTTAAAATAAGATGTTAAAATAGGAGATATTAAATGTTTCGCCCTAAAGGATCACAATTACCCTAGATACTTTGTTGTGAGAGATAATAAAAATAGATATTTTTTTGATAATAAAAACGGCGAATAAGAATTAACATTTGTCGTTGGAGTTGAAGAATAATAGATTATAAATCAATATCTTTTTTCATATTTTATTTTAGATGAACAAGACAAGGATTAGATTGAGGAATATAAAAATATTAAAAAAATATTGAAAGCCTATCAAAACGAACTTTAAGAATTAACTAATACTTTAAGAGTTAAAGTTTCTTCATTCGACTTTGATTTAATCGTTCATAGCAATACTTTAAATTAATATGCTTTAAAATAGGGTAGTGAGTCAAACTACGAAGGCATTTTTGATAATATGGATGATTAAATTTAAATATATGAAACCATTTTGTAATAATTATCGTTTGAGAATGGCGAATGGAGATTGAAAATTGATCCAAATGAAAATCTTATGTTTTGGTAAGAGGTCGAGCATTATCAATATTTTTATTTAAAAAAAGGAGAAAGTGCACTTATTAGATGCCCAAAGGCAAATATAGATTTCTCATATATTGATACCATCCAAAAAGATAGTAATTAATAAAACAATACTGCGAAATAAGTTAATTAAGAATGATTTTTTATAAATAAATCAATATTCATATATGTTCTAATCTATGAAATCATACTTTGAAATTGCCTTATTATTCTTGCCTAATAAAGTGTGTAATTACATTTCAATAACAAAGTCAGCATATGAAATTGTTAATGTAATTCAATCTAAATTTCTGCCAGAATATCAATCAGTGATGGATGCTTAAAATTATTAAACTAATAATCCTTCATTGTATTCCTAATTATTTAAAGGGTCAGTGAATTTAGAAACTATAAAAAGAAAATCAATCGCATTACAGTAATCTTGCTTAAAGAACATTTAATAGTTCTTATATAATTATCAATTCACTTAAGAATTAAATATAATAAAAATCCGCGATGAATTTTATTCTAAAAATTTAAATTGTTGCATTATAGACTTAAATGTAATTTCAGCCAATTTACCATATTATCTTGAGACTGTAGAAGTGAGATAATTCAATGAAGAATAATTAAATTAAACAATTAATCAACTCTCTAAATTTTTAATGGAGTATGTGGAGGGATAATTTCATTCAGAATCCATTATCAAGGAATTTTAACAAAACTTTTAAGATATTGTTAGGGACATTTATAAATCCATTATTTAGGTAGCCAAAAAATAACATAAGGAGATTTATGATAAATTGACCAAAAAAATAAAGTAATTTTATAAAAATAATTTAAACAATTCTGCTTTAGATGGAGCTTGTAAAATAATTCAAGAAAACAATATTCCTTTATTTTAAATTAAGAAATTTATTCATAATTTTTTTGCTTAAAATTTGAAATATTTTAATGATGAATTAGAAGACTTCTACAAGTTTTAATTATCTCATGTTGTGATATTGAGGTATGTTTGCAAAATAATTGATCATTCATTATTTCGTTTGAAGTCTTCTCTTCTAATCTTTACGAAACAAGAAAAGATGCAATAAGAGCTTTAATTAAAAACTTAACACCTTTTCTATCAATATTTTGAGAAAAAAGACTTCCTCTTAATAAAAAATAAAATATTTGCTGCTAAACTGTTTTACTTATTTTTATAAGTTGATTTGGAATCAAGAGAATTCGGAACTATTTTAGATACACTCTCTTAATATGCTGAAATTACTAAAATTGATTACTCATAATATGGAAGCGAATCTATAATAGAATTCAGGAAAGCATATCAAAATGAAATTTAATCGGCTAATCATTTTTGGTAAAAGGAAATTACAGAATAATAAAATTTATAGTTAATTTTTGATTTATTTATTCTCTTAAATGGAACTCAATTTGTTAATGGTTAATTACTGTTTTAAGAATACTTATCAGCAAACAAAAATATTTTAATGAAGTTAATTAATTTGATGAATGATGGATATTATAGGTATTTTAACTGTAAATTAATCAAAACATTTGAGAAGAGAATCGGAGAAATCAGGAATTAAATATTTAATCAAATTGAAAAGTAGAAATAAATTGTGAAATTATCAGTAATCATTTAAGATAACAGATTCTTTATATCAATATTTGATGCTTATCAATAAAGTTAAGAATAAGTATTTAATAGGAATTAAATGTATTTTAATATAAAAAATTCACTTATTGATAATTAAATTAATCAACTTTAGAGCTTATTGATTTAAATATAGAGAAATTACTTAAGTAAAGTAAGTATTCCAGAAAAGATGCATTTTGAAAGTATTTAATCTAAATTAGAGCATTCATCTGTAGTCACTATCTTCATTTCAGGATTTACTGATATAAAAGTTTAGAAGAGTATCTTAGAAGGATTAAAGGATTAAAATCTTATAGTTTTGAATTGGAATAATCCAAAAGAAGACAACGATGTAGGAGAGAACTTAAGTAAGGTTGTTAAAGAATTTATTTCAAATTCTCCTTTAGAAATAGCAGCGAATCTATTAAAAGCCTACTCTAATGCTTCCTTTGAAAAATCATGTTAAGAAGCCAAAAGAGTAGGAAAATACTTGGCATACTTATTAATTAAAAACAAAATCTTTGGTGATTGCTAGATCAACATTATTGCTCATTCAGTAGGTTCATTAGTAATGTATGAAATGATGAAAGAACTAGATAATATGTAAAATACAAATCTTATAATTAATGAAATATTGATATTAGGAGGAATAGTAGATATAAGGAAGCTTCAAAAACGAAGATGGAATTAAGTTGAAGGTAGGATTTGCAATGTGTATACCTAAAATGATTTGGTGCTGAAGTTAATGTACAATTCATTTAGATTACAAGATATATTCTGTGGTAAATAGATAATATATAATTAGGATTGAATGAAGTGAAATAAGGATTCAGAAGAATTGAGAATTATAATATGAGTAATTTAATATAAGGACATAATGATTATGGGGTCCACATTCAAAATATATTAATTCAAACAGACTTTTAATAATATTTAAGATTTTTATATGAATGATTGACTATTTATTTGATTTTATCAAAGAAATTTTTGAGATTATTATTATATAAAAGCTTAATATTGAATCAAACTTGGAAGGATTTTAAGTCATCTGCAACTGTTAATTCAAAACCGGTGTTGGCTCTGACCCACTCGAGTGTAGTATCGCTTGCAATTTCAGTTAATACTAATTATCCATCTCTTTTAACAAAGACAGCCTTATCTGTAATGACTTAGCTAACTTTATTCATTCCTGTTGCTGGGTATTGTAAGTCCTTAACAAATTTGACTTCTCCTTTGGCAGTGTGTTCCATCACAACAAGCACTTTTGATCCTGATGCAACCAAATCCATTGCTCCTCCCATTCCTTTGACCATTTTTCCAGGAATGACCCAATTAGCAATATCACCTTATTTAGTAATTTGCATAGCTCCCAAAACAGTCATATCCAAGTGACCTCCTCTGATGATACCAAAGGATTCACTACTTTCAAAAGTAGTTGCTCCTGGATTGAGAGTGCATGATTCTTTTCCTGCATTTTAGAGATCTCCCAATTCTTGTCCTAATTTAGGATAGGGTCCAACTCCAATAGCTCCAATTTCTGTATGGAAATGGATAGTCATGCTTTTATCAAGGAAGGCTGGAATAAGAGTGGGTATTCCAATGCCCAAGTTTACATACATTCCATCTTTAAATTCTTAGGCTGCTCTTTTGGCAATTCTATTTCTGTTTTGATTCAATTTTCCTTATGGTTTGATATCTAAACAATATAATCAAAGTTTTACCCTTGTGCTTGTCATATACACTCTAGTCATAAACAAGTCTTTCAACTGTCTTTAAGTAATTATTCCCTTGATAGAGATAATCAACATAAATTCCATTAACGTGGGCCTCATCGAAACCAAAACTGCCTACTGGCACAATTGTATCGACTTCAGCAATAACTACCTTAGCTGCCTTCACCATATCTTAATTGAAGTTTCTAGCTGTCCCTACAAACTTGAGATTACCATTGGTATCAGCCATGTTTGCCTTAATAATGGCGTAGTCTCCCCAAATAGAGTCTTCTCTGATGTATTTCTTTCCATTAAAGTATTCAACCTAAGTATAATGAAATTTTCATACAGGTTTTGGTTTAGATTCAATTTCTACACGATCACCTCCTTTGTGGTATTTAATAGGAATGCCTCCCTTTTCAACAACTGTGTCTGTACCAGTGTGTGTATAAAATGCAGGGATACCAGCACCTGCAGCTCTCAACTTCTCAGCCAAGGTGCCTTATGGTACTAATTCTAATTCCAATGTACCATCAAAGTATTATCTATTGTTAGGATATTATTAATTACCTGGCTAGATTGTGATTCTCTCCTGCATATGATGCGATCACTCTCTTCAATTATCCATTATTCAAAAGCAATCCTAATCCCAAATCCGTTGTTCCGCAATTGTTACTTACTACAGTCAAATTCTTAGTTCCAGCCTCCTTCAAAGCGTTGATGCTGCATTCTGGAATACCGCATAATCCAAATCCACCGACAAGCACAGTAGATCCTGCGGGAATCTGTTTAATGACATTTAAGTCCTTTATTATTCGCACATAATATCTGCCTACATGAGTGAGAGAGGATATCGGTTTGACGTACATGAATTTTGAATTTTTATTATAATAAATTCAAGATATTTTCGAGAGGATATAAATAATCATTATAATACGTAATATATTTATGGCATAATATCTTTTTATAAAATATATAATAATTATTATAAAAATTATAATAATTTATTAAATTTATTTAATTGTTGCTATTTATTAAATATAAAATTATTCAATGTGGAAATGTTTATTGTTATGATATTTCAAATAAATATTTCTTTACTGTCATTTCTTTCTGGAGCTGTGATTTTATTTCTCTTCTGGTTGGTATCATGTTTTTAATCTGAGTATAAAAATATAGGATGGCTTACTTAAATGCTATTTTTAAAGTTAATTTATGCGTTTTATATTAACTTTCTTTATGTTATTGGTTAGATTGTTTTATTTAAAGTTAATAGTAAGATTACAATTAATAGGTATATATACAATTCATTCTCATATTCTTATAAAACTATTTATTATAGTCTCTAATTTCCTAGTTAACTTTCTGTATTCTTTATCTGATTCAAAAGAGATAATCAAACAAGGATTAATATATCATTTAATGAGAAAATGGAAAAATGATAAAATATAAATAAAATATAATAGTTAATTTATTTGGAAAAAAATAAATAAAAAAATTGCACTGTACGAGACTCGAACTCGTGTCACAAGGATGGCAACCTTGTATACTACCCTTATACTAACAGTGCTTGATAATATTTCCAGGTTATCTATCTATAAAAATAGGAATAGGCATTTTGGATTGCTAAATTCGAGATTGAGACTATAATAATAAAGTACACTAATGGACATAGGAATAAAGAATACAAAAAGTTTCATAGTTAATTTAATAATTTCTATCATATTTTGTTCTCACATCTGGGGTGAAGAACAATTCCGATTAGTATACTAACTAAATCAATCCATTAAAGAAATGAGTAAGATAATTAAAAAAGAAGATCCAAAGTAATTTGATTATTCGAGACTTAAATTGTTTAGACAATTACCAATTTGAATTAGTAACATAAATGGAAAAGATTTATGAATCTTATGATGAAGCGATAAAATATGAAAATTTATTGAGTAATCATATTGTACATTAAGATGAGTGGGTATTGTTTGATAAAATAATTTAAAATTGAATTCGTTTTAACATCATAAATATTTAAATATTGATATCTTGAAATGACTGAGAATAGAGAGAATATATAATTGCAATTATACTGCGGCAACAAATGTTAATTAGGCAGAAATATCAGATGATGAAGATTAAATTTAAACTGTTGTTGAGAAGACTTCAGATTAAGAAACTTAGCCATCCTCCCAACAATCAGAATAGAATAAGGAGTTCAAGAATTAAGCAAAAAACCCTATCATAAAAACAATAAGCCAGAATGGGTTAGTTATAGAAGAAACAAGCAGAATAAATATAAAAAGAGCAATAAGCAGCATTAGATGCAAGAAGAATTAAACCTAGTGTAATGATGCAATGTAATTTTAGAAAAACAATTTTTAAGGTTAATTTACAATAGTGACGATGAAAACGAATAATAAGAATAATAGGATGAGAAAACTTAAGACGATTCTACAACATAATAAGTACAAGAATAACAGGTATAGGGAAGGCAAGAATAAGTAGACTAATATCAAAGTAATGTATTGTTGATAATGCAAAGAATTGAAATAAAAGCAGTAGTAGGAAGATAAATATTAATAGCCAAAAAATAAGGAATAAAAAAGAAAGAGACTGAAGATCTAGATACAATTTTAAATGAATTAGGTTTTACTTAAAAAGGGGATTCTATGGAAGAAGGAGTTCAAGAGAAAAGAAGAAAAAGAAAAGGAAAAATTAAGATTCAGTACCTGCAAAAAAAGAACCATAACAACCTTAGTAGTAATAATAATAAATCCAATAATAAACTGAATAAACAAATAACAACCAGAAAGCTGACATAAAAAAAGGTTTTAGCAGAAAAAGCGAAGAAACATTAAGCTGGCGCACATTAAGTGGATAAAGTATATTAAAAGATATTGTATAGGACTTAGAGAGAGTGAAACAAGAAATTGAAAAGAGAAACTAGAAGTCGTAAAAGAACAAGAAATAAGATTTAGATCTTTGAAGGGGTTGATGATATATATACATTAATTATAATTATCTTTTATTGTTTAATTAACGAATAATTGCAATGCATTTAGAGAAGCATGCGAAGGCACTCATAGATTACCAATATAGTTCAGACGATGATGAAATTGGAGATTATAAAAAGAAAGCTATGAAATATAGAAATGAATTCAATGACACAGATGAATAAGTTCGAAGATTGAAAAAAGAAAACTTGCACAATGTAAATCATATTTATGAATGTAAATATAGAAATAAACCATTACTGAATTATTAGCAGATTTAGAAGTACATCAAAAGAGAATCATTTTGTTAGAGTAGGAACTATTGAATTAAAAGAAATTAGCATAAGATTCCCAAGATCAACTTAAGAAAGCCAAAATCAAGAAATAAGAAGATAGAATCTTAAAGGAATAGAAAAAATTTCAAGAGAAATTCGCTTTGTAAACAAATGATGCACTTGAGAAATTAAGATAACATTTTGATTAGACTTTGCAACAACTTACACCTAAACCTGATAACAAATGAATGTAGTTCTATTGATATATTATATCATGATAATTCAAAATGATTTCTTCTTAAATCATTAGCTTACAATTTATTCAAAACATTTGGATTTCCATCCAAAGGTCTGTGGATATCATGTGTTTATGATATTAAATCTCCTCCATTTTGTCCTAGTGTAAAATGTTGCGATCTATCTCAATAACTATCGAAAATACTTTAGATTAGCACTAACTAGAGGATCTAATTTATTAGGAGATCCTTATTATTTCTTGAGAGTCTCCATCTAGGTAGTCACAAACGTATTCCTATCACTTTTGCAATTAAATCCGAAATGAGATGATTTCAAGTCTTTCAAAAGCTTTTCAGATAATTGAGCAGCCTTTCCAGATGGATTTTTGAAACTGAAAAAATCATAAATTTATAAAAATACTTGCATTACGTCTCTGAAGTATATTGTATATTCACAGTTCCAACTTTGAAATTGGACCCCCTGTCCATCTACTAATCACGGGGAAGAGAATTCGATGATTTTTAAGGAGGTTTCATTGTACTTGAGTAGTAAGTTTCTGTCATATGATTCATATATCTTGGATCTCCAATTGTAAAATGACTTCCTTGAAGTGCTGATGTATTATTAACTAAATTGACTTTATTTTCTGAATAAGGTCTATAATGAGACATACTTTCTGATGAATATGTCTAGCTATCCTAACCCAAAATGAAATGAGTCGCTAATAAGAATGTTGTTTTGTTTTACCTCTCAAATTTTATCTATTTTCTTCAGCAAAAGGATTTGATTATATTTCTTACCTCTAAAAATATTCTTAATTAATTGTTTAATATTCAGGATTAGCTGTTCCTAGATTAATGTGCGTTGTCTAAAACCCTGCCTTAAAGGAAGCAGAGGGTCCTCCTTCTTTTCTATTGTAGTATTCTTGTTAGGCAGTAACCATCGGAAGTTTCTAACAAGTTTAAAATTGAGTTATTACTTCTTTCCCAAGAAAAATATTTGAAACTCTTAGTAATCTTGCTTTTTCAGCCAGATCTTGTTTTGGTTCTAATTATTGAGGTTAATATTGTTCATAGTAATTAGTCTACATCATTTTATGAGAGGTTTCTGCGAAATTGTGATGATGTGATATCATCTTATTCTTTTGAACTCATGATATTCAAATAAGAGTACTTTCTTGTTCATTCTATAAACCAGGCTATAATGGTTTTTCGTTATACATTGCCCTACTCATAGAGACTTTATGAATTTCTTGATTGCCAAGCACAAAATGGTTAGTTCTTAAATCATTTTTCTATTCTTGATTCAGGACAGCAGGTTGACCAGTTTACTTTCCCTAAAAATCAGTTTTAAAAATGGTATTGTATAAGGCTTTAATCTTAGCGCATATTAAAATTACGTTTAGATTCTCCCAGATGGAAATGAACTCCTTTCAAATTTAATTTATCACCAACTCCACTTGCTTGAAAATTTGCTTAATCTCCTTGAAAATTCATTTTCATAACAGATGTGAATTGATTCTCTAAAGAAATTCTAAAATCCTTTACTTTAATCCGTTTGCCCTAATTGAAAATGGTTGCTTCTCAACTGTTGCATTTATATAAATTATAATATTCATTTATTTTTGGAATCCTTCATTCACCCACTGACATTTAAGATTTTTGAATGATTTAAGCAAAGAAAGCAGCAATTCTATTTATTAAAAAGTCCTATAAATGGAGTTAAATTTATTATATATATATATATTTGAAAACTAATTCTAGTTATATAAGTTCTTAATTGTGTTAATAAAATAAATTAATACTCATTGTTTAATTGGATCATTCATGCTATGTTAAGGTTAGGCTTTAAAACGATATCTCCCATTCGGCTATAATTTTCCTGATATCAAATGATTTTCTAAGAATTCGCGAGCTTCTTCTCCAAAAAAAATGTGATTCTGTATTTTGATTTAATCAGTCTCATTTGCATTTTCTTTGATTTTATTTCGACATTCGATTCTGACTCTATGAAACATTTCTGGATCCCCATTGAATGTTTTCATCATAGTCTTGAGCATCCTTCTATAAAAAAGCAAAGTCCCTTTATAAATATTACTCATTAAATTTATTAATAAAGAATTATGTAAAAAAAGAAAAACAAGGAAAAGTATGAAAAACATTAGTAAATGATGAAGGATAAATAATAATAGAGATAAACAAAAAAATAACACAAAAAACAGAGAGGATAAGCTCGTTCCCTTAAAGGTATGATAAATAAAGGAAAATTGCATAGGCTATGCTAAACATTTTTAAGAGTTTTAAGATGAAATGAATCAATTAGGACTTTAAATAAGAGATGTTGAAGGGGATGGAAACTGCCTCTTTAGATCAATAGCAGATGTATTACATGGAGATGAAAGATATCATAAATAATTAAGAAAATTAGCTGTTTAAACCATGTAGGAGAATTAGGAATTCTTTGGACTTTTCATTGAAGATGATATGACATTCAACTAATACTTGAAAGAGATGTCTAATGATGGAGAATGGGGAGGCAATTTGGAATTGCAAGCTCTATCTTAGGCTCTGGATGTGAACTTTTTTATTCATATGAAAGGGAGACCCTGCATGATTATTAAATCAATGACTGATGAAAGACCTCTAAATGAAGTAAAATTTTGATCATAGAATTATTAGAAAGACGCACTTCATTTAGCCTATCATTTAATTGAAAATGTTGCTGAGCACTACAGTTCAGTTAGAATGTTAGGAGATGATAGTAATAAGAGAGCGGAACCAATTCCATTGGATATATTTGAAGGATTATTGGATACTTTTTAATAAGCTCCTTTAGGACATGATGATAACTTTGAGTAATACGAGGACTTAGAATAATTTGAGGATCCTGAAGAAAGAGAATATTTCTAGGCCTTAAGAGAGTAAGAAGAAGCTGAAAAAGCTGCAAAAGAGGCTTTGAGAAAAGCAGAACTTTAAAAATATTAATTGAAATAGAAGAAAAATAAGAAATGCAACTGTGGCTCAAATAAAACATATAAAGACTGTTGTATGAATATTGACTTAGAGAAAGCAGAGAAATAGAAATAACCAAAATAATAATAGCAATAATAATAACAATAATAATAATAATAATAATAATAACAATAGCAATAACAATAACAATAACAATAACAATAACAATCTCATTCAGAAGGACCTATGAAAAAATAAGCTGTTTTTATATGATATTTTAAATTAATTACTATTCATGAATTATTATAATAAAAAAATAGCTGTAAAAAATGATGAACATACATCTCTACCACAAATATATAATCACAGATCATTAAGTTTAAATAAAGAGATTATAAGCTCCAAGGATGTCAATCATAAAAAGTACTTTTCCTTCGTACATTTAAATTAAAAATCTTAAGATAGATATTAATAGAAACCTTAGCATATGAGAAATATGTAAAGAAAAAACTAAATGCTGAAATTGCAGTTAAAAAGGGTATCTAAATAAATAAAGAAGGTTTCACCACCTCGTTTGTAGTATGAAACTTTAGAAGAGATATACTTTATTAGATATAAAAAAATGACATGATCCTTATATTAATTTTTTAATATTTTATTCACTTCTTTTTTTTGCTTTTCTTCTTCTTCTTGGGTTTTCTCTTCTTTGTTAGTGATTTTAACTTATCAGTAAGGGGTTTGGATATTTAATCTGAAATTTCAATAAAGAAGATGGATTTATTTTTTTCGATTAATGGAATTATTTTTGTGGCATCTAAATTATAAATATCAAGATATACCTTCATCGCTAAGTAAATTAAATTTAAGATCATAATATCCTAGAGTTTTATTTAATTCGAAGGTAGAAAGAATTTTATTTATTAAGGTTAAATCGCTTGGATCAGAATGAAATTGATTGTCTGCTAACTTAATTCTTTCCAAAGTATTATTGATTTCTAATGCTCTAAATAATTCATATGCTCCTTCATTTTTGAGTCGATTTCCACACAATTTCAATTTATATAACTTGCTATTAACATTCGCCAATATATCCTATAGAGATTTTGCCCCATCAGCCTCTATGCCACAATAATTCAATGCCAGACTTTCCAAGGTGTTATTCATAGCCAACCCTTTAGTCAGCTCAGCCAATCCTTCTGAACCAATTTGATTGTGATCCAATTTCAGTTTTACTAATTTACTTTCGCACTTCGGATGGAGTATGTCTGCTAAGAATTTACACCCTACAATAATGGATATGCTGAATACCTAAAACACCTATTTGATTATCTAAAAGGTCTAACACTTCAAGCAATCGAACTTTATCAATATACAAACATATTGTTCTGACTCCTTCATCTTAGCATTTGACTCTCCATAATCTTAACTATTTTAAATGTTTATAGCCTATTTCAGTAAATGATTCCATCATAGCTCTAACACCAACAGGTCCCATTTCTTCCCACAGTTTTACATTTTATAAATGTTCTCCTTCTGAACATACAGCTTCTAATCTTTCCTTAAATATTTTGCAAAGAGGAACTCCATTAATTTCACATCGCTTCCGATATAATTTATTTAATTGCTCTGTTGAGAAATCCTCTACCTGATCTCCCTTTTTCTTTTTATCTCCCATTTAATATAAAAATTAATAGTAAATTTTTCTATTTTAATTTCCTGGATTCCTTTAGGATTTCATTAGTTCACCATTTCGCTATAATAGTAAATATCAGTAAAAGGAAATAAAAATGGATAATTTTCGATGGCATTTAGAAATTTAGATAACATAAGGAAGTTATAATTTGTACATTTGTTTACAAAATATAGTCTACATTAATAATACAGTAGTTAGGGTTTGCTTTTATTACATTTTGGCCAATCTTCTTAAAGATTCTGATCAGTAAATTAGTTAACGTACTACTTTAATAAAATTATGAAAAAATTGAGATAAGTAACTTAAGAAACTAGTTAAAACTATTTGTAATTTTTATTTACAAGCGCATTAGAAATGAAAAACTGCTGATTCAAATAGGTTTTTGATTATTAATTTGAATACAGAATAATTCCAGTTAATTTATTTTTTCTGGGCCATTAAAATAATACATTTATTTAATAGATTATCACAATTTATTTGGAGAGATTATAAAAATAGTTATGATATTTTAGAATATTCTTGAATTATAATATTATTTAATTTAATAAAAATAATGAATATAATAAGATTTATTTATAAATAATTTGAAAATGTTGGTTCTAATTTGTTTTTTAGTTATAAGAAATTAGAACATTCTATAGTATAACAGTTGAGGAGATTAAATTGTATGGAATGAAATTTATGCAATTCATAATGTTTAATTGAATATTAGTTAAATAAATAATGGAAATTAAGTATAAATGGATATTTTCTCTGATCCTTAGCACAAATGTCCTTATAAATTTAGACCATGGTATCATTCCTGCAGGTAAATGGATAAAAATATGATTTTCCTAGCCACTTAATAGATTGAGGCATCCCTGGATTTGAGTGCTGAGGAATTGGGATACTTGGGGTCACTGGTTTATGCAGGTATTTCGATGGTTGGATTATTTGGGGGGAAGCTATTCATACATTTCAATGCTAAGTTGATAGTCTCAATTAGTTACTTAGGAATGCTGGGTTCTCTGTTGATGTTTCCTCAACATTACAAGAGCAGTTGGCTGTTTTATTTGAGTAGATTTTTAACAGGCTGTGCATAAGTAAAAATCGATGATATATTGAATAGGCACCTATGATGATTTATTTCCCAGTATGGGTGGACAACTTTGGAGGAGAATCAAAGACAATTTGGTTAACAATTTTGTAGGGTGTGATTCCTTTGGGAATATTTGTTGGATACGTGTTGTCAAGTGTGATTTCGAACATATGGACCTGGCAATTAGCCTTTTATGCTTAAGTTGTATTGTTAATTCCATGTGCAATATGTTTTATTTTGTTTGTGAGAACAAAGGATTTCGAGATAAAAAGAGCTAGAAGGAGCAAAATAGATAAAAAGTCAGTGAACCCTGATGATGTAGGTGCTTCGATGCTGAGTGTGAGTTCTCATAAATCATACTGGCAAATGATGGGAGAATTGTACTCTATAAAATTATGGTTGTGTTGTACAATAGTGATCAGCATACTATATTTCATAGTAACAGGTATACAATTTTGGATGACTGATTATATGATAATAGAGATGCATCAAAATCAGAAAACAGTTAATGTAGTTTTTGCAGTAGTCTCAATTACAGCCCCAGTCTTTGGTTGTATAACAGGAGGATTGATTGCTTAGAAATTGGGAGGTTATGAGAGAACTAAATCACTTTACATTTGTGTACTCTACTGTTTTATTTGCTGTTTGAGTGCTGCTCCAGTGCCATTTACAGATACATTTTGGTTCGGAGCCTTATGTGTTTGGTTCCTATTGTTTTTTGGTGGAGCAATAGTTCCCCCATTGATGGGAATCATGCTCTCTTCAGTTCCTAAACACTTGAAGGCCTTTGCAAATTCAAACACAACAATGTTTTAGAATTTATTTGGCTTTTTACCAGCACCTTCTATTTATGGATTTCTCTTGGAAAGATATAATGCAAAAGTGGCCATATTCACCTTGATGTATTACTCAGTTTTTGGATTACTGTTTATGTTTATTGCTGTTTATTTCAAGAAATAAGAAATTAAAAATAGAAAAAAAAATCCCACTTCAGTTATCAATAGAACAGAGTCAGTACTTGAGGATGAAGAGAACTTCAATATCACAGATAGAGTACTTCAATATGGTGATATGCCGTTGAGTGTTTCATTGGCTCAACATATTGACGATCAAATACCAAATTATGAATACGAAGGCACTAAAGAATAATAATAAGAATGAGAATTGTCATACATCAAATTTGAATACCGATCTCATATATATTTTATTGTTGTGTTATATATCTTAATAATAATAATTTTCCAAACTTTTCTGAGGTTCACAAAGTGCAGAACAAAAAATTTAAATATTATTCAATTAAGTCAAATATTCCTTTAGATCTAGAGATTAAAGAATGAATTAATTGAAGATGAGTAGCTTTAACTTCATCTCTGCACACAAAATTTTTGACTCAAGAAATCCAACTTATTATACTAATGTGAAGTTAGTAGCTAGGGATTACCAAAATTACTAAAAAGTCGACGACCATTGTAGAAATTAACTTAATGGCCATAGACTAAGTTCTCTTCCATAGACTTGGAGAATATGAAATTGGTATTTTAATTCATTTTAATTTAACTATTCATTAGTAGCTTTACGCTAGTTCTCTTATTACAACGTATTTGTGAGCTTATCCTAAATTAATTCATAGATGTATATGATTTTTAAGAGAAAGCAGATGTAATATATATATTAGAATCAGCTGGAGACCTCCATATTAATTATCTATAATAATAAAAGTCTCTTAGAATTATTTGAATTAATGATTCATTTATATTCATTTGTTTCACTCCAATACCTTGTTCAAATTGTAATAAGCTATCCTTAAATTATTCTCTTATCCCAAAATTGCCTAAAACACTTGATCATCCTTTAGTTTTTACTCTTCTCCTTCTTTCTTTCTTGTTTCCAAATAATCAATGGATTACTGGATATCTTTTTGATATTTCTTTAATAACGGTTTCCATTTTTAGTCAAATATCTTATGTAGATCTATCTTTTTCAAATTCTATTATAATTATAGAACTTTTTACCAATTGTTAAATTAATAGTGTTGCTGAATCAAACAATAAAACTTTGGCATCAATATTTCCTACTTCTTTCCTAAATATAGCTGAAATCAGTATATCATAATTTTTGATTAAAATTTAATTGTCTAATTATGTATAAGCACTTCTAATTTCATTAACTAAATATGATAGCAAAACATAATTTTGAGATTTGTTTATGCACTATTCTACTATTCTTGTCCACACTTCAGGGATGAATGAATTTTGAGCTTATTTCCAAGCTGAAATGTAAGGCTTTTCATCAGTCAATCCAGATCCTGCTTTCTCCATTATTAACAGGAGTATTATATCAAATGGAGTAGTGAAATGGTTGGCTGATTTAAATTTTAGAGAAACATCTCTTAAGTTTAAATACTTAACTATTAAGCCTATCAATTTGCTCTAAATGTCACATTTAAAAGCTGTTAGTTTTTTTTATTCGTATAAAACTCCAATTAAGATTTTCAACTTATAATCTACTGTCAATATTGACTCCAAACTACTGTTTGTCAACAATTCCTTGGTTAAATAACAAATAAATGCAGGATTGTATGTCTATTCATTTGTGTAATGTTAGTATTATTGAGGTAATTCTTAATCAAATTAAATGCTGAATCTTATCCAATTTATATAGTTTTCTATAATCTCCAATTTATTATCATGAATCTCATAAATCATTTAATTTGCTTGTGTTATAAGAGATTGAATAACCTCTGGATCTAATTGAGAGTCTTTCATTGATTACTCAGCCTCCAGAACTCCTTGTATTAAATCGGATAGAAATAACAAAATATAATGTTTGACAACTAACTTAGGATCTTCAGGTTTTCTGCTTAATTAATTATCAAAGTAATCATATTTAGAATCAATGCCATATAATTCTCGTATAGCTACAGATTAAGTCTTGATTTCTGGAAACTTCTTAATTGAATCGAAAATTCTTTTGAAAAATGAGACAGTCCAATTTTGAAAATTGGCCATATACAATTTAGTGAACTTATTGTCTTCATTCAAATCATTTTGAATTTGCTATTATTTATATTTCAAGTATTTCTGCAATCCTTCATTGATTACAATCAGTATAACAGGGAAAACAACTGCCAAATGAATTTCCCTTTTCTCTATTTTTGGAAGTATTTACACAAATATTTCTAGAAGAACAAATTTCTTTTCAACTGTTTTTTGTTATCGTAAGATGCTAATAAATATCAATAGATGTTTTACTCATTCAAAAAGATAATAAGAACTTTATGATTTTCAGAATGATATACACGTTTAATGATGTATAATCCTAATAGATTTTCATCGGTATTATCCTTGTGAAATAGGATCTTATCCCAGCTTAGTTGATACAAAAGTTGATAGACTCCTCTATTTGATAGATAAAGGGCAAATTTGATGAATAATTCTACGTGAGAATTGAAACACGAATCATCAATTATTTCTATTTATTAATTTACTTAAAGAATTTATTCAGGAGTCAAAGTGCTTTTCTTTTGTATTTTTGTAGTCAGAGTGGACAACTATTCTACAAATTTCTCTTCTGTGATTTCCTTTTTGTTGAATTACTCAAAAAACTCCATTAATTTATTATAATTAATCAAATTTATCAAATAGCTGGATTACGATGCAAATATGGCAAAGTATTGGGATCTCGAGGCATTTTTTCATTTTTAATGACTGAAATGACAGGTCCTGGGATAGATTGCTCTTACAAATTTTTCTTAGCCTCTCTTTCCAATATTTTTCGAATAGAGGAATTAGAGTGAATGTTGGATAGATTCTACGGATAAAAGCAAATGCATTACTTTATATTGATTAAGGATCTCATCAGCAACATGTTTTGCTATGCGATCCTCTAATGACGCTTTTTGATCTCCATTTGTAGTTGTCTTCTCCCAATCCTATTTGCCTTATTCAATCTACTCTTATCTCTTTCTCAATTAATTTATGGAATCTACTCAATTGAATTTTTACTTTAAGTTTTCTCTGAATGTACTGATCTAGCCTCGTCATTCTTTCCCAGAGACTGACTAATCTTATCATACATATCTGGTTCTCTTTGTTCTTATTTCTTCTCCCCTTACTCTAATTTCTCTTTCCAATTCCCTTCCTTCTTTATATCAGAGACTCTTTATTATAATGCTTTCAACATCACATTCACCTTGCATGTAATCAAATACAATACTTCTAAGTCATTGATATATGAATCATAATCGAGATTCTCAACAAAATTGAGTAACTCATCCTCCTCCTATTTAATGTGCTCTTCTTCTTCCTTTGAATATTACGATATAAATAACTTCTTTTGTCATAGCCCAGACTGGTTTGGTTTTGTATCTCTTCTTCTGATCCCCTTACTTTGGATCCAATTTATTATCAGTTTTCGCTTCTTATAGTTTGATGGCATCTCTGTCTTCTAATTTCTTTAGGTTTTCGGCAGTCAATTACACTCTTGAAATTAAGATAACAGCCTCACGTCTTGCTTTTGGGACCATCATCTTGCAACTCTTTCTTGATGATATCATTCATTTATTTGTATTCTTCCTTCATCTTCTTTGTGACCTCCCTGTCTTTCTTGGCTAAATCTCTAACTCTTTGAAATTTTTCATCCTCACGAACTTATTACTCCTCTTTGGCATGTTTCTTGAGTTAGTTTTGCAATTTGAATTCTTCCAACCACTTCTTATGTCTTTCTAAAACGGGATTTATGGGAATTGGTAACGCTTTTGCCTCTTCGAATTTTTTTGTTAACCCCCATTAATCTTAAGGTTGAACCCTAGAACAGAAAGGTCTGAATCGGTTATTTATAAGGAATACTTCTCTTTGACAATCATCACATTTTCATTCGGTCTGTTGCAAAGCATCACTCCCTTGAAGTTATTTATCGGAACGTCCATTTTATATATAATGTAATTATTAAAACTTAATCAATTTTAACTCCTCTCCAAAGAAATTGAACCTATTCTCTCCTTTAAATTAGAATTAGTATTAATTCAATTATATAGATCAGAGGGAATCCCATTGAAATAATTATAAGCAAAAATGTTATTCATATGTATATAAATTCATTTAAATACAATCTAAAAGGCATTCTATACTATTTCATAAAACTTTTGAGCATCTTAATCAATTGTGTCTAATCTAAATCCAATATTAGCTTAATTTCCAAAAGGATGTTTGTCAATCATTTGCTTCCTCTTTAGAATAAATTGTAGGATGGCTGCAACTTTGTCATTCAAGTAAATAGGTGCAATAAACACAGGTAATATCGAGGATATGTCTGTGTTTTCATCAAAGTGATCTTGTCTTGTAATTTGAGTAAAGATTTGGGACTTACCTTTTAAATAGATTTGATAAGCACAACCAGCCTATAATTGATAAGTTCTACCTGAAATCCAAAATTGATTATTCTCTATAAATAAGAGTTTAGTTTATGCAATCTAGAATATTTGCATAGCAGATTCTTATAACGCTGAACAAAAATGTTCCCTATCTTTACATTAAATCAATCGATTAAAACATCTATAAAACAGATCTCTGTAATTCAATTCCTTTACCAAAGCCTCAAAATCCAAGATACTTTAAACCACTGACTTACTTAACATATTTATCAATAACCCATAATATTGAGAATCTAAAAATAAATTCTCTTAAATATTTTGTATCTAAATTTATAGACACAGTATACTTCTAATATTCCACATGGTTTTGAGCTATTTCCCATAATTGGAAGCAAGAGAAAGTTCTTTCCAAAAACCTCATTGTTTTCTGTTATGTAGAGCAATTCCTACTTTTTTGATGGGCTTCGTATACCATAATCTTCAAACACCAATTAGCTAAAAATTCCATCTGTTAGTAAAGCAACATGTTAAACTCCATTACAATCATAAGTTTGAGCTCTGCAGGTCATTCCATCTATAATCCATAAATGAACAATCTCAGTTCCAAAGATAGGTCGAAATGCTTTGCTTACATGAATTTAAAAATCTTGAATATTCTTGTAACTGATCATAGTTATAAATTCATTCATAATTTAGTTAATTCTTTCGGAGAAATCTCTTGCACTTATAAATTGAGCTAATTGAATTTAAAATATAAGATACATGCAACCAGATTAATGAGATCCTTTTTTTGTTGTATCGAATCAAGTGTGACAACCTAATTTGTAAAGACTTCTGGTCCATGTTCTATTAGATCTAATAAGAAATCACAATCATCGTTATCAAGATCATTCAATCGAAATTCTAGATTACTTGGTAATGAATTTGGATTGAAGGCATAATTTATTATTTACTAATTTTCTGTTACAATGTCTTTCACACCAACTTTCTTGGTTTTCAAGGAATCTAATTTTTTGGTCAATCTATTATTTTATTAAAGTAGTTTTGAATTTAAATCTTTGAGTCTTTCATTTTCTTTCTCTTTTTTCACCAAATCTCTTTTGAGTTACTCGTTGTCTCTGATCAATTCCGACAATGTGTTCCTGAGTTCTTCAGAATGAGACTATTTAGTGTATTTGAATTACATATAGATTTTTCTCCAAGATCATCTCTATTCTCTTCTCTAAGAATTTGATTTTCTTATACTACTCTTCCACCACTTTTTTCTATTGCAATAAATCCCGACATAGTTTATGTTAATCCTGCTGAGAGAGAGTTAACTGTTTTAGATATCCCTCATTGTCCATTTTATAATGATTCTAAATTTGCTTACTTACTAATATACTTATTGGTCTTTTAACTTTTGTATTGTCTATTTCTACATCACACTCTCCATGGTCACATGGCCGAGTTGTTTGTTCTTTTAATTTAATTCGATCTCAGTTTTGGAGATGCTCTTGAGTGTTTTGGCAATCTCTTGCAAACTATTTAGAATTCTAGTCTACTCGATTGAAGTGCTGGGCTTCAATGATTCTGCTAACTGCTCGATGTAATAGAGTCTATTCTCAAGAGCCTTGTACATAAGTGAATATAGTTAACATTATCATAACCGGATAGCGATTCCATTTTTCGAGATTGATTGAAAACTGTAGTTGTTCTTTCATCCGGTAATGTTTTAAGTGGTTGATCGGAAAACAGCCTTGGACTTTGAACCTATTTCATTCGAAAAGCACGATTAGTACTGCTCATTTTAATTAAAATGTTTTTATTTTATTTTTTCCATCTCATCTCCTCTCAAATCCCTGAAGGTTTTGTTCGCTTGAAAGACATAGACTCCACTATATTGCAGGAAATGCGATATGCACAATATCATAATTTCGTAGGTAGACCCATAAAGGGGTATTTACTTGAAGAGTGTGTCTTGACGATTGAGGCTGCACAACAATTAGCAAAAAATCAAAAGGAAGCTATTAAACAGGGTTATTTGATAAAGGTTTGGGATTGCTATCGTCCTTAAAAGGCTGTTGATGATTTCTATTAATGGAGTTTGAATGATAATATTACAATGTAGGAAGAGTTTTATCCAGGCGAACAAAAGGAACTTCTGTTTGATCACGGGTACATCGCCAAGAAATCTGGACACAGTAGGGGATCGACTGTTGATCTGACTTTAGTTCCGTATCATCCTGATAAACAATAAGAATATAAACCTGGTGATTAACTAATTCCATGTTTCCAAGATAATAGGTAATGTGAATAATAATCGTATTATTAGGTTTAAAGACAATACCATCGATATGGGGACGGGGTTCGATTGCTTTGATGAGAAAGCCCATACTTATTGTGGAGATTTGACAATCGAATAGAGAAATAATAGAGATCAACTATTAACATTGATGTAGAATTTTTCAAATTATATTGACGAATGGTGGCACTTCACATTAATAAACGAACCATACAAAAATATATATTTTGATTTCGACATTAAAGATTGACGATTATTTGTTTAAATATTTTCAATTTTCTTTCTTATGATCCAATTTATTCTCTCTATTATCGTAAATATTCTTATATCGACCAGAAGAGAAAATGCCCAATCCCACTTTAACCATAAATATTGTCCAATAAATATGCATTCCAAGCAGCAACACCATTAGACCGATTTAATTGTAATAGGCATGCTTTGTTTGTTCCCTAAGATATTTAAAAATCTTACCAATACGGCAAGAATTACGGATGGTTGACCATACAATCATAAATCTTGATTGGGAATACATAAACCCTTGTGTACAACCAAGATACCTATATTGATGAGAATCCAAGATACACTAAGATCTTAGTCTTACCAAGATCCGCATATGCTCTACCTAAGGCCAAGAATATGTCACTGATATCGTGGAGTACCAGAACAACGATCCCAATATTCTCGCAGTTGTACATTGTTGAAAAGTAAAGTAAACTAACAGCAAGAGAGTGGTGTAATAAGTATTCCCAATACTTCAGTTCTATTTTTGTACCGTAGATCATTAGTAACAACAAGGCATGAACATGACTTGATGCCTAGACCATATAATAAATTGGAACCCAAGAATTCTAATAAATTCTAACATAATATTTGTACTTCAGGAATGTTAGGAAAATCATATAAAGTCTCCTTAAAATTAGATCCTCCAAATTCTCTGGGGAACCATTTTTCATCTCGAAAAGCAAAGAATGCAAAGAGAGTTGCACTAGAGTAGTATACTGTGTCATAAATCCATTTCACTATTTTTTGTACTCTAATCTATCGATCAGCTCCTATATATTTTGAATCTAGTTATCTTTCCACAAAACCTGTCACAGCCCTCTTATTTATTTCTTTTGTAATCTATTAATAAGTAGCACGAACTAGTACATGTATCAAAATCAATCCAACAAAAAGCCATTTAAGATCTCTCCAATCAAATCTTCTGAAGTTCTTCTCTTACAGGAATTGCTGGAACTATATGATATCATAACTATAAAGGGAAATAACAACTAAATATGCTAATTGATAAACAAATACTTAAGACGAGAAAGAAAACAAATTTGAAGATGGTTTCATAGTGTGTGAATTTGACTAACTTTTTCAAAGTGATCTTTTGTTACCCTTCATTTATTAAATGGTGAGTATACGAGGACCTTTAAAGCATTATTTGTATTTTTATCAATAAATCGAGATAAAAAATAATTCTTAAGAATACTCAATTTATTCCATTCAGAATTTCCTGAAATAAAAATATTAAATTAACTCTGATTTAGTTTTGGAATATTTATATATGAAATTTATTTTAATATTAGTCTTCACATTCGGCCTGAATGCCTTAATGCTGAGAAGTGTGAATGAAAAATTAACAGAGCATGTAATACAGGTAATTGAACCGTATTATTTAAGTAAATACGTGAATAAGTGAAGAATCCATTGAGCCAAAATTACCACTCAGCATATGATAGATTGGCTTATTATGTTGATACCTTTGGTCCTAGATTATGGGGATCAGAGAATATGGCAGACGCAGTTGACGCACTCTATAAGGATATTCAGACAATGGGATTTGACAGAACTTGGAAAGAAAATCTAGGAGAGATTACATCATGGAGGAGAGGAGAAGAAAGTGTTACATTGTTTGATCCGAGAGAAATACCTCAGAAATTGAATATGATTGGATTGGGATGGACTCCTGCTGGAAGTGTAAAGGCTGAAGTGGAAGTGGTTCATTCATTTGAGGAATTGAAATCGAAGGATGTGAAAGGAAAGATTGTATGTTACAATTTTGAATGGAATGGATATGATTCTGGTGTGGCATTCAGATATGCAGGACCTGTAGAGGCAGAAAAGGCAGGAGCTATTGGTACAATGATCAGAAGTGTGGCAAGTGTATCAATTGCATCACCACATACAGTATATATTTTGTTAGAATTTCAAGGGAATGACGGATTATGACAATATCAAATATCCAGCAGTTGCAATTACTGTTGAGGATGCAGATATGCTAGACAGGATGAGATAAAGAGGCTAAACGGTAGTAGTGGAGATCAAAACAGAAGGATAGTAATATAAAACAACAAGCGATAATGTCATTGCAGAAATCAAAGGATCTAAATATCCAGACGAGATCTTGTTAATGGGTGGTCATTGGGATTCATGGGATGTTGGATCATAAACAGGAGCCAATGATGATGGTGGTGGTGTTATTGTCTGTTTAGAGACATTAAGAGTCTTAAATTCATTGGGAATTAGACCAAAGAGAACATTAAGGTTCATTGCTTGGAGTGGTGAAGAGATGGGCTAGTACAACAATGGAGCAGTTCATTATGCTCGTAATCATGGCAAAGAAAATCATATAATTGCTTTCGAATCTGATTTAGGATCAACCAAACCATATGGATTTGGTATAACAGCTGGATAGCAATTTACGTAATTTTTATGCTTACAAAATTCTTAGATAATTGGTAACATATTTGGCTTAAGAATATTTAACTGGTATTGGAGCAGAACGCATCTTTCCAAATGATGGAGAAGCTGTAGATAGTGGAATTTTAGCTGAATTCACTGGAACTCCTATGTTGAATAATCGAATTGCTGACAACAAAAATCATGATTACTATTTCACTTATCATCACACTGCCGGTGATTCTATGTGGATGATGAATCCAGAAGATATGGATGATAATGTAGTTGCTATTGCCAGTATCATGTATTTGATTGCTGATTATGATGGACCCATTCCAAAAGATTGAGTAAATTAAATGTTGTTAAATTAAATGAATATTATATTCCTCATAGTTTTCTTTTATATATCAATTTTAATTATATGGACACTTTTTTAATGTTTGTTTTAAGATTTGTTAATATTTAGAAGGGTAGCTCTCTATTTTTATATCTATTAATAAAACACTATCCATCTAATATTTTTTATTAAATCTTAAATTTATTAAGATATCATTACTAGGAGTGTATTTTATAAGAATATAGATTTAAAGTTATATCAAATGATTATTAACTGCTGTGTACCTTAATAAAACGTTAAGAATTCTCGAATAAATAACAGTTCAGTGAAAACTATTTCAGTGTTTTATAATTTTAATTTCCTTTAGATTTAATATTCATATAATATATATAAAAGAATTATGAAATTATATGACCTTTTCATAATTTTTAACCCAACTAAATTGATTCAATAATTGATATAAATTTATTTTTCATTCAAATTCAGGGTTGCATAATTTCATTAACAATTCTCTATCTGGCTTTAGAGTAACATTTAATTAACTAGCTCTTTACTTATACTTGGTACACGGCTCAAAATTTTTAATATTTTAAATCTTTGGAAAATATTGATGTCCGATTTGTTCATCTTCTTCTAATTGAATCAATTCTCTGAACAAATTTTCTTTTTTTTTTTTATCTATCTCACATACTTAGGTTTGAATGAGACAACCAACTGGTCTGTGATCAGAGACTTGAAAATTACCTTAAATTCTATCATACCATTCAACTGAATGAATGGCTACTTTCTAAATCTTTTTGAGCAGAATTCTATCAGTAAATGAAGGGACTCTTTTTTTGACTGTGTCATAGATTTCAGTTCCTATGTCATACTTATAAGTAGGTAAAAATTAAATATCAGCTTCGTGAAATTGCTTTAAGTATTAAGATTTTAATTTTTCTAGATGCATCTAATCGTACTCTTTTAATACTTAGAATTTAATACCTTTTAAATGTTTCAAAATGGCTTCTTTCTATTCTTGGTTTTATATATTTTGATAGTTAGAGATGCTGGCTACGACTGATTATTGTGCTAGATTGATTCTGAAATTCATATCTCCAAATGTTATAACCCAATCGCATTAATTTAATTCAGCTCTATTATGGATATAGTCAAATGCAGCCATTCTATCATCATTAGACTTTTGTCCAGCTGGCAAATGCACATTGACAAAACAGATGTTACTGTCATAAAATCTCAGTTTAATGATCTATGTATTATATATTATCTTTACCACTCCTCCTTTGTTGCCTAATGATTATCCAAATCCATATTTGACAATTTCAGTTTTGACATTTGAAATGTGCAGTTTTTCATCATCTAACACAAACACTAAGATGAAAGTACCGACCATAACTTATTGAGCTGCTAAAACATACTTTGCTTTAGTATTCAGACAATTATATAATATCTATTTCCAATTTTCAATGACATCTCTATTCTACCGACCAACTACAGTCAGAGTATTAAGTTTGACTAATTCTTGAAATCCTATAGCCACAATGTGAGGAGGAGTTTAGAATTGAAAGAGCTAACTATACAAAGACTTATCATTGGGTTAATGAGCATTGATGTTCCAAGTAACAACATAAACACTCTTCTACAACAATTATGTGTATTCATTTTCTCTCTTTTTCATAGTTCTTTCTAACATCATAATATTTTCATTGGCCTAACTCTCCGATATTGGGAATCCAAGTGCTCTGTGAATAACTTCTTTCAATTATTTTTCCTCAACCATGTTTTTATAAAATTGATTCAAATCACTATTCTATTATCCAACCTTATAAATTAATCTCAATTGATCTCCATTTTCCATCCATTTCGATTTGAAATAGAGGAGGAAAGGATGTATATTGTGAATACTTGGGATGTCCAAATCAACGTAGAGATTCTAAGCATCAAATTCCTATAAGATGTCAACTTTGAAAGTTTATAAGATTTTTTAAACTCCCATCATGGCAACTTTGGCCATCACAATATTAGTTTGATCCAAACAATCATAACAGTTGATCCTCATGATATTTTGCTATCTATGTCCTAAAGTGGATGAGTAATCAACACATTCATTCAGTTTTTCTAGGTATTTATTGATACTATCCAAATCCTTATTGAGAAATGCTGACTTGAAATTGAATTTATAGATAGACATTTACTCTGACTCAGTTAGATATCTGTCTAATTGATTTGGGAGTTATGAACCATCATCAACTAAATTGATAAAATGGATTTTGATGAAATTGGACAATAGAATTTGAAAGTGCTTATTCATCGCCTTTTTTGGGTCTTCTTAACTCATTACAATTTAATTATTAAAGATGTTGTATTACCAAAAGAGAGGAATACTACCCCTACACAAAATCTATTTAGCCTTTTCGTTGTTCATGTAGACCAATTGCTCAGTCTCAGTGTAATTGGCAACATTCCCTTCAGTGTCTATGCCAGTGTCATTCCGTATCGACCCTCCTTTATAAAAGGATCTACGACTGATTAGACAATATTGAATTTGATTCAAATTTCTTAAGGTTATTGAGAAGATCCCAACATAACCTTGTATGATCTTCAATTGCCATTCAGGTGGAAACATCTTACAAAGATTGCTGTTCCACCAAAATCGATTATGCTGATAATTTGATTGATTAGTCAAATCTATTCCATAACTAAAATAAAAAGAGTTGATGAAGAGATTCTTCACCTTCTCTAATTGATCCTTCTCAAAAATGTCATGTTCAGGCTCTTAATGTTTCTACAATAATTAATTAGAATACCTTGTCTACAAATCCCACTTTAGTAATCTGATAGATTGGCCATCCTTCCAATATCCCAATCATATCTGCATCCTCTATAAACAATAGCACGGGCTTCCCGCTTACTTCGAATATACCCAAAATACCAAAAATCTTTCTGGGTTGAAAACTCTAATCGAATTTTTCTTTACTTTCCCACATTTTCATGTTTCCTCTATCAATGATCAACTTGTTAGAAATTCGAGTTAATTGAAAGTCAGGATCTATCTAGGGTTTCTTTAAATTTGTACAATCATCTTATTAGGAGTGAGGGTTAAACTCATTAATGCTTGATTCATAATTATCTATATATATTTATATATATATATATATATATATTTAAACATCAACAATCTCTTCTTCAATAACTTTATATAAAATTATTTCATTTATACCTAGATGATGATGAAGAATCCGATTGAGAATCTGATGATGAACTTGCCTTTTAATTATTTCCAACCAGTGAGTTCTTAAAGTATCTATGAATTATAACATTTTTTAATACTTGCTGCTTTGGATCAGTGCTTCTTCATTATCACTAACCACAATAAAGTGACTTTGTATTAGCTCTCTCAATGCTGATTGTGTTATTTTAACTCGTTTATCATTCTAGTATTACTGCTTTTCCGAGACTTTCTTGTGGTTTTCTTGTTTTTTAACTACTGTCTTTTAAACCTTGGGAACTGGAGTTTTCTATTCTCTTAACAGCTCCTTCGTTACTACCGACATCACTCCATTCACAGACATTACACGTTTGCGTTTCCCATCAACTACTTTAGATTTGTCACTCACTTCTTTCATGTATGATATTATAATGAATCAAAATTATTGCTTCATTAATCGCTGAATAATGAAAATCCCATTTATTGCACACGCCAATTAATCATAAATTCGCTTTATAATTTATATTTTATTATATTATAGTTAATTCTCATGCTAAATCCTTCCATTTCAAAGTCCTTAGGCGTTTTCCAATTATTAATTTAAACCTATTTTGGAACTTCACTCCTTTTCAACAATCCAGATATCAAGGACTAAGGTTCTGTTCAAAATCTCCAGAACTTCTTCGTCTCTCCAGAATATTCTAAAAATACTTTGCCATTTTTTAATCTTCATAAATGCAACCTCAATTTTGCCTTGAACAACTCACTTGATCATTGTAATTAAATTGACTGGAATTTCAATGCTAAGTTTTAAATACGATTGCATTAAACAAAACAGAGTAGCATTTAAGATTCTCATTTGAAAGTACATTGATTATATATTTAATTATTTAATGTTAATTAAAATGATTACAATTCACAAATTCATTAAGTTTTCTTGTCTTTTGCATTCACTTTATTCATATATTCATGTTTATCGATAGCATATTTTTTAGTATAATATTGAGCAATTGATTTGTATCCAATTAGATCATTGGCTCTAAGTAAATTTGCTGCATCACAATTCAACGGGCTGTCTGGATTGGGTTCTTAGAGCATTAATCTAACTGCTCGAATAATACTTTCAATTGTCCATCTTGGCTCCCATTTTTAGGAGAGTACTTCTAAACACACTTCTCCCGTGTCCATATGAACATTAGGATGAAATATTCTTGTTTGAAAATGAAGTGTAGGGGCTGAGATTGGATAATTTTGCGGAATGGAAACTTTAATCTAGTTTCATCGAGTGATATTACTTTAAAGATTCCATTCTCAAATGGAGTGTCTTCTGGACCGAATAAGTAGACAGACCAATTTAGTAGATCAGTCTCGTTGACTTAAATAATCATAGTGGGGTCATTTAACTTTTATAGGTCATGTTGTTCCTTCATTAGTCGAGGTCTGCAAATCATCAATTTATATATTATTAATGGCAGATTTAAACAAAAACAAAAAGCCTATTTTAACATCAATCAGTTTGAATGAAAAACGATCAATCATAAGATAATAGAAATCTCCAAAGAATAACAAAAATGCCATTCGACTCTGAGAAATATGTTGAAAGGGAAATGATGTGAAGATGGAAAAGAAATATAATGATTTGGTATGGAAATTGCAAACATTATTCCTGGAGATCAATAATAGTTATTATGTAAGTATTGTAACATAAAACAGGATATTAATGAAAAGATTGAATAGAAAATCAGATGAATTTGGATATAAAACGCTATGGAGGAGATGAAGAGAGAATTCACATTTGCAATAGATAAGATAATTCTAATCATTAATCTACTAGGCATTAAGGTTGATGTATATAATAAATGCATATATCACAACTTTAAGTATGAAATTAATAGTTTATGAAGTGGAGTCCTTTCAAAGGCTCTTATGTCATTCATCATTAATATTTGTTGATTCAATAATTTTTGTCTAAGTATTTCCAATTATTCTTTCATGCATTGATTTAAATATAATTAGCTAGTTTTTAATTGCTCAAGGAATTTTTTAAAGTTCTTCTTTTAAATTTGGTTTTTATTCATTCTTTCATCCAAACTTTTATTCAGTAAAGATCGATTTGATTCTTTTTCTCTGAAAGTGAATCTCATTCTATTTAAATTCCACAATTATCTTTTTTCATAAATAGTTTCTTTTCTTTGAGATTCACTTTTGTTAACTAAATCCATGACTTCTTTCTCCTTCCTTGATTTTATAGTTCTGTTTTGCATAATAATACGATATAAGTTGAAAAATTGCATTCTCAAAGGATCTGATTTACAATTCACATCTTTTCGCAACATATCTAATATAATTTTTTCTTTAACTTGCTGCAAATTTAATTATTTGAATGGTTATCTATGACCTTAATAAGATGAATTTCGTCCTGATTATAAGATTTTTGAACTTATTAATTTGATATTAAGATTAGGGTTATCATTCTAACCAAGAGTTATGTAGTGTTCTAGTTCTTAATTTTACACTTCCTTATTATAGGAACTAAAGCGCAATTCATTGACATAAGACTTGTGTCTTGAAACTAGTTCTTTCTGATTGTCTTCAAGTCTTAACATGATGTTGGATATCCTTTTTTTATTTTCGTGACTTGTTCTAATCATTAATTCTCTTGTTCGACCATCCAAAAATTCCTAAACATCTTTCGTAACCAAAATCATACTTGAACATCAGGTATGTCATCGGTTTTGGGAACTGATTCCTGCAAATCTCCAAGCCAGACAGAATTGTCTCTGGAGGCAGAAGTTTATTTTCTTTTATTTTTCACCAACTGCACTCTTTATTAATGAATGTTCTTACTCATGTTCCTACTTTTTGATGTATTTCAATAGACTGTTGTTGGTTGCTGTTGAAGGTAGTTGAAGATCCTCCTGAAAATTGAGAGCATCATAAACTCTCTCCATATCCACGCTTGGTTGTGTTTAGATTCTCAAATCGTTTTGCCTTTTGTTTCTTCTGGTCGTTTGCTTACTTTACAATTATTCATACAAAGCTAAATATAATTTGAATCACAATATACGATCATTAGTTATATCAATGTTATAACTTCTTTTCATTAATAATAAATGAAATAAAATTATTATCGATAATAAAGAGGATCAGCTGGTGCAACATCCAATATAGTGCCTCCTCTGTAAATCAAGAGACAACAGAGCACCAATAAAATTGCAGCATAGCCATCCATGGGGAGTCATCTGAGAGAAATAATGAAATAGCAATTTGTTCCAACCACCTCCACCAATAACATTTAAAACGAAATCATAAGATCACAAGAAACATATTTGCAGGAAGTGCCAGTTGAATTGCAAGACATTAAAATGTATCAAATTTTAAACGTTCTTGGACATGGAGCAACTGCTGAAGTAAAAATGGCAAGGCACAAGATGTTGGATTTTGTTGTAGCTATTAAGATATATGGAAGCAATGCCAATATTCAACTGTTAGAGTAGGAAGTTCTAATTTTGTAATTACTATCACACCCCAACATAATTAAATTGTATTACCAATTGAAAACCACTCAGAGCATCTATTTGATCTAAGAATACTTTTCACCCATGACCTTAGACACCTATTTGAAAGGGAGAACAATCAAGAGGTTGAGTGAGGACCAAGCTAAAATTATCGGCAAACAATTAAGGAATGCAATTACATATTTACATAGTTTAAACATCATTCATAGAGATTTGAAATTAGAAAATATTCTAATAGATCCTTCAACCTTGAAAATCAAGTTGATTGACTTTGGATACTCCATCTAGACTGATAAGGAACTGTCTATTTAATGTGGGACTCATTAGTATATGGCACCAGAATTAATTAAACAACAGAACTATGATAACAAAGTTGATGTTTGGGCATGCGGAGTTATCTTATTTAGATTGCTAACTGGGTTATTCCCATTTAAGGGCAATAATGATGCGGAATTGAACAAGAAGATTATAGCTGGTAAATTGGAGTTCCCATCTTTTATGAATGGGAGTTCAAAAACACTGTTGCAAGGAATGCTTAATGTTAATAGTCAATAAAGGACTTTAATTGGTTCAGATTTTCTTTAATGATAATTTATTTAATTTATATTCAGTTATATGTTTCAAAATAAAATAGAGTAATCAAAAACAGCATTCTTTTGGGATGTATTCAAATGATTTCAAATTTAGATCCTATTGGGCACTTATTCCCCTCAATTACCACATCCCTCATTTAACGAAATAAATAAGACATCAGTCGACCAGCCACAATATCGCACTTTGAAAATGGATATTCCACGGACTCGTTCTCAATTACTACAACCTCAAATGCATGGCATTCTAGAAAAAATAATTGTTTTCTTTTGTTAATAGGAAAATATTAGTTACAAACAAGGAATGAATGAAATATTTGCTGTTGTAGCGGTCTTTAATGAAAGTGGACTTTCCTGGGAAAAGGTCTATGAGTATGCTCGTAAAATCATACTCGATAACAACTTCTTTAAAGACGAAGAGTTCTTGTCATTGCAAGTTGCCTTCTAATGGATAAATTTGCTACTTAAATTTCACGATTTCCAATTGTACGATTATTTGGATAAGAATCTACTCTCACCAGAACTATATGCTACACCTTGGCTGTTAACTCTATTCGCCAATAAAATGTCCTTAGAATGCACTTATCTGCTTTGGGAGATGCTCTACATCAAGAAGGATTAATTAATGATATATTACTTCGTGATTGCAGTTCTCATTTTCTTCAGAGAGAAATTGCTATCAATTGATTCCTCACTCTTGCCACAAACCTTGAGTGGAATCTACATAGACAACGTTGAAATACTGAAGAACATCTATAAAAAGTAACCATTGTGTTTATAAATAGAGCAGTTGATTTAAAATTGAATACTCCTTCATCTGCCTGTATTCCCACCAAGATATTTGACTTACCAAAAGAAGAACTTAAGATTCTCATGGATTACTATTAACAACTTGATTGTTTGACTCTTCATTACACAGAATCATTAAAATTAGAGACCAATTATTGTAGATTATGTTCCAATAATGGATGTGTGCAATGTAGACTTGTGCGAATGCCTCCTGAAATGAAATGTTTCATCTATTCCAACAAACATCTATAAGACCTAGTTCAATATGTTGGAGGCTCCATTAAACAATACAAACTGGTAGACAAGGTCCAGAATCACTAAAATTTAATATAGATCATCAAATACTCTAAGTTTCAATCTGAATAACAAATTTAACAGAGCTATATATGTTTTTAACAGTAATAATCAAACTGTCAGAATACTGAAGAAGATACTATAAGCACCAGGTCTTAAAATAGTTTATACAGTTCTTAGATTATTGTTCCTTTTAAATTCAATAAATTACAATTGCAATAGTAATTGTAAAAGTAACCAGATGATTAATTTGATTCGATGCGATCTCAGGAATAATCCAATAGACAATAATCTGTATCATATAGATAATCATCCATTATTGAATGTAACATTTTACAGAATATACATTTAAATAATACATCGCCGGTGGAGATTCAGCCACTCATTTTAAAGAAGGATTCCAGAGCGAATTCTTTGAAATAAGATCCCATCAAAAGATACGAAAATAAAGGGTTATTTAAAAAGATGATTGTGGACATCAATATGTTGAATAACATCAAATTTCACATTTTTAGATGCAAACTGATTGGTACCTAAAAACAAAGAATATTGGTCTTGAATCAGGGATTCATCTGTTTAGTTAAAGAAGATAAATAAGTGTTTTCGAAATTACAGGGAATCTAATAATTGAAGCCAAAGTTACCCCTCAAAACGGAGCAATAGAATCAAGCCATTTAGATTTAATACCTGTATTACATGATATTCCTTAAACGAATCAGCAGCAAACGACTCAATAGCAATGTGATCTCATTCTACTTCAAACAGCCAATTGTGAATGTAACTATTTGTTTAATCTTAGTCACAACAAAACATTAATAATCGCTTTTTTAATCTGTTTAAGGAATTTCATATGAATGTAGACAATGATTATATAAATGAAGCAAAAAGAATGATTAAGACAGAATACAAAATAACTCTGGAGATGTTAACAACTCAAGAAGCTTAAAATTGTATAGAAATGGGTAAACAATATTACAAGCAATGCTAATTTTGATATATAAACCCATTTTCAATTTAATTTTACTCTCTTTTTCTCTTCTATTTCAAATTTTAATAAGTCGCCATAATCCACTTCTTAATTACTTTTGTTATCTCTCTATGGAGATTACTCCTTCGTCTGTTGTTTGGCTTAGTTCCTTTCGTCTTTAATCAATTTCTAAAACTTTTAAGAAACCATTGGTTACGGCCTATATTACACTTTGTCACTTCTATGCTACTGTAGTCTGATATCATTTTTCAAAAGAGTTTCATGAAATTCTTTGTCAAATTGAGGCATCTCGTTTTGTTAACAAGGCTTTGGGTCCTGCTTAAAGAATTCATGATTTAAAGCCTGGGCTGCATTCAGCCTTTTTGTGGGATCAAGTATCAGCAATTACTCAATCAGATCTAAGGTAACTTAATCGATCTATTTATTCTAGATTTGACATAGTTCCTTGATATGTTTAGTAAGTAATCTCTCGTAGTTTCTTCGAGGCTTGAATTCCTCCCACTGTCTTAAGTTGACGCAATTAGGCCAATTCTATTCGTTAGCACTACCGCATAATTCATAGATCTTCTCCATTTGGCGGTACTCAATATCCCCTTTGAAAAGAACATCTCCGGTTATTAATTCTGTAAATATGCAACCAAGACTCCACATATCAATCTAAGTGTTATAATTAGTTTATCCTAATAGAAGTTCTGGGGCTCTGTACCAAAGGGTTACTACCTTGTATGTGTATTTGGGATTGCTCACATTAGACAATGTTCTGGCCAAACCAAAATCAGCCAATGTCACTTATCCTTTATTATTCATTAAAATATTAGCACATTTCAAATCTCTATGTATAATTTTACTGTCATGAAGATATTTAACACCTTCTAAGAGTTGTTTAAAGATGCATTTTAATTATGGTAATGTGAATATATTTCGTTGTCTATGGAGACCAGCAAAATCATGATCGTAATAGTCAAAAACCAAGAAGGTTGAACCTCTGAAATTATTCCTATGAGATGCTTTGCTTACAATGATTTCCCTTAATCTTAGAATGTTTTTGTGATTCATTATTTTTAACAATTTGATTTCTCTTATGGCTGTTATAGGGAATCCTAAAGTATAGTGATAACCAATGATTACCTTCTGCCATAATTTTTTGATCCTTTGTATCAATTTTCTTAAGAGCTACGAAATCATTTGTTTTTAAACATTTCGCCTTATACACTTTCCCATAAGTTCCAGAACCTACTTCTGCAATCACCTTATAATATTTATTCACGTTTTTAGTTCGACAAGGCACTTGCATAAAGATAAAGAAATTAATATAAATAAAAAAAGTGACTGCAATCCCAATTTAGATTCTTACAATAGTATCTCTCCACTTGACTGCATTTCACAACTTCACTTGATATTCTTTTGTCTGTGAACCTCACAGCATACATAATCTAGATTTTTTCATCATTTAAATTCATGTCGACATGTAGGAATATGTGTGGTATAACATTATGTTATATTATAATACAAAACGAATTAGACTTTCATTATTTATTCTTTATATTCGTAACGACTTGATCAAATGGATTCTAAGACTGTTATTGAGTTTGGACAGGTTATTGATATTGCTATTCGAATTGTGGTTGTGGACTGCCAAATATTGATCTAATTAGGAAGTGCATACCAAAAACACCTATTCCAACTCCTATAAAGGATACAGCAAAATGCTTGATACTCATTCTGTTATTTTAATTAATATTATGTCTAATTCCCCTTTAACAAAAGTACCAACTTCTGCGCTGTCTCCCGTGTCGGCTTTGGCATTTAGAAAGCCAGATCAAGTTCCTCAGGCACTCTCCAAGTAAGCCATAGACTTGCAGAATACCTTGAATAAACTCAAGGAGGCAAAATAAAAGAAACTACAACTTTCAAATTCCAATATTGTGGTGTAATCCATAAGTAAGTCTTGATATGAACTCCAGCCAATCCAGTCAGCAGTCCTCAAAAAGTTAAAGACTCTGAAGAATCGGAACCTATGCAAATTTAATACAAATCCTTATTTAAGGATATCGAATCCCCATTGATGAGTCAACCAAAAACCTACAACAAAATGAATGATTAGGAGGCCGAATAGAAGTACGAGCAGAGAAAAAAATAAATAAAAGAATAAATAGACAGAACCAAGTCGAACAGCAAAATAATATAGAAACCAAAATAAAAGCAAAAGAAGACTGTTGAGAACTAAATTCAAAAAATAGATCTCTCCAAAAATTCCAATTAAAAATAGAAACAGGAATCTGTTCCTGAAGTTAAAACCATTGCACCCCAAAAACCTAAAGAAGTTTTGCATGATCAATTGAAAGTTATGCAAAATAAACTCAAGTAAGACATAGCCAAACTTGATAAGCAAATCAAAGGGGAAAACTAGACTTGTCTGTTCGAAATTAAGAATAAAGGACATGATTTATATTAATAAGGGTTGTAAATGGAAGATAGGAAGTACCTACATTTATAACTATTTAAGATAATTCAAATAAAAGATTCACGAGAGAGAAAAAAAACAAAAGGAGATGTAAGAGTGCACATTCAAACCATAAATCAGTCAACCCAAGACTTTAAACAATCAATCGCGATAAGTGTAGTCAAGAATACAGTAAAATGAATCTAAACTATAACTCAAATGTTAGAGTCACAGGGATGGCTAGGTAACTTCCAAAAGATTATCCTGTTCTCCTTCTTAAGATCAAATTAATAGTACAACAATGACCTAAACAATGAATAATACGAATGACATCCACTGTAATTTGAATATTCAATATTTTAGCTTACTTAAATAGAATTCAAGATAAATATTAACAAATAGTGAATAGAGCAAATGCTTTAAAAATTAAAGGACTTTGACTATAATATATATATAAATAAAATGAATCAATAAATTGATCTCATTTATTATTCTATTACATTACCTATTTTAGAACATTTAAATAAATAAGAACAAATTACTTTTAAATGTTAAAGACTTTTATTTTCGAAATTTTCTTAAAAAGAAAATAAAAATTATTGTTGATAGCGAGATTTGAACTCGCGCGCCTTTCGGATTGGAGCTTAAACCCAACGCTTTCGACCGCTCAGCCATATCAACCTTGTTATATATATTTTAAGAATTAAATTAATGAAAGTAAAATAACTTTGCATTAATTCATACAAGTCTCCTGTTTAATCGTAAAGCTGGGCTTCAAGTCTATTTTTGAATCTCTATAGATGTAATTCATAATAGATTTCTCGTCATCTGCATAGGCTTAAAGTCAATAAAGTAGTGAAGGGAGGCCAGAGCTTTATTTTTGGAGATGAGAAAGTTGGACTGGCAGTAGGAGTAAAGGGTTCTTGTTATAATGCTGGAGGAGATGTAGCACGGGGTGCCAGAAAATACGGGTTTGGCAGAGTTGTATTAAGCCAAAATGAATTGAGCATTAAGGAAACATCTTAAGTGATTTCAGGATTGATACAAGCCAACTACAAGTACAAGCTATTAGGAGATGCTGCAAAAGAGAAATTGCAAAATGATGAAAACAATGATAAATATAGTTATATATAAGAATTGCATGTTTAAGACAATATATTTGAAGATCCTTACTTTTAGCAATTGATTCGACTTGCTCAAACTAAGTTGTATGCAAGAGAGTTGGCAAATACTAGACAAGAAGGAACACCCTAATTTTTTGTGAATGAAGTAAAAACCCTGTTCAAAGATAACCCCAATGTTGAAATTAAAATTTTAGAAGGCAAATAATTACAAGAATGCTAATTGAATCTCTTTTATGCAGTTGGATAAGGATCAATCCATCCTCCTGCATTAATCAATTTGACCTATAGGGGAAATAAGGATTCTCAGTAATTGCACGCATTAGTGGGTAAAGGCATTACGTTTGATACTGGGGGTTTACATTTAAAGTCATATGGTCATATGGAAAAAATGTATCTCGATAAATCTGGAGCCTGCAATGTACTGGCTGCTTTTAAGGGAGCTGTAGATATGACATTGAAAGTAAATGTTACTGTCACTTTGGGAATGGCTGAAAATGCAATCTCAAATACATCCTATAAGCCATCCTCTATTCTTAAAAGTCACAAAGGATTAACAGTAGAGATCAATAATACAGATGCAGAAGGACGTCTAGTGTTAGCTGATTGTCTGAGTTGGACTCAAGCCACCTATAACCCAACATCCATCTTAGAAATCTCAACATTAACTGGTGCTTGTAAAGCAGCCTTGGGAGAAAATACAGGAGGATTATTCAGTAACAATGATTAGTTGTCACAAGAACTTCAAGAAATAGGAAAAGAGTTGCAAGAACCTTTCTGGAGAATGCCTGTGACTGATGAACATAGAGATATGATGAAGAGTCAATTTGCAGATTTATGTAATTCTGGATAGCCTAAGGTTTGTGGAGCCAGTAAGGCTGCAGCCTTTTTATTCAATTTTGTAGATGAAAAGGTATTGATTATCCGTAGGATAGACTCCCTTTGCTCATCTTGATATTGCAGGGCCCAAGTTTAGTAAAGCAGACAAAGGTATCCATCCTCCAGGAGCAACTGGGTTTGGCACTTAGGTTCTTTTGAAATATCTGTTGAATAAGTAGGAGTGACATGTTAATTATTCTATAGGGTATATTGGTAATATTTTTTATTTTTATTTATTTTCATTTGTTTCTATAGATTTCTTATTCAACTTGTCTTCTTTAAACTCTTTTGCCCAAATATTTTTCAAATTTCTCTTCAGTGACATCTTCAGCTTCATAACCTGCAACGTTGTGAATTATTTCTTCAATGTCATCCTCAGTCAAATTGAATCTTAATTCCTCGGATATTTTATGTAAATCTCCTTTGTCCAAAGTTCCTTTTCCATCTACGTCGATGAGTTTGAACAATTGGACTCTTCCCTTCTAATCAAATGGGTTACCCTACGCAGAATTACTTAATAAGATTACTAATTTAGCTGTCAAATCTGAGATGAATGTTTCAAAATCAACTGCATCATCATAACTAGAGGCCAAATCATCAAGAGCATGTGCAATGATTGGAAATTTGTCAGTGAGACCAAGTGTCTTGGCTGTGACAAGAATATCCCTCACATCTGCTTTCTTTGTTCTGGGTTCAGCATAAAGAATGAACATTTCATAAAATTCTGCAATGTGATCATATGTAAAGATGGGATGATTCTTAACCCATGGCTTAGCTAGCAATGCTTACTTATCTTTGAATAATTTGTCTATATACCCTTCTCTATCTATTCTCTTCTGCTCATTAAAAATAATTAATAAAAGATATGTAAAATAACCCATAGCAGATTTATATTCAAAATGCCTCTTTCTTGTACTTAGTCAATGTGGTTGGAGTATAGGTCATATCCAAAACGATAGGTAACACCCTTACTAATTAAACCTGAAAGCAATAAGAGCTCTATCCAATTTTGAATGTTTTGCCTTGATAAATTATCATTCAATTATATATCCTATCTTTTCTATTCAAATATTCTAATCGCTATCCTAGTGATTAAATAATTTGTCCAGCAATTTAGAGTAATTATTTATCTGTCTAAGAATTTGTTATAATAAATATGAAACTCCTTATCTAAAACAGGATTAATCTATTAAGGTATTCTTATAATACAAATATAAACATTATATTTCATTCCTATTTTACTTTTTTAACAATGAACCCGACATATTCAACTTAATATTTATTGCTTTTTTTAATCTATATTTAAAATAGAATATTTAATTACTGCTTCATCAAATAATTGTTCAGCCTACTCTCTTTCATATTCTGGATAAATTGATAAGAATTATGAAACTAAATTCTCCTTTACTTCGTTCATTCTTACTTCTTCCAACTAATTTGATTTGATATATGAATCAATGGATTTTTTCCATCCTTTCCATTCAGTTTTTGGTGCTTCAATTTCCTTAGAATTTTCTATTTCCTTCTATTTTTAGTTGTTCTGCTCTGCCTTCTATGTATTTTACTGTTACTATTGAGGTTTTTTACCCTAAGGATATTTATGAATTTCATACATTAGCATAAGGTCCCCAATACAATTGTTTTTCGGTCAAACAGGATACGTGCTCAACGTGATTATCACTGAACATCTTCTTGCAATCAATACAGATTAGGGAAGGAGGTTTTCTGCATTGGGTTTTGACGTGTTTGTCGACTTAGGGTTTAGTTAAAGTACGATCACAGTGATAACACATAAAAGTCACCATTAATTAAATAGGGAAATAAAATTTATAAATATAATTATCAATTGTTCTGCCAATGAAAAGTTTCCGATCTGAAGAACCGATGAGTACTACTTCAAAAAATAAGGGATTCGCATTTGAAACAGGGAATTAAAGTACAACAAGAGTATATAAAAAAGTTTAATAGCATTAGAAATAGCATAAAATTCCATTTCAAATGAACTCTTTAAACACTGAAGAGTGTGACAATGATACATACAGGAGTCAAGAAGCCTTTAAAAAGTTGAAAAATCTTGAATTTCAAAATGATTTATTTATGATGGAAATGCACCATGCATAAAGAAGAAAGGAAGCCGAATCCAATCGATTGAAGTTTCAATTATCTTCAATAAAATCAGACATTGATTTTATGAAAAGCTAATTATCATCTCCAGTTGCGAAAGCAAAACCAAAGCAAAAACGATCTTAATCAATCGATAGTGAATTATCTTCTGATGGTAGTAGCAGTAGTAGTAGTGATAATAGTTATGTCAAGTGTCCAATTAAGTTTAAACAATTCGAACCTATTTAAAAAGAGTAGGTCAAGATAGATAGGTATGAAATATGTTTAATTTAGTTATGAAACGATCGAGAATAGATTTAGAAAGTTGTTTCAAATAAGTGATGTAAATGAGAAGTTGAATTGGATGGTAAAGTAATACTTCAATTCATTCCATTCAATTTAAATGGACTTATAGAATAATTTGCTGCCATTATTATTGGAGAATACTTTGAAATTGTTGATCGAAATAATAGAGAAACTGAACTCAATCAAATTGGATTCATTGTAATTCAAATCATACGATCCCTTCTCGAATGGCGATAAAAATATCAAACGATTTTCGAGTGATCTAGATGTAGAAGCCATCAATTAAGAGTATCTGTCTTAAGGGAATCATACATTAACGGATTACTGTTAAAAATTTACTGAGTAACCTTAAAAGAATTAATTTTCGACTCCACAATACAAACAACAACAACCAGAATAGTAGTAATCGGCCAGACAATTATCAAATATGATGAAATCGAAACCAGATTCGAGTTGTCAGACAAGCAACAACTAAACTCTGGACAAGAAGGTTAGTATAAGTGAAAGGAGTTAGAAGAAAACAAGTAATTGAGTCTATATCTTGTAGCTTAGAAGTGCCAGTTAATGCCTAGTTTAAAGAATCGACAAAAATGAGGAGTGAATTTGAATGTTTAATATTACTATAAATGTATATATAAATGAAGGAGGAAGGAAGCATATTATATAATTATATAAATAAATAAGAGAAGGAAAAAAGAAAATATTAAAAAGCCCATTTTAATACACATATCATTGCCCCATGTCTTACTTTGATGTTGAGTTTTAGTATTATTTAATAAATGAATGTTATCCAACAACAAATAAAGGTTTTCAATATATGATTCATCAATATCTTTGGTGATTCTAAAAATAAATTAGAATATACCTGAAATTGTTGATAGTGACTATTATGCGAAATGTCATTGTTATTAGTATTATCTTGTTATTCAATATTTACTATTACTTGCTTTAAATTCTTTCATCACATCCTTCTGAACTTTCAAAATGAATTCGCTCATTCTCGGATTCTCCAACAGAACTTTCTCCAACAACTCCTCTCTATTTTAAAACGCCTGTTTCAAATCTATGACAATTGCCAACTTCTTAGCGCTCGTCAGACTGCCGTAAAATTCCTCCAAAGGCAAACCCATACTATATGTATTCGATGTTTTATAATTGACTTTCTCGATAGCATAAGGTACTGTAATAAAAAAACATATAATAAAGAAATCATACATATTTTGTACGTGCTTATATTTGTATGCAATTTCACTTTCAATTCTCTCCCCTAGAATTTATACCCATTCAATGTCTCCACCGCAATATTGGCTGTAAACTCATCATAATACTCAGCCGTACATGAGAATTTCACTTCCCCCTCTCGTCTATCAATTTAAGTTACTCAAATACTTTGGTGTCCATTCTGCCAATGGTCCAATGCTTGATAGCATCTATTCTACTTCTTCATTTTTAGCCAAACTTTGAATATTGCTTACGTGAATTTGATTTCCTTTTGGTGGCATATATTAAATTAATAAATGCACGATCAAGGTATGTGATTTATTGGAACTAGGTATTTCACAGCCCATACCCTCAAACCTCCCTAGGCAATCTTTCGTAAGACAGTTTCGATAGACATATGTATTAATAAATCCCCAAATCTTAGAAAGCCCAGTTTCCCAGGACTAAAAAGAATAATTTTTCAAAGAATCCAAACTTACCGTCTCATTTTCCTCTCCGCCGAATTCTGGCCGAGATAACTGCATTCCTGACGAAGAAGTAATATCGTACTTCATCCCAGATGACAACCACTCTCAAGCCAGCTACAAATAGGTACGCTTCATTGAACCCCAAGAAAAGTAATTTGATAACATAAGTAGAGTAGAACTACTAATACTATTGGATATAAATACAGAAGGCAGAGGTCCATTCCCATCCCTGAAAAAGTTCAAGAAGATTTGATTGGAGAATCCTCTTAACTCTCTCCTTACAACAAGAGTTAAATCCGTATTAAAGAACGGTAACATATGAATTAATCGACTAATTTATTACATGACAATGAAAATTAATTTGCCTTAAATGCCATCCAACTAGACAATAGTTTTGGTCTGAAAACAGTCTCATCAAGCTAATTATCTGATCAAATCAACCAATTGGCAGATGAACTAGTCACTTTAGTCAAGAATTACTTAAATGATATTTCATACCATGAAAGGCATTTCACTTTTGACGAGCGAGAAAATGACAACAGAAATCGATAACAACTCTAACGAAGAGTACTTTAAGTAAAATTTACAATTATTAAATAGAAAGCTTTAGAAAACCTAAATCTTAGGTAAAATTTCTCCACTTCCTCTCCTATTTCCAAAAGATCCAATGTGCAACATAGTCTAGATGATTTCAATGTAGACTATTAAGAATTGCTATCAAAAATTGAGGAACTAACTGATTAAAATGATTTATTGAAGGATAAATTAGAAATCCAAGATTTGAAATTGTTAGAACAATATGAAGAAGTTAAAGAACTCAGGATATAATTTGTGGATTTGGAATTGAAAAACAAGTCTCTGTTAATTGATTTAGATTCTAAAGAGTAAGAAATCGCTACTTTAAATGAGTAGTTGTTGCAATTAAAAAAATAATTAGATGACTAAATTAAAATTGGTTAAATGCAAACGTAAAAAATCTCATCATTGGAATAACAATAGATGATTGAAAAATAATCGAATTCATATTATTACACCTTAAAACCAAATTCTAGTAGTCTGAATAGGTCATTTAAAAAGGAGAAAAAACATACAAATTCATTTCATGAAGTCTGTTCGTCCCCCAATGGAAAGAAAATTATGATAGTAAACAGTAGCACCAATAGTTCGCAACAATCTCCAAGGAATCTATAAATCTCAAATAGTAAAACCCTCAATTTGGATGATACTACTTACTTTGGATCAGTTTACAACGAAAAAAGATAAGGATATGGAAATCTAAAGAAGGGAGATAAGAAATTGTATATGGGTATTAATGATATGTTAACAAAAAGGATTCTGGAAGGACGACTCTTTCAACGGGTTTGGACATTTAAACAATGAGACTGTGGATTTTGGCATAATTGATTACAGAAACTTAGATTCAGTAGGAAATAAGTGGATTAGCTATCAAGGGGAGTTTTAGGATGGTTTATTTCATGGTTATGGAATTTGGACATTTAGTGACAATTCTAGATTCCATGGAGTGTTCTAATTAGGCAAGGCTTGTGGTAGAGGGTACTATATTAGATATCAATTAGTGCTTACTATACAAATATTAATACTATTTAGGGAATATGGAATAAAAATATTAAAATGTGATAATATATATTTATATCATATCATATCTTGATAAATGTGTGATAATTTTTATGACTGGTGGCTACATAACATTTCCAATCATCTTTTTTAAGTACATAACATTCTTCGCAAAAATAAAATCCAAAGCAGTTTTCACACTTATAAACACTTCCAGATTTCTCCAATTCGCAACCTTAGCACTTATAGGTTTTCTTTTGATAAATCTAAACTTCATAAATGGGTTCAAAGCGATGATCAGCTTTATGTCTTTGTCCATTCAATTCTGATTGTGTTCTAGTGAAGAAACAATTTTAGCCTTTAATAAGTAGAATAATTAATTACATAAACTAAAATTCGTACACTATTTACAAACAAATTACACTCCTAAAATGGGTTTTTGAAAGCATCCATTACATTTTGCATCATGACAAGGTATGCCTTCAGCAAAAGTAGGTAGTTCTATCACTTTGAAGTCATGATCTTTATGAGCAGGATCTCCAGTTATCAATAGATTATCGAAGCAAGCCTCGCAAAAATCATGATTATCACAAGTGACACATTCAAATCTAGCTCCCCAGATGGGATTCTGATCACAACCATTGCATTAGTGATATTGATGTAAGACTTCCTCGTCTGCTTTGTTAGCCAAGAAGAACATTTCTTTCTCAGTGAAGTCTCCATTACTAATTTAATAGCCTATAATTACTGAATATTCTGATTGTAGCAATTCTAGCAAATGTCAAAATTGGCAATTTTTTTAGATTTATATCTACAAATTCCTGGTTGCAAAGAGATCCCGCAGATATTACAACTTATCTAGACCAACCACTTCTAAAAGGTTTCTCCCAATTGATTTCCAATAGAAAACCATCCATGTCTTAGATTATGATTTCTGGCGAAGATTTCCACTTTCTTGGATCCTGGCATCATCAATTCAATGATTTCGTATAACTCGATCGGTTTCTAGGATTTATTTCTAACAGGACTAAAGATTATGTTATTCGATATTTTTGAGTGGTATTCCACATGTTCTCCTGGAGGACATTTATAACTAATGATGTAATTACTATTTGTATACCCAACCAGACATATTTCAAATGAGTGCATAAAGTAATATCCTGTAGAAAGATAAACGTTATTGCCTTATGGATTCAATTTTACCCAAATAATTTGATCAACTATTTCATATCCCCACTTACTAGCCATTTCATATGCAATATTGAGTTGAGTGTTGAGGATCCAAAGAAATAGGAATCCCTTCTTACTCAACTTCTCTATTTTAATATCCATAATCTCTTGATTGCTCATAGTGTTGTAATCCAAAGAGAATTTGCTATTCGTGAACATAAAAGAAGAATCATTCTATTAACCACCCTTGATTCTCCAGGGAGGATCCATCAAAACAACTAAACATTAAATTAACATAACATACCATCAAAGCCACCCACTTTCTCGACTAGGAAGTCAATGTTAAAGTATCTAATATCACAATTAATATAAGATTTAATTTCTCCCAATTTTGATAGTATTTCTTAATTTTCAATTCCTAACAGTTTTAAATTACGTTTAGTTTCAAAATCTGTTCCATTTTCAGTCAATACTCTCAGAGGTTCGTCATCTTATTTCGGTTCTTCTTCCAGTTACTTGCCATCGCCTTCCTATCCTGTTGAGCACTCAGGTTAGGTTAGTTGTTTCAATTCAGCGGCAGTCACAGGAATATCTTACATTAAAATTGATATGGTACCTTGAAATATCTTGACATAAATGTTCTTGAATAGTTCTTTGACTAGGTTCTCTTGTTCACTACCTTAAGACAGGATTTATTTTTGTTCATAAGATTTTTTAAAGATCTTGTTGACTCTCTTCAGAATGAGTCTGCTTTTGTATTGGACTTCGTCGGAGGAGTCTTCAAGATCTATGTGTTTGTGAGTCCTACGAAACTTTTTGGATTTCTTGTGTTTGATCTTGGGATCGAACTCGGAAGAGTTGTCGGATTCGAGAACCAATTATTCACAGGATATTGGTAATTATTTGATTTAAGTTGGTTCTTGGTTTTGCTACACCTCTTCTCTTGGCGGGGTCTGCAATTCAGTATTCTTCTTTTTACGAGGTTACTTATTCTGAGTGATGACTTTGGGGTGCTAAATTACAGGCATGGGTTGAAGTGCTGGGAGTAAAAAAGATCTTGTTACCTTGAGTACCGGTTTACTTTCTCTCTCTCTTATTGTACACCAGATTATCAAGATTGATCTACTTTAATCCGGTCTTTTGTTTTTGAACATTTTTTTAGGTGTCAGAGGTCAGTTTGACATCGCAACTCTTTTCTTGGTCAGTCATTAATTTTTAATTTTTTTATTCAATCCCCACATGGAAGCCATTATAAATATTTATAAATAAAAAATAAATGGATTCTGAAGACTATCATTTCAAGTTCCGCATTGTCATTTTAGGTACCATTCTTATGTATGTTAAGGTGAGAAATCAGTTGGAAAATCAACCTTTTTAGATGGTAAATTAAATCATAAAATTTAAAGTATTGGCAATCACCTTCGGCAAGATAATAGAATAGGAAGCATCAGATGAATTGAATTTGAAGGTATCACTTTGATTTAAATAATCAAAGACTGTGGGTTACATGGATGACGACACTCTCTACAAGATAGCATATTGGGAGAATCCCTGGCAAGCATCGTAGTCCTGATACCTTCTTCCGCTTCTGTTCTGGGAGCCACTGCAGCCATCTATATGTTCGATGGTAATGGAAAACATTCATTAAATAGTCTCAAAAAGACAAACATTTGAAAAGATCGAACATTGGATAACTGAAAATGAGAAAACCGAAATCCCTGTCAAAGTTCTCATCGGAAACAAGATCGATCTCTATGCCAGTAATAAAGGAGGAGTGTCGAAGTCAGAAGCCATCGGTATGGCTCGTAAATACGGGATGGAATATTTTGAAGTTTGGTAAATTATATAAATTAACACTAGTTCTATTGGAGATACTTCAATCGCCCCAGTTTTTGATTATCTATTCTCTACTATCATAGGGTAGATTCCAAATCCACCCACTCCTTTGTCCCTGATGGGAAAAGGCATCCTGATTGGAAAACGGCTGCTCAACTCGTCCAAATATCAATTGGTAATGAAAGATTGTAACAGTAGGCTCTTTGTGATATAGCATCACTTTATGAATGATATTAAAATAATTATGTATTGCGGTTTAAATAACTTGGGTAACACATGTTACATGAATTCTCTCCTCCAAACTCTCTTCATGACTCGCCAATTTAGAGAGGCTCTTTTTAAGTGGAAGTATGATGAAACGAAGCATCCAAAAAAAGAAGACTGCATTCCATATCAATTATAGTATCTGTTCACCAAGATGCAAGAAGGCTATGAGAATAGAGCAGTAGATGCCAGAGGATTAGTGAGATCATTCCAATGGGATCCACAAGAATCATTTGCTTAGCATGATGTTTAAGAATTTTGCAGAGTACTTTTTGATGCCATCCAATAATCTGATGATTAGGATTTCATCACACGTCTGTATCAATCTCACTCCTAATCCTATGTGCAATGTCTAAAGTGTTAATCGGAAAGTGTGTCCAATGAAGTTTTCTTGGATCTTTCACTCACTGTCAAAAGCGACTTTTTAAATGTCTACAACGAGTCTCTGGAAAGAGCACTCTACTATTACATTAAGCCTGAGAAGTTGGATGGCGATAACAAATACTTCTGCTAAAATTGCAATGATAAGACAGATGCCCTCAAAGGATTCAGATTGAAGGCACTATCAGATATACTCACCATTCAATTGAATAGATTTGAGTTAGACATGAATACATTCGAGAGGAAGAAGGTGAATGATTATGTTTCCTTCCCCTTTGTTTTAGATATGAACAACTTTCTCAAACCATATGATTAAATCCTCATTGAAGATCATCCAGATCTATTAGAAGAAAGAGAGAGATTGAAGATCTAATATGAACAGGAGAAATCGCAAGGCTGTTTCAGTGATCCTTTGAGAAGAAAAAATAGAAAACCCTCCCCAGATGAAAGAGTCCAAAAGGTTCATTTTGATGACACTCCCTAAATAGTCTAACCAGATGATAAAGCACAATTCAAAAAGTAGTTGTTGGAAGCCCATCAAGAATTCTAACAAAAATTTTAAAGTCTAAAATCAAATAACACATCCTCAACTCAATTCACTTCTTAGACTATCCCAAATAACCCAAATCTTATTTTAACTGCTGATGAAGCCTATGATATTGATAGCGATATGTTATTTGGCAATAACTTGGATAATCTAGGTGATTTAGGGGAAGGCACCACTGCCAATACTGTTAAGGCTTTAAAAGAAGTACAAGGAAGTGCAAAAACCTAAAATTACGAGGAAAAGGAAATCTAAGAAAGGATTGAAAATGAATCCCATAATTTATCAGTTAAATAAAAGATCTAAGAGTTATTACAAAATGGACCAAATGTTTATGAATTATATTCAGTCATGATTCATTCAGGAGGAGCATTAGGAGGACATTATTATGCATATGTCAAGTCTTTTGAAAATGGTGATTGGTATTGTTTTAATGATTCTACGGTCTCAAAAATATCTTGGAAAACTATCTTATCTATGTTTGGAGATAAGTATCCGAAATACAATATGGGAAGTAGTGCTTACTTCCTGATGTATAGAAGAGCTGGCGAGGAGCTCAGCACTTAAAAGCCTCAAATTTAAGAGCATTTAAAAGAGGCTATAGCTAAAGAAATACAAGAATAGAAAGAAAGAGAGGAGAAGTGGGAAAGAGAAAAAAAAGAAAGGGAAATGGAATTGAAAATCAGATGTTTTTATAAAAGTAATGATGTTGTTATTAAAACCAGAAAAGATACACTTTTGAAAGATTTCAAATTATAAGTCAGGTAAGAATTGAATGTATAAGAAGATGACGAGAATACAAGAATAAGATTCTATAATTCAAATGACAAAATCCCATAGGAGACATTTACTAATAAGGAGAATGAAACTCTGTAATGTTTATACTTTAATGATTACAAATCTGTTCTTTTAGAAACCAAAGCACCACATGAATAATTTGAGGAGTATGATCCTCATCTCATGTTGATTAAATTGTGTGTATGGAGGAATGATATTGAGTCCTTGGATGAATCAGAATTGAAACCTCTTAAATTCTTTATTCGAGATGACAAAACTGTTGATTAATTTATGGATGCAATAACATAAAGGTTGGGAGTACCTAAGGATAAATAAATAATCTTACAGAAGAATTGGATAAATGGAGCTACTAATTATTCAATTAGAATTAACTAGTAATATTAATTAGAATTCACCCTTTATGATCTTAAAATTGGAAGAAATGTGACATTGTATTTGGAAGAAAAGCAAGATGATGCCAATCTACCATTAAATTGGGATCAAAAATTTGAATGCGAAAAACATAAATGCAGAGTGACTTTCAACGACCCTCGAAAAAATTTGTTACCATTAGAATCTCCTGATTATTGTTTTGAATTGTAAATTGATAATAGAAAAACTATGAAGGAGTTAAAAGAAAAAATGAGTGACTTCTTAGGCATAGATATTGATTCATTCATTGTTAAAAAGAGCAATAGATATGGTGAGGAAATTAAAGATTTGTCTACTACAATAAAAAACAATTAAGCTATCGGCCGAGCAGCCTTTTGTTTAATGATGGGTAAACCTTCTACTAAAGGAGTATACAAAATTAAGGTTGGAATGGGAGGCATTTCTCAAAAATACTCTGATACTATTGATTTTGAATATTAGGATCTGTTTGAAATGGAAATCAATTCAGAGTGGTATGTTAAGGAACTTAAGGAAAAGCTGTGTTAAAAAGTAGAGGAAACAAAATAAATTACATTGTAGCCCAATCTTATTAGATTAAGATACAAAGTGAATACTAAACTTAGTCAAGTTTATCATAATGATTAATTATTGAAAAATTTAAGGCTTTTTGATAATCAAACCATTGTTATTGAAAAACTGGAAAAAGAGGATGAAATCAAAGAAAACTAATTGTTGGGATATGTGAGATTTTATAACCCAAAAGACTTTACTCTATCGTTTCCTCCATCAGAGATCTTTCTCAATAGCACTGACACTATGCATGATACATCTGTTGTCATATCAAACTTATTTAACATTAACTAAGATGCCATCGAAGCAATTAAAATCAATAACATCTTCAGTTTTACAATAACTGATTTAGTAACTGCAAGTTTTGATTGGTAATTACTGAAATTCAATGAAAATGTCGTCAGCAAAGGTCCATGGTTCCTTCTTAAGGATTCCTATTTCATTATGTATATTCATATCTCTATTATTTTAGTGTTCGCGATGCTCGAGAAGTTCCAAAGGATATGACTGAATTAAGACAAAAAGTGGATGAGATCCTGGCCAAATCATCTGACCCTGCTAAAATACAATAAAAAATACCTATGTAATCAATAAAGCCAAAAGAGAAAGCACTGAAAATTACAGTTGTTAAGTATTGAAATTATTTATTATTTTAGGAAATAGGATGAATAATAGAAATCGGAAGAATAATAAAAATAAGAAGAGTTATAAAAATAAGAAGATGAGTAATAAGGAAACTAATAACCAAAGGAGGACTAGTTAGAAAATAAGGGAGGCATATAAGAAAATACAAACGAAACATCCAAAGATGAACAAAAAGATTGAGAGTTTTAATAAAATATAGATACAATTTAATTCATATTTCAATTTGTTTAATCACATTAAATTCCTATTCTAATTAAAGGTTTGTATCTGCTTGCGCTTCTTAAGATATCACAGTTTGGAAGAAAGGATGCTTTAATGCATCTTCAACTTTAATTCTCTATTTAGGATGCAAACAAAGTAATTTGGTTAATAAGTCTTCGGCATTATCATCAAATCCTTCCATGTTTATAATTTATTTCCATTTGATTGGTTTTGTAGCTGACACTGATGGCAATTTTAAATCATATTCTACATTATTAATTAACCTTACCGAACAAGTCACAAATCTGCCTTACCTATTCAGATCCGAATAAGCTGGCTAACTCCAAAATAAAGTTAACATAGAAGAAATTCTTTGTATTGACAGGTTTATTAATCATTCTGACATTGCTAAATAGATTATATTTCTTGGTTAAAAATTGTAAAAATATAACTCCTACTGCCCACATATCAACTTCATAGGATTGATCCTATTTAAACTTAATTTTATATAATACATGATAATGTAAGATACTTTCTAAAGGCATAAAGCTTTCTGTGCCGATTTTATTTTATCCTATTTAATCGATTGTTTTTTAAATTTCGTTATATAAATTGATTTTCCTTCGTATCTCTTAAACTTCATCAGATTAAGGATTCTGTTAAATATAGTTTACTTAATTTTTACATTCTTGGACAGATCCTTCTCTTTTTCTATCAGTTTTGCAACAAATGACCTATCAATTTCACTGAGACCGTAATCAATCAGAATTCCCTTGCAGGTTTTAGGATTGTAAAGAAAGTTACCAGGTTTCACATCTCTATGATAGATTCCATTTTGTTTTAATATGTTTAATGCCTTCAATAATTCATATAGATATTTTCTTATTTGCATCATGTCAAAGTTTGCAAAGAATGTCTTTTAAAAATGAAATACTTACAATAAATGGCTTATAAGTAAAGTATTCTATTACGATGTATATTTTTTGATCCTTCAAAAATAGATTCACCAGTTGTGGCATATTCTCCTTACCATACACTAATTTTAAAAATCCAATTTCTGCAAAAATCAATTCTGGAGACACAGTCGAAAAATTAACTTTGATAGCATATTTTTTGGTTTTCTCAATTTGACCCTAATTAAGTCCCAGACTAAGTTTTATGAATTATTTCATACGCCTTGTAAACGACTCCATAGCCACCTCTTCCCATTTCCCTTACAACCTTATAATTTTACTTAAGGTAGACATCTTCATCGATCTGCTAATCCATATAGTAACGATCATTGGAACAAGGAGTTACCTTGATTTTTGTGGTTTACGATTTTTTATTATTTTTTTTCATAAATTATAGATTATATATAAATCATTATTGTTTATCAAATTAAGTCATGTCTTCTGTGTTTAGATGGTAGAATCGTATTTGAGACTTAGGTCTATTAATTAATTAAGACAGACCAGCATTAGTACTAGCAAGATGTGATAATTTGTTAATCTCTAAATCCCTATCTTTGATGGCATTTTGTAGTTGGTCAACTGCCTTGAGTAAATATTTAATTTTCTCATTATCAGTTATCTTCTAGCCTGGAGCATTGCTCAAGGATTAAATTTAACTTGTCATTATCGATTAAGGCAATTAACTAACATTCGATTGTTATTGCATTTATTGGGACAGTAATTCATTATTTTCTTTTAACAGTCGATTCTCTCTTTTTAATTATTCATTGTCCTTTTTCATTTCATCCCTCTCCTTTTGAATCTATTAAAGTAAGTCTAACTTGTATTCTATCTATTTCTTAACATCGTCATCAAATCTTATGATATTACCACTTTCCATCTACTGTTACAACTCATTTAATTCTCTGCTCATGTTTCTTAAAGATTCTTATAGAACAAAATTCTAGGCTCTTAGCTCACTCACTTAATTGTTTTTTTCAAACATGGTCAGTTGCGTTTGGTTCATTAAATTTTATTTATGAGTTGATATTAATAATTCTGCATTTTAGAGTTACAATTACAAAGTATTAACTTAATTTTTCAATTAATCAATAATTGATTCATAATTCATTCTTTCAGCCTTATATTATTCATCATATAATTATTTGTAATTTTCAATTTCTTATTTGATTTAATTCTAATTATATTATATATTATTTACAGCAAATTTCATTTCTGAATCTTCTATTGTATAACCATGCATGTCACGTAATACGTCAATCTATGCTTCTAGCTCTTTTTTTTCTTATATATTCTAATTCAATAGGTTAGAATAATTGACTCTAAGAACATCTAAGTCTATTTTCAATAATTCATATGCATTCTTGGTTTCTAATAATTCATTTATTTAATCTGCCTGTTCTTTAACAACTTTTTGGAGCTACTAATACTCATAAATATATTTTAATTTCTCTTCCTTGACTACCCTTAAGGCTTAGTCCAGATGATAGGTCTGCTATAAACTTTGCTACAATTCTTCTGTTTTTGCTATAAATTATTGTTTGCCGGCTTAAATTTCTTGATCCTTGATTTCTATAATTTTATTAGTCTATTCTAATTCATCTAAGACTTTATTGAGATTTTGGCTGAGTTCCTTTGATATTATTCTAAAACTTACTTATTTCTGAAGAGTTAATTTTTAAACTTAGAATGCATATTCTTCCGACTCAATGCTCTTCTATTTTAATCTATCGCATAAATTATCGTATTCTTAATTTATCTAATTATATTTAATGGACATACAATTTAGGTAGATTGTTCCATTTCTTGTAATTAGTTTTATAAGTCTCTATTATGTTCCTTGAGAACTTCCATTTCTTGTGAGGCTGTTCCAAGTACATCAGTAAGTTTTTCTACTTCATTAGTAAGTATGTTGACTCTACTATAGCACATATTATGAATGTCTGTAGAGGTTGAATCATCAAGTCTTGACAATTTAGTTTGTGGAGTGTTGCTTAACTTCATATATTTTTTATTTAATTTTATTGTTAATTAATTTGGTTTATTTTATTTAAATGAAATACTCTTACCAATTTATTAAATTTATGAATATTGATAAATTCATTTAAATTTTTGATAATAAGAATAATATAAAAAGACGTAATATCACTCAAAAATATATACTATTTTCACCATCCCATGTATTTAGTTAGTAATTATATATTTAATTGGATAATTGCCTTAATTTTTGCTCATCAATATTTCACACTCCAAGAATTTCATCCTTACCCATCTCAAAGGACTGTCGGTTTTCTTGTAATCAATTTACCTCGTTCTGAGTTTCGTTTCATTTCAGATATCCATAAACATGTTTATTTGATTTTCATCCTCTCTAAATATGTTAAACCCATGATTTAACTTCCAACTCCATCTTTCATTGTTAAATTAGATTCCTGTAAATGCTTTTCAAAGATTATAACAGAATAGCCATTGACAAGAATTTAAAAATAAAAAATCTCTTGATTATATTATAACAATAGATTTAGGATAATTTAATTTTGAATTACTTTAGATCTCATAATCCTCCTTTTCATTTATAGAACTACTTAATTTTTCTAACTATGGTATTCTATTATTAATTTGTTTGGCAATCTCTGGAATGAGATTATAATCAATAGATTTCGAAATGAATTCATCTAAAATATTGCCTTAAAAATCAAGTGAGATACAGGAATACTTTTCTTATAAACCAAATTATCTGATTGATTTTAAAATTGCATACTAAAGTGCATCAATTTATAATTTAAATATTTTAGCTTTACAAATTGGACATCTCCATTTTCTGGGTATTTATTGATCCAACATCAGGATGTAACTTTCTAATGAGAAACATTAAACATGAGTACAATAAATCCCTCTAACTGGAGTTTATATTAGAGATGAACTGAAGCAACATAATAATGATATGTGTAATTTGATTATTTTAATGGCAGGACTATAATTGATTTATAGAATAACGAAATCTCGTGATTATTCTAAACTCATCCAATTCTATGGATCATCAATAATTTTATCAATTAATTACTTAGATGTGTATTATTTGGTTTTATAAATTGCGAAATAATAGAGTTATTCACTAAGGATTCTAAACTTTCTTTTTTAATCTATTCCTGGTATAGATTCCTTGAAAATGAGAGTGCATTCTTCATTTTTTGGAATTGTACAAAACAGTTTTTCATCCTTTCTTTTATGTAAACAACTCTATAAACTTAATGGAACAAATTCAAAGACCTTTTTACCATTTAACTGAATTTCTCCTAGATCTGGCCAAGTAATTTCTTAAGCTGCTTAAGGAGAATCAAGCCTAATACATCTGATGTCAACCATTTCACAGTCAGTTTTAAATCTAACTAACTTAGAGTTGGTTAACCCATTTTTCTTAAATGGACATGGGTCAACTAGAGTTGTAATAACTTCACAGAACTAATCCATATTAGAAAGAGTGCATATTGGGCATGTAAAATTATCAACTTATCTTTCATCATAACTTTTGTCTAAACAATTAACATGTAAGTATTTATCACATAATTAACATTAAACAATTTATTTGTAATGCAATTAATTACCACAAAAACAATCTTCACAAATAGGTTATTTAGGTATTTTGTAATATTTTTGCTTTAATTTGAGACAAACGTCTCTCATATTTACAGTATCATATTCTAAAGCGCTGTTTTAATCTATTTCTTTTTAAGTTAATTATTAGGGTTATTACTTACTTTCTTAAATTGCTGTTTTCTATACTTCCTCTAATTCCATCTGGGTCTTCACTTCTTGTTGAAGTAACATCATTTTCTATAAGGTAGAAAAATGAGATTCAAAATATACATGGATAAAATCATTTATTATTTAGATATCATCTTCTAATTGAGGCTTTTATCTGGAAATGTGAGGATCTAATCTAAGAAGACTTTAGGAATAGAGTTCTTGGATATTGTTGGGCTTAGATTCTTTAAATAGACTTTCAAAGTATTGAGAATTACAAATGTCTTTTGTTGCATGATTAATGATTGATGGTAATGCTAATTTAAGTTATTTTTGAAATGTTTCTAAGTCTTTTAAGAGTTATTGATTTTTCATTTATTTCATTAAAATATTTGGCTTAGTTAATTGTTTATATATTTGAAATGGATGGGAATATTTGATGTTCTTAAACTTATGTACACATATTTTTTATATTAATGAAAATAACAATCACAGATTTGAAAATTTTATGTAAATTTAGTCTAGCAAGTGGGAATGCTGTGATTCCCTTCATTTCATTTCTGTATTTGGGAGAAGACAACGTATTCTCATTGAAGTCGTTTTCATTGTTGTCTGGATCACTTTTTATGGTATTTAACAATATTCATTATGAATAGGCTATGGCAAGCTAGGCCTTCAATTAAGTAATTGAATGGAAGTAAGATAAATTAATGACACGCACATGCAATCGTCCAATTCCAATCCAACGACTTACTCGTTTGTAAGGAGGATTGATTGGATTTGCATTCTATGCAGCTTCCAATGTCCTGATGTATAATGTATATTTATTAGTGATTTAGTATTTGCCAACCAATGCTTTAGCGATTAACAATTTGATTTTCTTCTCATACTTGGGAATATACACAACGTTGAAAACAAGATCTCCCATGAATACTTTAATTGGAGCAGTAATTGGGGCTCTTCCAGTGGTGTTAGGAGCAGCCTGTGTAAGCAACGACAGTTTGTATAATCTGGGGATGTGGGGCAATTTTGGATTCATGTTTTCATGGTAAATCAATCATTTCTACGGGATTTATTGGAAATATTAGAAAGACTATTTGAGAGCTGGATTCAAAATGGTAAATGATAGTGCAGTTGCTAGTAGACATATGAAAATGTGTTTGGCTATTAATGGGTTAAGTTGGTTTGGAACTGCATCTCAGCATTCTTAGCCAGAATTAAAATTTATCAGTTGCATCTCTGGATTATTGTCATTATACTTTTGGAATTATAGAGCAATCAAATTATTTGAAGTGGACCCTTCAAAAAATGTATGAAATACAAACTTATTAGTTAGGCAAACTATCTTAAAAAAGCCTCCTACAATTTCTTGTTGGTCTACTACAGTATAATATTAATGGACATAGGAATCAAGAGATATTAAAAACAATAAAACCATTGAAAAACAATTATAAAATAATTAATATGATGAATAATCATTTTCTTAGTGTTTTTTGACAAATAACAAAGGCCTCATGGTATTATTTTAAGTCGTTCTTCATCTAATGGTGATCGAAGTTCTAGTGATCACATTCGTCTTGCATATACTTCGTAAACACTACATAATTACAATCGATTCTTACCATGGTGCTATTAATACGAGGACTTCTTGGCATTTGGATCAGATTATTACATTTGATGCAAATCATTAATATGATCATATTAGATACGTGCTTTCATGTTTCTTTCGTGTTCCTTTTATGCCTTATGAACCTCTTAACTAATAGGTATAACTGCTTTACCATCGACAGGCAATTTGCCACCGGACTATTTTATAGATTTTATTTTTTGCATTTTCTATTCTTGAATTTACATCATCTGTTTAGTTGCTGATAGATTCGTATGAGCCTTATCGAATCCCAGATGGGTCGATCCAGTTATTGGCAATACTTTATCACTACGTTCAAATGGCAGAGGTTCCTGAGGGTCATTGGAATGTCTTTTATGGTATTCCTCCTCAGCCAAAATTGCAGGGATCTTATCAGGGTCATGTCCTTATTCCTGTTTTAGAGGAAATTATAGAAATCATTAAACACTACCTCCAATTTATCAAATTCTGCATTGTACTTATTTGCTCTCTATTGATAGATTTTCTACTTCACTGCCTTGTCAAGATGTGCACCAATTCCTTTACTCATTTATTTTATATATTTATATTATTAATTATTAAAAATCTAACGTTACATATGACAGATGAGATTGTTCGATTATAAACTATTGAATTCGAATAAGAAATCGAGAAGAGATTTTCCAAGAGTCGTCAAAATCACTTTTACGTTTTTGAAAGAGAAGGTTGTGATGCTTCTGATGATGATTCACTTGATTCTCTTAAAAATATTGGAGTCTATAATTTATGCAAACCCCTTCGAAACAAATTAATTGAAACTGAAAGAACAATCCCTAAATCCAGCAAGACTTTACTAATACAACTGTTAAAGCCCAAAAAACAACCATAGTTTAATGAAAATAAGTCCAACAACACATCCTTATATAAATCAAGATCATAAAGCAAGAATGCAACTACACGACTTCGCACTGAGTATTACGTTTATATTTAATCAGAGGTTCTGTCTTGAGAGAATCCAAAAATGTAACCCTCATTTCTCCTAAAATACCTAAAAGTCCCAATTACATTCAAATCGACAACCTCATCAAATCTACTAAGAATCAAAATATTTATAAAATCAACAACTATTCCTTTGTTATATGATTCATATTAATTATTAATTAAAAATGTCTCAAAAGTTTAAGTCCCCTTCTATTCAATCCAAAGTCCACCCTAAAGTACTCTACAACACTCAAGAGTATTTAAGAACTCATATCTTAGTCTCAATGCTAAAGTCGTCAAAGTCTTTAGTCCTTTTGAATATATGCATTATATTAAACGAAGACAAGATTACTTAAATAAGCAATAGGAGCTTCTTGCCAACCTTTAATTAAGCCAAGAGAATTACGAAAAATTGACATTCTCTGTAAAACAAATAGGAGTTTCTGATGAAGAAGGCAGAGTTGGTGCACTTAGTTAAAGAAAATATCTCCTAAAATCTATGGAATCAACTAGACTCTAAAAATCTGAATCCATTTTGCAATCATAAACTGACAGGATTCAATATTAATTTAGAGCTAAAGCATTACCAATTAGTCGAAGGGAAAAAACAAGTATGTCTTAGTAAAAATCCAAACTTAACTTTTTAACCATTCCTGAAAAATCAGAAAACCACTTTGAATTTAAGACCAGCAATATTGATAAGATTATCAAGAGATCAAGATCAAAAAAGAGATATCTATTAAGTCAACCATAACCTCCAGAAGTTGCACTGGCCAAATAATACCAAAACTAAAAACATTTGTCGTATAGTCGATAATTGTAAGAACTATAAGGAACATTAGATTTCATTAAATTGTTATGATTACTATATGAATTTTATCACTTTGGTCTCAATTAAGGAGGTATTCTTCTTGGAGTAGGTGGGTTTTAAGTTTTTCTTACGACAGGAGGTTATTCCGTGGCAAAGGGATTAGTTTAGGATTGATTCACGGCTTCTTATGGCTAAGCTATTATTGTATTTTATTGATTAATTTCTTGCTCTTGAAACTAACGTTGAGAAAGATTTTCTTCATTTTATTATTATTATTATTATTATTATTATTATTATTATTATTATTATTATTATTATTATTATTATTATTATTATTATTATTATTATTATTATTATTATTATTATTATTATTATTATTATTATTATTGCTATTGTTGTTATTGCTATTATTAAAACTATTATTATTATTGCTATGACTATTGCTGTTATTATTGCTATTATTATTATTCAGATTATGCTTCCTTTTATTATTCAACTTGCTTTTGCTAAGATTATTCTTCTTCTTATTATTAATCCTTTTATGTTCTTTATTCTTCTTGCCCTTCAAATACTTCTTATTTCTAAAGATTTAAAATTGGTTAAACAATTTAAGATTTAACAGATTTAACTTATAATTATGATGAGGTGCTAGAACTTTTCTTTTTAGTTAAAATATCTAAAACTTAGGACTATAAATCAGAGAGAGCTAATTGATTAAGGAAATTAGGTACTTGTACGAAGTTGAACATGTTCCTTAGCCAATTTATCAAATCCCTATTGCATTGTTGCTAATTTTTCATTTAATTGCTATATCACTCTTGTTTAGTTATTTATAAGTTCTTATGAATTAGATGATGAATTAGAATTTGTATTACTAGAAGGAATTTTAAATTTCACAACCTAGATGGAATCTTAATGTTACATTTAAATTCGCTGGATGTTTGGTTTAGCAATTACAGAGGCATTTTAAAGCAAGAAGCACAGAAACGAGAATGATATAGCCTCCTACACCATACTCAATAAATGGATAGCCAGAAAAATACAATTTTTATGTCTCCTGTACCCACGATTCCATTTTAACACGTAAATTAAATTACTAATCATATTAATTATTATGAAGGAATTTCTTCAGGTTCTTTGACAGAAGGCTGGGGAGTGGAGTGTTGAATTTGGATTGCATAGGATGCAGGAGGCACTTATAACTTATACTCCTGACTTTATTGACACAATTATAGAATTTTGTATTTCAATTTCCCTACGATCACTTGTTCTTCTGAGATATTCTTTCTTATTTCACCATCAATTTCATCTGAAATCCTAATAATTATATTATCCTTCAAATGATGAGTGTGCATATGTGAGTAACTCTCACAATATATTACATCTCCTACTTAAAACTATAAAAATGATATCTTAAAAATTACTTCTTCATTTTATTTAATCTTTTCTATGACCATATAGATAGATGTAAAATCCTAGCAATTGAATCCAATAATGTTTTCCAAGAATTCATTATATTCTAATGGTTTACTTTTGAACAAACATTTTTAATCTGAAAATATAGAGCATTAATAAGTGGGAGGATTCTTATTCATCAATGAGGAAGAGTGTTTGACTCCATACAGTTCCATTTCTGATATTAGAACCATCATAAATTTTGTTTGTTTGTTTATAGTGGATAAGAATTTAAAATTGGCAAACTTGCTCTTGCTGAATTTATTACTTGTCAACTTATTAAAGATATTGATAGTTTTTTGATCATATTGTTCAATAAGCTTTGTTGTGTGATATTTCTGCAATAAAACAACCTCACTTTAATGCTTTCGGTACTCCATGTCTTGCTTTTTAGCATCAATAACAGGAGGTAAATTAGTAATTCTATTAGCTAAACTACGATTTTCCTCACTAATTCGCTTGGTGTCAAAATTTATTTTAGCAAATTCTTTTCTTGATTGATTATGCTAAGATCGCGTTTTACTTGTTTGAGGCTGCATTATTTTCTAAATTAGATGCTAATTGACTCTTTATTATTCAATAAAAGCTTCTTAATTATAAAATTTTGAAACTGTTTTTATCATATTATGCTTCTCCTTCAATTTCTTCATCACATTCTGATCGTCCAATTTTGGGTACTAAATTTAATTGTGAGCCAGTTACCTATTAGTTTATTTCCTCTAATTTCTTTTTATGGAAGTCATAAATGCGTCCTTTATTTTTCTCTTAATAAATGTCTTTTACTATATAATTATTATTTTTCATATAAATTTAATTTTAAGATTATTAAACTAATCAGCAAGTTTAGTATGTATATATTGCATTTTTTCAATTCGGCATTCATAGAATATTTTAGGTGCAAAACTATTTATATTATGAAGTTCTATATATTGTAATTATATTCATTCTAAAACCTCAACCAAATTTTATATTAATAAAAATATAATGAAATCTCCAACGCGTATCATTAATGGTTTATATATTGGAGACTAGGGTGCAGCGCACGTAGATTGATAAATATTATATTAGGATCTAGAGTTCCTGATAACAAACAAAATTAAGAAAATCATCAATTGTGCTGGTAAATAAATTCCAAATCATTGGGAGTCTATTGGTATAGAATACTTGACATATGGTTGGATTGAAAACGACTATCAGTATGCTATTGACCATTCTCGTTGTTTCTCATTTATAAATGATACTTTGGAAGCGGGAGAAGCTGTTTTGGTTCACTCAATAAGTGCTCTCAATCGCTCTGTTTTTGTTATAGTTGTCTTCTTAATGAAGAAGTAATGAAATATTTTTACCTATTCATAGGTTTAAATGGACCTTATAAAAAACACTTTAGTATATCCAGAACCTTAAACATAATCCAGATATAAAATAGAATGTAATGCAGCAACTCGTGAATTTTGAAAAATGGCTTCTCCTTAGTAATTTAGCCAACAATTAGGATTTCAATCAATATTATGATGAGGTTTTGGCAAGAAATACTTATTTGAATAGTTAAAAGCCTTAATAATGTGAACCAAGAAGGAGAAAGGAAGTAATTTCTAAAAGAGTACAATGGAATAGAACCATCATATCATAATACATTCCTCCATATTATTAAATGTACTCATTTTTACTAAGTTTAAGTTAATTCAAAAATCTATCAAAATTATAATCTGATCCTGTAAATCAAGTTTAAATTAAAAATCCACAACTTCCAGCAACTCCAAGAAGATAGACAACTGATAATTGGATGAATAAAAAGCTCCCTTTGAATTAAATTGTTGATGATAAAAAGTTAAACCTTTTTAACATCAAATCTGAGAGGCAATCAATTAGACCTTAATTAAGACCAGGGACTGCTCCATAAAAAAGGCTTGTAAAAAATACTTGGCAATCTTAATCCCATAGAGTCTTAGTTAAATAATCATGATTATAAATATAAACAATCTTTTTTTTTAATACTCAAGCTTATTTTCTATTTACTTTTGGTGTGCTTAATGGTACAACATTGAAAAATAAGTCTGGTCTTAAGTCTTAAGGAGTTTACTAGAATATTGCTATTTGTTACATTTTTTAATGGTTTCTTTTCAAATTAAATTGCTTGTCCTGAACTGAATATGTTTTATTAAGGTGCTTATTTATAACCTTTAGTAGCTTTATTAGTGCTTTTTTTAATTGTCCTCTCTTCTTCTTCAACTCTTATTCTAGTTTCTACCATAATGTCTTTAAACAAATCATAATCAAATAATGATGCTAAAGTTTCATTCATTGCTTCATCCAATGGGAGAGATTACAATTTTTCAAGAGTAAGTTCAACTTTGAGTTTCTAAATTCACTCATTGATTATAATACTTCATTCAAATATAACTAGATAGCACTTTAGTATAGTTTAAATATTTCTCTGTATTCTTTTGATTCTGTCTCTTCGAAAACTAAGCATTTTTCACGTAAGAAATCTTAAGATAATTTTTCAAAATCCTCTGATATTAGTATTTCTTATAATTATGAAACTAACTGATCATCTTAATCATCGTTATTGTCTAAACATAAAGAATTAATATACAGTTTTCAATTATGAGTTCATCATTCTCCAAATCGATTGCATTTTCGAGATTTTAGTTCATTTATTTAATTAAGATTTATATATGTACTATATGTGTATTATACTTATCACGTTCATAGAGCAGGGAAATCCTTATCATCCAATTGAATTCCTTATTCCTAATAAATTAATATAAGAAATTACTTATTATCTTTGTACAGGCTTCTTTTCTTATCTATCACCTCCTCTTCTAGCCTTTTCTCCTCTTTCTTAATCTCTAGTATTGTTGTCTCTGTTTTATCTGTCTCCTTTATATTATCTATCTCCTTTGTATTATCTGTCTCCTCTATCTTATCTGTCTCCTTTTTCTTGTCTATCTCCTCTTTCTTGTCTTTCTCCTCTTTCTTATCTGTCTCCTCTTTCTTGTCTATCTCCTCTTTCTTATCTGTCTCCTCTTTCTTATCTATCTCCTCTTTCTTATCTATCACCCTTATATTGTCTATCTCCTTTGTATTATCTATCTCCTCTGTATTACTTTTCACCTCTATCTTATCTTTCACCTTTGTATTGTCCTTATTCCTATTATTCGTTTTATCTTTCTCCTTATTATTATTCACCTTCTTGTTATTATTGTTATTATTATTAAGGTTATTCATATTATCTTCTTTCACCTCTTTCACCTCTTCTTTCATTCTTTTCTTGAGTTTAATTAGTAAATCCCAAATACTCAGCAGCTTAAGTATTCAATTCAGATCTGTATGTTGATTATTATTATTTTGTTTTTTTTTACTTAGATTCTTGTTCTCTTTTCTCATCTTCTCTAGTTTTAACAACAAAGAGTTTTTCTTTCTTCAAGGCTTCTTCATCAAGTTTCTTTGGAGCTTATTGTTTGACTTCAACTTATTTTAAGACTTCATCAACATTCTGAGGATAATAAATAAATTGATACAGCGCCTCTTTGTTAGTAATAATCAGCAAGAGTCTTTTCTGGGGCTGGTGGTTAAGTTGGTTGAGTTGTCTACTCATTTTTGCCTTCTTAATGTGCATCACCTGAGGTTTTTTCTTTTGCCACATATTTTTCTTCCTTCAAATCATCCTTGTAATTTCCCCAATTATTTCTGCCTCCGCCTTCTTTTCTTTATTCCTTGCCTCTGCCAGTGCCAGATTGTCTGTCTTTAGGGTGTGGCTCAGCAGGGACTCCCTTAGTCTTAGGAGCGGGATTGTGATGTTGAGTGTTTTCCTTTACTACTTATTCAGCAGGGATGACCTACTCCTTGTTGTTGTTTTTTTTATTCTTTTTTTGGTGTTATTCAGGAGCTTCTTCTGTGTCGGAGAAGTTGAGAACGTTGAACAAATTATTACTCATAAAGATTTAAAAAATATTTAATGTTTTCATCTTAATTAACCTCACCAGGAGTTAAATTAATTTATTCAAATATAAAAAATAACAATATTTTATCGAATCGCTACTTTGTGGAAAATTCTTTATTTGAACTAATAAAATGCTGGAATTGTAAATTAAAACTATAGACGCTCAAAAAGATATTTTTAGATTAATAATAAAATTTCTAGCTCAAATTTTACATTTCTAATGAATTATAATAATATTTCTTTAATTGGATAACCGAGTTATAAATGATTTTTCATACTGACTTCATATAAATAAAATATTGATAGTTTTTAATACGTTTAATTATCTCTATCTTAATGAAGAAATTAATATATAATTTATGGGCTGCTGCTAAAATATACCTTAGAAGGAAAAGGAAACCATTTTATTAACACAATTAAGCATAAAATAAGAATTCTTCCCAAAACCTCTTTAAATAGAGCCTCTCTCCCTAAATTTAATTAAGGGGGATGTCGATTATATAGAGAGGTTGGGAAGCACATGTGCTGATAATATTTTGGGTGAAAAATAGCTCAGCAGGGTGGATAAATAGTTCAGTGATTTGATGCAAAAGGAAGTTACAATAGATCTGAGGTAGGCCCCCAGTCCTTCATTGCTGATTAAAGATAGAAGCAGCAGAAATTTAAATAATAAATTTATAGGAATGCTTTGATTTAAGTTGTAATTAAATTTTGAAATATAATACAATTATATATATATTGAGGTGTAATCGATCATGGCACAATCCAAATTTTCAGCATGAGATGTTCGAACAACATTCAAAGGCAAAACGAAATGATATTGAACAATAATATGTCAAATATTTATTAATTTATGATTGGTTTCCTGAGTGTATTAAGTAAAAATAAATAAGTTAATAAAATTGAATTACCAAAAAAATAAATCTGATTATTTAAACAAGTTAGAACAGTCACTACCACAATTGAGATTTTATAAATGAATTCAGAACTTTTTTGTGAAAATTTTGATAATACTTTAAAATATTGAATTACAACAGCCACAGAAACAAAGATACACCAAAAATTTCAAACATATAGTGGAAAATCAATTGAAATTTATTAAATATTATAAACTCTGTTTCAAGTGGGAGATGGGTTGCTGTCAACATTAGTCTTATACTCAATCCTAACAAAATGTTGATGTCCAACTAAAATCTTGTCTGAAAGAGCGAAAAATTGAACCTCTTCAAATTTCAGTGATAGGAGATTCAGATAGAATGGAATTTATGGATGAAGGACCGTAGTTTGAGGCGACATCCCTAAAAGAAATTCAGTCTCCTAATATTCTCAAATTCCCATCCGAATCTGTGATCATAGATTTGAGGTCGGGGACATCACTAGCAAGCCCAATCAGAAGAAAATCAAGCAAGAACCTGAATCAAAAGTTTATAGAAATGCTTTGAATATACTTATAATATAAATTATGATTAAATTTAATTAACAGATACGACATAAGGGACTCATGTAAATTTAACTAACATTTCTAATAATTAAATAATACGCTTCCTATTCAAAATTATATGAAACATTGAATCAAAATATAACATTATAAACTTCAGAAATAAACTTTAAAGTTTAACTTAAAATTAATAAAGAAAATAATTAACTTCTAAGATATTTTCTTTTTCCATATTTATATAAAGTTATAATTATACAATTAATAACAAAATACCATTATAATAATACTTAAGAAAATACTTAAGTTCCCAAGGAAGTTATTAATTGTGAGAACGGAGTTATATTTAGAGGTATTTTGTAATCATATCAAAATTAATCTTAAAAGAGATTGATATTTATATAACTTCTATATTTAAATTAAGGAGAGTAATTTTTAGAATCTAAATGATCAATTGAAATGATAATATAGTTAGAATTAAAATATGACAGTTTCTAATTTTAAACTTTAGCAACTTATGCTATCTTGTAAGCAGGGAACCTTTTTATGTCTCATTAGAATATTATTAAACTGTAAACTTTGCCAATTATTGAAAAGCATTATGATATTAGTAAATATTCTAATGTGAATGATTATTTTGAATATGGACTGAAATTAAATGCTTTTACATGCTCGAAAAAGGGAAATAAGTTTGGAATTGCAAAATAAATTAAATAAACAATTAAGTCTTATTTATTAATTAGGAATTAAATTAAAACTAATTATATTAAAATTGAAATTAAATTTATTTGATTTTAAGAGGAAATCAAAATGATATATTAATTGATCTATATTCTCTTTATATTTATAGTAATCAGAGAATGCTACTTCTATTTGTGTTGCCTTAATTTAATTTTAGATGACCTTTGGTTTTCTCGAAATGATCTTGAAAAACAAATGCTTCTTGCAAGAGCATCTCAAGTTGTACTTCTGTCCATTCCTTAGTTGGTAAATTCTATAAAAATATGACTGCTTCACTCATATTCTTTGATTTGATCTATTTTATTTTGTTGATTTACTTCAGGTGCACATTTAAGAATTAGGTTTGTTACTGTGTACACATGCAAATTGGCCATTTCATCGCCTTCAGCTAAATAAGTATCCAATAATCTGATCGTTAAGGATAATGGAAACTCTCTTATCAATAGGCATAACACCCATCTAAAGGCGAAGTGATTCAAATCTATTTGTTGATCCTCAAAGTATTGATACAAGGGATAGTCAAGCTTAAGAGTATTTATTAATTCTTACTATTTTGATGAGTTCCCTGATTTTTACATATGCTTCCTAAACGCCTGGTTAATTTGCAGTGAAATAATCTTAAATGTTTTCAATTATTTTGCATAAACACCAATAAATATCAGCTTCAATATCAATCAAGATTTCTTCTGGCAATTTGTCAAAATTAGAAGGGACATCAAAAGAATTGAAATCTATTGGAACATATTCATTCAAGAATACTACAACTAAAGGCGATGCCACATCATTGATTCCTTGAACATAGCCACTCATAGGATGTCGCATATTCCATATAAATAAAAGCCTCTTAAACATTTCTTGAATCCTGGGATCTCTAAATAGTTTATAATCAGGCTGAGTTCTCAAGACATCATTTTATATAATCTTTATGATTTTCCTCTCGTTTTCATCCCTTTCTTGTTCGTTCATATGTTCGTAATAATTTCTTAATGTATTGTTGATAATCTTATCTTTTCTTTAATAAAATAGTGGTCTGACTCATGTGATTAGGAGGAATATATTTTACAATTAATTTCCACACTTTAGCTCTATATTCTAGTAATATTTATCGAAAACAATACCATTAGGTATTCCTCTCCATGTGAGTTTCTTAAGAGCCTCCAAATCAATTATTTGTTGTTCAAGTACAAGTTCAAATTGCTCTAATTTTTTTTAATCCTGAATCGTTGAGGAAATTTATTTTTTTTGAAATGGCGATTTATTATAAATTTCATTTAAGTTAGTCTTATACAGAGAACTTTAAGAATCTGTTTTTTATCCAAAGAATTTCTTTAAAAATGCCATTATTCAATCTATATATTGAATTTATTAAATAATGATTACATCAATGATTGTAATATATTACTATAATTTGCAATAAAAATGATGGGTTCAAGAGAATGCGATTATTTGAACTATCTTATATTATTATATAAATTGGATGAAATGAATCAGATTAATTCATCTTAATATAAAAAATTTTATCAAATCATTTAGGAATATTGTATAAGGCTTTTTTCCAATTAAGTCACAAGGTTTCTGTGTAAATAGTAAGAAATAAATACCCCATAGATTTATTATCTGCTTAGCTAACAGAGACTAAACTTCTATCTAGATGTTCATTCTCTTATTTAAGTTTTCTTTGCAATTCTTATTGAGCCTTTCTGACCAACTCCATGGAGAGTTTTTCTAAAGCCTTTTGCTCATTTAACTATTGACTATCTTTAATCACTTATTTAAATCTTAAATCTTTAAGTCTTTCTTATCTTTAATAATTTTCGATCAAGTCTTGCTATTTAATTTTCATTTTCTCTTTTCTTATATACTTTTAAAAGTCTTTTTCATCTTTTCGTCTGCTAGTCAACTCATCTTAATCCAAGAACTTCTTCTCTAGATCGGTAACTCGTTGCAATTATAGTGACTAGATTTTTTTCAATGAATCCTAGGCTTTTTTGCGTTTGGTAAGTTCTTCCTTTAGTTTTGCTTATTCATTAATTTACTTTTGTTTTTCAAGCACTAAAATATATACACAATTATATTATACTTTATAGTTCTTATTCTTTATTAAACATTTTTTCGACAACTTTCTAAATAGTTTCTGCTTCCTTTTATTCAGTTTGCAGTTTAATTTTTCTTAGTTTTTCATCATAATGAGAACTCCTCATAGTCAATTTTTCTAATTTACTTTCCCATGTAAACTTCTCTTTATTTGTATTGCACTCATTTTCTAGATGGTAAGGAGAATAGAGATACATTTAACTTGCAAATTGGATAGAGTAAGTGTCATTTTGTCTTCCATAAATTTATCAAATTTTCTTTTGTTGGCTCTGACGGTTTCAAATTTTTATCTTAATGTTTTTTCATGTTCTTCAATTTCTTTTTTCTTAATTTGTTCATCGAGTTATAATTTTTTTCCCAATTCTTCAAATCTTTCTAATTACCTCTTGCGTTCATCAATTTATTTTAGGTTAAATTGTTTTTCTTTGTTTTTGATTTCATTAAATTTCTTTTAAGCAGCTTCCAATTTCTTTTTCTTCTTTAACATCTTCTCCTTCCTGATCTTTTCATTTAATTCAGCAATCTTTTTTTCTCTTTCTTCCATGTCTTATTGCAACAAATGTCTTCTCTTCTCATTCTCCAACTGATGATGAACTTCCTTGGCCTTCACTCCGAGAGCTCTCTTATATTTTCTGATCTCCTTCTCCAATTATTCTTCCAAGACTAGAACTGGATCTTCTTCGTCGAAGGATTCGTAGGAATTGTCATTTTCCTCTTCCTGTATCTTGAGGTTAACCATCTTTTTGTTGTAAGTTTCTATCAAATCATTGATCAAACTAATAAAATGTAAATGAGCATTTGGAGATACCCCTCATCTCGATGGAATGATTTTTCTAATTAAATATTTTGCAATCCTTTATTCTTCTTGGTTATTTATTTTCTCTTCTTGGAGATCTCCTTGAATGTAACTTTCTATAAAGATGGAAAATATACTCTCCATTTTTTTTACATAATGATCAAATCTCATTTTCTGAACTGCTTCAGTGACATTGGGCCCACCAAATTCTTCCAATTTTCTTAGTGTGATAATGCTTCATTACTTGAGTTTGAAGATAGAGGGATCATAACCCAAAGCCAGACAAGCCTCCCTGGTCTTAGGACTATCTGGCCTCAGATTCAACCCTTTTTTAGTATAACTAAAGACAGTGGCTCTCCTGGGCTAAGCAACTCTACTGCTGAGTTAGAGCAATGCATTTTCATTTAAATTCATTTTAATTAATGTCTGAATCACCATTAATCACTCCATTATTACAACAATATCAAGTGGAATTGTAGGCAAAGTTGAATGAATGCTTTGAAAACAACGAAGTCAAGGGAATGCTGCAATTAATAGATCAATTGGGACAAGACATAAGGGATGAGCCGCAACTCCAAGATTTGCTGAATCTACCATTATTGAGAAAATTGATGAAGCATCTCTCATCAACCAATCCCCAACAAGTCAGAAGTTCCATCATAATACTGGACGCAATAATGCAGCGAAAAATCATCGCCAACAGACTTCTCCATCAAAGAGGTGCCGAAAGAACCATGGTGGATCTAGCAAATAGTTTATTGAACCTATAATAATAATTGCGGCATACCTCCTTAGAATTGCACATCGATGAGCTCCTTGTTGGTTTATAAGTAAAATACGTTGACAAGAAACAGTCAGACTTAAGTGCCTTGAAATAGGCCTTGAAGCAATTCCAAGATAACAATGGTCTTTTCATTAGGCAATTGGAGACCCTCTTATCCTAGTGTGAGAGCATCATTGATCAATATTATCTATTCGGAAGTCCACTGCAAGAACTTATTTATGAATATCTATTAATGATTAGGTAGATGGAAGAAAAACAATAGGTGAACTACTTGACTCAACTTTTAGGTATTTACGAAAGATACATTTTGGATGTGCAATATACAATACAAGAAATGCAATAACGAACCTACTACATTAAAATAGAGAAGTAAATGATCTTACACGAGATATCCAACATATATAAAAGTTGTGCTCAACTCTTAAATATGATCCTGGTGTTGCCAGAAGAAATTGGATTACAAAAGAGAATCTATCTGATGATTAAAGTCTTGTATAAATATGTTCCAGATCTGAGAGTAGCTTTGATGGGACCCATACAATTGGTGATGCGCAATCTCTCTTTGTTTTTAAGCAAGGATGCCCAAGAATACAAGGAAATCACTATCTTCTTGTATTAACTGATCCATTCATCAGATTATGATGAGAAATTCAAGCAATCTCTTCTTGATGACGAGGATCTTGCATATCTGAGAGAAAATAAGTAAGATTTATTGTAATTTTCATAGATATTTCTCTGTTAAAGCTCTAAGCTATGTGGATGAGTCTTAAAGTGTTTCATCTCTGAGACACTTGAACATTCAAGCAGCCTTCCCTTGTTATGCCATCATCTAAGCAGCATCCATCTATTGCTATTCATTCATGGTGGATAAACCGAATTCGCTCATTTTTTGGAGTTTCAGAACACTTGATTATGATGTATCCTTTGGACTCTTTAAATTGCAAACAATCGAAGACTTAGGAATCATTGATTATGTGAATGAAAGGAATGGAGTTAAGTCATTGATCAAACTACAAAGAATTGAATCTCATAAGCAGCCGATCATTGGAGTCACAGTTATATCCAATCCAGGACTATATAGGATTGTATTTGATAATAGTTATAGTTATCTGAGGTCCAAATAGTTGTTTTATAGTATACATTTGCTAGAAACTAAATGAATATTATTTGTTTTATTTAGTATATCTTTAAAGAGTTAAAATTTATTAAATTATTTGAATAATCTATTGTCTTATTTTTAGATATTATATTCTATTTCAACTCTATATTAGAATTAATTATAGATAAAAAATTTAAGATATTGTAATATCTAATAATGTTATTAAAATAATCTCTATAGCTAAAATTTAGAAATCCCTTTAAAATAATAACGATCATAATCTATCAAAAAGTCTTCAAATTCAACAAATTTGATACTCCATTTCCAGTTGGCACCCATGTAATATTTGGACTCTTGGCTAATTACTCGGCAATATGCTTAGCTGTCTCTAACTTCTTTATCTCGATTTAAGCTATTAATCTAATAAATATTTCTACCTGTTCCGTATTATTTGACTGCATCATTGATCAATCTGGCTGCCTCTGATTCTCCTTCAGACAATATGACTTTGGCATTCTTTTCTTCTTCATCTCTCAACACAATGAACTTCTATCTCTCAGCCAATTATTAAGCCACTTGCTTTGCCTCAATAGCCTAAGCATATTCCTTCATAAATCCTAAATGAGTGATTGACACATCATCCAATACTATCTTAAACTCCTTGGCTCTTTCAATCAAACCTTCCTTAATTTCTTATGAGATCTTCTCTCTCATTTTGATTAATTGATCTGCATCATATTAAGCAACTACTGCCTTTAACACCTCATTTGCAATTGATGGGAGAATCTTCTCTTCATAATTCAAACCAATAGTTCTAATCTATTAGACAGTCAATTTACTTATAAATCTCAGGCAAATATGATTCAATGGGTTTGTGAAGCATTCTGATTGCAATATCAACTGTTTACAAGTCTTTTGTACCAGTATGAGATGCCACTGTTTTGGGTTACAATCTAACCTCTGCAACAATTGGAGACTAACATAAATTCTACCATGTATACTTAAATAACAGGGATGAAAAAATGCATTCCTTCCCCATAGACATTTTCCTTGACTCCTTGGAAACGATCAAATATTAATCCTCTCTAGCCTCCGTCTACTGTATAAAAGAATGATTTAAATAGTATTCCACCACCAACAAGTACGGATCCTGCTGTTAAAATTAGATTTGCGGCTCTTTCCATTTTTAATTATTAATTATGGACAATAAACAAAAATTAATCAATCTAATAATCAAAGAACATAAATTTATAAATGACCTAGATTATTGACAACTTGTTGAGGTAATGGAATTATGGTAATATTTCAGAATCATGATGATGAACAATTGAATAAAGAAACTAAATTAATTTTAATGCAATACTTTTTAATTAAATTTACTCTCTATATATACATACATTGATTCTTTATGTGGTACATATATTAACTACTTAATCATGAAGTTATTCAAAACATCCTAATATTTTGGATAGTTGAATTATTTTTCAAAAGGGAATTGTTGGAAACAACAATATGGATAGAGGGTTATTAATAAAATGGAAAGACAATCCTTATAAATTTAGACTTGGATTGGAAAGACAATTCTCATCAATTTGGTCTTATAAAAAAGGTCCATATGGGAATGAATGTTGAACATATAAAATTATGATTAATAAATATATTTTATCATGCAAGGAAAGAAAGTGTTGGTGGCTGATGATGAACCCTTTGCTCAAAATTTATTGAAGATGCTGTATGGTGCTCTGTAAGTAGAATGCGTAGTGGTGTCTAATGGAAAGGAAGCCTTGGAAGCGTATCAATAATCACCTAATTTTGTTCACGTATTGATGGATATTCATATGCCAGTGATGGACGGATATGATGTAAATGCTTAAATTAATTCTTAGTCTGCAAAGTAAATCAGAGCTCATGAAAAAGCAAAAGGATTACCTAGATGCAAGATACTTGGCCTCAGTGGAGGTAAATATAATTATAATTTGATTCAAAGATGGTGATCCTAAGACAAAGGCAGCATGCATCACCGCTGGTATGGATGATTTGTTAGTCAAGCCATTGAAAAAAGACCAATTATCATAGTTTTTATGATTTTAACACATCTTATTTTTATCATATTCTGCAGTAATTAATATAGATAATAAGTGAAAATTATAATAATACCTAAAATGTAGAAAGTAAGAATGCACAATAATGATATAGAATCATGTTCTCTTTATTTTGTTTTCTACTTCTTCGAACAAAGTTCAGATATATAATTAATATAAAAATCTTGTGAATATTTTTAGCAAAAGAGTTTCTGCATTATTATTATTTTTTATTTGATTGGATACCCAAATGGAAAATAAGGAACAGCAGAATGTTATGGTAACATTGATAAAATAAACCTTGTTTTTAGTGTGAATAATATGCAGCCATTCAAAGATTGGTTTGATCAATTTATTACCTATTGAAATAATAAGTAAGTGATTCAAAAAAAGCAGGAAAGACCTAAAAAACTATACATTTTAGATGAGGCAACAGTGAATGCAAGATTTGTGATGTTGTGTTTATGAGCTTTTAGCAACTCTACTCTCACGGCCAGAAGTATTTAGAATTCCAAAAGATTGATAGTCTCTCCTACTTTCATCAAGGTTACTCTTAATACAGGTGGTTACTTAAGTTGGAGCAAGTCTGTTTGTTGTCCCTGAAGTGTTCAAACCATACTTGTTTTTTAGATAATGATTTATATTGTAGCACACACAAATATAATTAATGAACATTCTTGCAATAGGCTTGATTTCTATATCCATTCTCACTTTTGTGATCTATCTAATATGTTATATCCTCAGTGGGAGTATAGTGATCTCAGTAGCCATTCTTTTACTATGTTTATACAAAATAGCTCACTTGATATGCACATTAATTACATTTCCAGGATCTGTCAAATCACTTTACTACAAATTTACCTTGTTGAATCTAAGCGATTATTTTGTAAGTAGAACCTTATAGAATTTGACAATAATCATAAATTCTATGAATCCTCATAGGTATACACCTCAAACTATTGAAAATGCAATCTAATTTTTGAATATACAATGTAGGTCTCTATAAGAAATGAATAAGAGGAATGACCTACAAAACAAATACCATGTCCAATTGAAGCTTTTGAGTGAAGAATTGATGCAAATCCCCAAAAATGAATCACTTGATAAATTATAGACAGAGAAGAAACAGAGAATCACTTCCTAAAGCAAACAACTACAAATCTTCCTTGAACACTACGCCTACCAAATGTCCAAGCAGAGTATTATTAGAAGATTCTTCTAACATGAATTCCTCTGCACTCTCGAATAGAGAAGAATTGAAATTTTAATTTAAAATAACAATGTTGAGAGACATCTTCTCAAGAATGCCAGCAGCTAAGAAACTATAGATTGTTTGTTCATTAAGCATAATGAAAATGGACCGACAGTGCTCTTTTGTAATCCCAATGCTGGGTATTATGAATACATGTTCTTTGATGTAATACTAGTAATCCTATTTTTGTTAGTGCGATTGGTTTAGATTTTATGCCTAGATGAAATTCAATATTATTTTATGGAACTACAGAAGTTTTGGAGAAAGCACAGGCAGTATTTCAATAGAAAACTGTATTGAGGATGGCCGTTACGTTGCTGAATATTTTAGGAGCAAGTAAAAAATCAAAACACTGGGAGCTCATGGTTAATCCTTGGGAGGAATGGTGGCAGCAGAAGTTGCGTATAAAATGAAGCTTTAATTCCTAATTGTCGATAGAAGCTTTTCCTCATTGGGTCAAGTGGCAGCTGCGATGTAAATAAACAAATCAAAAGCATTAGGTTCTCCTCTTCGACTGTCAGATTCATTTATAATTGCCTTGTAAGTTGGGATAAACCGAATTATCTGGCTTATTACAAATACGTGGGACCAAAATTAATAATTTAAGATCCGAAGGATGAAATACTACCGTATGAATCGTAGTTGCAAACTGCAGTGGTGCGTTGTCACTTTACTGATTAGCCAATAAAATACTCGTTCAAGCATTCCTATTTTAATCAAGAATCTACTTGTATATTTGATATCAATTTTAGAATATTTGAAATACTTTTATTCAAAAATATTGTCAAAGAAACATGTACTTGAATTGTGCACGTCACTTTAATACATTATCAATTTGGCCATCAAGATTAATCAAGCTGAAAATAAATAAGAATCTGATAACAACAAACAATATATTGAATTGCAGAATAACGATGATGATCTAGATGCAGCCAAACCTATACTATCATAAGTCTATTCACTTTTTTCATTAATCCATTATTGTGGCAATAGTTTATTGGATGTAATGAATAGATAGGCGAATCCAGAGAAGATTGCTTTGTTTTTTGGCAGTTGTTTTGCATTTGATTAACAAGATGACGGTGAGTTTGAAAAATGCTTCCAGAATTTCGAAGTTAGTTGTACAGAGTTTTTGGAATCCTCTCATTATTACATTAATTGGGGCTAAGTAATTATAGTAATGACATTGATTAGATTCGAACTCACATTAGGATAATTAGAGACATCAGTCGAAGTATTATTGGCAAATTCCAACATATCAAACAAAGCAATGATTACTCTCTGGAAATGACTGGTTACACCAATGACTCAGATTTGTGCAAGAAGAACATGTTAGGAGAATTGGTTTCAGTTTCATGTGGACACAACAACAATCTAAGCAGAGAAGATACCTATTTAGTATAGAAATTCTTGTTGAAAAATAAACTGAGATGATTATATTTATCTTCTATTTTTCATTTAATTATTATTATTCACTTCTATGGTTGATACTCCTTCCGTTCAGTTCCTTGGATATGTGACACCTTAACTTTCATCCCATTACACAATTTTTGAGGAAAAGGATAATGTGCTCATCTACCTCAATTACTTTGAGATCGATAATTAGATGCTAATTCTGCTGTCTCCCTGTCCAATCGAATATAGTCAATAAAGTAAAATTCATCATCATAATCCCTTTCAGGTTTCATAGTATTTAGCTCCACAATCCGTCCTCGATACAGAGTTTCTCAGAAACTCATGGTGTCTCTGGACTAATTTAAATCGATAGTGAGCTTCAACATTCTGCTATTTGGGGATTTATACTTAACAAACAAAACACAATTCCAGCCTTTCAATGCTCGAAACTTTTAGACTTTTATAAGTCCCAATCCTTTGCCATAAATTAATATTTTGGTGGTTCCTGGAGTTTACAGTATTCACTTTGATCAGATATACGAATTCCTGGAAAGCAAATTAGCGTAAAAAAATGAATAGATTTAACCTCAACCTAAATTTGATATTCTTGTTTACACTACAAATCCTTACAGAGTGTGCAACATTCAATACTAATTTGATAAAACTACTTAATTAATCGATTATTTCTTTTATTTGATTGACAACCAAATCTATACCGACATAAACGAGATTCAATAGTAATTCATGTTGGAAGACATTAAAGGCACGCTATTCGATTTCTTGTAAGGTAAAAATTACCCAAATTCCACACCCAATATTCAATCCATTCGAAAGAACTTCACTTACAATGCTTAGGACACTAAATTCTATATATTGCAACAAATCAAAGGCTTCAATTAGATTCATTAAAATGCTGATTTTGTGAAGATATGTAATATAATTTACAAATATAAGTTTAGTCTGTCAAAATTGTGAAGATGGAAACAAATGTACTTTGTTATCCTCTTAGAATCAATAGATTTATTTCGCTGGGTAAAGTTCACTATTTAAATATCCTCTATCTGTCAAATTTTTGGATTTAGTTTCTAGGACATTTTCGCAATTGATTTGCCAGTTATTTCTGATAACAAATGCATAGAATGCCACTTATAAAATCAATAGATTGGCCAACCTTGATAGAGTTGAAGAAGCTATTTCCTGTCCTTCATTCAATTCTCAAAGAAATTATCAAAATTTAGAAATGCTTGGTGACGTTGTAATTAAGTATTTAACATCTGCAATGTTATTTGAAGACTCTAAGTACAAAACTGAAAACACTCTGTCCTCAGCAAGAGTTCGTTTAATCACTAATAAACACTTAAGCTCAATTTATGGAAATCTCAAATTGAATGCAATGAATTTTAAAATTAACTCCAAGAAACTTCTAAATCACATGATGATGATTATCAATGAACATGAGGATTCCAAACTATCTCAAAAACAATAAGCAGATATATATGAAGCCTTATGCGGAGCCTGTTACATTAAAAATTATTAATTCAAAGATTTGATGGATTTTTTTAAATTAACAAAGTTAGAATTTTAAGGCACTGTTCCACAATACTATAAAGGAAACCCTCTTATTGATTTCTCCATTATCTCTCAGGATCCAGGTAAGGATAATGATTATCCTTTAAAAAAATAAATTTTAAAAAGGCCTTTCTCTGAAACTGTAAAATTTGACCAACCTTTTGAGGAATTTTAAGATTATCTAGGATGCAAATTGAATTTGATTGCCGAAGCTATGACTGTCGATTAATTTGAAAGATTAGAGTTCTTTGGAGATGCAATCCTTGAATTATTGGTTATTGTGAATGTCCATAAGGAATGTGAAAAACTATACTACAATCCTAGATAACAATAATTATGTCGAGAAGGCAAAATTACTTAAAAATTGTTACTTTGTCCAGGGATGTTGCATACAGCTAAAATATCTTTACTTGACAGTGGATTTATGGGTACAATGGCTATCTACCATAATTTCCATTAGTATGCGAGAAACCTTCCAAAGGAGATTTAAAATAGTATAAAAAAAGCCTTAGCATTATTAAGACAGGATCAATTTACTGATTTTAGGAGAATCAATTAATATTCATAGTAGATTCCAAAAATCATGAGTGATCTATGGGAGAGTGTGGCAGCTTGTATTTTAGTGGAGTATGGATGGGAAAAGGTGATTGAAATCTATGGAGAAATGTACAAACCCTATATCAAATATTTTGTTGATAACATATCTTTGATTTACGACTTTTGTCAAAGCACTGGAAATTTAAAATAATGACATTATTTTTAATATAAAAATTAATAATATATAAGTCATTTTAATTTTTTCGGCTTTTCTGAAATCCCTGAAAAATTGAGTTCGTTTTACATTTAATATAATTTATCCTCCATTCTACCTATTACATTCTAGAATTTATTCAAGAATTCTTCCTAGAACTCTTTCTCTACATTATTATGATCCTCTTCATCATCAAAATGGAAGCTACGTTTTTAATGATACTCCTTTGAATTCTATTTCTCTCTTGTGATCTATTGTAATTGATGATTTATCTTGTTGTTTGTAAAAAATGTTTTAGGAGGTCTTTGCAACATAGGTTATGCATAATTTTGTTAAGTGTGCAAATAAGTTGGAGATGGCTGATTGCATTTATCTTAGAGCACAGGGGATGTTAAAGGTTATTAATAGATATTTTGATTTAGATTAGGTTGTGAATACAAGGGCTATTGTGGAATTTATGAGATTATTTATTTCATTTATTATGGCTGAGTCATCTCATACTAAACATGAACAGGCGTATTATTCAAATGTTAAGCTGAGCATTTATCTCTCTCTATAATCCTTTCATATTGACTCAATAGCTCTTTTTATTCCTTTATTACACTTTACAGTTTTTAAACTTCATCTCTATGTTATTCATATAATAAATCATATTTCTGTTTCTCCTCATTAATTTTACTCTGCATTATAATATTTCTATTTTTCAATTCAATAAGTTAATCCTCAAATTAAATTTAGTGTTGTTATTTTAGATGCTAAGTATCCTGCTTCTCAATCTCATTCAATTTCTCATAAGACTAGATCAGACCACTTTGATTATCAATAATGCCCTATAACTTTTTTATTTCTTCCAATTATGATTACTGCAACTATTCGATTTATTTAATGCTATCATCTCTTTACTATTTGATATGTAATTCCTTTTATAGATTTTATTATCTGCACTAATCCAATTAATTAGCTAGCTTCTCATTCTAATCTTTCAAAATCGTAATTTAATCAATTTATTGCTCAATCAAGTATTTGGATTCTGTGCAGTTTCTTTGCAATTACTCATTTTCCTATTGTAGATCTAACATACAAATGAATGATTACTATAATTTTCATTTTGCAATTAATTAATTGTCTCTGATACTCTCTACACTTCTTCAGCCCATTCCTCTTTTAACAATTACTTTTCCTACAATTCTTCACAAGCATCTTTAAGTTATTATTTGAGAGCATTATTCTGTTGCATAAGAATAGCTAGACTTCCTTTGATTTCTTAGTACTTTATCTGATAATCACTCATAGATGGGCGTTGTTATATAAATATAAAATTTGAAATTAAAAATATGTTATAAATTAATAAAATTAATCTTCAATTATTAATGTTCTTTTAAACATTCCGAATACATAAGACAATAATCATATTATAAGAAAGACTTAATAAGAGAGTAGAAATGTATTTGGATTTATGTGTTTTATAATTAGATATTGAATTACTTATCTTTATATCAATTATTGATATTTTTATACCCTCATAACATTCCAGTTGTTTTTTGTAGGAATTTGTCCACTAATTCATTATAAATGCTTGCTAAATGGCCATATGGATTATCGTAACTTTTATCTTCGAAATTGTAATCATAGATTTATCCTTCTAATCCTACGAAACGACCCTAGATCAATATATTTTTGATACTCCAAAGGCTTTAAATAAGGCATCAGGAGCACATATATCCCATTTGCTCATCTTGACTCCAAGATAGATAAATAGGCTTGCCTTGCCTTCCAATAATGTAAGACTCTTTTTTCCTGATCCTCCCATTTAGAGGAGAGAACAACCAAGAGATTTTATTTTTTGCAATTTTTGCTCATCTATTCTTTTATTCTGTGTGCACAAGACAATGTTGGAAGGATCATAATTTGGCTTTAAGAGTTCAAATGGAATCTATGATGTAGTATCATATGTATAAAACACTCTCTTTTGTGGATGATGACCAAAGTATATCTTAGGTTTAAACTCGTATTGTTTGTCAGCAATTTTAACAAATGGTTGGGAGATGATTCCAATTAGAGCTTACTTCTTGTATGAGACACCAATCAAAGTGGTGACACAATCAAATTCGCCTGTAACAAAATCAAGAGTTCCATCTAGAGGGTCAACCCAAACACAAAGATCTTCAATTTCATATTCAGTTCTCACTTTGGCATTGTTGGGTGTTTTGTTGAAGATATCCTCTGTATATAGATTGATATGAGTATCAGGCAAATCTATTGGGTCATCATAGACAGTAGATTCTTCGCCAACAATCCTTAGTTACGGCCTTGTATATTATTAGATTAGAATTACCAATGCTTACGGAGTTACTAGACTATGTAGGTTTAAGCTTTAACATCAGCGATGGTGACAGGATCATCGATGCCTTTCCATTTCTAGCCAATATCAGCAGATTATCTAATTTGATTAATAATTATTGCTGCGTTGTAAGCTAATTGGGTTGCGACTGAAAAGAATTCGTGTACTTAAAGCATATTATTATTTTTATTTTAATGAATAGCGATGAAATAATATCTGTTGTTGCCGACATTGGTAACCTCTACACCAGAGCAGGATTTACAGGAGATGACTTCCCCAGATGGAGTACTTTCTCTAAATGCACTGAGACTATGCAATTCGGAGATGAAGCATTGGGGTATGGGAATGGATAGGTATTGGACATATTACAACCATTCAACCCAGATTTATATGAGAATCTATTGAAGAAGATGTTTGAGAAGCTTGGGAAGTTCAATCCAAAGATTATAGTTTGTTGTTAGCCAATAATTTCCAGACTAAACATGATTTATAAAAAGTGGTCGAAATATTATTTGAGAGTGTGGAAATCCCTAATTTCTTCACCATTAGGAATGCAGCCTTGTCAACATTTTCAGCGGGTCGTTCCACCGCATTGATTTTGGATATTGGTGCTTATTCAACAACTGCATCTGCTGTTCATGATGGTTATACATTATTAAAAACCCAAATTTAAGCGCCAATTGGAGGAGAAATACTAAATGACCCATTTAGACAATTTGTGGTCGGAGAATATAATCAATTCAAAAAAACATGTTTAGCCAGAGACATTAAATAAGGCTTATTAACATACGAGCAAATCGATTCAACATAGCAATACGAATTGCCTGATGGAAAATTCGTGTCCATGTAACAAGCACAGCTTTCTGAGATTGCAGACAAATTATTCAACAGCAATGACAACTTCAAAGGCATCCAACATATGTTATTGGACATTATCAACAACTCTGTCAATGATATCAAACAACAATTGTGTTCCACTGTGATTTCCACTGGAGGATCATCTAATATCCCTGGCTTCTTGAACAAATTGTAAACCACCTTATCTGCTTTGGCTCCACCAATGTGCAAAGTTAAATTAGTAATGTATCCCTCTAATGTAAATATTTATTTGATTTCATAGCAAAATCGCTATCATTCAGTATTTATTGGAGGCTCCATTTTGGCTTCACTTAGTTCTTTTTAGTCTCTTTGGGTGGCAAAGAATGAATACCAGGAATCTGGCAGGTTCAGTATTATAGAAAGGAAATGTCCAAATTGATTAATTATCATTAATCTAGAATTTTATCGTCATTTATATATATATGTCTAATTAAATTCCCAAATCTTATTAGTCAATTCACCTCATAACTCAGTTCGGTTAAAATATATCATATTATAATGTTTTGAATATATCCATATTATGTTAATTAATTCATTAATTTATACTAAAAAATACAAAATATATTTAGATAGCAATAATAAATGAATTCAGCCTTATTGAATGCCTTCATTTGTTTTGAATTCCTTCGAAATCATAATTAATTTTACTAGTAAGTAAGCATACTCAAGTTTTACTTATAAATTCATAAGCCAATCAACAATGCAAGCATCACAAGTGAACTAGTGAGAAATAATATGAGTTTTGGACTCAAAATAAGAAGAATTGATAATAATTCAAAATTAATGATATATTTTAATAATATTTAAAGAAAATTACATAGATGGCAAAAGACAAATAGGGCGAAATAGATGTGGATAACATTATTGAAAGATTGCTAAGTGTTCGAGGAAGTAAACCAGGGAAAAATGTGAATTTGACTGAATCTGAAGTTCGTGGTCTTTGTGTCAAGGCCAGAGATATCTTCATCAGCTAACCAATTTTATTAGAATTGGAAGCGCCTCTCAAAATTTGTGGTGCATTGCTTCATTTAATGTTATTTTAGGCGATGTTCATGGTCAGTATTTCGATCTATTGAGACTATTCGAATATGGTGGTTATCCTCCAGAGAGCAATTATCTTTTTTTGGGAGATTATGTTGACAGGGGGAAACAATCTTTGGAGACCATTTGTTTGCTTCTTGCTTATAAAATCAAGTATCCTGAAAACTTCTTCCTTCTCAGAGGCAATCATGAGTGTGCATCAATCAATCGTATATATGGGTTTTATGATGAATGTAATTAAGAAACTCAAATATATTTATAGGCAAACGGAGATACACAATTAAATTATGGAAGACTTTCACCGATTGTTTTAATTGTCTCCCTGTTGCTGCATTGATTGATGAAAAGATTCTTTGTATGCATGGTGGATTGTCTCCTGAACTCTCTAATTTAGAGCAAATCAGAAGAATTATGAGACCGACTGATGTTCCTGACACTGGTCTCTTATGCGATCTACTTTGGTCAGACCCAGATAAAGATGTATAAGGTTGGGCAGACAATGAGAGAGGAGTTTCCTATGTTTTTAGTTAGGAAATTGTTTAAGTCTTTCTTAAAAAGCACGAACTCGATCTAATTTGCAGAGCGCATCAAGTAATAATGTTGTATAGAACTCTTTAAGGTTGTTGAAGATGGCTATGAATTCTTTAGTAAACGGCAATTGGTCACTCTCTTCTCAGCACCGAATTATTGTGGTGAATTTGATAATGCAGGTAATGCAGATATCTATGAATTTAGGTTCAATGATGACTATAGATGAATCCTTAATGTGTTCATTCCAAATACTAAAACCAGCTGAATAAGGTGCTTAGGGTGCTTCCTAATAAAACAAACCTCCTAGTGCTAAGTTTGTCAATTGATTTAAATCAGAAAATTTATATTCAACCAACTTAATAGCTTATTAACTTATCTTCCATATGTATTAAGGTTGTAATCTCACTATTTAGAAATCTTAAGAGCTATGTTTATAATAAATATTAATAATCAAGACCATCTTATTAATGTTATAAAATTGATATATCATTAAAATTCTTTTTGATATATAATTAGATTGTTTAAAAAGGTATTAATATACTGAAATAAGTCAATATTAAAACCATTAATCTAATGTTGAGGTAATAAATATATCAATAGGAACAAAAAATATTGATAAAAATTTAATTCAGTAAAGAAATATTGATATTTTCATTTTTTAAACCCAATTTTATAAGCAATGACAACTTCATTTCAATAGAAATCTACTTTGCCATCAATAATTACATAGGATTATTCAACATATTTTAATATGGTATTGTTAAAGTAGGAGTGCTGTAGGTTTACTGATAATATTAGCTGTAGTTATTGTAGTACCAGTTTTTCTTTTTACTCATTGGATATCAAATAATATTATAAATAATTTAATTTACAAAAAAATTAAAAATATTGAATTACCAAATTTTTAGATGTACTAACTTTAGATCGCAATTAAAAAAGAAGCTAATTATTTTATGATCATTATCTATATTATTAGTTTAATAAAAAATCTTCTTATTCTAACAAAAATTTTAGGTAAATTTGTGTTTTAATCTGTAGATGGAAATTATTTATTTCAGAAAAGTAAATGTTAAGAGTAGATTTCACCCATATTATATATAAAACAAGATAAATTAAAAACTTTTTGATCTAGTCTATTAAAATAGCTCTCCAAAATTTAAAAGAAAATGAAAAAATTTTAATTATTATTAAGTTGTATCCTCAAAAACCATGTAATTATTAGAAGAGAATATTAATGAATTTAATAACTTAACGAAATTTTTAGTAAATCATTTATATTTTAATCCAGTTTATTTATTCTAAAGTATTAATATTTTTATCATTTTAAGTTTCCCTTCAGAAAATATCTATTATGTCAGCACTATAAACCATTAACTACTTCTTATTGAGGCCTTGGATAATGATTTTTATAATTCTAGATCAATCTCCTAGTAATTGCTAAAAAGAATATCAAAATTGAATAAGTTAGAGTAAATAGAGCTTGATTGTGGCTTATAACTAAGAAAGTTTAGATAATACAAGATATGACAATACTTTTTTATTTAACAAATTTATTTATTCAAATTAATTATACTACAATCTTCAAACTCAGCTAGACTAATAGGATGATACTTTTCCAAATTTTTGTTTGAGTATAAATTTTTCAAAGTTATGATATATATATTATGAAATACTTGATCCTATAGACTCCTCTGAAATATCAATTATTATTTTATTTATAATTATCACAACATAATATCAGTCTTGCAAAATTTTTCAGCATATTAAATTTGAATTAATTAAACATATTAAAATAATAAAGAGGATATAATATCAATCTATAAAAATAATCATATATTATTGTTATGAACATTTAATTTTTTACCTATTTAATAGTCGGAATAGGTAGGTAGTAAAGCCTGCAATAGGTTTCGTCACTTAATTCTTAAATGATATAAAGGCTAAGCATAATCCTAATTCGACATCTCCCAGTAGAATTTTAATTTAATAGAGACATTAATTTTTCATTCTAATTCAATACACGACGTTTGAACACTCAAAAATGTAGGTATAGATTTTCTGAAGAAAATCTAATCTTGAAGCAATTTAGGAGGATGTTAATTCAATAAAGCTCCTTGACTAATAAATGCTCAAAAAATACTTACAGTAAAGCCTTAACAGCTTAAGACCATAACCCATGTTAACAAGAAAATTAAATGAATTTGAATCTCCTTTTGTTAGATATTTGCTAGGGTGTTGTCAATATAATTAGATTCGTTTCATCCAGAAGAGATAAAATAATTTTTGAAACGATATTTTACAAACTTGTTTTATATTCATAGACGATAACAAGACCCTTAATAAATATTAAAAGAATAAATATAAACAATTTAATCAGCAAAATACAATTTTATTTTATTAATAATTTTTTTTTTATGGCTAAGAAGCCTTTCTATAATTATCCAACAGAAGGATTCATCTCAAGATGTGAGAATATAGTCCACTATGACTTAAGTATCATACAAATATCTTTTAAATCAAATATTAGGCAATCAATAGCGAATTTTAGATCCAATTTGTCCATAAATTGATTCCTTACCTAATCATTAATTGTTAGAGAATTTTATATAGAATAAGTAGATTACTTAAATGAAATGGAATCAATTTTTAAATCTTATTAATTATGAAGCTGTTTAAATAATGGCAATCATTTAATTAACATTTAATAAACAATTTTAATGTACCTGATATAAAAAAGGATGATTGGACTATAAATTAAAATGTTATAGGATTCTTAGAATGTTTGAACAGAAGGGGATTTTTATTTTTTAACATTTATATCAATATAATTTTGATAATTATTGGAATTATTTAAACATAATCAAACCTACTGTTATGATATAAGTCTATAGATTGCACTTCTAAGACTTCGAATCAGAAACTTTGGAGTAGATAAGAGGCCCAGATTTACTCATAATTGAATAAAATTATTAATTAAAATTGCGAAAAAAAAAAACAATAAATTGAGTCGGCCAATAAACAATGAAATCGATATCATTAAATGAGTGCGTTATTTTTTCAAATGAAATGGGTAAAAATTATAATTATTAATTATATTTAATTATTTTAATTCAGCAAAATATGAATTATTAAATAAATGTTTTGGATATTTTATATATTAAGATTAGCCTAATCATCTTGTTCATACACCAATTTTGATTAATTCTAATTGAATAGCGCTAGCTTTTATCAAGAAAAGTAGTATGTGAGAGGAAATCCATATGCCTTTGGTGTATGGACACAATAGGCTCCACTTAGAAAAAACTTTTATGGGAACAAATCAAAACCATATTTTGATTCAACCCGTAGTCTTGATGGGTTTCATATTCTTAATTTTCAAAGCGGAGGTAGCATATAAACATTGTTCTATTAATAGCCAGTTTATGTTACAGGATACCCAATACTAGTATTTTTATAAAATACATAGTCTGGGGTCTTGTCTTATAAAATTCAGTAGGGACTCTTTTATTATGAGGGATATTGGGTTTTTACCTATTTTAGTTTTAGCTATAATAACAAATACAATTTTGCATCATATAATACAGGGGATAATCGCTTTTATAATTTTTTGATCACAGATAGAAGATTGACTGTATAAACAACGAATGTAAAATTAGAACATGGAGGTTAAGGATTATATGTCATAGGAACTAGTAGTTATAATCTAAATTTATTTTCGGGAAGGATTTCGATAATTACGACATTTGAAAGTTCAATTACTTTTTTCTTAAATACAGATAAAGTTAAATTTTAATAATTTATTTCAAATTGCTATGTTCCTCCAGCATGTTAAAAACCTGTGGAATTATATTTCTTTAATGAAACCTATAATTAAAATAATTTTACTGTTGCCAATTATTATGTCGATATTCCAGGGTTAATCTATAAGCTTGAATTTTGGATGAAGAGAGATTCTTATAAAATAAGCTCACAAAAAGAAATCTTAATATCTTTTGGAGGTAGTTTTTCAACATTAGATCGATTTTACTAATTAGTATTGTTTTGGAAAGCTGTAGATCAAGATGTGGGTTTATTACACCAATTAGATTTTTATGAATTAGTACCTGGTGAAAAGATAACTGATAATAGTTTTTCTGACGAAACATACTTTCTTAAACCTAGTAAAAACTTTGAAAAATGGAGCTATTTTAAATATTAATTTTGGAAGTTTGGACAATCTCAAATAATTTAGCTTTCCTTGTATTAATCTTGCTGTGACACATGGTAAGTAGTTGATTTGTTTGACATTCCTAATAGCCAATAATATTCTAATTATTAGGCCATAATAACAATATTCACATAATAAAAAGATGTAACTGTACTGCCTTTTGAAGGTTTGATTTCAAATTTAAGATTTACATATTGTTATAATCTAGAATATGTATTTGGATAATAGTCGAACTAAAGTATATATAGTGATATATATTATAGATTGTAATGCACTATGTAAAACTTGCACAGGGCCTACCCAATATGATTGTGCATCCTGTTTTGATGAATAAAATAGATACTTGTAAACTGATCTTCATTAATGTTACTGTAAATCTAACTATGAGGAAGCAAGTGGTTTAATATGCCAAAGTAATTTATTTCTATCATTTAGAAACCTTTTTAAGCTCTATATCCGAGTAAAAAGAGTTATATAAAGAGTTCAGTATAATTGAGGTATAGAACAAATACAAGTGTAGTTATGGTTATTTTGAAGTCTGGAAGGAATTGGAATTCTTGGGATGCATTATATGGTATTTGTAACGATAATTTAAAGCCCTTATTTTGGCCAAGGTCATAATTCAGTAAATTGCATTAATTGTATATTGAATTCTCACAATTGGTATTTAAACCCAATTTGTAATATTGATTACAGAACTGATGACTCTAAATTCTATTATAATCAATAATTAGATTATTAATCCTAAGAAATATTTATAATCAATTTTGATTTGATGGTAACAGAATAGTGTCCTGGATGTGAATATCTAACTAAAACAAAAAATTCGCAATCCATTATTAAGAATGTAAATGGATTAAACACCTATTATAAATGCAAATAGTATTTATACCCTAAAGATAATTCTTGCAAATAATGTGAAATGAATTGTATTAATTGCAAAGATGCAGAAAATTGTATAGAGTGTAATTAAGGGTTTTATATAAAAAATGATCATTGTTATCAATGTCCTTAAGGGTGCTTGTCGTGCATTTTGGATGCAGAATTAGAGTAATTAAAATGTTTACATTGTTAACAAGGCTACTCTTTAGAAAACGATAATTGTTAAAAATGTGGTGATCTTTGTTAAATTTGTTAAAAGAAATTGAACAAAAATACTGGTAAAGAATATATGAAGTGTTTAAAATGTAATTATAATGCTTATATATCTCTTGATGGGGAAAGCTGTTACTTTAATAATTTAGATCATTGTATATACCCTTTCCAATTTTCCGTTATGTCTAATTAAATAAACACCATATATTATGATTTTTAACCTTAAGAATCTCAACATATTAAAACTGGCTGTACCTTCTGTTCAGCTGTTTCCCTATTGGATACTGGCAATAATTTGTACACCTGTACTCCTTTAGATTTTTATTCAATTGAGACCGGATGCTAATAATCACTGGTAATATCTGGGCTCAGAATTTGTGCTCTTGGTATCAATAATTTAATGTTAATTGGAGTTGGATATTGCACTCATTTGATTCCAAACTGTCTATTTTGTTACTAAAATAATTGGGAATCTAGTTATATATGTTTTAAATGTGAAGATGGTTATTATACTGATTACTATACAAGTTTTTGCAAGCCATGCAATCCAGAATGTGCTACTTGCATTTAAGTTGATTCTTCCAAAATAGTAAAGTCTGCTATTCTAATATTTTTTCTTACCATAACAAATGAAAAATAATTATATTATTAGGTTACTCAAAACCCTAATAAGAATGAAATTGAATTGATATGCACTAAATGTTCTGATGGCTATTTTAAACATTTTGATAAGTGTATCTAAAAATGTCCTGATAATTGCAAGGAATGCAAAATTATTAATGATTAGTAGGTATGTATTTCTTGCATTTAATTCAATGATTCACATTACAATGTTTATAATGGAAGGTGCATTTAATGTCCTTAAAATTGTAATATATGTCATCTTAGAAATGATGATGAAAAATTAATGATCAACCCATATTTTAACAATAAAGATTTAGAGTATTTTTCTCATAAATGTATAGCGCCATAATCCAGTGACTTATATTACGATTAGGATATTCAATAATTTATCAAATGTGATGATATTAATGAATGCTAAAAAGAAATTATTATTGATATTCACATTTATTGTAACTAAATTGATTTAGATAACTATCTCAACTAATTGAATGATAAATAAAAAGTAATTTAGAGAAAATTTCACATTCTTTTGGAAAATCTGGATTTATCATTATATGAGTATTATGACTATTTTCTCTATCTTAATCAGAACTTTGTTAAGATAGTTACTTATTAACTTACGATTGCAGATAATTAACTATGTTCTTTGAAAAAGGAACTAAAGATCTAATCAAATTTATAAACAAATATTTTTAACTTGATTGAATTAAATTTGATTTTAAATGGATCTGGTAATACTCTCTAATTGAATAATCACTTATCACTTTCAAATTTTACTCACATAAGAATTTAAAATTTTAATCTTCAAATTTAGACTGGATTTATATCAATGAATAATATTATTAGTTATACTGTCTAGTTTGAAACCATTAAAATCTATCAAGATTAAACTAGTATTTCATCATAAGAGTGTTTATTCTAAATTAGGGAATCTTCTGAAATTACTATTTCAAAATTATAAATACTTAATATTAATGTCCATTTTTTGAATGGATTATTTGTAATTAATAATCAAAATATAAATACTAAATTAATAGCACTAGATATCAATATAAATCACGTCAAAATTATGAATACGTCAATTATAAATTATAACACATCCCAAAAAGTAGAAACTAAAATATCAAATCTGCATATTTTAAATTCCTAATTTATAAATACTACCCTAATGGAGTAAATTTACTAAACTGAAATTATGGAGATGGATAATTTTATTTTTGAAAATTCAATTCTATTAAACGCTCAAAGTTTCTTAAATTTTGAATAAATTTAAAATGTTGAATTAAATAGATTCTAACTTTTAGAATCAATTTTACAAAACTCGAATTTTATATCTAGTTCTAAAATTCTTTTATTGACAGAATTCGATTTATAAAAACTCTCATTTGTAGGATAATCCACATTTCTTATCAATCAAAACTAGGTAATTCTTGAATTAATATAAATTAATCATGGTAAGATCATAGATAATATTTATTCTAACAAATATGCTTTCATTCTATTATTAAATTCAGAAGCTGTTTATCTTAATAATATAGAATTTATCAACAATGCTATTAATACTGATATTTAAAAAGATTCTCTTTTCAAGAACATTGAATTATCCTTAATCAATATTTAATCTAATACTGTGATATTTGATACTTTAATGATTCAGAGAGGAATAGGCTACTCTGAATTCACTATTAAAAATACAAATACCTTTAAGCTTATGAACACTGTGATAACTTTGCATTAAAAGTATTAATTTTAGAGTCTTTTTAATAATCAAGAATGTAATTTAGAACCATTCAATTAGTTTATGTATAATAATTTAGTGAATTTATAAAACAGCTCGTTCATTTATGTTTCAAATACAAATATCACAGATATAATATTATATAATTCAGTATTATTTGAAATTCAAATGCTTTCATAGATTAGCTCATCATACTTTTTTATCAATTGCAATATTTCATCCAACATTTTGCATCAAGTAAATAAATATGAAAAAGTATCTTTAATATCAATTAATTCTAATTATTATTTGAATTTGAATATAACCGGAGTTACATTCTCTTCCAATTTATTAAATTTATTAAAAGAAAGTAATCCTTAAAAACAAAGTCTGATTTTATTAGTTGAAGCATATTAAGCTAAAAGTACAATTAGTCAATGTTTAATTCAAAAAAATATGATTTTGAATGGCCAAGGATCTCTTATGTACATTGACGCTGACTTAATAAATTTGGAAGACACAAAGTATTTTCAGAATTCAGCCTTTGTGTATGATACATTAAAGTAATTCCTCAGATGGGGATTGGCAGAAGAAATCTTTTTAGAACATTTATAGAAATTATATATTAGTTCTAGCAGTGGAGGAAATGGAAATTTTTAAGCCCGATCAGTTATATTGAACAAGATTTTATTATATGATTCTCACTCAATATAAGGAGCCGCATTCGTATTAAAAATGATTGAAGATGGATATATACAGATTAAAAATTCACACTTTGAAAATTTACAAGCTGAATTAATCGAATCTTCATTAGGAGGAGCGTTTCATATCTAATCTTAATCATTATATTTAAGAATCGATGTAATTAGTACAATATTTCTGGATATTTCCTCCAGAACAGGAGGTAGTATATTTTATATTATTCCTTCAACAAAACAATTTAAGATTTCTTTACTAAATTCTACATTTGAAAATATTTTTTCCATTTAAGGAGGTCTAATTTATATAGAAAAATCTATCCATTAATAACAAGTTATTCAGATGAATAAATGCAGTTTAACTTAAAATTTGGATACATTTTATGCATTTATCAATTCTCTATAGGAAGTATCAAATAATGAACTCGCAACGTTAACATAACAATATTCACTGATCCATTGCTATGATTGCTAATTTTAAATAAGAGATTTATAGGTAACAAATTATCCACCTACATCCTTATTTTAATTATATGGAAGTGCAAATCTCAAGAATATTTCAATACAAAATATTATTTTTTCAAATCAATTAATACAATTTTCTCCAGTAGGATAATCTGATTAAATAATTTTTCATAATATAGAATTTTACAACTGTACACAATTACAGATTAATGAAATGGATATTCCTTCAAAAAGAAATGCAAATCTCTTAAATAGCAGCTTGAATACAACTTGTAATGAAAATTTAATAGATGCTCCTTCATCTATTATGAGTTTTAATGAAAGTTTCTCTAATATTAATCAAATAGCCCTTTTACAAACATTATTATCTTAGATATTATCATCAACAGTGGCAATGATATTATTTTAATTTACAGATTCATATCAATAACAAAAAATAAAAATTTCTGATATTACTCTCTAGAACAATGAATGCACCAAATGCTCAAATGGTCTATTGAAATTTGAGAATAGTAAGAAAATATCTATAATTATTTCGTAAATGATCATATCTAATTCATATTGCGGGAAAAATGGTTGCATTTCATTCATTTCATAAGATAAACGTATTCTTTAAAGTTAGGTCTCTAATGGATCTATAGCTAATTGTGCTATCAGAATAGAGGATTTGTAATGCATAAACAATTAAGCTTAATATGGAGGTTGTTTGTTTATCCAAAATTAAATCATTTCAATTATAAAAAGTATGATAGCTGGAAATACAGCAGTATATGGAGGTGCCATTTTTACAAAAGGAATTAATTCAACATTAATTTCAGATAATGTAGTTATTACAAATAATTCAGCTTAATTTGGAAGTGGAATTTATAGCTAAGATAACTTGAATAGAAATGTTAAAGGAATAGAGTTGATTGATAATTCTGGATAGAATCAAATTGACGAGCAACCTTAATAACTATATTTATAAATCTTTAAAGACTAAATAATAAAACCTACGATTGTGTAAAATTCTTAATATGACCAAAAATCTTAAATCATTGGAAAAGATGGATAAAATTCAATTATTCATATACCTACAGGAATTCCATTATCTGAATACAAAAAATTTGAGATAGAAAAGAATAAATACAATTATCAAACTATGCAAATGAGAATATATGCAGTTAATTCATAATTAGAAATTGTTAGAAACCTAACAAATACCTATTGTGAATTACAAATAAATAATTTGAACAGTAGTTAATAACAAAATTTATCATTAAATAAAAATAAAATTTACTTTAATTAATCAACATTTTCATATAATTTAGATGATTTAATCTTTTACATTCCCTCAGATTCAAATTAAACCTTTGAATTTACTATTAAATGTAATAGCATTTATATTCCAATAATAAACAATAAAAACCATTTAATAGAGGGGTATTATTATATTTTAAAATTAGATATCATTAAAATTATGTTTTGAGTTTATTGATTAAGCCTAATGACTGTTAAATGGGAGAGTACAGTTAATCTAAAGAGGATTATTGTCATTAATGTATTGTAGACTAGAAATAATATTCTGTTATTGTAGGAGCTACTAGTTGTCAAATTGTAGACGATTAAAAGATTTAGGAAATAACCTAAGCTTAAATATTTTTAAAAAAGGTATTCTAATCTACTTATTATATTAGGGTTTTTGGAGAAGGAAAGTGACTACTTCTACTATAGACTTGTGTTTAAATAATCAGCTAAATTGTATTGGAGGATGGGGATTTGGAAATGAATTATGCTAATAGGGCTATCTAGGTGCTCTTTGTGAATAGTGCGATTATTATAATGAGAGAGGAGGAGGAAATTACTAAAGAGAGAGTTTTTTCCAATGTTAAATTTGCTAAAATGATAGCCTACAATAGCTATTTAATTTATTGATCACAATTTTAATGTAAAAAATTTTATTAATTTAAGATTTCTATGTCTACTTATAATAATTAATTATTTATCCAAAAAAAGGCTTTAATTTATTCACTTACATATTTAATAGTTTACTGCATCTTTCAGATTAAGTATTTTTAAGCAAGAGGAAGCACTTGAGGGTTAGAGCATAAAGATTATATTGTTCTATTTTCAAATTATCAGTTTTACATAAGAATTATCTCCTGTATTTTCAGATTAAATCTAATAGTTAATTCATTTTCTAGGAGATCCTTTTTCATTGTTAGGAATATATAAAGAATGTTAATTAATAAACTTAGAATTTAGCGTAATTTATTTATAAATCTTATAAAATTTTATATTTTTGCTGATATTAATGACTATTTTTGTTTGCTTAATTTTGGCCAAGACTTTTATGTCAAAATAAAAAAACCTAAAGATGGAATTATTTAATTTCATATATCTAATATATATCTTCGTTGTTGGAAGTTTTTTACGATCTATGATACAACTTATAGCCTTTAGAGATATTTAAGATGTGTATTGGATTTACAAAAACATTTCATATGATTACACAAATACAAATCATCTTAGATTAGTATTATTTTTATTTTTACCTATTGTGATATGCCTGGGGATTGTTTTACCTTTTTTATTACTACAAAAGTCAAAGTCAACCTTATTTTTATCAAAACCAATTCCTTATAAAAACTTTGGATTCTGGTTTACATCTTACTCAAAAGATCATAAGCATTGGGAATTTTATAAATTTTTATTGGTAAATGGATTGATATGCTTAATCATCATGATTGATGCAAATGCTACAATAAAAGGAGCCTTATCGTATTTTCTACTCATCATTTATACTAAAGTCTGTTAAGACAATAATATCTATTATCAGAAGTAAATGAATAGATTTGAAAGTTAATTAAATATTATCAGTATCATAATCTTAATCTCTTGCACACTGTTTTCTATTTAGGAAAACTAAGGATCCATATTTAAAAATATAATTTTGATATTCATAAATTCTATATTTATATTGAGTGGAGTTTTTATGATCCTACATTTATGGAAATTGAATTCCTTTTATTTAAGAAAGATGTTTTGTAAAGGATTTGAAAGATTAGGAAAATTTAATAAGATATTTATTAAGTATAACATATTTTAAGCTCATTCAAACAGTTCCATATAATTAAGAAATTAACGGTTTGAATTATTAAAAGCTTTTTTAAAACAGCAAAGCAAAACATCATTATCAATTAAAAAAGAACAATAAAGCTCTCAAGAATAGAATTAAACTTAAGGAATTTGAATTAAAAAATGAAATGTCAAATTTTAGGATATATATTTTCTATAATTTTTTTTAATTAAATGATTGATTTTTATATTTGGACTGGCAGCATCATATTATTATTAGGATTAATAAGTCCTACTAACGAGTGTGATTCATACTACATTGCTAGGATGCCTACTAGATGACACTACCGAGACAACCAAGATGTCACTCTAAGAATATTCAGCCTATGGATATGGCTTCTGGTTCTAATTTTTATGCACGCATCATATATTTTAAGATGACTTAAACGCATACCCTAAATTTGAAGGGTTTCTAATATTAAGGGAGATAAACCCTGATACTTCCAAATATAGGGTGTTTTTTTATTAAGATTGGACAAATAATAATACTAATTAGGAAAAATATTTATATTTATGATATGAATCAGATGGCTAAATGATCTAATTAGCAAAAGTCATATTTGACTCCTTCGATTTTTAAGGCAAATGGATTCATATATATGTTTCATATTAATTTCCTTATGAAAGATAGATAATTATGTATGATATTTGGAATGATTATTGTTAAATCATAAACTATTAATCTAGTATTAATTTAGAAATGAGGGAAACGATTATGACTCAAGGAGGAGAAATTAAATTATAATTAAGTTTAAGAGATGAGGTAAAACAATTTGTTTAATTCCCTGGCACAATTTCAAAAGTAGAGTATAATTTCAATGAAAATGATGTAATTGTGAAGACAATTCAAGAATTTAAAATTTTTGTTGAATAATAATTTATAACATAACCATATTGTTAAATTTCAACTTATTTAACTTCATAAAATATCAAATTACACATACCACTATGGATTAATTTAACTCGAATCTTGGGTTAAGATTGATTATAATTATGTACTATAATTAGTTTATCATAGAATGTGAACCTTTCAGCCAGCGTTTTTGGCGCTGAAATATTATCTTTATCTCATTTTCAGGATTATTAAAAGTTAGTTGATTTATAGTATTGTCTTATTTAAGCATGGTAATAGGGTTTGAGAAATGGAGTGTATTTTTAAACTCTCAATCAGATAATTCCAGATCTTTTCAAACTTGATGGACAATTTTTCGGTAAAAGTGAGTTTGCATTCCATACTTTAAAATAAGATTTAAGACAATGGCATTATGTTTCTATTCTTTACGGTTTTGATAATGCATAAGTTCCAGTTTCAAAAATGAAAATGTGGTTCAATGATGGGGATGTCTATGAAGCTCAATATCATAATAGAACATATCATTTCAGTGAACTTGTCATAAGAATTAGAAGCGGAGTCTTACTTGAAATGTCCGTTAATGGGTTGTAGATAACAAGAGAAAGTAGTAAGATAACTGTTTGCTTACCGGAGTCATTTGATCTTATGAAAAGTAAGTTTTTTTTGATTAATAAAGAATGTCACTTTAGTTGTTTAGATTGTAACGGTCCATATATTAATTAATGCATAAGTTGTGATTAAAATTCTAATAGATATCTCGAAAATAGTTATTGTAAATGCAGTCTAGGCTATATTGAAAATAATCTTGGAAATTGCATATGTAATATAAATATCTTAAATTAGAATTCTTGGATTTCTATCCCACTTCAATATAAGATTATAATGCCAAGAATTAAACTCTATCTTAATTTGGTTATTTTCCAATTAAAGAAGTCGATAATCAAATAATTTATATACGTTGTCCTTAATTTAATGAAATTAATTAGGAAAAGGTAAGATGCATTGAATGTTTGACTTAACCCGAATCCTTTGCTAAATTATTGAAATGTGAATCCGATTATGTTTTTAATAGTTATGGTCAATATGAATTAATTTAGAGAGAAGATAAAGATATTGAATTATATGTTCTTGATACTTCAACATCATCCCTTACGTTGTGCGTTGGTTGTAAATCTTTTTGTAACTACAATATTGATTTGAATTGTCATTTTCATACATTCTTACAAGTATATATTTAATGTCAATCGCAATTCTATTATAAAAACGGAGAATGTGATGTGTGTAATTTTAAATGTAAGACATGCGTAGATTTTTTTATTTGCACATCTTGTTATGATTAACAAGTTTTGAATCCTCTTAATAATGAATGTCTTGAATGTCCAAAGGAATGTTTAGAATGCGAATATAATTCTGGCGTTAAATGTAAATAATGCATAGGATAATATTCAGTGTTTTAAGGATTATGTTACCCTTGTAGTAAATATTGCTTAGAATGCATATATGTTTAAAATCCGAAAGATGGATCGTATTATAATAGATGCATTAATTGCATAGATAATTCAAAATATTATTTATCAATCAATGCAGTTGATTGTATTCAAAATCTAGATCTTAATTGTATATATGCGATCTAATTTCATAAATCCTGGTTTATGAGAAATAGGGTAAATACTATATATCACATGTATGAAAAAGGAGATTATAATTCTGATTAACTTATTAATTATTGTGCCTTGTGTGCTGAAGGTTATGCTTCGTTACTTTCAGGATCATGTATTAGAATAGATACAATTCCTGATAATATAGAAAATAAACAATATTGCACACAAATGTACTAAATGGAGTTGTATCAATAATTTTAATTAAATAAATTATAGTACTAATGTTTGGTTTACTCAAAAGATTTAAATTAAATTGTTTCAATGTCAAATGATTGTGAAAATATTTTGTTTAATTGTGCCTACTGTTTCAAAAATATTTGTTTGTTTTGTCTACCTGGATATTATACTGAATTAGTTACTGGAGAGTGCATTGCATGTCCATCAGAATTACATTGTTATAAATGTGAATAGCGATCAAAGTAATGGAAGAATGGTTGGAAAATTTGGTATGCTATGGTTCATTACATCATGAAACGTAGTAGCATTTATGGTGATATATTCGGAAATGAACCATAAGATAAATTAGAAGTTGTTTGTAAGGTTTGTACAGTAGATTTTGAATTTTACTAAGATAAATGTATCAAGAAATGTGCAGATAATTGTGAGCTCTGCATAAAAAGTAATGGATAAAATAAATGTGTTAAATGTAAGATGTACGAAGGTCGACGTCTGTCTCTATATGATGGTGAATGCATTGATTGTCCAAGGTATTGTCAGATTTGTAAACCTAAATCAAACTTATAATTATAAAGTGCTAATCCATATTTCACAAATTCTAATGTCTAATCTTCTACACATTCTTGTTTGTTGTTATAAACTGAATTAAGCTTTTAAGACTATTATTACGATACTAAGTTTTAATAATTCTTCAAGTTAAGTGAAACTGGAGCAGATCCTAATTCAATTACATTGAAATTCAACCTTTATTGTAACTCAGAGCTCTTTAATTAGCATCTAGAATTGGCATTAGATAAATAGCTTTTTCTACAGTAAAATGTTAAAATTGATGAACTATTAACCAATAATAAATCTTAAAGCAATTTTGGAAGAATTGAAAATCTAAATTTGTATACATATCTCAACATATAACAGATTTAAGAAGTTGAATTATAATTTAGCTTTATTTAACATTGTACTATAGAGCTTCACTCTTATATTTTCACTACTTTAATATAAAACATTTATTTTGTCACTTCAGCTAAGATCACTTTAATAGGTAATGGATACACTTTATTCCTTAACTCAAATCTAGAAATACTGGATTTTGAATCTATTTCAATGCGAAATCTAATAATTTAGCCTTAATCAACTATGAAAATTCATTTATAATCTTTAAGTGCTTTGAAAGTACTATTTTATGAAGTAGTTATACAATAATAATTAGAAGATTAAAATCCAATAATATTTAATATTATATCCACAAATCTCTAGCAATTATAGATTTAAAACTTATCAATATAGAATCTAAATCTATAATCTGTCACTAGTTTGTTTTACTTCGAATATACAGTTTAGTAACAATATATTAACATAAATATTGATCAATTTACAATTAAAAATTCAAACATGCACAATTCAAATATCATTTTACTTGATAATTACTTTTAGCAAACAACAAATTGTTATATTAATAACATTCTGATCACAAATTCCAATCTTTATTCAAGCCAATTTATGAAAATTAAAAATAATTAATATCTAGTTATGTAAGGGTCTATATCATAAATATCGATCGTTTTATCCTTCCTATCAGATATTCAACCTCTATTCTAGACCTTTTGTTATAAAAGTTTAAATATTAGCGGAATCTCTTTAAAAAATTCAACATTCTAAAATTTTATTCTATTTTAAACAACTAATAACTAAATTAATAAAGACTATTAAATTAAGCTTTGTAGTTTAGAGAATAGCTCGATTATTAATTTTGTTTAAGATTACTAGTTTCAATCTATCATATTACAGAATATTGAAGTTAATTAAGTATTTCATGACTATAAAACAATCCTTCTAAATTTAGTATCAAATGACTTTACTAGCACAATTAAGATGTCAAATATTATTTTAGATACAATCACTATTTTTGATAATATTTAACTGGTTTCCAGTTTATAATCAATTTCCTCCATTATTATAATATAATCTAACTTTATTGAAATATCTGATGTAAGAATCATCAGATCATCTGGTATTACTGAATTATTATTATCCTCAGCTATGAACTTAGTACTCTCAAATTTTACTATTACATTAAACTAAAAGTACTTCTTTAAAAGTATTATCACTGATGAATAATGTTCATAACTTAATAAATATTCTAAATATACATCTACTTTAATTATTTAGAAGGTATAAAACATTAGAATACAGAACTTTTATATATCTAATCTTATTCTTTTAGATTTCCCGATGATTTACATAATCTCCATAGCAACATAAATTATAAGAAGATCTGAATCTGTTATTATTGATTTCATGAATGTAGATAATTGCATCATTTAAAAGAGTTAGACTATTAATTAGATATCTGGGATTCTTATATAATCGGAATAACAATAAGATATCCAAATTCTAAATTCTAAATTTAATAATAACATTTACTATTCATACTATAAAGAATCTGAGTCTGACTCAGCTTTAATATTCTATATAATTGCATAAAATTCGAAAATATAGTTGATCAATTGCCAGTTTAACCAAAATTATGTCTCTTAAAGTGAAAATAGTTTGTTATATATAAATGCAGAATAAATTAATGTAATTGATTCATCTTTTTTTTCAACTAATTACATCTTTGATAGCTTTTTGAAGCACATAAATTGGAAATATCAACCTTATACCTTAACATTAGAATAAATCAAAAATTAATTTTAAGTACAATCCACAAGTGGAAATGGTTAACTAATATCTTCCTCAGTTTAAATTTAGAAACATAAATATTGAAGGTAGTTTTTCAACTTCTGCAGGATGTTTTAAAATTACATTAGAAAATGAAGGATATTTACTCGTCAGAAATTCTGTATTTAAAAATATCTACACTAAAATATCTGAAGAATAATCATTTGGTGGTTGTCTTTATGTTATTGATAGAAGCATTAATATCTAAATTGATATATTAGATTCTATTTATGATACAATTATTGGAACTGCTGAAGGTGGTGTTATTTATCTGAAGCCAATAGCATTATAAGTTAACTTTAACTTCACTAATGTGACCTTTTAAGATGTCTTTTCAAATGATGGTAATATTGCCAAACTCAATTTCATAAGCTATAATCAATTACTCTATATGTAGAATTGCAGAATTTTATAAACAATAGAAGGTTATTCAAAATTTAGGTCTTTGTTTAGTTCATCTTAAAAATATGAAACAACCATGTTTTCAGTATAGTAAGGATATCTTATTTTAAGAGATATATTTGTTCAATTATATTTAAATATATTCTTATAATTGAATTATCAAAGCAAAGTTAGTTTGACATCAATCGAAATAGACTATTCTTATTACTACCAGAATTCTATTATGTAAATTAGCTTTTCAGCAGGTATTATAATAATATTATATTTAATAGATTAACAATGCAAAATAGAAATTACTAATCTCAAAATCAAAAACTTTAAATTGTACAAAAATGATCCAAAACTATAAAAAATCTAAATTAAGTAAGTATTTGGTTATTAGTAAAAGTTGTCACAAGACTGCAAAAATTAATAATTATTAAAATTAATAAATTCGACTTATGAATTAATAAATTTATCAGATTATATAGCTGAACCCTAAAATTAGATTGAAAGTTTAGTTTAAATAACAAATGTAAAAAATAAAGATTCAATATCAATTAAGTCAAGCTAATTTTCAAATAATTAATGCCAATTTTGTCAATCAGGGCTTATTTTTATTAAATTAATTGAGTTGTAATCAGAAAATGTTATTTTGTCAAATATTTGGTTAATGGATAACTAATGTGGTGAAAATGGATGTTTATGCATTGTATAAGAGTTTCAAAGTTAAGATCAAAAGAAAATGTCTACGTTAACATTAGACACTATGTTTTGTTATAGAAATTAAGCAAAGAAAGGAGGATGCATAGTTAGCCAACAGGTTGGTCTTAAAATAACAAACAGCATTTTAAGTGAAAATCTAGCAGTTGAATAAGGAGGAAGTATTTATTATGATGGTGAACAAATCTATTATTATAGAATAACCTTATCGTGTCAAACACAGCATAAGAAGGAGGTGCAATATATCTAGGCAACCAAAGTTTGCCTGAATTAAACAAAACTTTAAACTATTTCAATAATAATACTGCATATGGATATGGTAACATTAGTTCATCTCACTCAACTTAACTTACAGTAATGTACAAAAATTTATAATTTTCAACTTTAAATTCTTTGAACAATGGGCGGAATAAATGCTTACTTAACGAATTAATCAAATTCCTCATAAATATTAGTCTTAAAATTGCCGAGTGGCTAATAAATCTAAACATATTAATATTTTAATATATAGAAATAAAAATACGAGCATTAACATTTAAACTTCAGAATTTTAGCTTTAAATGCCTATCATGAATAACAATTTCATCTTAATAATAGTGAATGTTTAATTGAAAGTGGGCACCAGTAAGGTTCCTAAGAAACCGTTTTTACAAATAATTATACAAATTATGATCGAAAAGTTTTTGATTAAGAAACATAAGATTATAATTTAGATGATTTAATTATTTATTACGGAACTGAGAATAATGAATTTAGACTAATCTTATAAATAAGTTGTAATAGTGTCTAAATCCCCAAATATGAAGATATTTTTCCTTTTTAAATAATGGATTACAATTCTAAATATTAATTAATTTTATAAATTCAAACATATCCATGTCAATTAGGAGAATATAAGAATCTAACTGATAATGCTTGCTATCTATGTGACGTAAACAAGAAATAATATTCAGTAACTATCAATGCAACAACCTGTTAATTTATGGATGAAGATACAATAGCATCAATCACTCCTGCTTAACTTTAATTAAAAATTGGATATTGGAGACCCTATATAAATAGCGAAATTATTGAGCATTGTTAAAATAGAATTGAGAACTGTTTAGGTGGATGGAAATAAGGAGATGAGACTTGTGAAATTGGCTAATTAGGTGCTTGTTGTGAAGCTTGTGATTAATACAATATTAGAGGAAATGGTTAATATAGTCTTAAGAAATTGTATTATTGTTAAAAGTGTGACGATTTGGATAAATAAATTATTTATATCATTTTGATAACTTTATGGTATTTTATCTTTTTATAATTTTAGGAATTTACTTTCAATCTATTTATCAACAAATGGAGTTGAGAAATTGATATTAGAATTATAGAAAAACAAAGTAGGAACAAGATAATTAATAATTAACAATAACAAACAAACTGGCCCAATTATGAAAATGTTTACAAACTATTTACAAATATTGGCTATCATAATAAATTTTAATGTAGAAATCCCATAAGCATTTAAAGATTATTATAATATTACTGGGAATTCTCAAACTATGTTATTAATAACCACAGATTGCTTTTTAGCTTAGAATTTTCAAGAGGGAATTATTTATGTGAAAATTATTTATAGTATCATTTGTCCACTGTTTTATGGATGGATCTACTTATCTGTATACTTTTTATTGAAATCTTTAAAGAAGATAGTTTATAATGAAGTAGTGTCAAAAACTTGTGTTTTATATTTGTTTTGCTATTTCTAAATATAGGTGATATAATTATTGATATCTTCATTATCATTTAGAACATTATCAGACATAAAATGGATACAGGGGGATTTGGCTTATTAATTTGATACATCGCTTCATTAATAATGGATTCCATATCTTATTGTTCTAACAATCATTATTGGAGCTATAGTACCAGGAATATTTATAATATACTTAACCAAATATAAAAATTCACTTTAAAAATATTATATTAGAAGATAATGGGGATACTTATATTTAGAATACTAGCATAATGCTTATTATTGGGAAATAATTAGGATTGTCAGTAGGGAATTAATAATGATTGCCATAACATTTTATTAAGATAATATTGTTATTAAATGCACACTTTTATTAATTATATAACTTGCCTATTTTTTTACAAACTAAATAGTTTTACCTTTTAAAACAAAAAATTTAAATTAATTAGAGTAAAAGAGCACGTTGTTATGCACTTTTACACTATTTGCAGTCCTATCATTATCAATAACAAGTAGTTTTTCTACTATTGCCATATTATCCATTATTATAACAAATATCTATTTATTAATTACTTTTATTTAAAGTTTGATACATGGATATTTGGAATCTATGGAGGAGTTAATAGATAAAATAAAGGATTTCATTAGAGAGAAATTGAAATCAAAATTGAGGTTTCACCAATTATTGGATAGTTGGCTTGTAAATAAAGGTTAGAGGAGAAAAGTCGTGATTGAGAGATATAAAAAAATAAAAAATTATCTTTTTGGAATTAGTAAATAACGAAGTAGAATTGAGAGATAGAGAGGTAATTTAGATTTATATTTTAGTTTCGCAAATTTCTTCAAATCGATCATTGCTATTCACTGGACATTTTGCATTAACATTATTGAGACCATAATAGATTTTATCAACAAATAGTGAAAATAACACTATCAATCAACCATTAACTAATTTGATTAACAAAACAAAATCAGAAGAATGAAATTAATTTTAAACATTTGAATGAACATAATATATTAGAATAAATTCAATATTATCATTTTTTACATGATGTCAAATGCAATTTATAAACGTAATTTCATGTTATTTTTGGCAATCAAAATATTTTGAAAAGCTCTTTAATTGTGTTTCAGAAAGTTTATAAATAGTTATTAAATTTATACTGATTTTCTTAGAGCAAAATGTTACAAATATGTTTTCTTTTGTTTAATTAAAGGTATTAAAGGTATATGTGCTTATTATTAACAATAATCATGAATTTTAATGATTTTCAAACTGAAAGGATAATCACATGTAGAGGTGAACTAACGAAACCAGACACCCATAATTTTGCAGACAACGACTCTCCAGAGAATTCTTTGGTAGAAGGCTTCGATTTGGTTTGGAAGAGACATTCTCTTCAAATTTTTTGTGCTGCCATAAAATTTATTGTCAAATTGAGAAAAGCTGTAGATCAATATCATCTTCGATAAATCACTCATAGAATATATCAAATAATTGGAGACAAGGCATCCGATTATTTATTCTACCAATCAAAAGGACTAGTAAATTAAAAATGGAGTTTTAACTAATATATCAAGAGCCTCTTAATTTATAATTTTTTAGTGGATATGAACATAAGAGTAATCAAGCCAGATAGCAAGGTTAAGCTCTTGGTCGATTGTACAATACTAATTTTAATAGTAATGAATATATTTTACATTCCTATGTAATTATCATTCTCCTTGTAAGAGAATGCCTAGACAGTTGACTTTTTATTTAGCACAATACCAAGTTGGGTATTTTTAATGGAAATTGTTGTGAATTTCAACACAGCATATTATTACAAAGGAATGATTCATGAAGATCGTTCCAAAATATTTTAGCATTACATAAAGGGGGATTTTTTCAAGGATGTTTTGGTTGTAATCCCATTTCTGATATCTCAATATAATATTCCATATTTGAATTTTGTTCTGCTGTTGAGAATGACAAGAGTTAACAAAATATTTGAGTAAATTGAGGAAATCACATTGATTAGAGAGAAATTTGCAGCTCCGATTGATGTGATGAAATTAATGTTATTCCTAGTTTTTGTTGCTCATATGAGTGGTTGCGCTTGGCATTACATAGGAATTCAAGAGTTATTTTACAATAACACTGGATGGTTGATAAAATATGGTTATGGTGAAAAGGATTGGATCACAAGATATGTGGCATCTCTATACTTTGGAACCATTACATCATTTACAGTTGGTTTTGGAGACATTGTTCCACAAACATTAATTGAGTAGATCTATTTAATAATTATGGTTTTAATTACATCACTTGTGTTTGGGTATACGATTTCATCAATTTAAAACATTTTTGGGTAATTAAGAGAAAAGACAGACTAACATAGAAATAAGATGGCTAAGATTAATTCTTATATGAAGAAAAACAAGATAAGTCCGATGCTTTAAATGAAAATCAGGAAATATTTTGAATATTTTTTCACTTTAGATGAAAGTCCAGAATTATTGATGGATAATCTTAATGATGATTTAAAATTGGAATTAAGAACAAGCATTTTTATTCCAATTATGATAAAATGCAAATTATTTTAAAAGTTTGATGAAAGTCTGTTAAATCAACTTTGTACAATTGTTTAGACCTAGAAATTCATTCCAGGATAAATAATATTTCAAGAAAATGATTAAATGAATAAAGCATACTTCATCATTTAGGGAGAAGTAGATATATAAATTAATAAAGTCTCAATTAAATAACAATCAGAAGGATCTTTGGGTATTCGAGAGTTCTTTCTTTAAAAACGTATTCATTATGTCACTAGAGCAACTTAATTTACAGAAATTGCCTATATTCGATACGATGTATTAAATTTTTCATTCTTCTTAGGATTTTTATCGCATCATACGAGAAAAATAATCCAATCAGGAATAGTATTGCTAAATGAAAGATGATCTACTCTATTCAACAGTCTAAACCTCATGTGAAATCTGTTCTCATTCTCATAACTTTAATAGATGTCCAGTCGTTTTTTATAGTCCATCAACCTATAAAATTGCATGTGACCAAAGCGATTCTATTGTCTAACCTCGTTATTAAAATAAAAGAAAATAGAAGAAAAAAAGGAAAACTTTTGAAGATTTGCAGCTCAATATAACTTCAGCAATAGATTACATGTGTGATAATGAAACATTGAGTGAAGGAATGAATGAATCTATTTTGAAAAGGTATGGATATGTCGATTTTTAAACTAAATAGTAAACTCTAGAAGATGATAAACTAAAATCCCTCAAAGTCATTCAAAAATTATAATTAAATAGTAATAATAATGGAGATACTCCAAGAATGAAACGGTTTGTATATAAAAGCCTTATTAAAAAGGAAGATAAATCTCAACAGAAATATTAAGAATCATAATTAGAAAATCTTCATCAAGAATTTATTCAATTCAAAAAGGAGGATTTAAATCAGTTTGATCAACACGTAGAATTTTCTCACTTTCATAAAGATAAAAATATTAGTAAAGTTCTCAATAATTTCTAAAAATAACAGCATAGCAAACCTCGAGAACAATTTTATAGTAAAACTAGATTGGGAAAGACTAAAATGACTCATGCAATCAATATAATTCAAAATACTCAACCTAATTTGATCAATAATTCAAACTTTAAAACCATTTTTAATAATAAATGAAAATTTAACATATTTAATTAATGTAGAGGGACAGCATTCAACGATATATTTATAACATTTCTCCCCTCTTAAACAATTATATTTTCTCTCTGAATTACATTCAATATCTAAATTTTAATAATATATTGCCTAGCTGATTATTTTTATGTATCAATTTATTTTCCAATAGAAATAAAGTTAGAACTCAAAGCAATTTTTTAATCGTTTTGTAAAAAATTTACTTCTTTTTAATTTTTCTTATTATTGATATTCTTTATCCGTACTAAAGCAAATTTTGGATTTTTAAGAAAAACATCATTCAGAGATTTTGGAGGTTATTAATTCAATAGCTCTCTTGTGAGTAATAACTTTAAAATTATAACCAATGTTACAATAATTTGATTAATCTACTGAGATAATCAGCCTGTAGGAACAGTTAGTGAAAGCTGACCTAGAGCCTCATCCAGCACCGCCGATCCAAATGGA